CCCCCCCCCCCGCGCGCATGCGCTCAAGCCTTAGGGCCATCGCATTCCCTGCAGTCACGCCCTCGCTGCGTGCATACAATATATTACAAATGGCAGAGGACTAGACTAGAGGCTACAGCATGTGCGAATCGAACGTCCGTCCAGGAGGAAGGAAAAGTGCGGTGCCCACGAGGGCCTGCCTACGACTTCTTCAGGGTCAGCTTGATCTTGGGTCCCCCCCCAGACGGCGTCGACGGCACCTCCTCCTCGTCCTCCATCGCCATCACAGGCGGGCTCGTCGCGAGCGGCGACGGCCCGTGCCCCCCCAGGCCCAGCGACGCATTCGGCCGCAGCGTGTTCGCCCCCCCAGCGTACAGACTGTCTGCGCCGGGCCCGTGCCCGAACCCGGACCCGCCCCCGGGCGGGCTCGCCGCGACAGGCGTGGCCAGCGGGGGATTGCCCGAGTTGAATTCCGCCCACCGTGGGCACTTGCGGTTCGTTTCTGTCCGCTCCATTCAGTTCGACCGCCCCGCGTGCACATTCTCCATTCGCACTCACTCATATGACCCATCTGCCCACAATGTCCGCACCGTCTCTGCACAATGTACGTAAGATCTGGCTATCGAGAGAGCAGCGCACACGTACGGTCGTGTCAGGCTTGACAGGCCGATTGAGTTGCATCGGCGTCCCTCCCTCCTTGACAATCTTGGCGTTCTTCCGGTGAAGACGCCTCTCCTGGTTCTTCTTCATCCTCGCTATCTCTTCCTCCAGCCTGCCCGCCCAGCCGATAAGCTGCGATTCCCAATCTCGCCAAACGCACACCACGTACCGCTTCTTCGCACGCCTGTCCTTGTCCGCATCCCCAGTCGGCGCCAGCGCGTCCGCCGTCGTCGTCTCCTCCTCTAACGCCTGCCGCCTCTTGACATACGCGCTGATCACAGCGTTGTCACGGATTATTTCCGTCTTCCACTCCCCGTCAACCTGATTTCAAATACCCCCTCAACATCGCGTAATCCGTGCCGGCAATGAGACGTACCAGGCGTTTAATCCGTAGCACTCGCCTCTGCGCATCGGGCCCCAAGCTCATCTCCCGCTCACGCGCGAGGGAAGAGCCCCGGCTGAACGTGGGCGACGACGGTCCCGGCGTCTCGCGGTGCGCCAGGGGAGATGCGGCTGGCGTATACCCGGTCAGCGCGTCCGCGGCCATAGACTGCCTCCGCTGAACCTTCGGCTCTGTCTTCTTCTCCTCTTCGTCCGGGCTGAGCTCTGGCTCGTCCTTCCGGCTCAAAGAGTCGAACTGAGCCTTCCATATGCGCTCAATCTCAGACTTGTAGATTTGCTGCTGCTCGGCGACGTTGTATCGGTGGGCAGACTTGGGGCGGTTCTCAGCCTCGGCTAGGGAGGGGGAGGGGGAGGGGGAAGGGGACTGAGTAGTTTGTCCGATGTCAGCGCGGAGCACACGTACCAAGCTTCTGCCCATAATCCTCGCCGGCTTTCACGAAAATGTCCTTCATGGACACGCGTATGAAGCTAAATGCCTCGCCTCGCCCGGTCGGATCTCCGTCTCCGTGAAGCCGCAGCATGGCCTTTGCCTGCGTGGCAAACAAGAAATTTTTTGTCGTAATCCAGGGCGCCAGCTGCTGTTCCACGGACAGATTCCCCTCGTCGTCCTCGGCGACTTCCCCATTGAAGCTGTATCCAGCGTCCTGCAGGTGGCGCTGACCGACCTGCATGCTCTCGGAAAGGACCACCTGTTCCGGCGTGACCATTTTGAGCATATCTACATCAGATGGAATGGTCCAGTTGGCCTTCAGACGCCAGAACCCTTGATGTGGACCCCGGCGGTGGTACTCCATGAATTCCTTTCATGCCGTTCAGCAGCTGTCTCTGTTTGGGCATAGCATACCGGGACTCGCCTTTAGACGTTGCCTCATCTGGAGCTCGTTCTGATCAGGAAAGTACTTCATCAGCCGAGAAATCTTGAGCCTCTCTTCTGCGCTCTTCTGCAGCAACTTGAATGCAATGATCTGAAGTCGGTGTTTGATCGTGTTCGTTATCTTCCGTGAATGGGGCCCAGGAACTTCTGTCACAGGATATGTCTGTCCCACAACGAACATGTTCTTGATCTCACGGATATAATATTTGGCATCGTTCTTGCACGTCGACCTGGCAGTATCGGGATCGGGATCAGAGCAGCGCCCACGAGTAAAAGGGGGTCAGTAATCAGCGCACCGTATTACCAAGAAATCCGTGGGGTATGATTTCTGCCGGAACAAAGGAGCACGGATGAGGTTGCTATACAGAGCAGGAACAGTCTGACCCGGGTACACATAACCAAATTTCATGAAAGGGGATTCGTCCTGGGGTTCGATAATGATGGGCTCCCCGAGGTCATACTGTCAATACAAAAATGAGTCCCCAGATGGATTATCAAAAGGGGATGTGCCACCTTTGGAACGTGCTCATCCTTCTCGCTGCGTTTACGGTAGTAATTCACAAGTATGCTGCCCATACCAAAGTTGGAGATGATGGGCGGATGTTCTTCCTGTAATCATCGACAAATAAGCACAGGCATGGCCCGCCTGTGAAAAGCCTGCCTACGGAGAATTCCCATAGGACAAAGTTGCTAGTGTCACGCAGACTCAGGTCGCCGGTTCTGTGCAGCCCTTCACCCACGTTACCGCCTTTGCCGACCTTTCTCCCCGCCTTGTCTTTCTTCTTCTTCGCTGTGCGGACTTTGCTGAAGTGGATCTCAACGTTGGCGGGGAACTGCATAGCAGGGCGATGGAACGACCGCGCTTCTTGCTTCGATAATCGGGTCTTGTACTGGTCATTTTATGGAACAATCAGTATCAAATCTCACATTTACTGTATGAAGGGAACACACGAATGGCAACTGGAGTTTCTGAGCAGGGTAGGCATGCTCGACCACAAGCTGGCCAAATGTCTGCCGAACACGATGGCGTCCGCCATCTTTGTTGACCTCGTAGAATTGGTCGTTAGACAGATTGAATTTGTCTTTTGGCTGGATATCCGCTCTGAGTCGCTTGCGAGGCCGGATGGAGTCATACCCTGTGTAACAGTTGGGATAAACAATTACTCCCTTGATGACTTTGCGTCTGAGGCTGTAACACTTACCGACAGGCCTCTCTTCAACTTGAATATCCTCATCGTTGAGTTCCAACATGGTAAAATCTCGGAAAGGAGCACGGGGGCTCCAGATGATGCTTTGTGTCCATACTCCAGACTCGAGCACGTCGTTCTGGGGAGTGGTCAAGTCTGTGGGAGGAGTGGCGAACTGGCTCACAGCGTCCTCTTCCGGTTCATACACAATTTGGTCTTCCCAATTGGAGAGGAGAACCAGGTCAAACGACCGATCATGCAGTGGGATAGAAATAGGAACATCCGAACGTTCGCGCTCCTAGACTATGCCGTGAGCCTCGCCTCGGACACCCTACCGATGAGATACGAACCTTCAAGGCACGCTGGATATCGGCCTCTATACTGCCCGACGACACAACTTCCTCTACACGTTGACTCTCGACTTGCCTCTCCGTGTCACCCACCACTGCCGCGAGGAAAGTTTTGGGAACTTCCTTCTTTCTCGGGTAGACGGTCTCCACTGCTTAAGGAATCAGCACGGGACATGGTCATACTAGAGACACATGCACACCATGGAACGGCCGCTTGGACATCCGGGACTTTTGTGCCGTATATCCTTTGAACAGCTCAGTAAAATTCAGGACCTTATTCCTTTCGAATGTCGGAAATCTCTCGTGCACAGTCTTTGGTCGTTCCACCAGGCGCCTCACGACCCTCTTCCGCTTCTCTTTCTTACCCATTTTCTCCGGTGACACGGCTTCGGCCTTCACCTGCGCGCCCGTTTCAGAGCCCTCGGCCTCCAATTCTCTGTCCACTTCATCCTCCCAGTCCTCCCCTTCACCCGGCCCTACGGCATCTGGATCGTCCCACTTGTCGTTATAGATTTGCTGGGCTGTAAAGCTGGATACTCCCGCAATTCCCAGCTGGTTGGTGAGGCCTGGGCCAGTGGGCAGGTCAAGACCGCTGAGAACGTTGGTGAGAGAGAAGCCAGTCAAGGTTGAGATTACGTCTGTCTCATCCTGGTCTCGTATCAGATCCTGGAACTTTATGAAGGTTAACGGCAAGGATTTACGTGTGCGCCAGACATATGGGCAGACTAGCCAACAAATTCGCGGACGAGTGTTGCAGCTGGTCAAGAGAGGTGTAGGAGTTGCGAAGTTATTGGACTAGAAAACCGAGAGAGATACAAGCGATCCGCAGCAATGTATGCGCGATTTCTAGTCCGAGGGGAGACGACGTCCAGTGCTACGACCTAGACAGCAGCGCACAGTGTCGCCGCCGGCGCTGCGGGCTGGCCTGCGCCGCATGCGGCCACCGGCAGTGGATCGAATTCAGAATCGCGTGACTCGCCGACTAAACGCTATAACAGACGCGCATCGCACTCCGGACTTAAACTGGCAGTCAAAGGGCGTTCATCGTTACTTCCGACCGACGCTCAAGACCAACCCCCGCTCACTCTCAACAATCGAAATACAACTGGATGTCCGAAAAGTTTGGAATGGATAAAGAGCTGGCTGGGAAACTGGAGGTAAGCATTGACCCGATATTGGAGGTCGCGGATCCCGTTGCGTGCGCGAAATGAATTGCCACCGTAACCTTCATATAGGAATTCCATAAGAAAGCAACCGTCGCTGCCAACAATGTTATTTACGTTGTATTTCCGCAAAAGGTCTGTCTTCAATGCCGTGCTATGTCATCTTGAATGTTCACAACAGCATAGATTCTGTAAACATTCGCGTTGCATATTCGCTCTGCGACAGTCCAGCTTATGCATCTCTATGCAGGGAACTTCAAGAACTCATAGACTCGGCTTTAAGTCTATCTTCCCCATTTAATATTGCGCATGCTGCCACCGCAACTGATGTGACGGTGTATCCTCCTCCTGGGCCGCCCTCGGAAGAACCAGAATCCAAGAAACGCAAACTAAACGCTGAAGGTAGCGTGAACGGCACCGCGAGCTCCGGGATAACATCCGTGAACGATACTCAGCATGCGAGGTTGCCTAACCTGATGCTGGCTAACAAACATATTGAGACAGTATACAGCATTCTGAAGAAGGAATGCGAGCAACTAGCAGACGTTTGTGTGAGTTGTTGGCCCTGACTTGAGCATGCTCTTGGCAAGACACATACGTAGCCACATACTCATCTACCCATCTTAGGACAAGGTGAAGCTATGGGTCAATCTTTCTATGCCGAAGTGAGTTCACAGACGGTGCCGCAAGCGCTTTCATGTCTTATCGTCAATTCCCATCCACAGGATCGAAGAGTATGTCGGACGAGACTGACTCATGCATTCTACACATCAACTGACTGATTGGTCTTCGCGTCTAGCGGGGACAACTTCGGTATGCGCTCATCATTCGGCGTTATTTATAGCAATAATTGACTTTCCTCATCGATCTTGTGCAGGTGTGCAGATTCAGGAAGGTATACGCTTCGATTGGGGTCCATTTGCGAGTTTCTGAGTGCATGTATTTCCCTAGAGGTTCTCACCGAGCTCCACCGGTCTCAGGAAAGCGCATACAACCTCCGTGATGCATGCAGGCAGGCCCATCTAGGGAGAGCAAAGATATGTTCCAAGATCATCAAGTATCCGCACGTCGAAGATTACACGGTATGTCTCGTTCGCAATACAGGGGCGACCGGTGACTAATCGTGGAATATTCGTTCCGATTCTCGAACTAGCTGGCGCTGAAAGAACATGACGAGAAGCAACTCTACGTGGCACGACAGAACCTGCTTGACTTACGGAATGTCTATGCTATTCTCACAGACCTTTTGCACAAGAACATGACGAAGGTATGACGCATTTGTTATGGGCTCAGCGCGCCCAGCCGGCTTATTGTCCCCCTTTCAGATTCGTTCACCGAAAGGCAACAATCATTCATCTTTGTATTAACGAATTCTTTTCGCGACCCGCGGGGCGTTCGACTTCAGTCACTGAGGATATCTCGGTTCCCAACGTTCAATCGGGTGCCTAGGACATTTGTCCATTCTCCGTCCCAAGACATCTTCTGTAGTTTCGCTTCAGCATGTGCCATATTACCTTCAATTCCATAAGACACCTGATTAGATGGCACTTCGGCATGTCTGCTTTCTGCATCCGCCTCGCGCCGGCGGAACTAGGTAAGGACTTCACTACCCATGTCCCAGCTTTTGCTTTACTAGCAACATGCTCGTGTGAGCCATCACACACTGCAGGAGAATGGTAAGTGATAGAGCACTATGGCTACAATATATATTACACTGAGATCGTCTTGAATACATTAAACCCGTCTAATGCCGTGCTAATGACCGTGCCGGGTATTTGTGGATGCCAGTGTACCTCTTTGACATCCTTTTGCCCCTGGTGGACAAAGAGCAGCTGGGGCGGCACGTCGCGGCCACCTTCAGGTGTTTCCTCCATCGCCCCTGTTTCCTCATCATCTTGCTCAACTGCAAGATCCCATAGCGTGATTTGATCGTCCGCGCCGGAAGCAGCAAAGATAGAATCTTCTGTTGGATGCCATTCAATGGACGTGATGGGTGCCCCGTGCCAGGTGAAGGTGGCGACGGGGGTAGGGTCGGGGGTAGATGCCCTACCCAACTGCGTTAGCATGGCATTTGCGGTGAGGCTGTGTTCACAACAGGTACGTACCCCTTCCTATTAACGTTCCGCAGATCCCACACCTTTATGCCTCCCTCGTCCCCCCCGCTCAACAACAAGTATGTCGTTGCCCTATTCCAGCTGATAACGTTGACGTCGCTCTCGTGCGCCCGCTCAATTCCCGCAACACTCTTCCGACCCTTGCTCCTCACGTCCCATATCTGAATACTCTGATCCGCGGAACAAGATGCAAATACAGTTGCTTCCGTGGGACTCCACTGCAGGTCTTCGACACTAGAAGTGTGTGAAGTAAAAGGCTGAGACAGGGCGCTGAAGCCTGAGGGTGTGGTAGTAGTCAGGTAGATTTTGGATTGAATGTCGCCCGTGAGGAGTCGCAATGCAGATGAACTCGTCTCATTAGACGCAGCCCAGTCCATCGCGAATCCTTCCGCGCGCCCATGCGAGCTCAATGTAAATGCAGGAGTGTGTGTTCTCGATTTGTCGTAAGAGTACCCTGGAACGTCCAACGCTTCCATCAAAGGACGAACATCCCAGATGTGAACATTTCCTGTCTCTGCCCAGCTCGCGACATAATATGGCTGTGAAGGAGGGGGGAGAGCGGACGATGATGGCATGGGCTGCGCTCGGACGCGATTCACGCCACCAAAATGGGGCACTGATCGAAACTCTAGGATGGGGTCTTCGTCTAGGGTATCGTCTTCGTCTTCATCATCCTCATCCGAATCATCTGGACAACCCTTTGTCAGCATGACCAAACTTCCGGCAGCATAAAGTGGTCACATACCTGGGTCCCTCTGAGTACGCTGCAATGAGCTCATCTTATACACCGAGATCTCGTTGTTTTTCGCTGTGTCTGCTTGTGTTCCTGCAACAATATAGGCAGTGGCGGGAAATCGCTGCCTCTGATCGCCCAGATTATCCCGCAGGACATCGAATGAGAGACACGGCCAGTTCACGTTCATCGAATGTCGCATGATGTAAACTGTGTCGTCTGGTTCCAGAATCTCGTCGCTCTCGAGTTTATGCACTCCTGGGATGAACACGTTTGGGGCGGCAGGCTTCTCATCTGATTCCTCGATAGCGGGCAGCACTTGGTCTACATCCATGCCTTAAAACATGAAATTAGCGTACGTACATTGGTCCTACTACACATCCATACCGTCTTCTTGTTCGTTCTCCGCGCCATCTACAACCTCTTCGTCGCTCTCGAACTCGTCCTCCCATCCGTCTTCAAACTCGCCCATTTCGTCTTCGGAAGCAGCATTTTGACGGCCCTTGTCTCCTTTCGGGGCTCTCTTGTTCGCTCGTGAATTAGTGAGTGATGACGAGTCGGTCTCTGTTGCGGTGCGTTTTGACATGACGGCCAGATGTAGTGCGTGGAGCTCCCAGTGCGGATTCGAGTGTCTGCCTTGTACAGACCCAAGAGGCGCCGAAATTTTGAGAGCCAAATTATTGGCTACACGTGATCCAAGCGCAGATCCGAGATTAAGATCGACTTAGATTCGATCCGCTGTTGGACGGTCTAGCGCACGCCGCAAATTAGCCTAATAAATTGCAACTGCCGATACTATGTTGTCAATAATAGGTGATCATGTCTCGACACGCTGCTCGCTGTGGGCACCGAGATTGCGCTGTGGTCTCCATGACAAGCCTAAAGCTACTGAAAGTCCCGGGCATCTCCGGACAGGGCGACATGCAAGCCAATGGTGCTCCTTGGAACAAACGAGGTCTCTCCGTCAACTCCTTCAAGTTTCAACTCACCGACCACACATAGAACCGCTCTCTCCTTCTCACTGCTTACGTCGGATCCAGACTTGAGCTGCCGGACCTCTGACGCGGTCTACGTCTGCGAGTGCTGCGCCGCCGTTCTCCATCCAGGCTTGCGCGTATCTTTCTATTGAGTACTCGCGTTCCCTGCCGACTGCTGACGTCTCCTCCTAGGGTATTGCCTGACTCATCATTTTCCCCCGCTTTTCTCGGAGCGCGAAGATATAAATATTGTTGTCAAGGACCCAGTGTACACAAAAAAGCCCCAACCAACATCCTCTCTCTCCGTAGTTCTAGTTCCTCACAATGTCTACCACTATTCTTCTGACCCGGGAGTGAGCCTCTATCTTCTTCGTTTGACTTATACTTATGCTGCGTCTCTTAGACATATATATCCCGCTGCTGCTATCATTTCAACGTTTTGGGTAACCTTATTCCAGACCATTAAAGTTGGGGCTGCACGCAAGCGTGCCGGCATCGAGTATCCTCAACGTGTGTTTATATATTCTGTCCGATTTTCCTTTCTCATTTTCGTTCAGTCTATGCGGAGAAGGCCGAGGTCAAGGCTTCGAAAGATGCAAGTATCTTCAACTGCACACAACGTCAGCTTCTTTCGGATGTATGCGGTTCAAATTCAAGCTGATGCATACAATATGATTTAGGTGCTCACCAGAATACCCTCGAGAACTTGCCCTCTGTCCTTGCTAGGTTCATCACATATCCCGCGTCCGTAGGGACTTGCTGAACGAATATCTCTTAGTACTGCCATCTTGTCACTGAGGCATCCGCTTGTGGCTGCATCCATCTGTGGTATTTGGTCCTTCTCGCGCGTCCTTTACACCATCGGATACAGCACTGGGAACCCCGCTCGTGTGCGTGTAGCTCAATGCTGTCTAGACCGAATGTCTGTAGCTGACATTGAATTGTAGCGCAATTTCTTCGGCGCCGCTGCCTTCAGTATCATCTCCTCGACATGTATGTCTTGTTGTTTTCGAGCATGACGCAGTCTCATACTTACGTTACACCATTCGCAGCTCTCCTGCTGGGATCCACTTGGACTCTCATTGAACTTCTGCGGGACATTGCGTGATAGAAGCCTGTGTTCTTGCAAAGTCGGGCGGTTTTCTCTCTGAATACGTGGACATCCATTGTACATACGTCGACTGGAATCGTAAAATCCCATCAGATTGGCGGAGCTTGGAGAGGATACTCAAACAGGTCACACAGTACATGTCTTGTCAGCAGATTTTGCATTATCGGAGTTCTGTGTCCTAAATCCCTAGTAAGTAATGGAGTCTTGTCGCTTGCGCGTCACAGTTGCTTTGTTGAGTGAACCTGATACCTTCAATCCATCATACGTACATAATTCACTCGTCTTGTCAACGAATCATGAGAGCAAGCTTTGTGCAAGTTTGACCGTTAATCAAAGCAGAATGAAGTGATACACGAACTGGGGCTCCATGTCGACGATACACTACCGTCTGTTTACCTCGCTTTGTACGCACCGTAAATGTGGGCCGTATGCCGGAGCACTTCACCTCTGTCCCCGGTGGTTCACAAAAGGGTGCTTTCCGTATACTCTTGATGGCTCGTTCGACCTTCGACTCCTATCGCTGCTCTTCAACTACAAACCTCCGGATAAACTCCTTGTCGACTGTATCCAGCGACCTCAAACCCTCCAAATCATCAGGTTACAACTGACTATCATGTTAGGTCCCTCTTCTCGCCCATCTCTGCCCACGTCCTCGTCAGACTTTGCTCTACCTCCTTCAACGTCATCACCATCCACCACCAGTCCCACATATGCGGCGGACGATCTCAGTCCTTTTATGTTGCGCTTCAGACGCCCGAGTCTTCTAGTACCCCGCCCTACTGCTCCAGGCGACCGTCCTCTTCGTAGTCCCCTAGCCACAACATCAACAACTCGCAGTTCTAGCACTACTGTCAGTCCAGACGAGTCCGAAAGTGAGCGCGAGAATGTCAAGATGTGGACGGATGACACTCCTCCGTCTGGGAACTCTGGCTCGGGCACCCCGCTCCTGCCTGGACCGACAATAGTAGAACCACAACGCAACCGAGATGGTGTCAGGAAGAGAAGTAGAAGTAGACCGCGAAGCCCATCCACTCCTCCGCCTCGAAATCGTGGCTCTTCGGCCCTCAACGACTTCCCACCAGAAGCCCCAAACTCTGTGCCTCGCGCGCATGGCCGCAGGCTGTCGCATAATGTGTGTACCTTGCCCTTCACCTGATTAAGTATGTCTAATAATCGTTGTCAACAGGTAAGAGTGCCGCGCATCCTCTCCCTCATCTCCCAATCGCGTCCAGAGGAAAGCGAGGTGCAATCGGAGGCTCAGTTCCAGAGGCTCGTTGCATCGTGCTGTGAGCTCCCGTCACACCAGCGTATCCCCCGCGCAGCGTCTGATCGCGGGAGATATCCCGAAGAGGCCGATGTGGAGGAACCACATCGCGAAGATACGCCCAGCGATGATGGCGAACTCGACGATGCCGTGCCTTTTGCTTACGTGCAGCCGATCAGCATCATGAAACCTGTGACTCCCGCACACAGTGTCAATGGTGATGACATGGGCATGTTGGACAGTCCCGGGGGAATGGCCATGGATGTCGATATGGTCCGTGTTATTTTTGCGTATCCATTGACGCTGGGACTGATCGTCCTGTTCATTCTCATAGCCTTCGTCCTCGATGGGCTCGCCTATAGTATCTTCATGGCGCTACACGCCACCACCAACGTCTAGTGCAGTCCGTAACAACAAGCGAAAGGGTAGGCACGCCATTTTTATATTCTACACATCGCTAACTACATCTGTAGTGGATGACCGTTACGACCCATACCCTACTGCGAACAAAAGGCGTGCAGTGTCCCCATCTTTGTCTTATCTCCGCGAATCCCAACCGTCTCTCTTCAACTCGCGTATCGCTATGGGCACACCACGCTTGACAATGCCAACGCCGGTACCGATTTCCACAGCCTGCAGCTCTGCCGCATCTTCTCCCATAGTCGGCTCGTCCTCCTCGTATTTCGCTCGCGGTTCCACGAGTGTCATGTCAAGTCCAACATTGCGGGCACAGATAGGGTTGTCAAGCCCTGTCCTCAGACCGATCTTGCCTCGCCCGAAGCGGCATGGTGAAGATGAACGCGAAGTTGAGGGTGCTGGCGAAGCTGTCGGCGGATTGACCCTATCATGAAGACCTCGATCTTCTCTCATATTCTATACCTTTTCGCGCATTAGGATAGGAATCTTGGCCGCATTGGATATATCACCATTGTTTTTTGCACTCATTTGATCATCTACTGTATCACTCCCGATCGGTCTACTATCGTCATATTACATTGTCGTCTTGCATTATACAGCCCTAGAATCTCACTTTGTATATATACAGCGGCTGCAGTGGACTCCCTGCATCTAGCTTCCTCTGTATGTTGTGTATGAATAGGGGCTTATCAGTAGCGGAATGTGATAATGTTCGTCAGGATTTGACACTTCGAATGTAATCTGGATGATAGAATGTCGAGATGAGAAAGGATTGCAGTCGATGCTGCACCTACCTCGACCCATGGATAGAAACATTGTCGACCAGTGTGTTCAAAGTAGTCTTTCGTTTTAAAGACGACTTTGTAAAGCGTGCCTGTCTTCAGTTTGGCAAGCTCTTCCTTGCTCTGACCCGCTCCGGGCTGCGGCCAGAGCTGCATGCACCGCCCGTCTGCATCGGTCACTCTACCCATGGACAATTTCAGACGCGGCGCTGGGGCTGGTCGAAGATACACATATCGCACCCTTCAGCTAGTGGATCGAATATCTCCGTGTTGTTGGCGAACGCATGATGAACTTGCACCCGGACTAGTATGCCCGCTGCTGGTTTGCCCAGCGAAGAATCGAGCACTGAGGTGAGCTCAGTTTCATACAATGCGAGACCCTCGAGTAACAGATGAAGCATACCATGACAAGTTATAGGAGATTTCAAGGCCATTTTGGCTTCCAATCAGCAGGATGTGAGTCCGAATACTATTGGAACGCTAATGGACACCAGCCGTGGCACTGACGGCGGCTTGAACCGACATGATGCGCCGATCGGAAGGGCGGGTTCACGTGATATGCGTGTCTGAAATTTGGACGGCGAATTGAGTGCGTTCCGGTCCTCGCGTCGCGTATCCACCACACGCATACCTGCGAACTAGAGAGAGCAATGGCCAATGCCTCTTCGTCTACGAATGCCCCGCCTTTAGGCAAATACCTGGCAGCGACCGGTATGCGCTCACCTTTCTCCGCCCTCCGTCGACGCTCACACGCTATTCGAAGACAAGAAGACGAGAGACAAGGCCATCAAGTCCTTGTCAACATTCCTGTCAGATCCCTCTCGAGACACGTTGCCTGAGAGTGAAATGGCAAAACTATGGAAGGGAATCTTCTATTGTACGCATCTTCCACTATGAAAAGATATCCGGGTTAATTGTGCACTTAGGTTTCTGGATGTCGGACAAGCCTCTGGTGCAGCAGGCATTGGCCAGCGAGCTTGCTGAGATCCTGCTAACCATATCGACTGCGTCATCTTCGTTAGCTTTCTTGTGCGGCTTCTGGGAAGCCACTGTGCGCGAATGGAACTCGATCGATCGTCTGCGGTCGGTACTTGCTTCTTCAGCTTGTAGCTGTGCTCACCACCTTAGCCCGTACGTAGGATTGACAAGTACTATATGCTTGTCCGCAGGTTTGTCAACGCATCTTTCAGGCTGCTCATGAAGACTGGCTGGGATAGTGCGTCGTGCGCGGAATATAATACAATACTGACCCATCGCGGTGGACCTCTATGGTTCGTCTCCTCTTTCCAAATGACAGCGCAGCTAACCACCGAGAATACTGCAGCCCGGATGATATTCGTGTTCCTGCCAGTTTGGCGTACCATCTGGCGGATATCTACCTGGAAGAGCTCGACAAAGCGCTTAGCAGTCCCCTCAACTCATCGCCAGCGCCAGCGCCATTATCCACCTTGTCCACTCCATTCTTCACACTGGCTGCGCGAACCCCATCTAATGCCAGTTATCAGCGTATTCAGTCAGCCTTCCTCGAACCTCTGTTCTCCGCCTTCGAGTCACCTCGGGATATTGACGAACCACCGCTACGGAAGCGACCGCGTTTGTCGTCACCCATATATGAAAATATAGTGGTAAACGCGTGCATATCAAATCCAAAATCCGAAGGCGTTATGGCAGGTCCTGAGTTGAGAAAAGCGCTCTTGAAGTGCATGTTTGAGATTGCTAGCGAGCAAGATACCCGTGACGCAAATAGGCGCAAGCTATACAACCTTTGGAAGAGTAAACTGGAAGACGATGGCGATGGCGGTGATACGGCAATAGATGCTAGCTAGCCGAGCATAGTAGTGGCTATCCTTTGTTTTCTTACGGCCGCACTACATCGTGCTCAAAATTTGTACATTATAGATCAGTCGACAACCTCCATATAGGAGATTAATGCTGGACCAACTAATTTGAATTATTTCGCTCAATAAACGAAAAACTGTCGACTACGCGTCTGAGGGATCTGTCATACGCTTCCTTTGAGAAGTGATAAAGAAACAGCCCAGAAATCAGATTGGTTGGCCTCCACTACGGTTATCATGGCGAATGATGTGCAAGCACTGTGAGACTAGATGATTGATATAATGGCTTAATGGTATGTTCACGAGGATTCTGCATTTCGTATTCTGGCTCGTGCTTGGTGTCACGGTCGGGGACCGACAGGCCGTTCACGTTGAAACGGCATCGAGAAATGTCGGAATACAGAAAACAGGTGGCTTCATCATTCCCGACAAGTTACCGACTGGCGAAATTTACCATGCCACTGCGAGGTCCTAATGAAGAGGAAATGACGTCGGGACATAAGATGCCAATGTGGTCCGGATTGTATCATTCTTGATTGCTCCAAACCCATTTGAGCTTGAGTCTCTCCGCTCATGATCCCAACGATTTTGGAGTTGTGCTATCACTGGCAATTTTATCCAGAATGAGTAGATGTTAGAAAGCGACTCAATTCCGACCTTGTCGATAAATGCTCATGAAGTAGAGATCCACTACACCTCAGACTTGTGGCAGCAGTCCCAACAACTGGAGTTGACATGGAGGGTTGATAAAGAGTTTAAAAATACAACGTATAGTTTGTACGCTTCATGATGTAACGAAGGACAATAAAGTTATGCGAACCCACCAAGAGAAAATGAGTACGACATTGGTTCCACAATCCGCAGAATAAATCACAAGTCCGGTAGCTCTCGCTGTATGAGTCTCGTCCATGTGCTTTCTCGCCACCATTCATCCATGCTATCGAGGCGCTCCCAGAGTGTTTCTTCATCGACACCATATATCTCGTACTTCGCCCCATTCAAAAGCCGGCTGTCTCGCTTTGCAACCTCAATCGCCGGTTTATTTTCTCCCCTAAGCAGGAATCAGCCAATCAAAGAGCAAGATCGACACTACACACCTCAATAGCTCTAAAAGTTCGCGACGGTCCGGGAAGAACAAGCGTGATTCCAAGACAGCCAAAATAGCCAGGGACGCTCGGAAAAGAAACGAGTCGCCTTCAAGTACTAGAATATCCCAAAGTCTTGCACAAGCTTCGAACGGAAGGTGATCTAGGAAGAGCGGGACTAGCCAATCAGGGAGATATGAGGCTGGCGAAATCTGGTGCTGCTTGAAGTTAAAGTATACTAAGAAAATGGCGTTCAGGCATTTATATTGTGCAGTATCCAGGTAAGGAATAAGCTCACTTTTGGGCATCCCATCGGCGAGCAGGGTGTCGAAGATTCTGAAGATGATGGATCAGTGAAATAGCAGTCTCACAGTAAGACATGGTGGTTCACCTGTAATAAGCTTCAACCTGCTCGTCTTGGATATTATTTCTAGTCAATTACTGTAGATCTGGAAATACTTACATCGTCTTTTGATGCTATTCCGCCGAAGAAAGATCGCAGACAATGTCGTTCCAGCAGGTTCCTCATGACGACAAATCCTTCAGCAGGATCCATGTTGAGCAGCAGCATAGCAGCGATTTTAGCAGCCCCTAGAATGTATCCCAACCCCTCGTCCGAACGAGACACTACCCATGCACACAACATGTCCTTCAAATCCTGATACATGGGCCCCGTTCCCGGAAGAAACAGACGCAAGTTTGGCATTGTGGTCTTGATGTCGTCCTCTAGAAAACCAAGAACTGTAGTTGGGAACGTTCCGTGAGACAGCGCTCTCCTTGCTCGCGATAGACATGACTTGTATGCATCTGGTCATCATTGACATCAAATCCCATTGGCAGAGGATTATAGAGTGAGTGCTGCATTACCTTTGCTCAGTACAAGAGCATTTCCCACTGCGCTCTGCCACATTGTCGCTCTGAGTTTTGTAGGAATTCCGGCCCACCACAGTTTCCTGAGTGACGTATTTCTCTTCACAACGGTCCAATCGGGTAGAATAGCGCGTTCCCAAATGCCGATCGATTCTTCAATCTTTCGTTCACGTGCGGATCGCCTTTCCTGCAGTGCAGCTCGTCTCTTCTCCTCTGTAAATCAGTACGTAGGGAAATATGGTAAACAGGCTGAGCAAATAAATACTCATTCATGACGCAGAGTTGCTATTTCTGCCATACTCACCGGCTGTCCGACTTCGCTTCATCATAGCCTCCCAGTCAGCCATATGCTTCAAGTCTTCTGCGCGAGACTTGGGGGGTAAGAACGGCGGACGAGTCTTGCTAATAACCTTATCGAGCGCACTAGGGCCCATGGAACGAACCGCTCGGCGGTGAGTAATTGCAGGTGGGGCAGAAATAATGGAATTTTCAGACGCATATGAAGTAGGAGTGGGGAGTGACATTGAGGTGGGTAAATTGGATGAGGTAGACGAGACACTGGCAGAGGAGCGGGGAGTAGCGGGTCGAGGCGAGGCTTGAGCGAGGACCCTACCATACGGAACCGGCTGAGAACCAGTGACTGGAATCTCGACCTCTTGTACAATATCCAATTTAGCCTCCGGGGCCGAAGACACAAGCTCTGGTGTATGTACAGGTGGGGGAGATACCGGTCTACTGGTAGGTCCAATATCATCACCAGCAGGAAGGTTTGGAGGCTCGAGTGAATGAGAAAGCCGTGGCGAGCCATCGGAGAGCTGTATATCGTAGAAGGATCCCTCAAGTGAGGGCTGTGAGACAAGCTGAGGCCCGGCAGACTTGGAGGGCTGCAGAGCAGGTGAGGAAGAGGGATCGGGTCCGGATGTATCGCTGCTCAAGGTCGATACAGACATATCGGGTTCGACGGATAATCCAATTTTTGCAACATAGCCCGCAAGGTCATCCTGGGCTACGTGGCTGTCGATGCTACTGTACGCTTTCGCAAACTCTTTTCGAACCGCTTCCGGAGAGAATTCAAGGGTGTGGTCGGCCTCGTCGCCATCAGCAAACGCGTCGTCCAAAGCGAATGGCGGCGGCACATGTTTGGAGACGTGTATTTTGGGCGCGTGGTCGAGCTCGTCGTCTGAGAGGTGGTCGTCCATGGTGGAGATGCAGCTGCGCCTCCGGGCGCGAATGTGAATCATGAATCACGGGTACGCGTCTGACCGCAATCGCGCGCCCGGACAACCCGGACCACAACTTGGAGTCTACTGCGTCGGCAGCCGGTCTGTTCTGGTGTCTGAACTTGTCGCTTCATGGTAGAAGGTGAGTAGCAGATTCTGTCGGCGTAAAACAATCTAGCGCCGCAGAACAGCTCATGTAGGTCTAGTGGCAGCAGCTGGATATGATTGCGGAAGTCCTCCTGGTCCTGGCTGGTCACTCTTCATCATTATTTCCAACAGATCACACCGTTCACCCCGCATTTGCGCCACTGCTTCATCCCGGGGAGCAACAGTGTCTCGAATCCCTAGGCCAAATTGCTGTTCGTTACCGCAACGTTAAACAGGCATGCTCCACACTATCACGCTCGCCTTCGCGATATGTATGCGCACTTTGTGCATCGCTAGGTCAAATCCTCAGAGATGAATATGACACCTTGATTGTCGACACGGAGGCCAAAATCCTTCAGCGCGATAGCAGCCTCGTCGCAAGCGGATCATTCGTGCCGTTATCATCTATCCGAGCTATTTTTGCTGAATGGGACGCGCCTCTTGCTTCTCTGGAATCTCTCGTCGATGAATTGAAAGCGAAGGATTCTTGGCAGCCCGGTAACCTAATCGACCTGCTCTTGACGCGTTCTCATACTGGAATTCATCGCATCGCGGCGATTCATGCTCGGCTTTGTGAAGCTGTCCAACGTGTTTGGATGTCCCAACTGCAGGCATTCATCGTACATGGCTCGTTGCATGAAAAGGATCCTTTGGTCTCAAAAGACTACGTTCTACTTGATGGCTCGGTGCCTTCTTGCGTCTCAGTACAAACACGGGAATCCATTAGCTACGTTGGTCGAGCAATCGGTACTGTGAGGGCGGCCAAGTGGGAGCGGCAATTTCCCCGGGATTTGATAGTAGATCATACCAAAATGCTTGATGGTATATTACCACAAGACCGGTATAATTTCGATCGAGTCATTGCCGATATCCGTACTGGGGTCAGTGAGTGGTTGTGGCTCAACGTTCTGACACACCGAGACGTGGAAGTGGCGGTCGATGCATTGTGCGTAGTCTCTATGTCGGGAAAATGTCTTCAACCGTAACCGCATCTACAGAGCAAGCTATTTCCTTCTGCGAAATGGCGAGTTCGCCCTATCCCTTATACGAGAGATTGAACGCCTGAAGATCTCTAGACTCAGGGCTCGATCGGGTCCAACGACAATGATACGTGAACAAGACCTACATCTCGCTCTCTTGCGTGCATCATTGGGAACAACCGCTCAGCATGATCCATCCCTCTCGAATCTTCACTTTAGCTTACCTGCCGGGCCCCTTCGACCCTTGCTTCCATCCCTCGCCACCACCACCAAAAACCTCTCTATGTCCCATTCTGCTGTTGAATTAACAACTTTTGATGATCTACTTCTTGGTACTTCTCTCGTCCTCACGTATGGCGTATCCTGGCCATTAGACCTCTTCCTTCATCCATCAGATCTACAAATTTACGCGACCTTATTTGGCTATTTGTCTGCATTACGGAAAACACACACCCGGATCCATACATGCTGGACATCACTCTCCAATTCACAACGTGCGCGTCGACGATGGACCGGGCTTGGAGAGGGAGGAACCGTGGAAGACTTGCAGGCTCGCAAGGAACTCTTAAGATGTGGCTGGGGTGCAGTAAGGGAGATGAACTGGTTCCTTGACACGCTCCTTGGTTATGTGATGACCGACGTTGTGGATGTAGAATTCCGGAGGCTGAAAGATATTCTTCTCAAACAGACCTCAGGTCTAGTCAACCAGCACACGGGTAGCTATTCCGCACCAGCACTGTTGGCGGAAGGAGCTTCGACTCAGCTCAAGGCTGCCGAGTCGGACTCAGTGCCGACGTCGCAAAGTGGTGCCTCTAACGCCTCGGCTCCTACCTCGAGCCAGCTAGACTTTACTACTCTACGGAACATCCACACGACTTATCTTGAGCGATTGCTTACCGGCAGCTTGCTGTCCAATCCGGCGCTTACCCCAATCTTACGATCAATTTTGGAGGTCTGCGAGCATTTTGTTGCTCAGGTGGAACGATGGGACGGGGATATTTTGCCCGCTTTGCTCTTTGAGGGCAGCCTTGCGACAGGTGAGGATGATGTGGGAAAGATGGTAAGAGAGAGGCACGCCGCTCTCGATGATATTAACAAGGTACGCTTCCAGAGGCCGTACGGAGGTATTAATGGAAGTTCATCTCGTGAGTTTGCAGACGCTGCACGGCCTGCTTGGCTCGTTCTATGAGCAACTGTCTTTGTCTACGACGCAGCAGCCTTTCTCGGCCGCGACAGATGCGTCAAAGTCGATGTTGTACAACGCCAGCACAGCGAACTCATCTGGATTCCACACATTCGTTCGTAACAAACGAGGCAAACGCCTCGAGGGGGATGAAGAGGTTCGCCGGCACGTGGAGCGTCTGCTCCTACGCCTGGACTTCAACGGCGGGTTCTCGGAGGCCAAGGCGGCGGGGAGCTTTGGGTCAACTGACGCAGAGATTTTGAAGCAGGGTGGCCTTACGTAGAAGTGAATAAAGAGCTCCGCCTTCGCGATGGCCTGTCGAAGTTTGCAATGCTGTATATCCTATATACCCGATGGAATGTGTGTGATGCAGCCAGCGAGAGTTGTGTGTTTTACATAAATTAGAATGGCGAAGGGAGATAACGCAAGCGATATGCGATCGGTGCGTGCAAGGCGCGAGGCTATCGATTGAAGCAGTCCACTTTATAAAATTGACAGCAAGTGGCCAATGAGCTCTAGCATCGCTCTCCGCCGCCTTGCCCATCACTCTCGTCTTCTCTCCTCCTCTTCCGCAATGGCAAATCGTACGTGCTCTCAGTCCTTCTACCCTGCGCTGCCCTCCAACACCTCATCCTCCAGAATACGCTTCTCGTCTCATCGGCGCTCCCAACACTCTCGGTCAGTATATCTCCACGCGGTCCTATCATCCCTATCGTCTCAACTTTACTCGTCCCCCTTCCCTGAACAGAGCACCGCGTTTTCATCGAGCAGAACGGAACCGTCGTTTCGTCATGGCACGACATCCCCCTCTTCGCCGATCGGAACAACAGCATCCTTAACATGATTGTCGAGGTCCCCCGTTGGACCAACGCTAAAATGGAGATATCCAAGGAAGAGCCCTTTAACCCCATCAAACAGGATATCAAAAAGGGTCGTCTGCGCTACGTGCGCAACTGCTTCCCCCACCATGGTTATATCTGGAACTACGGTGCTTTCCCTCAGGTGAGTACCCACAGATCTCTGCTGGCGCCGATCTGGAGTGACCCTTGATGTCTCAATCGTGTAGACCTGGGAAGATCCCTCTCAGGCCCACGCGGAGACCAAGGCCAACGGCGATAACGATCCTCTCGATGTCTGCGAGATCGGTGAGCAGGTCGGATACGTCGGTCAGATCAAGCAGGTCAAGGTACTCGGCATCATGGCGCTCTTGGATGAGGGGGAGACGGACTGGAAGGTCCTCGTCGTTGACGTACAGGACCCTCTTGCATCTAAGCTCAACGACATAGAGGACGTCGAGAGGCACCTCCCTGGACTCATTCGTGCAACCAACGAATGGTTTAGGTACGATAATCAATTTTCGCACCATACTATCTGCAGCACTCACACAGCTTCGATTCAGGATCTACAAGATACCTGATGGCAAGCCTGAGAACCAATTTGCATTCTCTGGCGAGGCCAAGAACAAGAAATACGCGACGGAGATTATCCACGAGTGCCATGAGGCCTGGCGCAGACTTGTGAGCGGTGAGACCCCGGCCAAAACACCCTCGTACGACCTCTCCATGTTCGTCGCGTTTCCAATTTACGCATCCGATAATAACAATTGACCCACTATTCTAGTCGCAACCTTACTGTCACTAGCTCTCCTGGTCACACCAGCAAAAACGACTCCGTCTATGCAAATCTCCCCCAGGACTCTAGGAAGCCCCCTGGACCCATCGATCCTGCCAGTGAGTACCGGTGTTTTATGGCTCCAGAACTTTAATGTCAAGTATCCCCCATCCCTAGTTTCGAAATGGTTCTATATCTCGTCTGCTCAGGTATAAGTGAATCGTAGTTGCATATGTACTGTCAGGTGGAACCAAAGATTTGTTCGCTGTAGACGATCAGTGAATTTGCATTACGCTCGCGCTTCTGAGGGGTTGTGGCGATGATGATGGGTAAGAGATTGTGATTATTATATGGGAGCTTTGCTGAGCAATGATATGGGATTGAGAAATGCCAATGAAATATACATGGATCAGATTAGACCTACAGTCCGGAGACGACCCCAATGAGGTATTATGAAGATTTAGTAAGTGTCGTGCACTGGGGCTTTTTTCACCGATTCTTGTCTATCACTCCTTCTGGCTGAACTGGTGGGTATCTGCAATACCGGTCCGCTATAGATGTGATGGTCCATGTACCTGTTCTTCTAGTTAGTAGATGGACGCAAACTTAAGGAACTTTGATTAGAAACCTTCTAGGGCGGAAAAAATCGAGTATTCTTTTGTTGTTACTCCTGAGACTGTATGTGTCTCAAGGACCTTTCCTTGCATCCCTTTCTTCGAGGTAAGCTCCGCTCTTTGGTATGTAAACGTGAAAGGAGGTTCGCCTATCAGAGTGAAGAGAATTTCCGCTTGATCACCTAATTGAACGCATAAGTACCCGGGAAATGCGATAATAAGTACTCATGGACCTACCTTCATGAATATCTTGAATGATTCTTTTGCCATGTCCAACGCGCGCGGAAGGTAGAGTGTGGACGTTGTACCGCAGGTCGGTCACAGCAGTCTTGCACATCTTTTGTTGGTGAGCAATCGAGGTGACAACGAACTCCCCAGGTTGTTGCTGCACAATCGTAAACGGAGAAATCTTGGCCTCTTGGGTATATGACCGCCCGTTGATGCGATATCTAGAAACAAATGAGTATCTACTAATAGAGATGTAGATAGTGAGCATACCCAATCGTCCATGGAGGGGTTCCTTCCAGTTGGAACTGGAACGCATCACCGACACAGAAATCCTCTCTTCGATCAAACGGAATAATGGCTGCCGTTTCGGCGACGTCCACCCATATAGACTGGTGCGATGGACCCGGGACCACTTGCTCACAACGGGATGAGTCTTGCACGGATTCAATTGTGATAAGATGTGGGCCAATCGAATGGAATGTATACGAAGGGATGTCAAGCTTCCACGCACTGTCTTGCAATATGACCGTCTCTGTGTGTACTTCGCTGGTGGCTAGATTGCGTATTGATAGATCGAGCGAGAACGGCGGTGAACCCTCAAGTACGATCATCCCATCTGGGCTGGATGAATCACGGGGATGCAATGTATCGCTAAGACAGTATGATATGCGGTTGCGGTTTTTGAATCGAGCCGAAGGTCGTCTCAATACTTGCTGCTCAAACAAGAGCCGCTCAGACCGCGGGATAATGGCATCCTTGTTCTTAGCCAGGGGATACGCCGCGTCGCCAATCTGCTTGACCTCGTAGTATATACGAGCAGCCTCTGATGTGTGTAACTGGAAGCTCGTCCGGGATTGGATGCTGCTAAAGGTAGGCTGGTCCAGTATTTTTGTGCCGCCCAAATCATTTCCCCTTGCAACATTGTACATGATCTGGAAAGGTGGTCGACCTGACACAATACATGAGTCTTATACTCACCATCACAAACAGCATCTCACCTGTAAGCTCAAGATCCACATTGTCATTTACTCCCTCGCATATAGGCGGCAAGATGTGGGAGCCGTTGAAGGATTCAAAGGTGGACTGAATTTCTGGTGATAATCTGGCCGACGGTCGTGGAACATGATCTACCCTGTACGTGGCATCGTTAACCACCACCGATCCAGGGCATTGCGAATCTGCCACCTTATGGCAAAGTCGAACGTGTTAGTCAACCTAGGTATCATAATTAGGCGAACGCCAAGCACCTCAAGTAGTTCATATAGGCCTTTTTTACCAACAAGGAGCTCATCATTCGGCGAAGAGAGCGTAGCGCCGTAGACCTTGTCTGGATGATCTGCTCGTCGGTATCGGAGTTGCCAAGGCTAGAGTCGATTTATAAGAATCTGTATTCAGTACGAATATAGAGAAAAAAACTCACGCCGTCGCCAGTCAGGCGTAGAGGGAGACGAGCTTCCTCATTTTCCAAAATAGTTACATGTCGCTGGCTTTGTTTTCCATAAAATCGTGCGGTGGGCTAGCAAGTGTCGCTGAGGTCCCGTTTCAGGGAAATGTAGCACTAAGACTTACTTGTACCCTGCGAACATTGACCACGAGACCCGGTACAGATAGGGCACGTTTACATCCGTAGGCATCTTCGACGCTGACTGGATGACCAAGATGAGTGGATATTCCAAAGTGATAGTCACAGAATGACGTACCCAGATCAATCTCAAAGGAACCACCATCTCTGTCGATGGCTTTGGGAATGGGCAGCTGTAACGTCTTGGAAGACGTTGTGATATTGGGTACCTGCATGATTTCAGAACCTTTAGGGCCAACAATTTGGACCGCAAGATTCCATGGTCCGGTTCCCTGAAAGTAAATACACCACGTCACGTCGACTGTTCTGGAAAATGATGAGACGACTGACCCGAAGATCGATATCGACGTCAACCTGGCTACCTGAGCAGCTATTGATCTTCTTCTTACCCCGCCCTCCAGGAACGCTGTTGGAGAACTCGGCAGATGCAGGAGGATGAACAACCTGATCTATACTAGGGCCCTTCAAGTTCACCTTCTTGTAATTTGCGTCACTGATTTGGGTAAACCTAAACACATAATGGCCACTACGTTCAGGCTGTATGGTAATTTCGCCGCGAGAACTGGCAAAAGTCTTAGAAAGCTCTCGAGACGGCTCATTGTCGCGCTGCATGTGATAATAGACCTGGAACGGAGGTGTTCCATGGAGTACAAGGGAAGCAGAGACACCGATATCACCAGAGCTACGTTTTCGTGGTGAGTGAGAGTTCTAGCAAACAATATCTGGACTGACCATTCGTAAATTCTTTTCCATTCAATTTCCGCGACGGGTAGAGGCCGTTCAATGACTTTACACGTGTCAGGACTTAGTATATCTCCCTCACAATACCTGCCCTTGATTCGGGTGACGTGATACTCTCCAGGTGCACTCGCATGCAAAATGAGATCCTTCTTGCCCTTCTCTGTTTGAAAACCCTTTGACCATGGCCGGTTACGTTTAATGCCTACAGGTGATTCATCTTCAGCAAGAGGGGACTGATAGCTAATATCGATATCCCAAGGAGCATCGAGCTCGTCTGCTCCAATTGTGGAGACTGTTAGTGGTGCATCCGCACCGACAAGCAGTGAGGTAGGGCTCCCCGGTCCACAATGCTTGAACGAGACCCCTGGACGGCGGAGGACAGTGATGGATCGATGTGTTTTCAATCTCACATTTTGATCTTCATTACCCGATGCTTTGTGAAGTAGATCCTCAGGTGCGCCGTCAAGCACTTGCACCTCCGTGCCTGCGTGCACAACATTTCCAACGGAGTCTGTCACGGATTCCAGAATATAAGAATGCGTGCCAAGGGCGTCGAGAGAAACGGCAAGCGGAATTCTAAGATTGGCTGGCGCCCTAGATGTTGAAACAGCCGAAATGCTGCTTTCTCCTGGGGTACGATGCCGAACGTGTTCGGAGTCCTCGATGCCCTCCACCATGAATGATTCTCTTCGACCTCCAACTTCTTTATACCAGCGTAAGCTAAGTGGTGGGACGCCGAACACGTCGATATCAAGAACAACCTCCTCTCCTGCTCCATTCGTCATCCCAGGTATTGCGCATCGGACATCTTCTCTGCGAGTGAAAACCGAATCGACTGCGAAATGTGCGCGAGGACAAGGAACAACAGTGACTTCACTTGGGTAAACCAGCCTCGTCTCAACATTAGATGAGTCGAAGACATGGTCAAGCTGCAGTTTTCCAGGTTTGTTGAGTCTTATGTGTGCAAGGCTCTGCGTCCTCTGGAGAGAAGGTGAGTTGGGCAGGTTCAATGGATCTTCATCCTCATCCTCCTCATCGTAATCGTCGTCGTAGCCATCAATATCCGGGCTACGCTTGGAGGAGCTTAACCGAACAAGTTGAAGCTTCTCCAACCGAGCAGTCTCAATCGCCTTCAGCTCCTTAGCTGATAACTCGACACGCTCAATTCTGCCAGTACTTGCCCGTGCCTTCTCCCCTCCGACTCCCTCCACATATCCAAGGGGGAAAAGTGTGTATCGCATGCCTGCTGGATTGGTATTGTTAAGGAGGATCGGAATGAGAACACTGTCGCCTGAGGAAGAAAGACAAAAAGTTTGTCCATACGGATTCAGATGCGCTGTGCTAATCGGAGACATGCGAACAGTGTGTTGCCCAAGAAGATGTGCGTCTCGGTCGCTGTAGGAACCTACCAGCGTGCCAAGGCCAGGTATCAGACTCCATAGTCCCGAACTTTGAGGAGTAGAGGTGATGGCACCAGGATCTAGTTAAGAGAAAATACCAGCAGCATTTTCAATCACTGATGTATCTTCGGTAAAGTTGGAAACATACTTGCAAACCCAATGGATGGTACAGTCATCCATGTCCGTCCTCCAACATTGAAAGTTATGCCTCCAAATAAAAGTCCATCTAGGATCCACAAGAATATGACTTGCAAAACCACCACGGATTTGCTGTATCTGAGCCGTGGAATGCGTAATCGGGCTAAACAAGTGCAGAAAATGAGATCGACCAAGAACCATTTCTTGCCATAGCTTCCTTGGTCACTATTGGAAAAAAATGAATATTGGAGGAAGTCGAAAGCCTTGATAGCCTGCATATGACCACACCGAATTTAGTTCGTTATAGTTCGAGATCCCCGTAAGGAGCAAGCAAACCCAAAGTGACTTTGTCAGTCCCGCTCAATACGAGACAGGAGGCATTACTCCTTACTCACCTGAAGCAGAGCTCCGAGACTAAGGATGTATAGCCGCTGAGACGGGACATCAATAAATGACTCCGGTACAAGAGGTTGTTGAGCTGGAGGTGGCGCTGCAGCGCGAGTCGAGCCCGAGTTGGAGGACATCTAGTCCTGCCAGTTCACACTGCACACCTCTACTTTCTGAGATTCGCCTAGCAGATAGAAGGTTGTCGTTGTCGTTACGTTTCGTAATAGAGAAGCAAGTTACAGTGGGTGAGCTGCCGCTGAGACCATGTGCATAAGAGTACAATAGCCACGACTCACAAAGGCGAGGGCGCCTGACACGTGACCGTGCAGAGTAGCCCTAGGCTAGCGCCCGTCCAACTTAAAAGCCCACGAGACGAACAATGTCATAGCAGGGCTCAGCCGGTCACAAAACTACTACTATACAGACTTCCAGATACGGTAGCTAAACATGAGTAAGGGAGGGACGATGGGTGAATGAAAATCTCCTGTAGACTACAATACAAGTGGGAGACGGCGGTTAAGACGAGAGCACATAAATATTCGCAACGACGTGACAGTGGCATGTCGACGGTCGAGCAGGAGACGGCGGTTAGGTTCATCACATACATAGTATTTACTCGCGCGAGGCTTATTAAGACTTAGCGGAGCACAGCCCGACGCGGCGGGCAGTAAATCGTTGTCCGATGCGCGGCGGACAGGTATATGTGTACGTCGGAATGGAGCCTCGAGCTCGTCAAGGCCCGCCTTCCCAATGTTCTGGAAGCCAGATTCGCAGAATTCCCTACGACAATCATCAACACTCACGGCAAGGATCTCACTGTGAGCGCGGATACTGATGTGGACGCGTGCGCCTGCTATGGTGGACTTCGCAGAACTTTACTCGAACCACGGAGGTCTTGACAAGCAAGTCCAGTCTGCAGCGAAGCGGCAAGCCTGGTACGGAGTACAGCCTCGGGCTGAGTGCTGATCAAGCATATCAGTGCTACGTATACAGATTACAGTAAATTGCTGTTGACGTTTCTCAGGCTAGATTCAAAATGCAACTACATATGATGTAATTACATACTATTGATAACATGCAGACATGAGCAGCTCAAAGGTTACTAGTCGGGAAAAAGAAAGACAGCGAGGACGAATGACCTATACCATTCAACTTCAGCTTATATACCAGAAGACAGCATACCCCACTAGTAGATATACTAAAACTTTGACCTGCGGATCAAGTTTGTTGAATTCGGCGAGAATTCCAGGAGATTCTGGTTGAGAGGACGTGGAAAAGGACCCCCCAAGAGTCTGTCCCTTGCCAGTGAAAGCACCCCCCGATGAATATTGCTGAACCGCGGCTTCCAAGGCACTGTTACAGGCAGTATTGTGATCAATAGAACATAGGAGACAACGTATATCGAACACTGACGCTTTGTTCGCTCCTTTCACGCGATGTACCTCGGTCATTCCCTTCAAGAATACAAAAGTAGGCCTGAAGAGAAATATGACGTCTTACACGGTCTAATGCGTTTGATCACTCACATGGCTGCTATACGATATCTACTCGCAACCTCCTTGGCAGAGTCGACATCGCATTTCAAGAAATTGACGTTTGAGTGTTGCTTAGACAACGCCTCGAAGGTGGGTGCAATCATGTGGCATGGCCCACACCTGCGCATTTTATGAAATCAGAGGTCTCACGCCAATACTGAAGGAAGAAGACTATTTACCAAGAGGCATGGAAATCAATGACCTACAACATCGTCCTCAAGCTAAGGAACTTGATAGAGGGACAGAATGCGAAGGTGCTCACAGAGAGTTTCTCATTAGATTTTGAAAGTATAGAGTCCAGTTGAGAAGTTGAGCTTAGGTGCGTTATAGACATGTGTTTGCGCAGAGGAGTGGAATCTGGGAGTGAGAATCAGGTTTGGACTGAAGACTGAGAATCAAAGAGAAAAGGGACACAAGTAAAGAGAACAGAGAGAGCAGAGCACGGTCACGACCCGGCTAGTGCGATCTAATTTAGATCTCGATCCGGTACATGTCCTGAGCGCCTTCATGATCAGGTGATAGTCCAAACAGAACCAAACGCGACACCGCGCGTGTAATTGTGGCTGCGGCACGACAACCCTTCTCACTGCTGCTGACATTGTCATTGTGCTGTATCTTCCCACTCATCTATAACAGTGTGAGTATTCCTTCCATGACATTGCTAATAATGCACAGAGCTGACGTTTCTACCTCAGTCATCACAATATAATGTCTGGCCGTGGCAAAGGAGGCAAGGTTAGTTGTAAGGCACGTACTCGATGGCACCGTATGTTAAGCAAGAAAATCAGGGTTTGGGCAAAGGTGGCGCCAAGCGTCACCGCAAGATCCTTCGCGATAATATTCAAGGAATCACTAAGCCTGTAAGTTACTGCCGCGTATTTACGCTTGGGAGTCACTGCATCTATGTTCGTAGGCTATTCGTCGTTTGGCTCGTCGTGGTGGTGTCAAGCGTATCTCGGGTCTCATTTATGAGGAAACCCGTGGTGTCTTGAAGATCTTCCTCGAGAATGTCATTCGTGACTCTGTCACTTACACCGAGCACGCGAAGCGGTTAGCATTCGCCTCTGAATCATTGGCTTGATGTGCCGTTGACATCTGTTTGTTAAACAGCAAGACAGTAACGGCTTTAGACGTCGTTTATGCCCTCAAGCGCTCTGGCCGCACCCTTTATGGATTTGGTGCTTAGGTTACTCCAGTCGCCAGCTCGATAGTGTATTCGTATGTCTATTGTTTGCTTCGGATTTTGTGGCTTCCCTGCCATACATGTTTTATGTACCACCTGAGGGCAGCTGTATTGCACCGTTGTTTCTATCCACGGTTATGGATATACTACCAATCAAGTGAACACAAGTGTCTCCTTCAGCCAATCTACGGCAGATTGAACTTGGTCTCTAACATCGTGATGAATGACGGGATCCCACATGCGACCTATGTCTTCGCTTACGCCTTCAGGAGATTGGTCATGTTCTGCGGCTCCATCATAGATTCGTCCCGCCCGGTAGCTGCCATTCCAGACCATCTGCGCTCGTGGTCGCCGAATACGATCGTATGCTTGAAGAACCGCCTGATTACATGGTAAGCATCGGCGACGTGGGCAAATGGTACATACGCTCACCTCAATGTTAGATGTTGTTGTCTGTGGATGTTTCAGCAGCTCGACGAGAACATAAGCATCTTCTATGCCTTGACCTGCACCCGCACCTAAATGCGGTAGCATAGCATGTGCCTTCCCGCAAGAATTCTGGTAAGTAAATTTGGATTGAAAGTGAGAGAATCATTCTACCGCATCACCAAGCAATGCTACACGGCCTTTGACGTAGCTGTCGAGTGGGGGATAAAGCACGTGTACCGACCATTTGCTTGGTTCTTCGATACATTTCAGCAGAGAAATCGCATCGCTCCCCCATCCGTCATATGCTTGAATCATCTCTTCTTGTGGTACGACCTTGACCCACGGCTCTCCAGGGGGAAGGTAGTCCGACCCAATAGGTTTGCTGTAATCCGCCACAAATGCCACAACATTGATCTTAGAGCCCAGTTATCATACTATGGCAATATAGACGTCCGTGGTACTCACCAAAGTTGAATTCTTTACGGGAAAAACAATGATATGCTGGACAAAGGTGAGAATGCGATACGTACGACAGAAAACTATCTCTGCTCACCTTGCTATCGCCTAGGTAGCAGACGGGTCGGCCACTGAAAAGGTCTGTCTTCACCCCCGCAGCCTGCACCTTTTCGCGAGGAATCAGACCACGATAACAGATCGTGCGAGCGAAGACAACTCCGTGCATTCCAACGTCTCCATTCAATGCTCCACGAACAGTGCTCTTTATCCCATCTGCGCCAATGACCACGTCGGCTTCGTAAGTCGTGCCATCACCAAAGTGTACGACGGAACGTGAGGAGCTATCAGCGGCGATGCTGACTCCCGTGCATCGTTTGTTGAAATGAGTCCTCTTGGGGTCTACAAATTTAATCCATGTATCGAGTATTGCAGCCCTGTTCATTGCCAAGTCGTGCATCACGTCTAATTTTCGATGGTACAATAGTGAAAGCTTACCGATGCAGGCCCAAGCCATAATCGCTCTCGATTGTAGGGTACTGATGGTATGTTCAGCATACGCGGGTCAATGCACGGATTACTTCATACCTCGTAGAACAATTCACCTGTCTTTCCCGAGATAAACCAGAACATATTCATGTTAAGTCTGTCTTCATGTGCTTGGGCAAGGGCTTCGTCCAGGACGCCAAAATGCTTCAGGATGGGAAGACTATTTGCTCCTGCACTGGCTAATCAGATACGATCATCCTGCCCGAGAATAGTTGACCTACCGATGCCTATTCCGGCTCCAATTTCCTTGAAGTGCGCCTGACATGTACGAGTGTATGAAATCAGGCTCAGTCTGTGGAATATCACTGGGGGCCAGACGTACTGCGGCCTCGAAGACCTCCACGTCAACCCCGGCCTTCATCAGACCAACAGCACACGCCAATCCGCACACGCCCCCACCAACTAGCGCAACTTTGAAGCTCTGCTTGGCGGATTCTGAAGTGGTCGTCATCTCTCAACAAGAAGTGGGTACTGGGAAAGAATAATGCTCACGATCGTAGTTGGAACTTTATACCTGGGAAGATAAAGCCCAAATTTCTCACTCTTTCCGGTGAACCTTCAACCTGGGAAGCTCTTCCGACATACAGCATGCTCGGCACCAATTAAGCCCGCAACCTTGTACATGTCTGCGGCTGGTCTGCGACCGCAGCGCCGTAAAGTGGGTGATGATCAAACCCTGTATCTTGCAAATTCCTCGAATACAGCTCACCTTACCACGATGGGATGTAATTGCTATTGATCATACGTACCATGACCGACGGACACGCACCGTTCGGGTCAGCAATACGCCGACTTTTCTCTATTCAGAACGGGCCTCGAGCATCATAGGCCAATCTGCTTCTTGCCAATGCATTATATAAGTGGGCGACAAGCTATCGAAGTCCGCTAACCGTTGAACCGACGTAGTGAGCACTGTCAGACAAATCAGCACCGATGATTCGGCATCGGGTGAGTTGAGTAATAATAGGCATGAGCTCACCGTGACACTGGCATGCCGAGTTCGATAAGTGATCATCGCTCTCACTAAACCGGAAACCCGTGGGCAAGCCTTGAGCAAATTCCGAACACGTTACATTGTGCATGCCGCACAGCAGAATCATGGATCGGACGCGCGGGAGCGAGCGAACACAATCTCTGGCCGTTTCGCCAAACTGCTGAGCCGTAGTGCACAAAGAGGTGACAACAAACCAGTTTTCTAGGGATATAATGTTCAAGGACGTCGCCGTTGATAACCAAGTCATAACACCAATAGACGCTTTGTGGAATGTCAGAATATGGCAAGTTCATGGTCTCGTACCCAAAGTGTCATTGGGTACGAGACTTTGGGTACGAGGCCACAAGTTCAGCGAATTTGACTGATCGATCGGCGCCTCACCAAGCTTAAGGCTCGGTGACCAAGACTGCGGTTTCCCTGCTGTACTGGAGTGTATTTAGGATTCGACATTTGACTTTTCGTCTTGGTTGATGGTCCGAGGCGCTTCCGAGGCGCATATCATAGATTTTCTCATACGCTCACCTTACTTAGCTGCTCGGTGCCCCCCTTCCAGAAGCGCCCGATTAGCGCTCCATGTAACAGTCACATTGGCCTTCTCCGCCCGTGATTAAACTGCCCGATTGCCCATTTTGAGTAACTACGCCACCCAGCAACCTGAGCGTGAGCAGTCGAAGGCGTGATAAAATATTCATGGTCTATTCATCATCTATCCTTTGAGACTCGAGAAATGTTGTGGAGATCACAAGATGCCGGTGCACACAGGAGAAGCCAAAGGAGAGAACAAAAAGTCACTAGCTCTCCAAAATGTTACGCCGTGCGCTATTTTGGACACCATCTATTCGCAAAATATGGCTGCAGCGACATTTTCCTCAGAAGCTTTGAGCTAAAGTAATCAAAACTGCGCTCAATCCCTCCACAGAAATTCTCTTTCCAACTGGTCGTATAAACTTCCCCGATTGCCAAAGTCGACGTTTTCCACTGCCTCTCGCGCTCAGGTTAGGCGTAAGTTATTCAAAATAGGCAATCGTGCACGTTAATCACGAGCCAAGAAGGCTGATGTGACTGTTAAGTTACATAGAGCGCTAATCGGGCGCTTCTGGAAGGGGGTCTCTCCAAGACTAAGTACCCCAGACGTGTCGAAGACACGTTTGGGTACGAGACCCCATGGTCGCTGTCCGCAAGGCACCTCCAGAGAGCGCGATGTTAAATTGACAGGACTTGATTAATGATTGCTCGTATATTAAGCACATATGATCAGGATCTCCCGCCCTAGCCGGTGCATACCGGAGCACGTGCGGAATCCTCTGACCTAAAACTCATGGGCGAGGATCATATATAAACTCAACGTACCCAAAATGCAGAGAAGTCATCTTCGCTTGTTCTTTAACACCTATGTTGTTATTACAAGTATAGTGCGGGGGGAGTCACACAGCATTGAAATGTCCATTTCGCCAGCAAGACAAAATCCATTTTTCAAGGAAAAAGCTTACTCGATTTATTTGGCACCTTTTTGGTGCCTTTCCGACACTTTTACATTGCAAGAAAATGGCGATTTCTTTGTTGTGTCAGTATAACTAGGAGCTCAAACTACAAGTGGAATAAGCCCCTAATTGCGCCTCAGGGTCCCGGGCATTATGGCGGCTTGTCAAATGTCAAAACTTACGAGAAACCGTAACCCAGACTTCGTTGGAAATTCGAGATTCTCTCTCAGGTATATAACACTAGGTCTGTGACCCAATCCACCGACCGACCGAGCTGACGGAGGAGTACACCTTCCCAAATCAGGGTACAGTACAGGTTATTGTGTTATACAACTTTGTCTCATTGACAGCTATATGCACAGTAGGAAAATTGACAAATTTAGGGGGAACGCAATGTGTGGAAAAAATCCCAAATGTAAACGATGATGACCAGAAGCCCTAGAACGAGTTTCAAACTACTTAGGATGTTTCTTTCACATCGTCGTCTTCTCAACCTCCACCCGGATTCTACTTACGTTGCTTCCCAGTCCCATCTCTACATCTTTATCGTCAGACTCGTCCGGTCCATATGCTTGCAGACTGTCAAGCTCTAGCCCACTTGCCATGGCCAAGTCCATTCCATCGACAGGTATGCTGCCCATTGTACTCAGCAGCACCCCTGCTGGACGCACGAGCGGCTTCGAGCTCGACGGGGTCCCGAAGCCAAACCCCATCCCAGAAAACGGCGAACCGAGATTTGACTTGCTCGAAGTAGTGACTCCTGCTGTGAAAGCAATGGTTCCTGCTGACTGAGAGACGGTCTCCGAGCCCCGTTCTCGAAGATCAAGGATAAGATGACACGCGAGGATCGGCGCAAGCATCACGCTGAGCGGGATACAGATAGCCGACATTACTTGACGAGGTCTGTGGACAATTCATGAATTGGAATGCATAGATACGATGAAACGACTAACTGAAGATAGAATATACCATTCACCTAGCCCATGCCAAAGCCAAAAACCAAGTGAGACACGAACTTTAAGTATAACCGCGAAACTCACCAAGTTGGCCACAGATATTAGCAGGTAGTAGAAGACACCTAATCTTATATGAGCTATCGTTGAGACCATCTTACAGTCGTAGCCCGTACCTTCGCGAATAAACGTCTGAATCAATCTACTGTTAGGGCCTCCACTGCGGCGGCGGATAGCGATGGCCTTCCCAATCGTCATAATCGTAACCATTGTATCATACATGAGAGGCGCAACCTGTTAAATCGAGTTCAAGTTGAGGTGTTCAAAGCGACAAGGCCATCATGAACGGGAGAAAACGCACAAAGAAGCCTGGGAAACATGGATTGGTTCATAGGCATCAGTGTATAGAAGTGCATATATCCATTGAACACCTACCCAAGAGATCAGCGGAGCCTGGCTTTGACCGAGGAAAACATGGCCCCATAGTCTGTTTAGAAAGATGGTCAACATTGAGGCTCACGATCATCTCCAAACATGGCAGAAGAATGTCGTTGGGCCGAAAGAAATAATCAACGAACGGGTGCCAGCCCTCATCAACGGCAGCTGGTAGAAGGCACCGGTTCATTGTTTATTTCTTCCAAGGTGCATACTGCTTCCGTAACATCCTCCTACAATGTTTGAATCGCCTATTGCAGAAGACATACAGCAGAGAGCGGGACGAATGACAGCACTGTGTAATATATATAATATTAAGGTGCCAATTATTAAGAGAAGACGGAATGCATACGCACACAGCATTTCTGTAGTGGCTACGTAGAGCTGGTATGCCACGACACCGCCGAGCGCCGACACGAGAAGGGCCAGAATGTAATTATTGCGGTTGAAAAATGCATATGTGCGAATAAGTAGGATTGTCTCAGCCGCTGCCTGGTTCCACATCGCCATTGCGACGGGGATCTACTCATATGATATGAATAAGCTTGTATAAGGAAACAGGAGGGAGTATCTCAAGCGTAATTATACCCACTCTATAGATCCTCTCACACGTTTGCCATGAATGGTTGCTGACGAAGGCCCACAATAGCACCGGCCCTACTGCTAGGACCCAATAGCTAGTCATGACGATTGTGTCAATATCTCGTTGACACAGGAGCTTTGAAATATTACCGGCAGAAGAGATACGCAACTTTGACAGGCGTCCAGCTCGTCTTCCAAATCTGAGGCGGTCATAGTATAAGCGGATATCCGATATAATAATCGTACAAACACTAACAAACCGCCATTCCTTAGGTAGAGCGAGGAGCCAGTCCCAAACCACCACGGCATCTAACACATCGTAAGAGATAGTGCTCATATCGTTGTTCCGACTTACACATTGCTAAAGGAGAAATACGTCAGCTTAAATTTTGAGGCGCAAAAAGAGCTATAACTGACCGCAAAAGTGGATTTGCGACCTGGTTAATTGGCAGGGTCAGCATATATGCGTGCGCGGATGGTATAGACGTACACGAAAATAAAATGTTCAGCGGACGCAGTCACGGAATCCATGTTCAAAGGAGTTGTGAAAGGCAATTATGCTAGATATAATACGGAGGGTGGCGTTTCAAATTACAATGTGCGGTGCGGGAGGAGGGGGTGCGGAAGACGAGACGGAGGGAAGGAGGGAAAGAGCCAGGGGCGGGGCGGGGGATGGTGGGGGTTGAAAGCGAAGTTATGAGGACAACGACAGCCGGGCAAGGCTCATGCATGCGGAGAGAAGCCGCCACCTGGAAGGACGAGAAGTTCGAGATGCAACTCGGAGGACCCGGCATGGTCAACATGTCCCGATTTAGAGCGAAAGCTGCTCTACACAACGAACGGCTGCCACTGCCTGCCCAATGAGGTTCCCCGACTCGCTGATGTCCCCGCCACAGTGTCACTGACGCGCACGCCATCATACAATTCGCCGGATCCCCTGACGTCCGCCCACCACATTCGGCTGATTAGACGCATGAAAATAAATTGGAAAAAATAGCATATGGTCTCGCAGGGATGCATGAGAAAGGCGCAGCAGGAGAGAGAAGAGCCAGGTCGTCAAGGAGAGCCCTGCGTGGGCTGCCCAGGCCGAGAACCCAAGAGCACGCGGATCAATGCTCCCTACCGTCGACGGAGGGGCGAACATACCTACCACATTAGGAACATGCATTTCCCGATCAGGCAATCTTCATCCGCGAAGCAGTGGCTCACCTCTGGGCAGAGCAGTTCAGCCTTCTTCGGATGCTCCGTCAGCGGCGCTATCACCGGTCACTCGCCCAATCTACCAGTCAAGAATTTGTTTGCCGCCCGTAATTATCAGCGTGCACATGTAGAATATCCGTCTAAATGACCCGTGATTTCATCATCTCCTCTTTGATCTTCACGTTTTCCCTATGCCTTAGTAGACAATAGTCGCCAAATTCATTCCTCTCCTGCCATTTCGATCCAGGCATCCACAACGTCCTCGTCAAAAGGGAAGAGTACCGCGCATCCAGGAACGGGAAGCACGTCACCCGATCCCATGTCGCTTCGTCGGTTGCATATCGCGGTTCGTGAGCCGACTCAATCGGGTGCAACGGGAAGTCCAAATCTACAAGGTAGTCGCATTGTGAAACATCCACCTAAATTTTGGATTGAGCATGAGTATAGTACGAACACGAGAGCACGCACATAGAACTCTGGCGCCTCCTCGTTCAGATCATTTAATCCAACCGGAGTCATCCTCGTGCCTTGCATCCTCGCAGGTAGACCCCACGCCTTCGGTGTCTCGATGAAATGGGCAGGGAGCATGCCGTTAAATTCGCTCTTGATCCAGTCCACACGCACGCCTTCCGGCACGATGTAATGCCCAGGGAAACGATGCCATTCCTTACCGACGCAGAGACGCAGCCCCAGTGCTTCCACAAGCGCAGGATCGATCCGCGGATGATCATCATCGTCCAGGCGACGGGGTCTATCAGAGAGGGGGGGAATGTAGATGTGTCCAGTCGTGTTGAGTATACGGGGAATTTCCTCCGCCTCAAGAGCATGATATGCAGATAACGGCGCATGGTAGTATTTCCATTGGGTCATGATGTGCGACATGGAAAGGATGCAAGAAGCAGATACGATGGAAAGCGTGAGGCGGCTGAAAATCATCGTTTGAGAAGCCTATAGTATTGCCGTGATTAAAACCAGTACCCGCTATGTGCTCTTGGAAAACCTACCTTGTAAGGAGATTTGGTGACATGGATGAAGATAGTCTCCAGCCATCCTCTCATCAAAAAGATCGTGACAGCTGCGTTGAAGGCAATTAGCGGATAGATCGGAAACATGAAGCGTTCCTCCTTATGACTCTGTGCCGTCATAATGGCTGTCCAGACGTAAACCGGGGAGAGCCTCGTCGCAAGCAGTCTAAACGGCGAACTCTGATCGACGAAGATAGTACGTTCCCCAAGGCGCTTACGGTCGAACATGTAAGTAATGCCGAGCGCCGGGAGCGAAACCAGTGCGAGCGGAAGCAGAACATTGAAGTTCAGGAGAAGATTCGAGACATAGTAATGAGTCGGTTCGGTACCATAGAGATTAGGGCCGTGTTTTTCGTCGGGGAAGACATTGTATTTTATGATATTCCATGGAACAGTGGTAAGTTTGCCATAGAAGATAGTATCCAACGCAACTACCGGGATCTAGAAGCTCCTGAGAAACGACCAAAGCAGATTCACGAAAGAGCTTACTGCTAGTAATGCCGCAACGGCAACGCTCTTAATCATTCTGAGCCATCGAGTTGTTACCCAAGACGTTCTGTTTTCCGGTGTGACCTTATCTGTCCCGTACATAAAAAGCTCCTCAAAGACAAACGGAATTGCCACAGCTATTGAGAAGGGCCATCCCACGATAGCTCCGGTAGCGAACGCCAATGTAGCGAGAAGGGTTCGGCGCAGATTAGCATTGTTCGTTGGCTCGAAAACAAATGAGAACGCAAGCATGTTCGCGTACATGGCAAACGACGAGGGAAGGAAACCTGTACCGTAATAATTAGTATAAGAATTTTTCTCTATTGCGAAATACTTGCTAGTGGAAGCCGTCCACATTCCTGCATTAAAAAGTAGGATAAAGAACAAGTACCGCCCAGTGCGATAGTTGACCTTCTCCACCACTGCCCTGAAGAAGTATGATTCGCAAACGGATGAAATTGCTCCTAGCAATATTCGGACAGCAAAGAACGCCGGTCTCTGCGTTAATACATCAGTGCGTGAAACAACCATCTACGCCATGAGATGTTACTTACCTTCTCGGGTCCAATCATGAGCGTCACCAGCTTTACCGGAAACAAATGCAGCAATATGTACGCCCAGCTGCGAATAGAGAACGCCGGTGATGCCTCCCATGTTTGAAATCCATATCCTCGATCCAAATAATGAAGAGGCTCCCAGAAGTTGAATACTGTGCACAACTTATTAGGACGACGACAGCTTATAGGAACGAAAGCTCACCTTCATCGCAGTCCTGGATATTGGCGTACATCGCATTCGCAACTCTGATCAGGAGGAATACCCTGAAGGCAACAGAGAAGCTAGGCACAAGTGGGCCCTTCTGGGACCTACGCAGGTATATGTTATTAACGAGACAACGTTGGGGTACGGATACCAACCTGCGAAGGGTGTCTTGTAATATGCCTGCATGCCTGTTCTTGGGTTTGGGAGCTGGAGTGCTCTCTTTCTTTTCAGGCCTGCGGAACCGGAGGGTCTGTATGTTGGAAGCCATGGTGGATGGTGTCGCACTTCAGGAAGGGAACATTGCCAGCGAGGGGAGACAAGCGTAGAACCGCCCAACGTCACCAGCGGCAGGACCAAGCGAGGCGGGCACGTGAAGTCCGTAAGTAAACGCGACTCGGCTCATGGCCAAACTTGAACTTCATTGCACTGACAGCCAAAGTTCATTCCTATCTCTGCGCTGCTGGCAGTGCCTTTCTTCAGAGCACCTGTTCAATATATCCGGCTCCTTCTACTTACAAATTACAATGCAAGTTGTTTCTGAAACATCCGAGGTCGGGCGCCGCCGTCCGACAAACTGGGCAGCCCTCGAGGCCCTGGAGGAGCTAGCCTTGCCAAGTCCCTCCCCATCTCTCGGAACCGCTGGCCTTTCCTCACTCTGCAGCACCGGAGAGATTCCCATTCTCTTGGACGCCGGGAGGGATCTAACACGGCTATCCGACGACTTAGATTCACAGATAGCAGAATGCAATCAATCACCGCTCTCAAACAAGGCTCTCGGCCGCGAATACAGCTCGAAAGCGGCCAGCTCTGCTAATGCCTTAGGTCTTTGCCTTGCAGTTCCCAAATCATCTAATCATGACGTCCTATTTGGCAGCAAAGACGATACCGAGTCTCTTGAGAAGCCTTTGCAGGGCGATAACGGTTATCATAAGCAATCAAGGCTTACTGTGTCAAGGGAGTCCTCAACTAGTCTTAGTTCTCCGCTTGTATATGAGGTGCCGGGCCCTCTGTCCCCGAGTACAAGCCACCGTGATTCTCCAGTAGCCTCTCCGTGCGTCACGCCCGCGTGGTCAACCCCAACGTCTCCTTTGACCTCTCCGCGATCTATTTACTACATGATGTCGCCCTCAGCTGCTGATCTCCGCGACTCATCATCGCCATCAAACCTGGTTAAGCGTGATGATTCACGGAGCCAGCAGGCCAGCATTTCAGGCCCGTTCTCTACTTTGTCAATGACTCTTTTTGGCTCAGGCTCTTTGCTCTCCTCTTCGCCATCTGTGTGCTCGACTGGGACCGAGCCTTCGCCGCGCAAAGTTGGCAATAATCCTTGGAAATGGAGGCAAATCTACAAGTCTAAAAGTTGCTCTCCGATGCCAAGAGTAAATAGGCTCTCACCAAGCGCTTCAAAAAACAATGTGGGCAGCACACCTGGCTCGGCTCCAGTAACGCCTCTTGTCCCAACGTTTGATCTTCCGGAAACGTCTCATCACTCTGCGACTGCCTCTAATTCGGTTCGTTCACTGCGCTCAGTCCGTTCAGGACAAATCTCGAGCCCTCTGGCGTCGTACTCTGCGGCAGGGGCTCAACCTTTCAATCTGCCTGGAATTCTAGGATGGCTTCGAAATACCATTCTTGAGCTCTGGATTGATCAAGAAGGATCTCCCTTCGCGGCTCGGCCAGCATTCAGACTGATGGGATACACTAGCGAGCACGCGAAAGGCAGAGACGAAGAACTGGTGAATGCCCTGACCTACGGTCTCGCAGACTTTCTTCCAGTGAAACGGCAAGTCTTCGTCTTCAAGTCTGACAACTTAACTGCGGCACCTATATTGCGCCGGGTGACAACGGTGGGCGACGAACCCAAAGACTGCATACTGCAGCAGGCTTTGCTCACAATTGACTCAGATGGAGTATACAGCGTCGGCGGCATCGAATTTTTTGATCTTCAAGCTCATCAAGCGCCACTCGTTTTAAGGTGGAAGCTGGAGTATTTCGTCCACGATAACATAGCCGAGGCTTCTGAAGTACTGGCGCAAGGGGAGAAGGCATTCACCCCTTTGAGATTCTCTTGCTCTCCCGGACTACTCCATCCGAGTCACGGAAGGAAGAAAACGGGACTCATGCAGATGTTCAAGCGAAACCAATCCGTCAGATTGTGCGCGGAGAAGATGGCGGCCCCAAAGTTTCCTGAATCGGTTCTATCTACGTTTGACCATCGATATGAGGATGGAAGAGGCAAGGACTTGACGTCGACAAGACCGGACGAATCTGAGTTCAAATATTGAACAATGCTCTCCTCTATATCGACGGAATAGTGTACTTTTTACGACTTTTCCTCACGAGTCCTTATGTCTCGATGGTAGGTGCATCCAAAGCCAGCTGTAGTACTGTACTTTCATCACCCATATGGATATAACTTAGTGTCTGTTAACTCGATCTATATTATGACACACCCGAATGAACATGGCTTCAAGTATGTCTCTGACTCTCACTTTATCCTCAAGACGAATTCCTTCGCCTATATTTAGATTCGATATCCAACCCCAACTTAAACTTTAAGCCCTAGCTGCGTACGCCGCTACCATGTCCAACAAATTGAAAGTAACAGGACAAGATAAGGTATTTCCGGGTTTTTGGATAATACTGTATGACTTGCACAACATATGCGAGACGACCAAAAAACTTACCATTTTCTTGCAATGGAAAGGCCAATGCCAACTTGACTAAGTACTGCACACCTTTCCCACTTTGCAAAGTGTGCCTCTCCTCTCCGAGGAAACGGTCGTCTCGTTGCCATGAGACCGGAATTCTAACAGCGAAGGAATAGGAAAAAGGAACGGATATCTTTATACTCAGCCGTCCTCAAGCTCCTCGTACATACTAAATTGGCGAATTCCTAATGTAAGCAAAGTATATTACACAAGATGCGTCCAAGCATGGGACGCGCAGTCAAAAGCCATAAAATGTAAAGCTCATACCAACTTAAACATAACGACGAGGCATTACCACTATCAAATGCATAAGTCGCAGACCGCCAGCTACGCAGAAACAAGTCAAAGTTATGGTAGATATTGCGGAGGGCTGACATGCCACGCATGTGCGGACGACATACGAGTGCCTCGAGTGGGAGACTGTGATGAATTGATGACGATGCGTGAGCCATCCCCTTCCGTAGGATCTGCGGACATTTCGTAATCTTCAAGAGGAGGTGCAGATGGCTGCATGTTGATACCGTCAGGTATGAAATCCATGTCTAGTGGAGGTGCGCTAGCGGCAGGACGCTCCTCGGCCTCGAACGGGGGAGCTGACGGACCCATCTCTGGTTCAACAGAAAGAACGTCCTCCTCAAATGAAGGGAGATACTCATAAAATGTTGGCGCTGCCAGGGAGCCTTTGGATGGTGGAGGGGGAAGCAACGAGGGGCATGGAGAGAGATCACGTGGAACAGGTGGACGCGGCGACAGCCGCGGTCTGGGAGATGGCGTGCGCCGGCTGCCAGACGACTCTCCGATCACGTCGGCGTCGAAGTCGGTTACTTGAATGTCATACAGCACCGCCTCGAAGTCATCAACCAGGGGAGGCACAGATGCGTACGCTCCCGTGGATGCTCCAGCCGAGCCAGAATTTGATGGGTCGATAGGTGAACTAGCAAGTGCAGCCATACGAGCCAACACCGCCTTATCGTCCGTGGCAACGTGGCCCGCGCTGGTGACTCCCTCGTACGGGAGGGGCTCAGAAGCCAACGAACCTCCTACGGTTGAAGGCGTTTCTGCATTGTCTGGACACTGGGAAGGTGCATCAGCGGCTGGCGTGGGAGCTTCAGGATCGCCAGACGGATTGAGTTCGGGAGACAGGTAAGACGGCGGTCTGTGAGGAGAGGAAGGGGCAGGTTCCATAGTCGTGGAACCGTAATGCTGCACTGAGGATGAATCGCTCCGCACAAGTTGTGAAGAACTGCTAGTGCGTAAACGATGAAGGGAAGTCGTTGAAGAATGAATGGCGAACTCAGTGTCCTTGATGCTCCCTGCCTGCCGCTTCCTGCGCCTGCGGGCAGATTGTCTCACGTTCGTCTTCCACCTCGCAGTAGCCCTTGCCCAAAGCCGCTGTTGAGAACGGGCTTGCTTCTCGTCCTCGTCTAGATCAAAATCTACCTCGAGTTTTCGACCCTTTCTCTCCGGATCCTTCAGTCGTCGCACACGCTTTCTCCGCCACCAGACACACATGGCGATGAAAGTGCATATGCCAACTGCAAGGACGACCGAAAGTGTGATAATGATGGGGGTCATGGAATCATCATCATGAGTTTCTTTGAGCCAACCAGAGGGCAAGATATCGATATCGTCTGCCAAATCACTCGTGGAAGCGGGAGTTGGTGTGAACGAGCCACTTTCAGTGATGAATGTTGTCGACGTGGCTGTTGGTGTCGAGGAACAGGTACCATCCTGAATAGGATCAGTGAAAAAGAGTCAAAAAAGAAAACAAAAACAATGTGACGGAACGCACCGAACAAAAGGTAGAGCCGTATAATGTCCATACATCTGTTTTCCGCCATAGGCCGTCGGTGCCCGACACATACTTGTCCGCCACGGATACACTTCTCGCAATTTCCTGTGTCGGATTGGATGCCGAAGCGCTGGTACTAGTCTGACGGGGCGCGAGATGCCTGAGATTTGATGAGGATAAAGTGAGAGAAGAATCAAGCCCTAGCTGCGGACAGAGGAACTCGGGCGGTGGCGTCTGGGTGGGTAAAGGATGGCCGTCGACCAGAGAAGATGAGGCTGCGACAGTAGCGAAAATGGCAAGGAGTGAGGAAGACGGAGACGGAGAAGGATGGCGTTGTCGACGCGGTGCACGAGAGGAAGACGTCGCGACAGGAGACGCAGGAGCATAGAGCTTATCTTGCTTGGCCATGCAGGCTTAAGGCTGCCAAGCAGCTCGCACGGCGACGGGAAGACAGCGATTGAGGATGGAGAGCTCGGGCGCGGCGACGGAGGCTCAGGCCTGGCCAAGTGGGAGGAGGGGACAAGTGTAGATATACGCGGAGCAAGAGCGACGCTGATTGACTATCAAAATTAAATAATTCACACTAATAATTCCTACGGTATATTTGCCCGCTATTAATAGCCTGTAATGGAGTTGCGCCTAATATAGCATCACGCTCCCACAACTAGACGCCCAATCCACCGCCTCCCGTCCTCGCGACGGGCAGCGGCTCGGCTCCTGAGCGCCGTCTCCTCCTTTCTCTCCCGCCGCCGCACCACCACGTCCTCCCCGCCCGCCTCGTACTGCAGCTTGTAGCTACCAGCCTCCACCACAATCCGCATCCCCGTCGTCGTTTGCACAACCTCTCCCTTCTCGACCGCATCCATCACTGTCCTAATAATATCGCGCAATCGGCGTTCAGCGCCCCACGCCGACAATACAGTCCCCGAAATAGCGAGAAACGCACCTCTTCAAAAATAGAGAACTGCCCCCCGCGCGTCCTGCAGGCAGCCATTCGGTAGGATGCTCCATTACATACGACGCAACGTATTCCTTCCATCTGCCTCGCCTTGACACGTCCTCCCCCACACTCGGATCCGTCGACCCCACCAGTTGAATGCGCAGATGTCGCGAATCGGCATCCTATTCAGCGTCAATCACAGAATAAATCCCCATTCAATCAAGGCTTGCCACATACCCAATCGAACCTGTACAAGTTATCATCCAAGCCCACATGATGCTCTGCTTCTCGTCTGTATCGAATGGTGTCGTGCACAGTTGGTGCATCTTCTCCTCGCGACCGTTGAAGCAAGTCCCATAGCTCCTGGCATTTGTTATCGGCCGTAATTGTCTGCACCTAATTTTAATTTAACCGTCGCGTTGTCATTAGCGACACTCGGACAACACTATCGGACAGCGTTTACCTGCTTTACGACGGCAATGATTATTCTATCCAGCGTGAAAACGTGATACGCCTATCACATTTTTCAGTGAGTCACCCGACATCAGCCCATGTTTGTGACCGCACCTTCGTCCCAAAGAACCATCTTAGATGTTCTTCAAATGTGGCTTGATCTGACTCGTTGTCGAAAACCTTCTCGCATGCGTCCAGAAGGTATAAGTATAGCACGTTTGATTCTTCGCCCGTCTGACTTCCACCGACAACCTCCACGGCCTGTGATAATACGGCTGCAGGACCGTTTGGTTCGTCCAATCCTAATTCTACCGCGATCGGATTTGCCAATAGCGAGGAATGTTTCTGCTCGGCCAGCCGCGCGCCAATATCCTTGCACATGGAGAGCCGTGAATAGAGCAGCTGGCAAGGCGTTTGCGGCGTTAATCAAGCAGCGCAATGAGGGAACGCAATTACGGCATACCTGTAGGAGCCGTAGTAAAGTATAGTACGTGGTATTCGCAAAAAAGGGTCTCCGTGCGATCAAGCCTTCTCCCGCAGTATCGCTCGACCCAATGAGAGCCTCTCTGACCCAGATATCCGCGGGGATTGTACGCTGCTTGCTGTCCAGGTCGAGCTCGTGCTGCAGCCTCGAACCTCTGGGTCGGGACGATGTCAGAGGACTGTCGCTGGGTGCAGGAGAAGTGGACCTAGTCAGAACAGCTGATTTGGACGACAGGGGTTTAGTGCCGCTGCGTGGCGAGCGTTCCTGCGCTGTCTTCAGAAGCCTCTTCCTGAGGTCACCCGGTGAAACCCCCGATGAATGTCCTCCGCTGGCCTGCCGCTTACCGCCGCGGTCCCGACCTGACTTGGAATCAGGTCCATCTGCAAGTGATGTGAAATCGTCCGCAGGGTCATCGTCGTGGCCTGGCTCTAGCGGCCCACATGCAATGTTCAACTCGTGCGGTGAAATCATGAACACCATAGGAATGAAAGATCGAAGGAAGCGCTCTACGCTCCGTCTTTCCGCCGGACTGTACATGGAAGGCGAGCGATCGAGGAACGAGAAAATCAGCTTGAGAGAATCTTGTAGCACACCTGTGTCCTGAAGCTCGTACTCCAACTGGTACCCGAATGAGTCCTGCATCCCTTTGCCTTTCTTATCGTGGGCTTTGGTCTGCAAGGCCTTTACCGACTCGATATCCTGCACAAAGTGTTTTGTAGTAATACATTTCTTGTCGTTTGCCTTGAAGATGATACCTTGATGGTCAAGAGCCTTGTAAAAGTTCTTCGCGTCGACCTCGCGCCAAGTTTTGCTCCATTCCCGCTGGGCGCGGCGCCATTCAACATCTTTCTGCTTGAGGCGCTTGAGGACAACGGGAACGGCGACACTCGGGCATTCCTGCAATGCTTTCATAATCTCGGCCACATTGTCACGACCGTAGATCTTTTTTATAGTCCGCTCGTAGATTGCGGGACAGGTCCCGCCTAGACTTGGCTTCAATCTGAATTGTGTCCGTTCTTCGGGCGACATTTCATCGATGCGAGCGTCAAGCGGTTCAAGAACACCAATCGTACGCTGAAGCCCTTCAATATGAACCTGATACTCGTGCCGCTCCTCTTCACTCTTGTGCAACGTGTCCTCAAACGAATTCTTCTTATGTGCGACGAATCCGGACTCTTCTGAGGCCCACGTAGGATGGGAAACCCATTCATCGTTCAACACTGACCATTCCAGCTGACCACGGCCAGAACATGCCAAACGTATCTCCTATTGGGATTATCAGATTACAGATCGTTCGCGATACGATAATAGCAGACGACTCACACTCTCAGGAAATCTCCGATAGCTCGGACCTTGGCCGTCGTCCGGAGGTCTAGCTGTATACGGGTCCGGAGGGCCTGTTCTAATGCTGCCGGGTGGTCCATATTCGATGTTTCCGTACTTATCGTCCCAGCTCATCATATCCTTGAACTGAGCCATCAGCTCACCTTCACCCAGGAAAATTTCCACACGGTCCACGAGAGTTTTAGCGTCGATGACATCTTTCGCGAAGAGATTGAGCAGTTTTAGGAACTCATCGTAGGTTCCCCCGCTTTCTAGAGCCTTTTTTGCGCGGTCGAAAAACAGCAGCTCCTCAGATGTGGACACTGGCGCGCCACTACCATTCAGAGCAATGGCTGGCGGCTGGAGCATACGAGAATGAACGTTCTGTAAGTGTGGGGGAATACCAAGTGACTGTTGTACATGTGGCGGCGGCGGAGTAGAAGGGACAGGGAAGGGGGCAAATTTCGGTGATTGCGGTTCCGGTTTCTGGTTAGGCTTCGCTCGCTTGACGATCTATGATCAAGGGACAAAGGGTTCATGACTGACATTCCAATAAGGGATGTACATACTCTTCCTCCAGGCCCCTTCTGTGTACCAGGAGCTTCCTTCTCCACAGCCCGCTTTCGTCTTCGACTGGGGGCCTTGGTCGCCTTATCCGAGGTTGGAGCAGCCACTTCTGCCTGAGACCAAGGGCTCGCACCACCTGTCGGATGAGGTAGAATACCTACTAACCCTGAGTGATGCGACGAAGGCGCCAGCGCTTCGGGTAGGAAATCTCGGAATTCGCTCATGAGATCAGGTGCATCCTTGAATAGCATTTGAACCTGGGCGAATACCTGTGACTATCGAAAGAATCAATCAACTATAACAGTATTTACGTATAAACGCTCACATCGTGGAGATGCTTCTGTTCTTTCTGGTAGGCGTGCAGGATTTCTAGGAATTGTTTGTATGTCTCTGGGTCGTCCTCAAATCGCACTTTGATTTTGTTCAAAAACTGAATAGCATGGTTGAACTCGCCAGCAGGAATACCGTCCGGTGCTCTGTTGCCCAAGTTGCCCAAGAAGGACGCCGCCGCAGTCGCTTGTGAATTCGCAAGTGGAGGTGACAGCATCATTGAGGGAGAGTACACATAATCGGGAATAGAATGGCCAAGGAGTCTTGATGGAGTAGCAGGTCTAGAACCGCTTCCAATTCCAACAGGCAGGACTGGTGGCGCGGCGAAAGGTGGCGGTTGCGGGAACGGTGCAAGTATGCCTGGCATGGGTAACATTTCCCGAGGTACACGTACTGGTGCACCATATGCCGACATACTCTGAGTGATAGTACCCATAGGCGTGGTCACAGTGATAGTGTCAAGGCTTCGCGGATCAGTTGAAAGCTCGATACGATATCCTGGCGGGAGGAAGGTATTGAATCCTTGAATAAGGTAAGGGTTTCCGTGGAATAACATGGATACGCGCTCAATAACCCCCGGAGTATCGATCCTGAACTCGAGATCAGCTCATGGACGATCATAACGCAGGTAGAGAAAGGCAGGTCTCTAAGCTATACGGACGATACCAGAACTGGACCACATATGCAACTGGTAGCAGTAACCCCAGATAGTTAAGTCCGAACTCGACCACAACACGCGAAGAGGTCTAAATACAAACATAATCGCAAGCATGCGACTCACACTTGGCTCTTAAAATCCTTCATGATGTCCAGGAAATGGTTGTATACATCAGGTTTATCTTGAAACTGCATCTTGACTGCATCCAGGTAGCTAAGGGCATCCGTCACGTTCAGTGGCCGGTTGGAATCTGGAGAGCGTGGTACGGCAAGACCGAGTGGCTGGGCACCGTCAGTATTTCCAGTAGACATTCCCTGAGATGTCATTGGCCTTGGGGTCTTCAAAGAAGCTCTAGGCGAAGGAATATGAGATGGTGGATCAGAGTGGTGTCTGGTCTCGAGTGGTGGATGGCCTGGTCTTGAAGGGAGCGTCGAGACCGGCAGCGGGGAAAGTAAGTGCTGGCTGTCCGTCGGGGCAAAGGAGAGAGGATGAGGGCTGGGTGAAGGATGCCGGTTCAGCGTCGAGAGAGGAACATGGGGGCCATGTGTCGGCTCAGAGGCAGAAACCTCCATGCGAGGCAGCGGTTTGTCGGGCAATTGACAGTCGTCGAGAAGCGTCGGGCTGCTCCGTGGACCACACAGGCGTCCATCTTATCTTATCACGAGCTCCACTGAAGATCCGATCTCCCATGACGCTTCCGACAAACTCCCGAGCCAAAGTCGCCAAGATCATGGTTTATATGTATACGGCGATAAATATAACGGCTGAGAGCTAGCATAGCGAACGATATGGATAAGGAGCGAAGAGAGCGATATACATCGTCAATAATAAATAAATGATAATTATTTGTGTCGCACAGTTTGTGCGTTCGGATGAGGGGGCGACACCACCAGTATACAAGTTCGTGTTCGTGATCACCTCAATAGTGTGAGGTCTCATGCATACAACTTCCCCGATGTGAACAAGGTATCGGCACAGATATATCCCCATGTTGACGCATGGCGAAAGGGGAAATGGACAGCCGGATTCCGCACAGGGACGGCCTTGATTTCGCTAGGGTACCCGGAGTGGACGTGTTCGTCCGTAGACCGATCGACGACTTCTTTTTCAGCCGCCACTTCAGCACAAGAGCCTCTGAAGTTTGTTTAATCCCAGTCAACATCGCTTTAGACTGAGGAAGGTTGCGCCGAGAAGCGCGTGGCCTGGCTCGGGGATGCAAACGCGTCACATCCTCTACCATGGGAAACGCGTTGACGGGAGAAACGAGCACTCGCGGCGATTTCGAGAGGTGGGGGGTAGTGTGGCCGTACACGTATTGTCGATATTGCCTCAGGACAATTTTGCTTGTGGGGGACTGATCTCCTCTTCGACTGGCGTTCAGTTCATGGACATAGGCAGCCACGCGTGGGGAGCCGGGGAGCGGAAAGAAATATGGTGCCTTGTAAGGATCAGTCCTTGGGTTCAATGGTGGCCGATCTCCGCGCGAGAGATGATGATGGCTCCTCAAAATATTGACTAGATGACAAAATCTTTGTCAAAAATGAGTCCCACGTCGAGATGGCCCCACTTACCGCGTAGGCGCGAAAACCTTTCACTTCTATTCGTACCATTACAGAAGTTCGCGAATATGGCCAGTTTCTTACGTTGATGCTCAGTCGAAAACGAGTGGATAGACAAATCGCGCGGAAGAGTGGAATGCTCGCCGGAAGAACACCTGTCGACCGGAGTGGGATTGGAATTCGAAACCATCTTCGTGGTGTGCATAGAAATTGGATCCGTGATCCCGACTCTGTGCGAGGGTGGCTGAGCGTGCAGACGCCTATCGTATTCGATAGATCTTGTAGTTCGCTTCCTATGCTGTATCAAGACCGCATAAATGGCGGAGATAGTGGTATGACATATGACGGACAAAAGACTCTGGAAGAACCAGGAAAGAACGATGACATCAAGCGAACAAGCCGACGAGAGAGCCGAAATACTGACCAGCAGTACACCAGCCAGGGCAGTCATAATGCTTGCCAGTTCGACTATCCCTAGGCCAAACAATGACAGAGTGAATTCTGCGCATATGAAACTCGCTCGTCGCCAGTGCGCGAGTAGAGGTCGGACACCATTGAGGTGGCACACAAAGTTCAGGGCAAAGCTGGAAGGATCCATTGCTGCAATTAATGGGAAAACGTAGATGTCAAGAACGGTTCGTGCCAATGTCATATTATGGCCAGTTCGGAAACACTGTGGGTATAGGGTAGAACGCAGGAAGATCTTGACCACCATTGGCACCACCCGCTATATATCACGGAACCGCCACAGATGGGCGGTGTCAACTAGCGAGTGGTGGGCGTCGATCGTGGGACCGGAGAGCTGGGCGTTGTTGCTAGCAGAATATGTGCCATACCTACATTTCCTGACTGCTACGATCATTATATGCGCACGGAGCCGCAGTGAACTGCTGAGACCAGCTGGCGAGTCCAATCATGACCAATGTTCTCGCTGTCAAAGCATCCTGAACAAGCGATAGCGATAGACATGCTTGACAAGTGGCCATTCCATCTCCATCGCAACCCCTTTGAAGTTGAACGCTAACCCCTCCACTTACCGAAAGGGACTCCGTGAAGATCTTGATAGTCCCACACTCCACACATTGCGTTTCAGACAGCGTAGTTTGCATAAGTTGGGCGGAAACTGCTGTCAGCAGAGTCGCAATCCGAAGCCGTATTTCGCGTACCAGACTAGGGTCGCATTGCGGAAAGCTGTGTGCTCGTCGGGTCGTGCAAACGTAAAGCGAAACGCGCAGCCAGTGTGGGAAATCCAGAGAACGTGTCCCAGGCGCGCGGATTTGGGTCGGGCGTCATCTGGCAGACGAACACGATTGAGCCTCCTACAGTCTTCCCCTTCTGGCTGCGGTCCACCCTCTGCACGAGCTCTTCTGACATAAATTGCCGCATCGTCGTCCTCCTTCGTCTCTCGGCTGACCTCCTCTCAGAATGCCACCCCGAGGAAGCGAGGGTCTTGACTTCACGCCCATACTTACCCACTATGTCTTCTTGTTCACCGCTATCCTTGCGATAGTAAGTGTCTGCGCTATGCAAGTAATAGAAAGGCTAGCTTAATTCATGCTTCTAGGTAGGATGGTTTCTTGCGTTCATTGCACAAGCCATAGCAACTGCCGATCGTGGGTAATATCTGCATTTTTGTACCCGTTTTCTGACCATCCTCTGTAGTCGGTCATGGCAGCGTCGGCGTCCTGTGGTTCGCCATATTTTTGCAACTTTTTCTCGTGCTGGGCGTTCTCCACACGCTTGCAAGTGATTCCATCGCCATGCACCGATTCCAAATATCCGTGTTTGGTGCGGTTGCCATCGTCTTCGCGGTTATTGGTGTCAACCAAGGCATCTTCTCCGGATTTGCATCGCTGGATGCAATGGCAGCTGGCTGGCTTATCAACGCAATAATTGATATTATCTGGGTCCTCTACTTTACTTCTGAAGAAGACTCGCTCATGCTACATATCTTCAACTCCATGGGCACAGGCGGCCTTACGCCCCCATCACGTCGTCGGAGAGCTACACGCGCTGCTTCTATGCACACAATGAGTGCGGGAAACGGATACCAGGCTGGCTACGCTCCAACGGCGGGTGGGGGTTACGATACCAAGATGGCGAGCAGCATTGGGGTTCCCATTGGCAGCGGCAATAGCTTCCATGCGGGTAGTGTTGAGGGTGCCCCCAGGAGTATTGTAGGCAGTGGCAGCCTCAACAATGCACCAATAGGGGACAACAACAACGTTGCCTCCCCAAGTTCTCCGCTCATGGGAGGCGGTGCTGCTGGTGTAGGCGCAGGGGGTGGTCCCGGTCCGCAGAACCCTCCAACAAACACCGATGCAAACCTTGGTGAATACAAAGCACGAGCGCTATACTCATGTGAGTGTTCCCCTCTCTTGAACGAAGCTTCAAACTTAGATGTACATTAGACAACGCTTCCCCCGAGGATGTGAATGAGATCTCGTTCCAAAAGAATGATGTCCTTGAGATCCTTGATAAGACGGGGAAATGGTGGCAAGCGAAAAAGGCGGATGGTTCGGTAGGAAGTAAGTTGTATCCGCTGCGCTGCATGGGGGATTGCTCATGTCTTGTCCGCAGTCGTACCATCAAATTATCTCCAAGTCATCTAAGACGACGGACTATCTTTCCTTTTCTGATTTATTACGAACTTGTCATGACATGTTCCATACCGTTTCATACCCGAATCTGCTGCAGGTCCCTATATTCTGCTGTGGGGGACAATTTGCAGTGGAAAATGTGCTGGTATTTCTATCATTTGCTCATAGTTCTTACTCGTCTCTCTTGTCTGTATCCGGCTCTTGGAAGCAGTGCTGTCGCGCTTTGTAGATTACAATCCTTTAAACGCTTCATGGATTTTCTCAGGCATATTATGCGTGCTCAGGGGAACGCAGTATATGTCATGGACGAATGTATATTATTGCATTTGCTGGGGACTGTTACTACAAATGGTCATGCTTTGCTTCGTACTAACACAATGTCTGAGATATTGTGGTCCTTCAAGTGCATAGTATGATTCTAAATCATCTTCGCCGTCCTCCACCTCCCCCAAGGACGACCATTCTGGCCGGTTTCTTCTTCCCGCCTCCACGGACGCCTCTCTGCTCCAGCTCATGAAATGCTACATCGAGGTCCCACTCATCTTCCTCCTCTCTCTCGCGACGTGCAGGAGCACGTTGCCCGGTAGGTCTGCCTTGAGCAGCGTGTGCCGCTGACGCAAAGCTCCGGTTTCCCCAGGCTCCTGCAGCCTCGGCGGGAGCCTGGACGGATGGCTGCTCCACTGAATCTGGGAAGTCGTCCCCTTCCGCGGGGGAAGCCGGTCGCTGATACGTGGGCGAAGTGAAAACATGATTAGGCTCTCTCCATGCATGTGCAAGCTTCTCTTTCTCCCGCTCTTCTGCTCGCGCACGGGCTTTGTCGTCCTTCTTTTCCTTCTCCTTGCGCCTAGAACGACGCATCCGCAGCGGACCCTCAAAGCTTTTGAGCCTCTCTGCGCCGACGACGCCTTCGAGGTCTGCCTCCACGAATACAACATCCGCGCCCTCTGGGAGGTGTGCGAGATATTTACATCGTTTGCGCAAATCATCGTTTACTGTGCTCTCTGCAAACGACTCGACACGTATATTGATCACATCAGGAAAAGCTGCATAGCTGTTGAAGTGCGAGAAGAGAATGCGAATATCCAGCGGGTGTAGGAAGATCGGCATCCCCGTAGCTGCCTGGTAGAAATAATATGTCGACGTGGATGGAGGGGGAGGATTCAAGTTCCGACGTAGTTTAGGATTCCGAGTGGGAGTGGACGAGCGACTCTTGATGCCTGGTGTTGTGGTCTGAGACGCGAGAGGTGAAGCGAAACCAAAGTTCTGGATAGCCAGGAAATCTTGTGGAGCATCTTCCAATGGGTCCCTAGCGTGTTGATCCTCCTGTTTGCGCTGGTTATGAAACACTACACGGTCATATATCTGTTGCTGGGTATGTAACGCGTTGTCGACAGCCTCCTTCAACTGTGGGGTCTCCAATGCGGCAGCTTTGGCGATCTGATGCCGAACTTTGGCATCGGCAGCATCGATAAAATTGACACCCAGATCGTCGCTCATGCTAGCGAGTATACGCCTCTCAGTGGCCAGGTCATCGAGGTCTTTGGTAAGATCAGCTATGAGGTAGGCCGGGGTCGCAAGCATGAATTTGGAGAAAGCAAATATGTCAGGCAAAAAGTGGAAGGGTGCTTGATGAGGAGGGAGTAGATCTGAAGGCCACGTCTCAGATCGAGGAAGAGCAAGCGTAGTGATCTGAGGTCGCTGCATAAGCCGCATACGAAGAGTGGAACCAAGACGAGGAGTAGCAACGAGATCGCTGTCAATCACCGAGGAAGATGAAGACGCCTCCGCGGGGGTATCTTCCATGTCCTCAGTCTGCGGAACTCCGTCAAGCCATTTGACATTCTTGAGCTGTCTCTCGTTGACAGAGTCAAAGCAGATGGGGCACCGGATCCATTTGAGATTATCGGAGGTATTAAAGTAATGCAAGATACACGGGAAACAGAATACCTGCCAGAATTGGTAGGTGAGGCATGGTGAATGCAAAGTCGAGATAGGCTTACATGGCCGCATTTAGTCATGCGAGGTGCAGTTGGGGGAGAAAGACAGATAGGACAATTCATTATGCCTTCCTCTTGAGCAATTTTCTCTCCTGAGCCTGCAGCAGAGGCGACTGCAGAGGTACGGGGCACAATAACCTGAAGAATATCATGCCATTGGAAGAAACTGACACAGTTCAGTATTTTATCCAAACAAACTATACGCGGATGATCCTTACATATCTGGGTCCGCGAAGTGTACAGTGTAATCACCATGAGGGCTCATGACAAAACGATACTGGGCGTTGATAAAGCCTATGTCGAGGTATTCGATGACTGCACGCATAGATACAGTAATAAGCGACTACTTACGCTCCTTATTCCACACAGCTGGATGTGTCGACTTCCTATTTCTCCGTGGAAAGCTCTGATGCTGGTGCGACTGCCTTGGAGGAAGCGTGAAATTGAGCAGGTGGTTCAACGACTGAGACGAGGCCATCTTCGCAGGACGATTGGATTTCGCTCCCTGAGATCCAGTGAAAGATTGGGTAGACATGGCGCGACAGCATAAGACGATAAAGTCCTCGCCGTCCGCGATATAAAGGTCGCTGTCGATAGAATGATGGCCTGGCGAGCTCCCCTCCCCGCGACGGAGCGAGGAACACTCGGAATTCGGGACATGGCGCCTTGCCAGTCGATGACTCAAGACCCGACGCACGTGCCACGCACGCTGCTCAACTTGGACGCAACCGTCCACCGTCCGGTGTCTGCGGCTGCGCCTGCCTGCTTGTTCCAGTTGCTTCGATCATGGCAAAAGGCAAGAATTTAAACCCTGCAGATGCCTTTCGTGAGTCGATGATATTTTGTTGAGCGCAGTACCAAACTAACTTGATTGCCACAAGGCAAAGCACAGCGGAAGAAAGAACTTAAGAAGGCAAGTCATTGATTCTATCGACTCTGACATCATGACTCTCTCACATTACATATAGTAGAACAAAGCTGGCAGAGCAAAGGCTCGTGATTTTGCTTTAGTGAAGAAAGACACCCGAGGTGAGTTTCGTTCTGGCGCAGCAACCTGGTTTTAGAATCGTTTACATTATGATTAGAACTTGAGGAAGAGGTTGAGAGACTGGAAGCAAATGGAGAGGCATCAGCTGCAGATAAGAGCCGTATCGTCGAGCTCAGATCTGAATTAGAGAGCATCAATAAGAAAAAAGAGGAATACGTTGCTGAACATCCTGAACACCGCAAACTTGTGTTTAGGTCTCGTAAGCAACAAGGTGACCATGAAACTAATGCAAAAGAAGAGGACCCTGCTCAAATGACCAGAAATTTGTTCAACAAACATGGGCTGCCGAGACATCCAGAACGAAGTCTTTACTATGATCCTGTGCTGAATCCGTATGGTGTTCCGCCTCCCGGGATGCCTTATGTCGAAAGACGTGAGCCACACGTCTTCTTTCTGCAAATTTATTTTTGACATATCGTAGCACTGAAACCGGAAGAGTTGGGTAATGACAAGCACGATGAATCCGATGCTAGTGACGATGATATTGTCATGCCCGACGGCCCTCCTCCAGGAGCCGGAGGCGAGGATGATAGTGACGACGGTATCCCAATGCCCGAAGGTCCGCCTCCTCCCAAAGACGGAGTTCGAACAAATGCGGCAGTGCCGCCCCCTCTCCCACCGACAACACTGCCTGTCGGCTTGATGCCACCTGCCTTTCCTATTGTCAACACGTTCACTCCACCTCTACCAGACTCAGTGTCAAATCTCCCGCCCTCTCCGCCATCCGGATTCCCCCCTCCCTTTTACGCAACAGGTGCACCTCCTCTGCCGCCCACTTTGCCTCCACCCATGGCACTACTTGGAACACTACCACCACTACCACCGCCACCACCACCTTTCGGCTTCCCAGCGCATCTTTTTCCGTTGCCGCCGCCTCCTGGTTTCCCGCCACCAGGTGCATTTCAACAGCCACAAATGCCTCCTCCGCCACCGGGGTTCTTCCCTCGTCGATCACAGTCGATATCTGCTATGCAGGACCCACTATCTTCCATACCGCATCAGACTTATCAAGCGCATCGCGCATCGAAGTTAACTGAGCCCAATCCCGCGCCACCGCTTCCACCAGTCTCAGGTACTATCGCTCCCTCTGAAGGAACATCGGGAGCAGCGACAGTCGAAGCCGCTCCTCAGCTTCGCGACTTCAAGAAAGAGAGCACGTCGTTTGTACCTGCAGCCTTGAAGCGCAAGAAGGCTGGTGCGGGTAACGTGACTGCCAGCAGAATCAATGCGGCGCCATCTCTCGAGCCGACTGCGGGCAGCGTCGAGTCAGAATCTCGAGCTGCTAGGCCAGACCTTCTGAGTGCCTTGAAAGACCAACTTGGATCAGCCGTAGGGAATCCTGCTGTCAAAGCGGCGGATCTTTCAGATAAGAGCACGCGCTCGAAACCGAAGAATGACTACGAGAAATTCCTGGAGGAGATGGGAGATATCTTGGGGAAAACGTAGTATTTAGACGCTCAAGGTTTGTATTGCTCACGTTTGTGAAAACTATCCAAAGTGTAATGATGCTTATTCACTTTGTACACCCATGGTTTTAACTGAGTGAATTGCCACAATTCTGAATTTGGGAACACCAGCTTAGGACACTGGTCAATTATCTCCGACATCATAACAACGTCGCGTCTACTACATAGGGTTCCATGAGACTGCGACAGTATCCATCTCTGTGACTTCTGTTCCGTTGTCGTCTCTTTCTACCTGTTCGTGTTGGCTTGAAAGCGACTGCGACGTCTCGACGGTCGCACTGTAGAGAATGCAGTAATAGGTGAGAGAAATTTTCTCGCCGTTTACCCAACTGGTTTTGTGCACAGGACTAGAAGGAACACGTACAAAAAACGCGACACTGTATCGCGCCGAAACTGGATCTCGGGCTATAATTTCATCTGAATGCTTGTCTAAGTTCTGTATATTCTGAAGCTCGATCAGCCGGCTCGTTGCCTCCGCGCGCCCTGTGATTTGTCTACTCAATTTCGCGTTGTATTACACTCCTGTGGAGTCTACTGACAGTACCTGGACGTCCATAGAAGCAAGCCCACCCCGCAGTCGGTCTGTTGGTATGCGATGCCAATTTTTTCAGCAGTGGGTTGTTCGCAAGCAAATAGATTTAGTCGACTCAGAAGCGATTCAAATTTTCGTCGAATATTTCAAAGGATTCAGGTATCTTTTGATATTTATTTCAATTGAATAAACTAGGATCGACCGAGTCGGAGAAGCCCTTCAACTTGAAGAAGTCACTCCGAATCAGTGTGTTCTCTTTTTTTCCTACCTTCTGTTAACGACTGGTTGTAATTTGGTGATACACTAAGCGTTTTACAGCTCACCAAATTGATCCTGCATGTTCACTATCGTTGTATACTCTGTATGAATTGGAAATCTTCATGACGTCACATCTCGATCGCTGGAGTTTGGTGCTCCCGATATGGGCAGGTCGTCACTGCAGCGCGTGCCCGCGCGTGCCCACGCTATCGCCGCTCCGACTTGTCGCCGACAGTCCACGGGTGCCTTGCAGAATGGTACAAGTCGGTCTGAGATCAGCTTTGTACGTTCCAACTCGCATAGTCTTTCGATGAGTCTTAAGTCTACAAGCACCGGCGCAACAGCCATCCTACTCAACCCCAGACCTCTGGTGCACGCCTCTGGGGGTTTCCTATTACTTCCTCTTCTCCCTTATCGGCCTCAGCTCAAGCCACTTCCATTAGAAGTATGGACCAAGATACTTGCATACGCCTACGAATATTATGAGAGCGAGCCTATCAGGCCTTGTTTCAATACTCTGAAATTGGGCTTGCTTTTGATATGCAAGGACTTGAAGGTTCGTGGTATTCTTGTGGTGCCCGTCTTAGACCCATTGGAATCTTCTCTCCCGCTCCTTAAATCTGTCACGCTGAAACTATCCTTTAGGTCGTCGCGCTGCCACTCCTCTACGCACGCGTTCGAATTTCGTCCTTTGTATGCTTCGACAGATTTGCAGAGTATCTTATGATGTCGGATAAGAAATGGGACTCCATATGTCGGATTCCTTACTCTACACCTGGACGCTGGGTGCAGGATCTCGACTTACGAGAATTGGAAGTCACCCTTCGAGCCGAAGCATACCGTGTCGATACCCTTCTCTCGCTCGTCTTCCCTCTGCTACCCTTCCTTTCTCGCCTTGCGCTCAGCCCAACATTGGCATTGAGTCGGCGTGCTTTGACATCCTTGTCGTCCCGTTCAGAGGTAGTCCACCTGCGCGTCTTGAAGGGCCTCATGTTGCCTACTTCAGCACAAGTTGAAGAAGATGCATTCGTGGCGCTTCTTCGCGCATGTGTCAATCTCGAAGAACTCTCCGTCGTTGGGAGTGGCCTTGAGCTGGCTGACCTCGATATGCCGTCGGAAAGTGATATACCCCTCTACATCCCACCGCTCAACCTCCCTCATTTGAAGAAGCTCGTCCTGCTTTCTATGCCGTCTTCACCTCTCATGTATTCTTTGCTCCATTCGCCGCTTCCCTCATTGAACCACCTCACCATTACGCCTTATGATGACGATTTCGTTCCGATGTCCCTTGTCCATCAGTTCCTCCAAGCCCATGGCCGCACGCTCACATCACTTCATCTGTTTACCGTCAAAACCTGGCCTGCGGTGTTCCTACCATCTCCGCCGGCAATTCTGCAGACATGTCCTAACCTTCATCACTTATCCCTAGAGAATCCCGTCCCCGTCCTGGCCTTGTCAAAAACTGATCCTCCGCATCCCCTCCAAATTCTGTCGATACCACGTCCTTTCCCTGAGTTTCTGGCAATATTGGACGCCCTGCTTCCTCAGCTTCCGTCCCTGAAAACCGTCAGAGCTCGTGATGTGCGGTGGCTGAGGCCGGGCATGTCATTGCGCGCGCAGAATGCGGGAGTTCAGGGGGAGATGTTGGAGTGGAGGCGCAGACTAGCGCGGAAAGGCATTGAAGTGGTGGATTCTGAGTGGACTATGGGTGTGAAGTATTGATTACTAACTTGTAGCATCATACCGAGTTTTGCATCTCTATTAGTGTTGTACATATACCTAATGTTTCCGTAACTCCCCACTCATGATGAAGTTTGCAATATTGGAACAAGCTGTCATCAGCAAAATCTGATTTGATCATAATGTACCTGTGTTCGTTCTCAAAAGGTTGCCGTCCTGCAAGTCTACGGCGCGAACGTAACTAGACGACATAGTCTCCTGCAGTCAGACCCCTCATCTTGTTGCGTTCACTCCGTAAACGTTGCTCGCTCTACGCTCGAGCCACAGGTGCGTCGTTTCAATCTCTCGGCATTGCGGCTGAGACATGTCGGCGCCATGCGTTCTTGCGCCATCCCGAGTCGCGCTTGCCACCTGGTCTCATATCCAGACGTTTGTCACACTCTCCGGAGTCCGAGTCTTATCTCAATTTCTTCCGCTGGATCCCTGACCCACACCTGATGTTTTACAGTGCCAATATGAAATATATGATGGCGAAGCCAATCGCATCCCAGCGCTTTTGATATGCAACAAATCAAGACGAACGAGCCTCGGTTATTGGACTAAAGGGGCATCGAATGTGTCGACCAACGCGAAAATCTCTACTCGTGCGCGTGATGGAGCGGAAAGCTAAATTGTACCTACGATGATGTGCATATCTTTGCGGAAAACGCGACTCACCGCCACAACGCGAGCTCGGACGCTTGTCCGAACCCCGAGTCAGACGGCCTAATTTCGAACAGGATGAGTGGCTGCAGAAACCACCAGTCAGTTCGGCCCCCGGTCGGCATTCATGTACTCATGCCATAAACGGGGCATCGTAAAGGTCGCCCAGACGTCTCGTATAAGTTTTGTTCGCGTCGTACACCGGTTCAACCTCTTGTGGTTAAGGACTCCTCCATCCTTGCTGTTCATCAAATGTCCCATGCACTGAGGCCGGGTGCCTGGTGTTTCGATCTTTCATTCAAGTTATTACGGACATGAGCGGGACGTTTTGGCGCCGTTGCGTCATGCTCAGTCGCGCTTGGGCGCCTCGGCTCGCTTTCCACTAACCTCTCATCTGCAGTTTGACTTTTACGCTCTCATCTGCTCAATTTCCGACCCATACATATATGCTTGTGGCAGCACGAACTGTACAATGGCGAAACTAACCGCGTTTCAGCGCTTCTTGCAATTAACAAAGAGAAAGACAGACGAACCCGCACTGTTCCCGCCCCCTCATTGGACTAACGAGAGCCAGGGCGATGCAGAGGGTCCTGCACATCCTGAGGCAGATGTAGATGCTGTACCGCCCTCATCTCTCAATCTGATGCCACCTGGGGAGGAGGAAAATGATGTCGTAGTCGAGAACGCTGCGGATAGCATTCCGGAGTCGCCCCCAGAGCCCGCATACCTCGCTCGTAGGATACAGTCACTTATGTCGATCATGACACCAGACACAGCCCTTTCACCTGAACTGTCTCTCCCAGGGTCGGCTACACCTGTCCCTGAAGCAGCTTCAGGCAAGAAACTTATTCCGGCTTTCGTGACGGACTCCAAGCTCGTGTCGTTCTTGTCGTCGCCGTCGGTCATGAACGGTTCGGCTTCCAGGGGCAGACAAAGTGTATGGACGTTGTTAGACCGCCTCCGAGCCCCCATACCGCAAGGCGAGAGGGACGATGAGGCGCAGGACGGTGCTCCAGGTTCGAACATGTCGGTGGCGCCAGAGCCTTTGGACGACGACAACTCAAGCATCATGTTGTATGGTCCGCTCGAACCTGATGACAGCTCCGTTGTCGAGGTTGCGCTTTCTGAGGTTATCTCGATTGATGATAGCGCTGATCCTGATCAAGCTGAGGACGGGAATGAAACCTTCCGCGCTCACCTACCGAAAGTATGGCCGTTCACTAGACTGGGTGATGGGCAGCCAGCTTCATCCCCAAGGGTTCATGAGCAAAAGGTTTGGATTCCTTCACCGACAAAGATATCACTCGAGGTTAGGTGGTGGGGATATCGCATGTATGTTCTATCGACGATCAAGTCCTTCCTGTCGATGCTTACGATTTACTATCCACAGATATCTCCCCCCTCCTATCCTCGCCATTCTGGACAACCAGCGAATCGAAGCGAGCAAACGGGCTGTCCTCTTTACAACCGCGCTCAAGTGGTTACTTGATCATGTACCCATAGCAGTGGTTCCATTACAGGCGCGCCCTGCAGTGATGCTATTGCGAGGCCTTGTGCCCTACCTTGCATACATCAGCGCATTCATTGCATGGAGTTGGAGTGTTGTCAAGAATTTTGACAAAGGTGCGTAAATGCACTCAATTTCGGTCACCAGATGGACCTGACCATAGTTGCAGGCAACGGTGTTACGTTGACAGCCACTTGGTTATTGCCACTCGCTCTTGTTCCCGGCACGTGGGAGGACAGCCAGTTCCCCAAGGGCGGGCCCACTAGTTCAGAGACAGAATCAGCAACTGCAAGTCATTGACGATGTCTTGCGCAATCCGTAGGCATCGTAACACAAACCAAATGCGATTCTTTACACGAAATAGCTTTACATACCGCATGGTCTCAGTCCTGTGGTGGTGCATCGTCGCCCACGAAGAACGTCCGCAACCATTTCGCTTCATTCTCCATCTCCTCCATCGTCCGTGGCTTGCGATCTTCATCCGAATCCACTCTCAGAGTCTCTCTATACACGGGCTCCTCGCGTTCTACTGAATTACGCCGCTGGCTCATCGACTTGAGCTCTCCTGGAAGCCTACCTTCGGCCCGTTCGAGTGCAGGGTAGATATCGTCGTTGTTGGTGAATCGATCGCCCTTGAGCTTGCGCGGGAGAAGGTGGAAGTGGACGTGCGGCACGGTCTGTCCCGCAGCTTTGCCATCCTGAGATGAGATACAAGTCGCACTGTGCCTGACGGCTAGCAAGATACTTGGATGCTACGCACCTGACATGCGATAGTCAAGCCATCTGCGCCGTACACGCGCTCGATCACGCGCCCTATATGCTGAACAGACGCCATAAGGGAAGACAGCTCTGGAGGAGTGAGGTCTAGGACGCGTAGCACGGGGCGAGTCGGGATCACCAGGACATCTACATAGTCACAGTAGACAATGACAGCATTTCAATCGTGTTGTAGTATCAAAGGATCAGTCATTTGCGATCGACTTACGACCTGGAACGAGAGGCTTCAAGTTGACGATGGCATATGTGAGTCTGGTTCTATAGAAAACTTGTTTTGTGACCTCCACAGTGGAGAAGAACAAGCTGGTCATGGTGACTGAGAGACGCGGCCGCTGCGATGCTAACACCACGAGCCCGCTGTGGCAATCGCAGGCCATCTTTTATTTATTTATTTATTTTTAAAACCAAATTCAAACACCATACCTGTGGGTATATGCAGAGTATTTGTGGGTAATAGAGGCCCGACTGTAATCGACCGGAAACGTCGCCCCGCTCCGTATTAGAGGGTAGCAATTATTGGTTTTCTAAGACTCAACAGGGGTGGATGCCCTACTTAGAGGTGGCTTTGCTGCCGTCCATAGAGCAACTACTTTAGACGCCAACTTGTCGGCGTTTAAAGTCTTTCCGGAACAACTCTTATCCTTGGGGTGCCCGGAATTATTTTGCGTGGATCATACCCAAGTTGTAACTACGAGAGGCGCAATGGGTACGTAGGGTGGCGTTGTGTCCTTCCGTAAGTGCGTACAATAGTGCATTAGCGACTAAATACGAGTCGCCAGATTTGCGGCCGTCTGCTGCTTGAGTGAGTATTTCCGCCCACTCAAATCTCGTCGTAGGAAGATGAGCACATCCTGAGTCTTGTCGACGGACTTGCGCTTGTCTCACTGACTCGGAGTCCGGCGTGTAGACCTGCGCTCGAGTTGTCTTGTGGCGGATCCACAGAGGACACTCATGCAGGACATGTTCCCCTGTCTCTGATACACCTGAACGAGAGCAATTGATGGGCCTCGGGATTTTGTATTCCGCTTGGTAAGCACCATGGGGGGCCGGGGGAAGTAGTTTGATAACACCCTCGACGATCGCAGGCCATCATCGCGCACAATCCATGGTTGCGTCTATCGAGGCCTTACCGCCAGAGCTATACACCGCAATTATCGACTACATACCTGCACAGGATGTACAACAGACCGTGCTATCCCTCACTCGTGCTATCCCCCTCTCGCCCATTCCTCTTTACCACTTGTTCGAGCGTGTCCGCCTGAAGTACTCTGATCAAGTTGTACACCTCTATCGCCGACTCAGAAAGAGTGCTGAGGATGCTGCCTGCGTTCACCATTTTTCTCTGGAGACCTGGAAGGTCGACGCCGATGTCGTCGTTAATCTAGTGGCTATTTTGCCGCAGCTGTCCCACCTCAGTCTATTCATTGGGCCAAATTTTGCCCCGGAACATCTGGAAGAGATGTTCGAGGACCCAATGCAGGGGCTGAAGTTCATCTCCCTCAGATTCAGGCCATAGTAAGTGGATCCGCTTCCCCGAAAATCGTCCCCGTTCATTTGCATCGCAGTGTTCAGACAGCGACCTATTATCAGTTCCTCAAGGTATGCATATACCTCACTTATCTTCGAATGCTCGCACTTAAGCACATAGGGAGCGTACTTTGACTCCACATTGACGGCTTTCTCTCGCTGGCCAGCAGATAATCTTCCTACGCTGTCCATAGTTCAGGACCCGCTCGATCCCTCCATCGCCCCAAATAAGTTCGCCCAGCCTCTAGTGTTCTTCCGCCTCGATCCCCTGTCCCAGCTCGCCCGCTCGCCATTCGTAGAAAACTTGGTCAACTTCCGTCTACGAATACCCGCTCGGCAAGGTGCGCGATTCCTATACGCCTTCCCGCGCTCGCTGCCCAAGCTCCAGTCACTCGACATGTCCACCAGCAAGGTCGCCGAGAATGACGTTGAGAGTATGCTCGCGCGCTTCGGGAACTTAAAAACGCTCGTGCTCGACGGGTGCTTCCTCGTCAGCCAGCGTGCCGATGGGCAGGACGCACAGGACGCATTTTCCCACTGGGTAACGCTCGGGAAGATCATGTCCCTCGCAGGAGTGAAGTATGCGCGCGAAAGGGAGAAGAAGCTCAAGGAGTGGCTGGAAGTAAACCATGCGCAGGCTACTCTTGCCGCGCTCCGGCTCGCAGATGGTACAGATTCCCTGCCTGAACCCGAGCCCGAGCCAGCTCGTCGGAGGGCGAGGCGTGGTCGGCGGGGTGTGTCAACCGCGACCATCTCGCTGCGCAATTCTCCTCCGCGTCCTTCCGCTGCGCTACCTGCGATCTCCTCTTCCAGCGCACTGTCTTCCAAGACACCCGCTGTCCCAAGGGTTCGCATCTTCCCCGCAATCGCGACCATCCGGTCTATAGCAACAACGGCACCTGCCTTCGTCGGCGTTGAAAAGCATGCAGAGATACGTGCAGAGTTCGAGCGTGGCTGGGAGGCGGGCATCGCGCAGATATCTACTATATATGGTAGACTGAGGCAGAGCTGGCGGAACGGAATCCGAGTGGTCAAGACCGACGACGATTTCAATGCAGATGGTGAAGGTTCTGAGGTAGGGTTTAATGGGCTGAAAGATGTGGTGGAGGAAGACTTTGATGTTGACGTCGACGGCGAAGTAGGCAAGTGTCCGTCTCTCTGCTTGGCGGGACCAGGTCGCAGCGAAAATCATGTAGATGGATGTGGCCACCAAGTCGGCTGGGAAGTCTTCCAGGACGAGCTTTAAAGATTATCCAAATGAGAGAGATTTCTACATGTATATTGCTAAAGTAGTTGAAACCGGCCATTCCAAGGTTGTCCAGCTAGATAATACGATTGTGTACACGAATTAGAGAAGGCCAGAGGAATACACTATGTAGACTTAAATCCACCCTTTATAAATGCTACAGATATCACGGCCCATGAATGGAAGAGTTGTGAATTGTGAGATATGGGAGTTTTAGTTAGGGTGCGATGCACGCCCGTACGCCGAAGCAGCCGACTCTTTTGCACAGGCTCCGTAATTTCGTCAAAGCCGATTCTACAGCAACAGGAACCCGTCAATTCCAATGTGCAGATCTGATAGTATGACAGCTACGGACCGTCCGCGCGCCGGGTTGCACCTGGCTTGTCGAAATCGGGACCGGACGTCTGCTCGAGCAGCGCAAGCTCCGCGCAGGGACTGGGCAACTTGCGCGCGTGTTCGTGCAGGTACGCCAGCAGCGACGTGCGGGTCCTAGTCGGGCAGCTGTGGATCGTCGCGCGCGAGAAGTCGATGATGCGGAGGCTGTCGTCTCTGCTCGCGGCCAGGAAGTGCTTGTTGTCGACGAGATCCCCATGGACGATGCCCGCGCGGTGCAGTTGTATGGCGGCCTCCATGCGTTGACGGCTACGGATATCGATGATGCGCATAGGTCAGCAGAGACGTCATAAATGCATCGAAGATGTCCAAGCACGTACCCGAGCTCGCAGGTGTCGCGCGTGGGCACGCCGCCACAGTACTCGAGGACCAGGCAGGCGACGTCGACGCCGTCAAGCGTCGCCTGGAAGAACCCATAGAAGTCGGGCACGACCCTCTGCTGGAGGTGGCGCAGCTCATTCTCGTACATACTGGCCTCCCAGCGGAGGCGGTCGATGTGCTGCTTCCCCGTCGCCCACTTGAGCGCAACTTCGATTGGTCTCTCGTTGGGCCCATCGTCCATGTCGTGGACGACCTGGAGGTGGGCGCGGTAGACGGCATGTTCGGCGCGCTTTCCACGGGTAGGATGGGGCCGTGACCCATTGCCTCTGCCAGGCCTGATGTGTGTAAGGTTTCTTGCGGTGTAGTTCTTGCCGGAGAGCGAGGGCGACAACAACCTGTGAGAAATACTATGGTGGAAGAAGACCTCGAGGTAATTTCCTTGGGCGGAGAAGGAACGTTCTATTGGCGAGGAGGGGGGCGAAGGAGAAGGGACGTGGAACATGGAGGAGAGGCGAGGGTTGTAGGAGAGGGTGTCGCGCATTTTATAGCCGAACATATTTGCGCTTTGGGTCTTGCCACAATCGTTCAGGCCCTCGAGGAAATATAGCCCTCGGTATGAGTGGCGACGCCACACATTCTGAGAAGGATCAGACACGATGCAAATGCTGTACGAACCATCACATGCCATACTTACGAGATAGACGTCTAATCGCATGTTATCCCTGTGAGTATCAGACTCTGGGTAGATAGACCAAGGAGAATGCGGCTCATGTCGGCGCCTCGTCCGCGGACAATGCAAGCCACAACAGGCATCGGCCATAGCTTAGACGGAAGCGGATGTATCTCCGATGTGCTTTGGCATGAACACAGGAACCTCGTGGACCAAGCGCGTGAGCCAATCGATTCAATGTTCAAGTCTGAAGGAGAAAGTCAGCAGTTGACGAGTGGCGTTCAAGCGCCACAGACCGAGGCGCCAGATCCAGATCTGCGCACTTCCGCCACCCAGTTTGGCGCTTGCTCGGACAAGATCCACGATAGATAAGCAGCGAGACTCTCCCGCTACCCACCGACCCCTCAATCTCATCGTTGCTCACAACGCAAGCTCCAGCGCAGCAAATCGCACACCACACCCATTTAGTCCCATATCATCATTCAATTTATGCTCAGCAGATCATGACGTAAAAACATCGCTTCGTTTCATTTCGCTTCGTTTCGACAATCCCAGACAAACACACCTCTGCCTGCGTAGTTTTACTGCACAGAACCGTAGCCGGTGGGGCAGTTCTGTTGCGCGATGCTAGCGCTGCCGCTGCGCAAGTAGCAGATCTTGGCAGTGGCGCACTCGCCCGTGCACGGAGGCGAGCGCACGGAGCTCTTGCCCTGATAAGTGTTGAAGAGCTGTCACGAACATCGATCAGTACACGCCAGTCTTATCACGGGCGGGGATGGCGCACCTCGACTAGAGTCGTGTTGGCCTCCATGGCTACACCGGACGAACGAGCGGAGGTCAGGATAACGTCACAGACAAGTCAGGTATGGAACATACACTCCGTGACAAGATGCCACCAGGTTGCGTTGAGGGGGTCGTTCGGCCCCCAGGTGATGTTCCCGCCATACGCCTCGCGGGTGCTGTACTCAAAGTGATACGAGGGTCCAAATTCGGTCTGGCCCTCGAGCGAAGAGAACGAGTTGACGTCGGCATACCACCTGCCAGACATTTCAGTCAATCGGTACGCTGCGTACACGCACGAAAGGCAAGTGCTCACGTGTACGAGTCAAGCACTTCAAATGTCTGCGTATTTAATGGCGTGGAGCGTATCCCATCAGCCAAGGTCATGCGCCACAGTCAAACGAGAAACGCACCCCAGAATCGACCTCATACATACGGAAGCCGCTGTTTAGGTTCGTCAACGGCGTCACCGACGGCATGATCTGTCCTCCAAATGAGGTGTTCAACGGCTGTAGCTGCCTTGAGATCAAGTGACGTACCCACGAGACCGCAAGGGCGTTCTCTGCGCTGATGTTGGTCGCGTTGTTCGCATAGAAGATCTGTGGACGGGCGTTAGACTGGCATTTGCATGATATCGGAGAAACCACGTACGCTCAACTGGTCTTCATGCGTATGACCGAAGAAGATGTCTGATAATGACATTAGCAAAAACACAATCAGCGCGCTAAAAACAGCTACGCACTCGCAATGACGTGGGGTGAATACCGGTCAACACTATATGTCGCCGTCTTAGGGTAATCACTAGCACGGAGAATATGCATGTACGCACATTTGGTAGACTATATGCATGGCAAGTCGTCAGTCGCATTTTACTGCATGTGGTACGAGACACTTACACAAGTTGGTGGGATTGTCCAGCGGGTTAGTGCCATCCCATCCACTCAAGACGTGGCCCAGAATCCATACTAAACCAAGGAGTCAGCGGTCAATCCACCAGAACAACGTCCACAGCACCTCTGTCGCCCGCATCTTCGGCAGCCTGTAGTTCATCCGTCAGGAACCGGAGCATGCCTGAGTTGTCAGACCCTGCCAGGTTGATGTAGTTGTAGTAGTTCGCTCTGCCCAGCTAGTTCAGCGCTTGTCCTCATTACCACGCATACAAGTCACGTACTTGTACCCTTGCAAAATACAACGAGTCAGTACCGGACTCGTATAAGCACAACAATGACACATACAGAAGTCAGTATTGAGGGTAATGATCCTCAAACCATCACTGCGCTCTACTGAGTAGGCTGCATAGTGTGTCCGAGCCTGTTGTGCGACACCGGAGTCGATCCAACCATTGAGCTCCCAGAGGGAGGCAAGATGGTCGTAGTCCCTGCACATACTCCTCAACGATCGCTCTCAAAATGCAGTTGCCCACATACCAGTTGAATTGACCAGTCAGCGAGGGCGTCAGGTTGTACGGCGCATTCTGTGCTCTGTGCAGTAACATTCAATGAAGAGGCTCAGACTGACGTGCACAAACCGCCACTTACTCGTTGTAAGTATCATGATTACCTAGTACAGCATACACAGGACCGGAGTTGATCTTCTGCTTCAGCAAATTATACAGGATAGTCTGTCATGCTCCAGCTATCAGTCTCCAAGCATTCAAGAGATAGATGCGCTGGCTGACTTCGCTGTATAGTGTGTACTCCCTGTGGCCGAGAAAATGAGAGAATATCGACGTAAATTGCACGAAAGGACCTACCTAGAAAGCTCATTCTCGTTGTCGTGCGACACTAGGTCACCAGTATAAAGCGAGAAGTCAAATCCAGTGTCCTCCGTGCCCGTCAGCACTGGGACAGAGTCGAGCGCAGCCAGAATGAGCGAGAGTGGCGCGTCACTAGCGAATACGTCAGCCTGCAGCATATATCCATGTTGCAAGGCGCAATCCCCGATGGACTTACCAGTAGTATGCCCCGTACATCGGCGCCGGTAGCACGGTCGTGTTCGGGCTCTGCTTGTTGTAGACCCCAGGGCGACAGCACAGGTAATCGCTGCAGTTCGCCTCCGAGCCAACGGTGTAACCTGCATACCTTCAACGACTCGTAGCACAACAAACCAAGGCCACTTACGAGGGTCGATGTGCAGATCGGACATGTGGAGCACCTTGAGACGTTCGCCTGTGGCCTGGCGCGGAGGGGGAAGCGGGTTCGGCTTCGGCTTCGAGAACCAGGCCGTGAGGTTGAGCGGGCTTGTAGGCGCTCTGGGGCATAAGCTAAGGAAGTTGTTGCAGATCATCTGTCGGACCCGACACCCGGAGCAAGGTGTGCCACGCGCGAAACAGAGTTTACCGCATCCACACCGACACCGAACACCCACCATTGCAATCATACAAAATGTATATCAGACATCTATCAGCACTCGATCCGCAACACCTGGGGAAACAAAACGCACCTGGCCATCGTACCCACCGACGTCCGCAAACGCGACGACCTGGGTGATGGGCGAGCCGAGGCTAAAGATGCCATACTCGGTCTCACAGTCGTCCGCGTAGTCAAAATACTCGCAGAGCTTGACTGCAAGGCTCGGACCCTGCTCCGGCGCGGCGAGCGCGAGGAACTTGGCGACTTCGAGTGCGGCGGTGCACTGCGCGCAGGTGTCGTTTCCGAAAATCGGGTTCGCAGCGATTGACGCAATCTGCTGCACCGCGTACTCGAGCAGCTGCCCAGACGACGCCGTCGGCGGGAGCGGGTGTGGTTCCCAGGCGTCCACCTGTGGAATTGCAGGTGGAAGGCGAAGGAGTGGCGAATGTGATTAGCTCAAGGCTACAGGCAGTATCAGCGGTGGAGTGATCGTACCTGTGGGATTGTCTCTGGGTTCGTGAGCCAATACGGGTAGGTCTTGTGCTGCGACGATCTGTTAGCAACGAGTGCATGGAAGCAAGAGCGGCATCACAGCTCACAGTGACGGGGTCAGAGATGACCGGCTGGGGCTCCGCAGTGGTGGCGGTGGGGTCATTGTAGTACGACTGGAAGACTGAGGTCGGGAACACGCCAGGGACTGTGTATGCCGAAGGGCCCAAGCCAGAGATGGTGCCAGTGGCCTGTGCAGCGGCGAAGCCGGCGCCCAGCAAGAGGGAGACACCGCCGATTTTGGAGACCGAACGCGGCATAGCGGCGAGTTCAAGAGAAGAGGCTGCTAATGCTACGAGAACCACCGCAAGCAGGGTCTTGCAGACAAGTCGGCTGCGAGGCCCATCGCCTAAATACACGAGTCGCAGAAGTCGTCAGGGACCGGGGGCGTACGACAGTGATGAACGTGCGTCTGTCGACGTGATGCCCAAGGCACAGAATCGAAAATTTGGCCGGGATGTGGTCGGAATGGGCTGAGGCCGCTCCCACGTTTGACAAGCATTCAATGCAGCGGGCGAAGCGGGGCGCGTGACTGGGCCATAGTCGGCTCCAGATGAGCGACGAGGGTATGTTTGGAGATACGGTTGGTCCTATCACAGACCAGAATGTAGGACAGAGATACAAGTGTGGGAGCAGAAGGGCCAATGGACATTAATCTTGTTCGTCGTTAGTCGTTCTCTCTAATATTAGGCATTGAGTGCGCATGGAAAGGCCTCGTGCGCTGTTATGTATTCTGATGGTTGTCGGGAGGCGGACGCTAGACATGTCGAGATGGGGTGGGACAGCGAGTGCGCCGGGGAAAGGCGATAAGCATAGACGCGACCAATGGACACTGTCACCCACGTTCCCGTGACGGAGCCTAGGCCTGGTATGAGCTCATGCAGTGTCTACGCCAAGGCAGCGTATAAGACGGTGCGCACAACCACGAACGTTTTCACGCTCAGACCTTTCTTGCAGCCTTGGCTCCTCGTCAACGCCCTCCTGCCGACACCGTCTTGACCGCTCGTCGGACCCCCGCATCCATGAACGTGCTAGCTTGGCCCAGGGTCCACAAATACATAAGTCAAGGGAGACACAGAGGCACAGAGTCGAATACGAAAGGTATATAGTTAGGTACAAGGGAAGCACAAAGGGGGCGCTGGCGAGGGGAGAGGGGAACAACAGGTGCGACATCGGTCTACGACATGCAAGAGCTAACGGTACAGCACAGGGCTTGGAGCATGCAGAGGGGCAGAACAGTCAGTAGACGGTGTGTATAGTAGATCGACGGGAATAGATTGAGGCCATATCGTAGCGTGCGTGTTGCCGGCGGGGTGAAGGTGTAGGTTGTTGCAAGTAGTGGGGGGTGAGGGTGTGCGCAGCCCTGTGGTGGGCACTGGTGGTCGTGTGCGCGATCGTCGCCATCGCCGCGATCCTCTTCGGTCCTCCATGCAGCGGCGTCTGTCCGTTCAGACTGCATTGCTGCTAGGTTGGGTACCCGTCTTCTTCTGTCTCTGTTTCTCCTCCTCGCGTTTCCTGACCACTGCAATTTCAGCAGCGCGCGCACGTGCCTTTTCCTCGGCGATGCGGCGGGACTCTGTCCAGAGACGGAGGGTGTAGTCGTGGAGCGACTGAGCGTAGAGGATGAAGGGGTCAATGTCGGACTCGTCTGTGCGAGAGGGAGGGAGTGCGGACGCGGATGCGGTCGGGTTGGCAAGCATGGCAGCGATGAGACTGAGGGTGAGAGGTTGGGGGAGGGGAGAGAGCGTTAAGCTTTTAGATGGGAAGGAGAGGGGAAAAACAGGGTTGGTTCGCGCGGTCGCCATGTCGCATCGCGCACTCGCGTCTGCTCCAGCCGGCATCTCACCCGGGGTCTCGTCCGTCTCGCCCGGCTCCCTCTCTCCGCGCCTTCCTCTTCGCCCACCGGGTTCGCCTGGTCATCTGCCGCCTGCAATGTGTCTGCCGTACGCATGCCAGCGCCACTCCTCCACCACGGCCATCTCCCCATCAGTGTCCCAGCTCCACCGCCATGGCTGCTCCAACGGCAACGCGAGCCTGACTCCTGCGCATTCCCATTTTTACCATCGTCGCAACCATGTCTCGGAGCTCCTCTAACGCAACGACCAGCCTCGCTTCGCCTCCCGCGACACCACAATCCGATACAATCCTATCATGTCGGCCGTTATCGACCGCTCATCTCCCTCGGGCTTCCTTCCACCATTCCGGTGTCTGTTTCCTACCCATCCCCGATATTCAGTCGATATCGGGGCTTATACACCTCCTCATCGCCTTGTCCTTGTCCGACCCACCTTGCAATCTTTCCCGGCTGAATTGATAGACTTGGCGCTAGCTTAGTCCGTCGGCCGCGTGCATCCCACTCTAACCTAACTTCGAACCAGCTCCACCAACCGCTCTGCCCCCCAGCTGCAGCCTAGCTACTGTCAGCATACAACCTCCATCATATCTACATATCGTCGCGAATAGGAAGTTCTCCATTACTTTTCAATGTGCGCAGTTGATAATGCGGACCTTGCATGCTGCACGCTTCTGTCAGGCTGATCGGTGTTCTCTTCCCTCTTCAAGCTTTCAGGGGAGGATGTGCGCTCCCTGGGACGAGTACATCCTTCCCAGGCCTGCGCTAGAATGTCCGAACGCATGATCGTCCTTCTTGCATTTTCGTCCTGCATCGGAGAAGCCCAGATGGGCCTACCCTATCGTTTACCTCCATACAGTGCTGGCGTGCTCGAGAGCGGACGCCCTCCGCGCCGGGACATGCATGCGTTCTCCGAGCCGCTCATCGTCGTTACCTAACGGGGGATGAGTCGACTTCGCACTTGACGGCACATTTGTCGAATTCCCTGGGGAACTGTATGCCAGCTCGCGCCTTTGTCTTCAAATTCGGCCCGGGAAATCCACCAGTCCACAGCCATTCCATACAGCGAGTACGTACTACACATCGATATCCAGAGACTCATTAGCGGGGCAGTTATCCATAATCCGAGCAAGGCCATATGTCATCAGCAACAATCGTACCAGTCGTATGTATCGTAGAAGAAGCAGAGCAGTACACCGCATGCCCGGGCGTGTTGCCAGGCAGGCGGCCATTAGTATATAACACACAAAACGATTAGCCAAACAAAAGCACGAGAAAATCGCATACATCTATAGCCTGGTTCAACGAGTCGAGTATCGTCATGAGCTGCCCTGGCGACGCGCCTGCGAAGACCGCCGGGAGACGACGTCCTCCTTCGCGCGGACGTCCAGGGTCACACGCAAGTGGTGGTACCGTTCCAGGTCGTACGCCTCCGAGCGGCCTATACCCCCAGTGTCGTTCGGCAGCCAGATCACCGGCGGCGGCGCGAGCAGCTCTGGCGCATAGAGGATTCCCGCCATCTCTTCCGCGTGGTCCGCAAACGGCAGCGGCGGCAGGTGTGGTGGCGCGTCTGGGTGCGTGCGTGCCGCACGCTCCGTGGCCGTGAGGTCGTCGAGCGTCTCCGTGGCTATCAGCACATGCCAATCCGGTCAGCGTGGTGCATGGGATGGCATGTCTGAATCTATCTTTACTCACCTAGTGGGACGGCCCCCCTCGTCTCCGCCGGCGAGGGCGCCACTGCCAGCGTCAGCGACATCATATCCAGGATGGAAGCGAACGAACCCCGCAGCCGGGTGTTCCTACCGGAGCTCACCAGGCTACGGCTTTCTTCGTCCATACTCGCGTTCTTGCCCGGCTGCGCCGTCCTAGCAAAGGTGTCCAGGCTGTCGAGCGTGATCGGGTTCAGCAACCTCCGGCTAGGCTGTCGTGTGCGCCATCCGCAGTAGCATTCGACGAAGACGATGACGAAGAGCGCGAACCCGCACAAGATGCCGCCTTCGACCCAGAGCGCTCGGGTGAGGAAGATCAGCCCAAGTATCAGCGGCTGGAATGCCAGAAGAGAGGCGAAGCGCTGCAGAAGCCAGATCTGCAACAGCCCTCCTGTGGATGAATGCGTCCGGCCGTATACATAACCTATGAGGAAGCGGTACGCTGTACAATACAGGTTAGGTTACGCAAGCGCGATCCCAATGTTCAGACACTTACCGATGACTGTGAACAGCAGTAATAGTAACGCTGCTGGTGCCACCAGTGGGAACAGTAACGTGAACGCCGCCGAATATGCAAAAGCTAAAATGGTGCAGCTCAACACGTAAGATGGGTTATATGTCCTAGGGTACACAGCTAGCCGGCCGATTAGCGGGGGGGTGGAGTACATATCGTGGCGCTAATGCTTACCCCGGAATCGCTGTCGCGATGTCACTGCTTCCTTCTCAGCCCTAAGCACCCGCCATAGCCGGACTGGCTGCAGCAGCAGGAGACCAGGGAAGACCACTGCGACGGTGAGTATCATCAACATCGCGAGCACGCTCATGTAGATGATCCCATCCGCCACGGATAGAGTGTCTCCGATGTGGTCGCTGAACGAATGCATCGCAAACAGAAGCGCACCGGCCGTGAACAGGGCAGCACCTCCAGCTAGAGTGGCCACATAGAAGACAGCCTTGAATATGAACAGCTGGCTTCCCGACAAGGACACCGTCCGGACAAGCTGGCCCGTATCTAGCAGTCCATCAGTCTTAATTGCACACACGAGTATTTTGCCACCTACAATGCACCACGCTCAGGGCGAGGCTGATGAACAGAATTGCGAGTAGCGCCGCCACGAGGTTCGTGGCAATACCCGCACCGAGCTGGTTCCCCTCGTTCAACCGTCCCAGGAACGGGTAATAATGCGAGAAATCCGGAGCCGTGCTCAGGAACAGCCCCGCCGCGGCGACCACTGTGAAGCATATCTGAGCGTCCGACTGTATTTGGCAAAAACAGTAGAGTTGACTTACACACCACGCCAAGCATGCACGCAACGGGTATAGTGATCGTCCAGAACCCAAACGTCCGCGCGAAGCTACCCTCATTCTGAAGCTCGTCCCACCGGATGTCTTCTTTAGCCCGGCCCTCAATCAGCTGCATGCCGGGCAAGAACCGCAGCCCGCGCCCAATCATGAGCCAACCTTTAATCCGGGCGCCCTCCGCGATATCGTTGTAGCACTCCCGTTGCACCTCCCCAATCTCTGCGTTGATGACCTTCAGCTTGGATCGCCACAGGCTGATCTCTGAGTAGATGACACCGAGCGTGTCGTGATCTACTCCCGACAGCGGTCGCACGAACGGCTGGCGGGGCTGCAAACGTAGGTGAGGCGGAGGTACATCCTCAGGCGCCGGTGCAGCCCGTTTGCGGAGTGGGAAGGACTCGCGATGAGCTTCAATCCCGTTGCGCGCGCGCGGCGGTCGTGGCCGTTTCCGCTTGTCTTCGGGGTACTCCTCACCATTGTCGAAGGCCTCCGGATCCTCGTTCAGCACGTCGTGCCAGTCTTCTTCAAATTCTTCCAGGATAGGGTCCTGCGACCCGTGCGGAATCCACGGGGTGTACGGGAAAGTGTCGTACTCGGTTGTGTCCCACGAGTTGTGCGAATTAGGTCCCCAGAGCCCTATGTCCGGCACGGGCGAGTCTGATGCACTAGCTACCAGATGGCCGCTCTTGCTCATCGTCACCTGACTCCCCACAGGAATTCGACCTACCGTGGGGGAGCTGCTGTCTACCTCCTGGAATCTACTTCCGACAACTCGCTGATTGAACGAGTCGACTAGGCTGGGAGACCGAGCTGCGGGGAGTACATCTTTATCGACGTCCGCAAACTGACCGCCACTGAGGCCCTGCACTCCACGTAGCTTGTAGTATTGCGAAGGCATAACATATGACGTGGGTGGAAGAGACGATGATCCAAATGCTGGATTGCGCCCACGACGCCTCTTGCGTCGGCTCTGAGAATGCTTGTTACTACTTCCAGAAGACGAACGCTCACCGCGTGCGGGAACGCTCCCAAGTGGGAGTGGGCGACTGATGACAGGTCGAGTAGCCGAACCAGGTTCCTCTGAAATCGCGGTGAGGGGAGGTTGAAAGTCAGCTATTGAAGGGTCCGGTGTGGACAATCGGAAGCTCTGTATGTATTTTGCTTCAGCAACTTCGAGATTCTCCAAAACTTCATCGCGTTCGTCTATGAGCAGCGCAAGTTGTGTAGTATCCCTGCCAGAGATATCAGGGAAATCATCATAAGCACTGAAAAATATATTCACCCTACTGAAAACAAGCTTTGAATGTCCACCCCGAGGCTGTCCTTCTCCGCCTCACTCCAATCCTGAGTTCGTCGTCGTCGCCGTTTCGATTGGCCGTTAGTCTTTTCGTGCACTTCCAAGGATGAGCTAAGTCCTGCTTTGACGATGAACTCCTTCAGGCGCTTCTCGCCCCAACCGACAAGCCCAGGCGCCCGACGGGCGCTCAGCCAGCCCATTTCAACTCCATGGCAACGTTCATTTACCCAACGGTCCCGATAGGCAACCAGCTTGTTGTACTCTCGCATAATTGCCCATAGAGCAGGCCAGAGGAATAGCACAATGGCCAGTATGGTAAGAACAATGAGGCGTATGCGAACGTACGGTGCCGTATCAAGACTGGCCACTGTCGCTCGAACCATCAAGTCTTGTACATTGGTGCTGCCGTCCAGGAGGTGTAAGATACGAAGTAAACTGAGGTCTTGTAGTGTCGAATATTGCCCAGCATACTGAAAAGGCGAGATAGAATGCGCAATACAAGGTGTTGCCACGAGATACAGCGGCAACAAGCCGGCTATTCCAAGGAATGCCCAGCCAGATATAATCAGAACACACGTCCATAGTACACGCAGGGTGAGCTCTTCGTCGGAGGGAAAGTATTCATCATCACGATCTCGCGCAACAGATTTCCCAGACCGGGATGTCTGTGCAGATAAAGTAGGAATTAGTGGTACATGGGGAAAAAGGAATGCCCCAACAGAATCGCTGAGAGATTTTGGTCGCTGGCTGCATGACGTCAGGAGAAAGCGTCATTGTGTAAGAACAGAGCACATACCCTTGTGGAACAAACCATTCCCTCAAGCCGTATACCTGACGAAAGCGGGGTCGAATAAAAGCGAAGGATAACTTGTAGACGAATTGGTGGCCGATCAACCTGAATGAGATCGAAGGCACTCACCCATATGACAGAACCAAACACTGTAGATAAAACAATTGTCGAAAGCACACCAATAGCAGAAACATCTAAGCCGTCTCCAATACAAACGGGCTGGCCTTGTGCAGCAGCCCTTGGGTATAAAAAGTTTGTGGCACTAGAGGAAAAGATCGTAGAATCGTCGAAGGAGAAATGGGCATTAAAATACACAGAGCTAGGAAGAGCAGGTGGCGCATATTTGAAAGAGGTATCCGGGTCAATATCCGTGGCACCACCTGTGCTCACACTTTCGAGTGGTAGCACGCTAGTAGACACGGATGCAGAGGGAGGTATCGTGGGGGATAATGAGGGTGCATCGACAACGTCCGTCTTGCTTGACGGGCTCTCGTTTGAAATGTCCATATTGCCGATGAGTGTGCTCCACCGGAACCTCGGTACATTCTCGTCAGTGTCGTCAAGTCGTTGAAATCGTGGTGCCAAACGAGGGACAGTAGATAAAGCAGGGTCGTTCATGGGAGCCCAAAGCGGGACTCAGCAGTAGTGGGAGAAATATGGACAAGATACACGCGAGGGTCGCTAGAGTGAAATGAACAATTCTCGCGAGGGAAGCTCACGCATGAGAACAGCGCGACTTCTTCCCTCCAACTTGGCAACACCCTCGAGTATGCCTTCCTTTTATGGAAATTCACCACAACAGTGATCGAAATTGACTTCACGCTTGCGTAGGTCTCTAGCACATATGGACGGTATCGTCACATCGCCAGTACAAATAACACAAAGTTCGACGTATATGCCTATCCAAAGTCCGCTCGTAAATAGACCACGTCCCCCATCGACTCAGCCACTTGGGAAGTTATTCTCGCCAGAGTATTATCTCGTTTCAGATCAGAAGATCATTATAGGTGCGGGCCCGAAGAGATCGCGTCAATGTTCCCCGGACGGTCCGCGGGTGACGGTTCAATCACAATTGGATGAGCTTGGATCAATTCGAATCATATAGTTGACCAAGAGCGTCGCGGTGATCACTAGAAGCGATTGTTATAGAGAATACTGACGATGAAGTCATGCTTTGAGAAAAAGATCAAGCCTGATATCCGAACGAGGACTCCATGCAACTCACCATGCAAGCACCAAGTTCCAGCGTGGGGCCTACACCTCAAATGATTGAGCGAAGACGAAGTGTCCATCCTTCTTAGTGAGCACGTCATGTCCATGCGTCCAAGGCGCTGACTCTCCTTCGACTATTATAGGAGACGGTGGGTCGCGGCGGGCATAGTGAGATGTCGTGTCGACTTGTTCCAATTGCAAGAAGGGAACGGAGGACTCGCAGCTGGATCGTTTTCGCGGTCTGCTTTGGACACAGCCCATGAGTCCAGCCTATCATGCTGTGAGAATCGAGTGACACCATAGCCAGGGTCAAGTGTGAACTTACCGAATGAATACAGCGAATTGAAGAAGCGGAGATCAACTTAGAACAGGGGAATGCGCGCATCGAGTTCTGAAACCCTCCATATATACGCCAGAGGATGATGGAAGGCACAGGTCGCAAGGGACTTTGTAAAAGCAAAGGCTGTGAGATGATCACACTAACAGTTATGGACATCTGAGCCTTCGTTCAGCCAGCTTGGCACGTCGTGATTGTTGAGGTACATGTTTCCATCACACTCTTGAGCGCTTTAATCACCGACAGTTGATGCGATGTGCAGTACAGACAGAAGAGAACTTGAAAGCGTAGACAGCGGTCTCATGTGCCAGGACTCAGGAGGTACTTAGATTCCGATCATACAGTCATGGGCCACGTGTTCCGGCGACTCGACGTTGTCGGCTGAGCGCCTACTAGTAGTACGCTGTGTTACCGTTTTCTGTCGACCGTGAACCCCATCCAGTGGGCCCAATCTCGCCATGGCGAGCAGCGTCATGAAACAAGTGTGTATGTTCTCTGGATATAACATATACGGTGGTCGCTCACACCTAGTTGAAGGCCTCCGCGGCTCCTGCAACTTTGCAGGAGGCCCAGACAACCGCGCTCTTAACACTGCTTAATCTCAACAGTCCTGTCGAGAATACCCCAAGTCCCACATCGTCGAGTGTAAAACCTCCCTCATCTTCCAAGGTCCCTGTTCCCGCTGGCCCTCCAGTGTGGAAAGTCCTCGTTTTGGACCAGCACACGAAGGATGTCCTGGCCACTGTGCTTCGCGTTCAAGATTTGCGTGACGTGGGAGTGACTCTGCATGTGTAGGTTGCCATTCATCCAATCACTCAACTTCCTTTTGTGACCTCTCACATCTGGAACCAGACAGCTACACTCTAATCGTCCACCACTGCCGGACGTGCCTGCCGTTTACTTCGTCTCTCCCACTCTTGCCAATGTCAAGCGAATTGCACAGGATTTAGAGAAATGTCTCTACGAGTCCTTTCATCTGAATTTCGTCGAGCCATTACCAAGAGCCCTTTTGGAAGAACTTGCAGCAGCGGTGGCGCGTGATGGTACAGGAGAGTCCGTCGAACAGGCGAGTCGAGTTGCATCATCTGAGGGCTCCTTCTCTGATCATATCCCTGTTGCTATTTTCAGGTACTCGACCAGTATCTCTCATTTATATCTCCTTCGCCTTCATTGTTCTCTCTCCTCCCTCCTCCAGCGGCAGCATCTGCATCAACCCCAAATACTACACCCCAACCAGGTCCCTCGCAAACGCATTCAACGTATGCACTACTCAACTCGCCCTCATCCACTGAACAACAAATTGAGGAAGAGGTTGAGCGGGTCGCATCTGGACTGTTTAGTGTGGTAGCAACCACAGGTATGCCCCATCTTTCGCCTTCTCTACGCTTATGACAACATGTCTACTAGGCCATGTTCCCATCATTCGCTGTCCAAGAGGTAATGCTGCCGAAATGATTGCCAAGAAATTAGAGACAAAAGTCAGAGATGCCATACTGTCTGCTGCGCGCTCACATACAACATCAATATTTGCTCAAGATTCGACGGGATTGTCAAATCTTCAGCGCCCTCGTAAGTTTTGGATCTACCGGGAGTCACGAATGTCCGCTCAAAACATTTAGTCTTGCTTATCCTGGACAGGAACGTCGATCTTGTGTCAATGATGTCGCACGGTTGGACATACCAAGCACTCGCATCAGACTGTCTAGAGATGAAGTTAAATCGTGTCGTAGTGTCTCAACCTCAGAAGCGATCTTACGACCTCGACTCAAAGGATTTTTTCTGGGCAAAAAATGCCGCCAATCCATTCCCCCAAGTCGCAGAGGATATTGATACCGAGCTCAACCGGTATAAGCAGGACGCTGCGGAGATTACCAGGTCTACGGGAGTCAGTGACGTGAATGATATTGCTCAGATGTACGCAATGTCTGCTGTCTTATCATCCAGGACATCTTTAATGGATTTTGCAGGGATCTATCGGCAAACGCCGCCCACCTGAAGACAGCAATCACCCAGCTGCCCGAGTTGACTGCGCGTAAAGCCGTTTTAGATACCCACATGAACATTGCCACCGCGCTCTTGGAAGAAATAAAGAAACGTGGTCTTGATGAACTTTTCAGCACAGAAGAAGCTATTAACAAACAGGTATGATGACAACGCGGAACTGACATTGAGCGGCCAATTTAATCTTGGCATGATGCAGACAGTACAGACCATTCTTGAAACTCTCCGCCATCCCAAGGATGGTGTGACGCCGACGCCTTCAGACAAACTCCGTCTTGTTCTGGTGTTTTATCTCTCATCCCCGGATAATGCCATATCCAAGGACGACATCGCTGAGCTAGAGAAGGAGCTGAAGTCTTCTGGCGCTGACATTGCCGCATTCGAGTACGTCCGGCGGACAAGAGAAATATCTAGAATGACCGTTCCGAGTGCGATGGGCGGTTCGTCTACGCCTTCACAAGGCGGCGTAACTCCTGGCGGCGAGCTGTTCAAGGGGTTCAGCGCTCTTGGCAACAGAGTGAGTGTCGCTCACTTTACAGCATCAACTCTTGGCCTCTTCAAGAACCTCGCTGACATGGAGACTTACAGTTGACGGATCGGCTTAAAGACGGCGGTCTTGAGAATCTCATTTCGGGCGTAAAGAACTTCCTACCAGCAAATAAGCTGCTGCCCGTGACCCGGCTGACTGAAGCCTTGATGGAATCGTCTGCCGCGTCAAACCAGTCCCTGCAAGAGACAGACGACTATCTGTTCCTGGACCCGCGAGCATCGCGCAATGCGAACACTGGGCTTGGCATCTCTGGCGTGAGTGCCCCAGGTGGCGGCGCGGGCTCTGCGAGTGGACGGACAAAGCGAATGGCATTCGTAGAAGGCACCGTATTCGTCGTTGGTGGTGCAGGTTATGTCGAATACGGCAACCTGGAAGAGTGGGCGAAGCGGACAGGGAAAAGGGTCACGTACGGTGGCACCGAGATTCTGGATCCGGGAGGATTCGTCCAGGTGCTTGAAGAGTTGGGCAAGGCCGGTGCGCAAGGGTGATGGTGATATACACGAATAGACTGAGTTAAAACGGAATCGATACTCTTGGACACACATAATGGATTCCACTGACATGACCCCTTCGATCCATACACTCTGGAAGTTCAATTGAGAGTAGGGGTATACAATCATTTACAGACAATGGTAAATTATATTAGAAAATCATACTACTATTCCATGTGGGATACTACTACACGTCCAGCTATTTCTTGTTTTGCTGCCTCGCAAGGATTTGTACAAGACGGATGCTAGTATAATCGTGGTCAAAGCACTGGATGTTTGAGAACGAGAACACTCACAATATATTGATCATGTCCAGCTCGAGGCTAATAGCTTCCCGCATGGGGTCGCGAGGGACGGTGCCTCGCTCAGCCATCCGTGCATGCTGCAGAATTTTTTGCGTACTAAAATACGCGATGAGCAAAATATACGCAACAAGTAAACCATGGCTTACTCAAAGAGAATAAATCCACCGAATACCGCAAGACCACCGTAGAGTGAAATGGCCTCAGTTACAGCGAGACCACGCATACCCAAGGGAAGCGCCATAGGAGCAAGGGAGCTCAAAGCGACGACCGTGACCCCTGCCAGGAGGGGACCGCCCATGTACAGGTACTTGTCGTTACTAAGTCAACTATGTCAGCATTGGGAATCCATGATGAAATAACAGCCGGACGTACGCAGCCGTAGCTCCAATGTAGGAAAGGGAGCCGAAAACCCCAGCAGAATACAGGGCTGCCCGGGAGAGAATAGCAGGGCTGAAGAAGAACAGAGGACTGAGCGTAGCCGCTTGACATGCATTGAAGCCCTGTATTCTGATGTGAGCCTATCGCCCCAAGACTTTGTATACGTAGCAATACTCACGAGCCAGAAAGCATGCTTTAGTATTGTGTTCTCAGGGGGAGTATACATTACACCCATCATGGTTCCTATACTGCCAACCAGACTAACACCAAGGACTACCCAGGGATTCGCTGACATCACCCGGAATGCAAACCCATTCTTAAACATTGAGCGGGCAACAAGAGCGGTGATACCGAGACCACCACCGGCGTACATAAAACTCTCATGGAGGTATGACTGCTCAGCCGGAGACAGAGACTCTCTAGTCTCACGATTGAAGAATGCATTGACGACAATTATTGTGCCTGCAACCGTAGCCTAAAAAGCACTGGGTGAGAATCTCCCAGCGATAATATTGAGTTCACTCACAGCAGTTACACCATATCGTTTCCACGCCTGCGCTTGCGTTGGTCGGACAACGACGGGAGAGGAGTCCGTCAGAAATGTGCGAAATGAAGTGAAACGAGAGAAACGCTTCTGAGTTGTAGCAATAACATTAGGTCGTAGGTTGCTGAAGTACCGGAAGGCTGTAGTTTGGGGGAATCGGGCAGCTTGGGCGACCGATGGAGATGCGAGAGGTCGCACAGAGGATACGAATCCGACACGGAACATGGAGGTTGAGTTGAAGGAGGAGATCGGTACCGCAAGTCCTCCTCAGCTTTATGCAGGATCACGAATGCACTCGGCACGCTATATCATCGCGCGGTAAAAGCCGAGTACAAGCCACAAGGATTACGATGGGTCGTTTACGTCACTGACGAGTATTCCTGAATAAGATGCCCAACAGAGCACCATCTCATCGCATTAGAAAGCGCCAATTAAATTGGCAAGCCCTTCCGATTCTCAAAACCAGATTCCATCCGCTTGGAAGCGGTGACTACTTTGTTGTGCCGTTGCCCAAGTAAATAACACGATAAATACACCGATAACTAACAGAATGCAAAGCTACATATTATCCAATTATATAGAATAGAGCCATCAGAAACAACACATCATTGAAGGAACGGTACTCGCGTCACATCCACAACACCGACCTGGTTGGACTCCAGTGCCAAAGCCATCCGATTAATGTTTCCCGATTGTTGCCAGTCAATCTCGAAGATGCCGGGCTTCTCAGAGCCCGCATACCACGACCAGCGTTTTTGCCTAGCCTAGGCAAAGGACGTAAATGAAAGGACATAGTCGTGAAGCCACACGAACAATTCACCTTAACATCATATACGTGTAACCAACCGTCACCTCCCCCAGTCGCAAAGAATCGAGCGTCGGGACTGAACGCCAAAGCATATACATGTTTTTTGTGATCTTGAAATACTCGCAAACATTCTCCCGTTACGCTGTCCCAGAGTCGCGACGTACCGTCAAACGACGACCTATAATCAATGATACATCAGAATATGTAATCCTCGCAAACGAATTGCTCATGAGGTTCACTAACGTCGCAAGAAGCTCATGTTCGCCCTCAACGGTTACTGGGCACCATGCGATTGAGCTGACTGTGTTTGTATGACCTTTCAAGACCATTACATCGTCATTTGACGGACGAGAATACACGACATCCTCTATATTCCATATCCGTGCAGTTTGGTCGTCTGAACATGACGCGATCTTCGTTCGCGTTGGACTGCATTTGATCTGATTGACCTCGGTAGTATGCCCACTAGTGATGGCTTGGGATTAGCAGACGTTGAAATCAAATATATCGCTAGGACATTGTACTGACAGAAGCGTTTTGGGGGGTCGAGAAGTTTCCAAACTCATGATCTGGATTTTGCCGTCTGCTCCACAACTTGCAAATAAATCCTCTGTGAGCCAATCCACGTCTAGACAACAGTCTATATTTGTTCCGGTCAATTGGGTCATGGTTGTATGCGGTGAAGTTTGAAGTATACCTTTGTGACATTGAAATTGCTTGTGCAATCGTTTCTCAGCGACATCCCAAACGCAAGCGGTACCATCCAGACTTGCAGTCAGAAGCCAACGGCCCGATCTTGAAAAGCGAGTGGCAAATATTGGCCCCTTCTCACCGAGATGGATCCCAACATATCAGTCTAGCGCTGCTCAACGAACTTACCATGCGTACTCACCTCGTGCTGCGTGTGTGAGAAATACAGTTCGCCAGACGTCGTACATACGCGTAATATTGCGTCGTACGAGCCGATCGCAAGCAGGGAGCCGTCTCGTGTCCAATCTAGCGAAGTGAGATCACCTTGTTCGGATTTTGAAGGATATGCTAGGGTCATAGGAGGGCCAATTTTGGGTGGTATGCTAGATATTACGGGCCTCGCATCCGGGACGTTCCATAAATGCACGACAGTGTCTCTTGAACTGTATAGGGCAGGCAAGTCAATGGAAATGTAATTTGTCATCTGATGCATGAAGTCTTACCCAGAAGCTAGTGTACTCTTTTTGGTTGGATTCCACGCACAGACGAAGACCTGTAAAGACGTAGAAAGGATGGAACAAAGTGAAAGACAGAGATTGACAAACCTCGGTTTTGTGGCCTTTCAGAAGACTGACGACACTTGGATCAGTAACATCATCCGCAGGGCCTTGCGGCCGCTTTCCGACGGGTCGCAATTCAGTACCGCCACGACCTGAAGCAGAGGCCTTTACATCGACTTGCTTTGCTTTAGAGACGTTCTGATTAGATTTGCACAAAGATTGCGGGATTGCAGCCACAACAAGTCTACAGCCATGACGTACATTCAACTGACGACGAAGCAATGCTGTCCACGTCCATGTCCTCCGAAGCAGCAGAAGTTCTTGGGCGTTTCTCCACCAGCGTCTCGTCAGTGATTGGAGTACTCGCTTTTCGCTTGATGGAAGAGTCCGCGACTCCGTTTGCGTGTGGGTGGGAAGAAGTCTGCTGCCCGATTTCCGACATCGGAGACATTTGCTGCGATTGGTCGTACGTTGAAGTTGCAGGTAGTGAAGGATCCGGAGAGCAGATATGCTGCTCTAGTAGGGAAAATGCGCTTTTACAGTTTGCGGTCATGACGCTGCCTTTCCAATGAGCTTCCACCTCGCTGTATAGTAGTGCCTTGCTAAGTAGTTCCACGAGCTCTCCCCGTGGCACATGCTTGCCGAAATGAGAAGAATGTTCTAGTCGTCCTTCAGCACGAAGCACAAATGCGCTATGCTGAAAGCCTGAATAATTAATACGTCAGCAAGCGCGAATGCTACGGCACCTGGACAGCTACCGGAATCCTGGAAGTAGGCATAGATTAGACAATTAATGGCGTCGGCAGTTATCTGGATAGTAGGTGACATGATTGCATGAGTTTCGATGGATCCTAGAGAGAGCAGAGACAGGCACGAGAACCCTAAGAGGAGACTCAGAAAGGACAAGCTTGAGCCTCCGTGACGGTGAGTTGGCCATGGTCAAACTCAATCACGTGTTGCATGGCGCGAAAATTCAATTTCACGCGAGGCGCGCCAGTCGCGCAACACGTCGTCTTGATCCTTACCGTAATTCGCACAGCAACAATCTGAGGTATACTCACTACAAACAGCCTCGTAGCTGTCGCCGAGCTACCAGTATTGTAGAAATGGAATTTAAAATAGTATAAGGTACGTATTTTGAACCACTACTTATCCTCCAGCGTGCTATCACTACACAGCTCGAACGCGTGTTGTCGAGATGCAGACTTAGAACGTGTCTGAGTATATGAGCCTAATACAGAACCCGGCATCCGCGCTGCATCCTTCGACACTTTTGAGTATGTCGGGTTCCTATCAATGTTTATCATGACAAGAACAGTGAACTCTTAGTGCTCACGAATGGCGAGACGAGATTTGTTAGCAATGTAAAGAGTGGCTGACAATCGTCGAGTAACTTCATCACTGCATCTGGATTCTTGGAGTGTATATCAGCCTATCAGGGCGATGTCTCGTCTGTGCTCACATCACATCTCGCTGGTGGCAATTCAGTGGCGGGTTGTATCGCAGACGAGATCAAAAGCGATTAGGAGTTTAGTAGAATATCTAATGCGATTCATACTTTCTGAATCGCCAATGGGATCCGATAGCTTTCCCTAATTTTGTGATACAGATTGAGTCTTCGCTGCTCAACCGTGTCCTTCGAGCAGAAACAGACGCAGAAGCGCCCATAAATAGCGTGGTATGGTACGGGACGATCGACTCCGTTGATCCGAGCCCCACAAGATCGCACGGCATCTCTCATGGTGCTTGCTCAGCGCTGCCGTACCGCCGTCTCTCCCAGCATCCTACGTCCGAATCGATATGGAGGCCGACGACGAGCGTGTCTGGAACGTCGATATGGATGACGACGAGGAGGAAGACGACGCATACGAAGGCCCCGATGCCTACACTGACGATGACGACGACGATGTTGTTGAAGAATTTGAGCGTGCAATTGAAGCATATTCTGCTGAGGAACAGGATACGCCAGGCACCGCGTTGGAACATATCATGGGGGGCGAGTTACTTTCATTCGCGCTGTGAATTCAATTCATCATGACCTTCTAGCCCTAGCTCAAATGCAAGACAATGTAATCGCGAGTCCTACTACACCCGCGAATCAGTCCTCCGCCGTTCAACTCGGGAGCCTCACCCTCGATGACCTGCGTCGTATGATTCGCATGAGCAGGGCGAGTGTTTCCCTACAGACAGAGGCGATCGACGATGAGGACGACGAAGACTACGGCTACGAGGTGCCTCAATCCAATCGGAACCGTTCGAGGATAGATTGGTGGCCAGAGATTAAGGAGCCAAGGAAAGAGGGTCTCGAACTCCTCAGGGGTGGTGAATTTGGAAGATTATTGCACCAGTTAAAGGCCAAGAAAAAAGGCAACAATATGACGAGGTTCCTTTTAGATAGGAGCACAAGACCTCGTCCACCCTACAAAGAAGATTTGACCTGTGTACGTTCATCGAAAGCAGATTCGCGCCAGAGATATCTTCATGTGAAGTAGGATATAATCCCAAACTCTGGTGGCACCGCCGTCGCAGAATATGTGAACAACGCCTATGTGGGACAGTTCTCATCTGGTCGGTTTTGACAACTCTTGGACCTTGAATCTCGCTCATCATGATGCTGCGCAGACTCTACGTTTTATTATACGTGTGTCCGAGGTAAAGGTTTGAGGCGGAAGTCGCTTGTGTGAATATTAATGATTGTTTCAGACTTTCGACTTCATGTGTATGATACTACCGCTTCCTTCGAACCGAGTACATCCCGGAGAGACCAGCGAGACCGTGGCCATGGCCACAGTACCTCCATGAAGGTTATCAAGACCATCAATGCGCACCCTGGTCGCTGGACTATCACCGACTCGCACTTGAGTCCGGATAATCAGAGGTAGAATTGTTTTACTGGGTTCATTTGCGAATATTGACACATGGTTTTCTCGTTGAAGAATGATTTACGCTTCGATTGTGAGTGTGAGTAAGGGAGGTTGTCACGTCGCTCACAGGTCGCATAGTCAAACACGGTGTATATGACGACAACTCTAGATTCCTCGCCGGTTCAAGTGCCCATTCGATTCGCAGATCCTACACGTACGAGGCGGAACTCATGGGACTACGACGACGACCACTTCGGTATTTGGAGCTGCAAGTTCTCTGCAAATGGCAATGAGGTAATTGCAGGGGGTAGTGGAATGATCTTCGGTCAGTTATTCAGTGTTAGCCGCCGTGAAAAAGCACTTGATACGCATCGCGTCTAGTCTACGATCTATTAGCGGATCAGCGGACGGTGAAGATCATGGCTCACAACGACGATGTTAATAGTTGTTGTTGGGCCGACACGGCGTCCGGAAATGTTCTGATAAGTGCATCGGACGATACCTTCATCAAAGTCTGGTACGCGTCCCCATGACTCGTCTGGTTGGGTCCTAAATATCAGGTCAGGGACCGACGATCCCTGGGTTCGTCCAGGAAACCTTCGGGGGTTCTCATAGGGCACACAGAGGGTATCACGTATGTATCGGCCAAAGGCGACGGTCGTTACATTATCTCCAACGGGAAAGATCAGGTACTTCGGTTATGGGATCTTCGCATGATGCGCAGCAACCATGAATATGAAGAGGTCCAAAACGACCATTACGGCATTCCTAATTTTGATTACCGGTATACATGATCTTCGATTATGAATGCTGTCTCATTTGGCTGATATGGTTATCTTGTAGCAATGGCTCCTACCTCAAACCAAGACATAAATCTCATCCTAAAGATTGTAGCATTATGCAATACACAGGTCATGAGGTTCTTCGTACTCTCATTCGATGCCACTTTAGTCCAGCTTCGACGACGGGACAACAGTACATCTACTCTGGAAGTGCGGACGGACGAATACACGTCTGTATCTGGTTCGACTATCTTGACTATAGCTGACATGTTCATATTCACGAAGATTTGGTCTCTTGACGGGCGGATTGTGCAAGTACTTGACCGGTCCGAGACGTTGCCATTGTCGTATGACCCATCGGGACCAGATGTCCAGCACCCATATACCTCGCGCAAAACTAGGGTTTGCGTGCGAGACGTTAGTTGGCATTCAGAGGTGAGTGTGTATCTTATAAGTTGTACTTCGTATCATGATGATATGATGAATTGCAGCTTCCAATCTTAATGAGTACCGGTTGGCTTGGTGGTCGTTGGTCTGCCAGGGAGGGCAGTGTTATTGCTCGACATGAGGTCAGCGATTCCGTACCAAGTGAGCCTATTTGTTGCTGAAGATGTCATAGTGGAAGGGTATGTCAAAGGCAAACCGTACGCTTGAAGATCAGCTAGAGAAGGAAAATGCGGAGTTTGCGGAACGCACTCGACAAGGAGCTTTGAGACGGGCTGAGTGGACTCGGATGCCAGGCGCATTTGTGGACGAGGGATCGGACTAGATTTTTGGGTTGCTGCTATACATGCCCGTGCTTTGTACTTGTATGTATGTCTCAGATGTTAGATTGTCAAGAAATCTCGCCTTGGACATGGCGACACAATCTCCGCCCACTGAATATACTCCAGCCGCAATTCGCCTAGCTCGGACATACGGGAAGGAGAAGTCCGAGTGGCTGCGCCGTAGAGTTACTACACAAGCGTCTTCGAGGAACCTTCCTGAAGAAGCAGCGCCGACTCTGATGTCGGTCGATGACCGCACTGTTATCTGCATCGCTTCCCCCACCGTCTCTCCAGGACAAAAGACGTTGACTCCTATGCATTTGACCCAAGCTGAAGCGGCTCTCAACACACAGCTGTCCCCTATGGACGCCGACTTGCACACCTATGGGTTCCCCCCTGGCTACTTTATCATCCGCTCTGTTGCCTCACGTCGCAATCTTGACGTTGAGATGGGTTCGGCTGATGACGGCACGAACGTGATTCTTTGGCCGGAGACGGAGAACTCTTTGGTTGAATGTGAGTCTTGAGATTGTTTGGTGCGTTGAGTCCTCTAAACGAGCTCATGGTTCCAGCCGTGCGGAATCCGAGCTGCGACAACCAGGTACGTCTACATATCACAGGTCGCCAGGTTGAGCAAACAGGTCTGATCGGTCTGAAAAGGTCTTTTTCGTGGATACATCCGGAGCGCTGTGCTGCAGACGCACTGGTCATGCTATTGATGTTGAAAGTGCGTTCATGGCTGTGCATTCCAAGTCGCTATTCATTCAGAACCCCACCAGATGATCGCCTTGTTATGCGACATCGCAGGCCAGTGTCATATCCATTCCCCAATGCCTACTCGCATCCACTGCCTCGCTTTTCGTATGACCGCGACACAAGGAACATTACTGTGACGTTCTCTGCAGACCCGACCTACCCCCCAGGTCCAGGCTCCAAATTGAGTCCTAACGCCTGGAAGGAAAATGCATATCTTTTGACTTCCATACCAGCACGGAAATCCCGATCCATCATGGACGACGCTTCTGATCTACTCAATAATGCGATCCACGCACCTCTTTCTCTCTTTGGGTCACTTGGCAAGTCGAGGATTGCTTCTACCCCAGACGAAGTCTTTTATAGTGGTCACTTCGACTTACGAGAGGAGGAAATCTTGGAGCAAGATCGCTCGGAGGAAGGCGAGGTTGACGATTCGCTCGAAAGGCTTCGTAAGGTTCGTGTTCTCGCATTAGCCAAGGAGGAGGTGCATGCTGCTTCCCAGAAGGCAAAGCTGAGGAGGCAGTGGGTCGTAGTCTCTTTGAAAGCTTCTAAGACTCGTACGAATACCTGATTTACTATAACTGCTTATTCTTGTCGATTGCATGTGAAAGGTGTATTCAGGTGTATGATAGCAAACTGTATAATAGTGTGGTTTGGATCTAGTATGTACTTGGCTCTTTCTGAAGTTTGTGTCGTAGCCTTAGCATGAGATTATGTCGTCTACGCTCGCATTTAGTGATAGAACATATTTCCATCGACTTGATGCCCTCAATATCCTCCCTTTGGTGTGTCGATTGGTTGTATTGCCTGCTGGGCGAGTCGGCTGGCTGCCAGGCTGAGAAGAATCTGGTCCGAACTGGCGCTAAGACAGTACTTAGAGAATATTCGGCGCCAGCATAATCTTCCAATCTCGGCGCAATGATCTCAGCTCAATCTCAGCGTGTTGCCGATAAGAGTCAGATTAAGTATGTCCGGGCTTGTTCGATATTGCGGTTGTCCGCCAACGTCCTGACTGTCGACCGTGGTGCCCCGACTGTGAAACCCCAGACATGTTCCTCAGGCGTGTTACTCTTCTAGCTGCTCTTCTTCGTATCGTGTTGGTCATAGCTCACGAACCAGAGAACCAGATTCCTCTATCTGACTTCGCAGGACGGTTGACTCAAGCAGAAGAGTCTCTCGATGCGAAGTCGTGGCTGAAGAAATATGGAAAGCAGATTGACCAGGTCTTCTCTGGGCCGCTTTCTTTCTCCCATTTACCTTACAGCCTCTGTCTGGAAGACACCGCGGCAGAATTTGACATTGCCGTGCTGGGTATGCCCTTTGATACGGGAGTCACCTACCGCCCGGGGGCACGGTTTGGGCCTTATGCCATTCGCTCTGGCAGTAGGAGGCAGCGAGAAGCGCGGGGTTACACACTGGCGTGGAAGGTCAATCCGTACGAGCTGGGTTCTAAGATCATAGATTGCGGTGATGTATGCTTCGGATGCCTATAGTGGCTGCATCTCAAGAAAGTAATCGTCCAACAGGTTCCTGTTAGCCCCTTTGATAATGCTCTGGCCGTAGATCAGATGGAGGTCGCGTACTCCAGTTTGCTCGCCAGGCCTGTGGGGAGGGGAGATGATGTACGCGTACCTGCTGTACGCACATTTGCGAAGGATGGCAAAGAGCATCCTCGTATTATCACGTTGGTCACCTATTTCACATTTGGTTGCAAATAACAAGATGTTTTACCTCTCAGACTTGGAGGGGATCACACTATCGTCCTTCCCATCCTCCGTTCGCTGAACAAGATTTACGGACCCGTGTCTGTGATCCACTTTGATGCGCACTTGGATACGTGGGCCTCGTATCCGGGCCAAAATACAGAACAGTCTCGTGTTACTCACGGCACTTTCTTTTACCTTGCGCAAGAAGAAGGATTGATGACCAACACTAGCATTCATGCTGGAATTCGGTGCAAGCTAGCGGTATGTGCGTGGTCTCTCAGCCTTTTCTTAGTATTGATCAATTCGGTTTAAGGGCACTAGTGACCTTGAAAACGACGAATCCGTTGGTTTCCAGCTAATATCCACGGATGATATCGACGATATAGGAATCACGGAGATTATCAAACGGATCCGTTCGCGCATTGGGGAATCCCCCGTCTACCTCAGGTGTGCAACCTGCGACTAAGTGACCGCTTGCGCATTGATACTTGGCTTCATCTCAGTTTAGACATCGATGTCATTGGTATGAACCTTCGAAGTGCTAAAGACCTGGCTGATTAAAATATATTCGTAGATCCTGGCCTTGCCCCTGCGAGTGAGTTAACTCTTCACGGACTTTACATGTAACTCAATGCTTTACCACTGTAGCTGGGACACCTGAAGCAGGTGGATGGACGACGCGCGAAGTGAAGCGCATCATTCGTGGCCTTGCTGGGCTCAATTTTGTGTAAGCAATTATATGAGATTACACATCCAGTGCTGAGATTGTACATCCATTTCTCGTACAGCGGGGCAGATATTGTAGAGGTTGCGCCAGCGTATGATAATGGTCAGTCCTACGGCGGCTTGAATCTGTGCATCGCAACTGACCTATTTGATAGCTGAGATAACGGCGATCGCGGCCGCTGACATTGTCCACGATTTCCTGTCGATGTTTTTGACACAAGGTCCACCCAAGACTCCAGCGGAACCCACCTCGTCCAGGGATGAGTTGTAGGTAACACTACATAGATATAAAGATGATTACATATACCTGCCAATGGTTGACACTGGAATTACAGATGATTGAAAAGCCACCATGCCGCGTTTGTGTTCAAATGATTCACTTTTAGATCTACGGAGTAAGTACGAAAGATCGATGTTAAGTTGACTTGACTCTCGGTGATCGGCGGAGATCATCGCAAACAAATATATACGCGCCATTTTCAAGTAACCTGCGTAGTGAGCGTCACGTTCGCGTGGAACGGATAAAACAGTCCAAATGCTTCGCAAGATCTATTAATACATTCATACCACTTATCTTGTCAAGAGGGTATTCAGAAGTCGCATACACACACCACGTACGAGATTACGGGATAAGAAGGAAAGTCGAAAGTAGAATAAGTCCATGAACAGATGTTGACACTCGAAAATCAGTTCAGCGTTTGGTTGACCACATGCCTGGAGGTTGCGCTGTCATCTCGTCATACATAGGCGGATTGTCGGTGTAGTGAGTGCCTTCGGGTTCTGGAATACCCTCAATAGGCGACTGCACTAATGGCGCGGGAGTCCGTGGCCCTCTCGGGCTGGCCACGTTCTGTGCAGGAGCCACACCAGTATTAATGGGTGCTGGGGATGGCGTCGAGTGGTGTGACGAAGCCGCAGCGTACGGGTCATAATATGCTGCATCATTGCTACCGCCATAGCCAGCCCCACCCAGTGTATAACTGCGGTCGGGCTGCGCCGCCGCCGTACGAGCGTAGGAATTTGATGGAACTGCTGCTGATGAAGATCCGGCACCCGCACCCATATAACCAGTATTGTTGTATGTATCAGCATTGAAAGAGCGCTGGTTCTGGACTGCGTATGTATTTGAGCGGGGCATAGAGAAATTCGTCTGATATTGCTGGTTTACAGGCGCAGGCGCTTGGTAGTCTATGCAAAATTATCAGAATAGGAAAGTCTTGATAGTTGAGCACAAAACTCACAAGATGAACCTGTTGCGCCATGGCCATAGTTAGATGTTGCAGTAGTTGGTTGCTGAGAGTGTCCATAAGCACCCATGGCAGTGTATTGAGCAGGGGCTGCATTAGAGCCATACGAATAAGCGGAAGGTGTGTAACCAGAAGCACCTTGTGAATGTGCACTAGGTTGCCGCTGAGGTTGAGGAGGTGACTGAGGAGGATATATGCTCGACTGCGCCGGGGAAGGATTATAGTACGCATCAACAGCGCGACTGCCAACAGGACCCTGGGAATATCCGCCTGGATACTGGTCGCGACGAGACTGACTAGCCTGTCGGTGATTATACGTGCCTACGCCAGCGGTTTGTACATCAGATAGCGGTACGATTTTGTCTCCATCTTCAACGTATTCATCTGAGACAGTCCTTGCCAACGGCTGCATTTGTTCGAGCTCTTGGAAGGCAGGCAAGCCAATCTCGCCTTGCTTCTGGCGCGCTTTACGGTCCGCTTCGGCTTTGACGGCGTCAAGACGCATCTGCTCTGCGTATCCGGCGTCCACTGAGGGTCCATTGCGATTATATCTATCTGGTCGTCGTTTGATACAGCAGCGACCGAACCCATAGAAGCATCCTGCAAAGAACAGGAGAAGCCAGGCGGCGAGTGTCAACCAAACTCCCACACCGATGGAAGCGGATGCGCCTGAGACACTGTCGATGCGATCTTTGGTAAGGAAGAAGAGGACAAGGTCGAAAATAAAGGCAACTAGCGCGACGCTTGCGGCAAATCCAGAAACAAATGAGCTACAGTACGCCATCGACATTTCACGAACGTGAGCGAGAAGACCGAAGAAAGCGGCAAGAGCGGAAAGGATGAGGGCGACGATGTGCAGAACGAGCGCGTAAGTCACCCATTTTACGACGACGTTAGGAATTTGGATAGGGCTGTTATCCCCAAGCAAACTGTTCACGTCTAATGGCAACAGGTTAAATTTTAGCTTGAGTTGAAAATGAACGATGCGTACCAAGTTCATAGCCAACTGATGGCTTTGAACATGTAGTGCCATTTGGAAGCTGTAGACAGTAGCCCAGAGTCCCGAACGTTAAAGATCCACTTTCGTTGTCGATGCTCAAGGAAGCCTTGAGGAAGTAAATCGACTTGATGTACGGGACGGAGAAAGTCACTACGGCGAGGAGGCCTGTAGCGATCAAGGTGACGAGAAAGCCCGGAGTGGCGGGTCGAATGATACCCATGGGCACTAAGAGATGAAAGCAGAAAGGAGCGTCCTAAGCAGTCAAGATAGAAATATGGCTGCGGGTCTGACAGCGGTCCTCGAGACCGATGCAAGGCAGTGTCCGCCAAACAGCTAAACTCAGTTGCGGGCGACCGTGACAGTGTGACAAGACGCTTGTTGTCGTCGTTACAGGCCTTGTTACTTGTACACACAGGTGGTGACATGGCACACACGGCGCATCCGAGTCTATGTATGTATTCTTGCCACTGAATTCTCGCTAACGTCTCCACCACAGAATGTGCGATCCCGACTTGACATCTCCAAAGTTTGTTGTGACCTCCTTCTCTACCGTCTTCTCGATCACGAACCCGTTTTTTTCGAACACGCGCACACTGGCGTCGTTTCCTTTGAAAATCTCCACGCGTATTTTGCGCGCACCCATTCTCGGAATTGCCCATGCTGACAAAAGGATTCCCAATGCTGCGCTCATTATACCCCGGCAATGGTGAGAACTAGCGATGTAATCTGAAGTCAGCTGTCAGTATTCGTGCAGCTGTCTGCATGACCCTAAGGATATATTACCTCCAACGCAGTACACGAGCTCCGGATTGCCTGGTTCCCTACGCCAGTTTTCGTCTGACTGTCGTATGCGTTCCTCGTCCGGTTCTTCAAATTGGAATTCACAACGGCGAAGACAAATATCGCCAAGAAATACTTCTGTGCCATCATTCTTGACTTCCCTTAGGGTCCTGATTGGACAGGCCCCGACGATGCTGGGGGGACTCTCTTTTTTTTCCTGGCCAGCCTTTGCCAGCTCGCATAATAGCGCATCCGACTCTGCCATTGATGCTTTCAGCCAGTCCTCTGCATGAGAGAGAAGATACGGGTACGGTGGTCCCGTCAACGATCTGCAGACTCGAGGGTCATTGAGTATCGAGACTATTGAAGAGGCGTCGCTCAGGCGAGGCGGGGTGATAATGATGTTATCGAGAGGGCTAGGTAACCGCAAGAACGGCTCGCCAGTGATGGGGTTGACTTGCAATGGGTGATACATGTCCATGACTGTTGTCATGGTCATGAATGACAAATATATACTTTACTAGCTGTTTAGTTATGAGTCAAGCTGAGCCAAACCGAGTCATCAACAAACAAAAATCTTATTCAACGTTCAACTTCCAGCGTTCATTGATTTGACACACTCTCGCCCATGCTATTGTACAGGCAATCGAAAGCACAGGGCGCCTGGAGACAATAAGATATAAGCCACGAGCGATTCGTTTTTGAATACAAAGAGTTCGTCACTTGATTATATCTCTAGCAGCATGTAGAAAATGACTCCAGAAGTTTACCAACGTCAGGATTTGCTTACAGGCAGACAGGCTGCTGGGTAGGCTCCTTCAAGGAAGCTCAGGCTCAAGACTCAGACTGGGCTCGGGATCGGACTCGAGTCACATAGCGAGTCGAGTCGAGTCGAGTCGGTCGACTCATCAATCGTGCATCAAGACTCACAGTGAGACGGCAGGCCCCGAGGCATTCCGCCGGAGACAGGCACGTGATCATGGGATATGCCTGGCTCGAGGGACCTGCCCTGAAGCGATCGATAAGCAGGAGCTTCGTCCTCTCGCAAAAGTTTACAACCCATCGAGTGTCGTGCAGCTCCGGTTTGCCTGCTACGACTCTACCCCATCCCCTGTAGCGATATCCTTTGAGGAGATCGCGACCTTTTGTCTCTTTTTTTCCGTTTTCGTAGCTTGTAAATCTAGTCACTATGGTGTAAGTATTCTGTTTTATGTCCAGATTAGTGGATCGTTTTGATATGAACTCTCCTTTATGCTAGTAACTTCACCGTAGGTCAGTAGCCTATTTTGTATTATCTCTCCTGGGTCGCTGACTATGCCTTAAAGATCAGATCCGGGCCCTTATGGATCGCCCCACCAATATCCGTAACATGAGTGTTATTGCTCATGGTAAGTTTTTGTACTATCATGAATCAACTCGTATGGGGCGGGTGTTCAATCCATTATATTCTTTAGTTGACCACGGAAAGTCGACGCTTACCGACTCTTTGGTGTCGAAAGCTGGTATCATTGCAAATGCAAAAGCCGGGGATATGCGCTTCACCGATACACGAGATGATGAAAAGGAGCGTGGCATTACAATCAAATCGACCGCCATCTCCATGTACTTTGAGGTCGACAAGGAGGATTTGAGCGCAATCAAGCAAAAAACCGACGGTGCGGACATGTGTTATTCTTTCGCCTCGTGTATCTAACGCATCTCTTGTCTCAGGCAATGAGTTCTTGATCAATCTGATCGATTCTCCTGGTCACGTAGATTTCTCCTCGGAGGTCACGGCTGCACTTCGTGTCACCGATGGTGCTCTTGTCGTCGTTGATTGCGTTGAGGGTGTGTGTGTACAAACGGAGACGGTGCTCCGCCAAGCACTCACGGAGCGCATCAAGCCTGTTGTTGTTATCAACAAAGTTGATCGCGCCCTCCTCGAGCTGCAAGTCGACAAGGAGGCGCTCTTCCAATCCTTCCGCAGGACCATTGAAAATGTGAACGTTATCATTTCCACATATAACGATGCTGCACTTGGTGATGTCCAGGTCTACCCTGAAAAGGGTACTGTCGCATTCGGCTCCGGGCTGCACGGGTGGGGTTTCACCCTCCGTCAGTTCGCCAACAGGTACTCGAAGAAGTTCGGTGTCGACAAAGAAAAGATGATGGCCAAGCTCTGGGGCGACAACTACTTCAACCCGACCACTCGCAAGTGGACATCGAAGAATACGGACACCGATGGCAAGCCCCTTGAGCGCGCGTTCAACATGTTCGTGCTCGATCCCATCTTCAAAATTTTTGATGCCGTCATGAACTTCAAGAAGGACGCTATCGCCCCAATGCTTGAGAAACTCGATGTTAAGCTCGCTCAGGACGAACGTGACCTTGAGGGTAAGGCCCTCTTGAAGGTTATTATGCGCAAGTTCCTGCCCGCCGGCGATTCCCTCCTGGAGATGATTGTCATCAACCTTCCCTCCCCGAAGACTGCTCAGCGCTACCGTGTTGAGACCCTCTACGAAGGTCCCATGGACGATGAGTCTGCTATCGGTATCCGTGAATGTGACCCTCAGGGTCCTCTCGTTCTCTATGTCTCAAAGATGGTGCCTACCTCCGATAAAGGTCGTTTCTATGCCTTTGGTCGTATCTTCTCTGGAACCGTTCGTGCCGGTCCCAAGATCCGTATCCAGGGTCCGAATTACATCCCTGGTAAGAAGGATGACTTGTTCATCAAGTCGGTGCAGCGCACTATTCTTATGATGGGCCGTTATGTCGAGCCTATCGAAGACTGCCCTGCTGGTAATATCGTCGGTCTTGTCGGTATTGATCAGTTCTTGCTCAAGAGCGGAACTTTAACAACGTCTGAGACGGCGCACAACATGAAGGTCATGAGGTTCTCAGTGTCTCCTGTTGTGCAAGTTGCCGTCGAAGTGAAGAACGCTGCTGATTTGCCCAAGCTCGTCGAAGGCCTTAAGCGCTTATCGAAGTCGGATCCATGTGTTCAGACTTCGATTAATGAGAATGGTGAGCACATCGTCGCTGGTGCTGGTGAGCTGCACTTGGAGATTTGCTTGAAGGTCAGTCCATATTTACGACACGTGTAGTGCTCTAGATTGACGTCTTCTAACTTACAGGACTTGATGGAGGATCACGCCGGTGTCCCTCTCAAGATTTCTGACCCGGTCGTTCCATACCGTGAAACTGTTAAGGCCGAGTCTTCGATTGTTGCACTCTCCAAATCACAGAACAAGCACAACCGGCTGTACGTGAAGGCAATGCCTATTGAGGAGGAGCTCTCCCTTGCCATTGAGGCAGGAAAGGTCAATTCTCGTGATGATTACAAGATTCGCGCACGTATCCTTGCTGATGAATATGGATGGGATGTTACGGACGCGCGGAAAATCTGGTGTTTCGGTCCCGAAACAACTGGCCCGAACATGCTTGTTGATGTAACGAAAGGAGTTCAGTACTTGAACGAAATCAAGGATTCGTGTATTGCCGCGTTCCAGTGGGCCACAAAGGAGGGTGTATGTGCGGAGGAGAACATGCGTGGTGTTCGCGTGAACGTTCTCGATGTTACGGTACGTTCCCTAGATTGTGGCACCCTTCGCATATCGACTTATTAGACTACTTTAGCTCCACACTGATGCCATCCACCGCGGTGGAGGACAGATTATTCCTACCTGTCGTCGCGTCTGCTACGCTGCATGCCTCCTTGCTACGCCGGGCTTGCAGGAGCCCGTTTACCTTGGTGAGTTTCACTAGCACTTACATCCCTCAATCGCTCTGATAGAACGATGACAGTTGAAATTCAATGTCCTGAGAACGCCATTGGTGGTATTTACAGTGTACTCAACAAGCGTCGTGGACAGGTCTTCAGTGAAGAACAGCGCGTCGGAACGCCGATGTTTACTGTCAAGGCTTACTTGCCCGTCAATGAGTCTTTCGGTTTCAACGGCGAGCTTCGTTCGCATACTGGTGGCCAGGCGTTCCCCCAGAGCGTGTTTGATCACTGGGAGTTAATGAACGGATGTGAGTACCTCTGTATGTATGCGTTGATTACAGATTTACTCATGGTGTTTTAGCTCCCCTCGACAAAGGCAGCAAGATTGAAGAACTCGTCAAGGAAATTCGTACGCGCAAGGGTCTCAAGGTCTGTCTGATTACTCTAGGATGTTGGCTCATCTAATTCCCTTTTCTCCAGCCGGATATCCCGCCGCTGGATACCTACTACGACAAGCTGTAATGAGAGAATGGGACGCAGAAATAATTCATGTTTCAATCACGTTAACGTTGTTCTACGACCTTCCTGTTGTTTTCCAATAGCTCGTGTACTGTTGTATTCTCCGATGTTCATTTGAATGCATTTTCTATCTAGTTGTAGCGTTCACGTTATCGCAATGGTTTTTGGTGGTATACTATGCGACTCGGCGCAACCGCGTAAATCGCACACTACCTGACAGCTCGGTACCGTGCCCGACTTACGTTGAGCAAATATGACTGAGGTTTGCAAAAGGGAATACTTAAGTACCGTCTTTGTTCATGCACAGTATGTAGGTTCGACCGTTCCACTACGCCTTGACATGTCAAGTTCAACCGATCTCTCGACAGCAACTGGGATCCTCACATATATTGCGGACACTCCATTCGACAGCGATACAGCAGTGCCAATTACTGGAGGTTTCGGTAACTATGTATTCAGGCTTCATCTGCGCACCCCACTCCACGAACAGGATACGGTAGTTTTCAAACATGCAAAACCGTATGTCCCAGGGTGGCCTACTATGGCAATTTCGCTTGATCGACAGGTACAAATTTAGCATGCTTCCCAAAGGCATCTGCGCTGACTACAATATTTGTGTAATTGCCAGGTCTACGAAGTTGCAGCACTGAGACAAGTCAGGGAACGTCTGCCCGATACTTCGCTTGTGACCGTCCCAGAGGTTATCCTCTTTGACGATGTCGCACACGTAATCATCATGAACGACTGCGGCGAAAGGGCCCTGAACCTCAAACAGCTGCTGCAGAGCAGCCCTCCCCCGGACACGATAGCACGCCAGATCGGAACAGCGTTGGGCGAGTTCCTTGCGTGGCTACACAATCGTGGCAGCACGGATGAGGAGTTCCTCGATTTTTTCGCTAGAAACGAGAAGGGAAAGCTGCTGTCTGCAGACGTCACGTACGGGAGACTGGTCTCTACGCTCACGGATGCGGCTCCACCGCTGCTGGCTGAGCCTCCACTCGAAGTTCCCCGGGAGAAGCTGGACATCATAGGCACGGTGGCGAACGACACCTGGCGCGCTATGCAATCGACTACCGAAACGGTCGTCATGGGTGACTTCTGGCCAGGGAACGTGCTCGTTGCTCTTCAGTACAACGAGGAAGGCATTGCGACTGCGATCGAGCGCATCGTCGTCGTGGACTGGGAGTTGGCAAAGTCAGGGTTGGCTGGGCTAGACGTCGGGCAGTTCTCCGCGGAGCTACACCTATTGCGCTCCTTCCATCCAGCTAGCAACGACGCCGCATCGGCCTTGTTGACATCATTCCTAGAGGCATACCGGAGGACGTGCGATGGTGATGCGCTTACCAGGAAGCATGTTGCGAAGATAGCGCTGGTGCACATTGGAGCACATCTCGTGGCTTGGACGCCGAGAGTGCCATGGGGAAACAAGGAGAAAGTCAGAGAGTTGGTACAAAGAGGCATCGATTACTTGGTGGAGGGGAGTTACGCGTCAGAGGGGTATATCCGGGACTCGATGATCGCTGCATTGTTGCGTTGAGATGAGTATGCATATCGCAAAAATAGCCGGACCGACCTCTTTCCCAGCTGTACGTTGTATTTCCATAATGTCTCTCTCTACAAGTTCAGGAACTGCCAGTGCCAGTACCTGTCAACTGCTCCCCAAGATATCCTTTATAGCCCGCTCCACTATCTCTCCATACTGGTTGCATCCATTGATCCAGAGAAAAAACCAAACAGGAGCGAAGAACAGACCGTAGGTGCACCCAGCACCTACCTGAAGCCAAGTATGATGCCCTAGCCATATTCGAGAAGCGGCTATTGTAGCAGACCAAGGTAGAATTATGATCAGAGAGAGGACTCGTATGAGAGGACCAGAGGGCAAGGTGGGATGTACGGGGAGGTAGGCACAGGCGAGAGTCGTGTAGGCAGCATAGTAAGTGATAGTAGCTGAATGGGTGCTTGGCATGCTGTATTGAGCGCATCAGAAAATGGACATCGGGAGATTAAAGCTCAGACTGAGGCCGACGTGTTGACTTACCCATACGATTTCTTCGATTTGCTCCGTATGGTCTTGACGGGTCGCGGTTGGCGCACCATATATTTGACTACTTTGACCGACAACGAACAACAAATGGCACCCGCAGTGAAGTACGCGACTCCAGCAGATTTCGTATACAGCAGGACCACTGCAGTGAAGCCAATGACCATAACATTGCTCTAATGAACTAGGTCAGAGTTTTGCCGTGATCTTGAGTAATTCAGAGCGACCCACCTCATCAAGGAGCCGCATCCACCAAGTGTTAGCAGATTGCGAGCTCCTCTCACTCGCCGCCATCAGTGTGTGTGTTGACAGGAAGGTCGCTGCCACTCGCGACAGGTGATACAGCAACGTGCAACTCGAGAAGTGCCACTCATAAGGCTAAGCCTGAGTAACACATATTCATATAGGGCATCATTCTGCAAACATCAGCGCAAACATCAGTCTTCAGCTCAGCTGGCACAAAGCTATCGTAATGTTTACAGGTACTCATCCACATAAATTCTGGTTAATGGTTGCAGAGAATCGGCCGGTATCCTGTCGGCCACGGTTGGTGTGCAAATAAATCTCCGAGTCGTACAGTCTTAGGGTCAATGTTGGAATGTGGGACAACAAATCTAACGGCAAAGCGAGCTATAGACTCGCACGTTTAGAATAACCACCAATAGCGTTACAAGGTACAGTGGTATTGATTCGACATTCAGGATCCTAGGCCTTATCCAACTTCTTTCAGGGAACAATACACTGCATAGTTTTCAGTGCTAGTTTACATAAATTTGGACGCCTACACCAAAAGGGGGAGGGCCGTTAGATCAACTATCTGACATGCTAAAGGGAAATCACGTACCAAACCCATAAGGCTGCTCAGCCCCCCACTACTGCCTCCGCCAGTCGCTCCACCACTAAATTTGGACTGCACAAGCAACTTCATGACGGTCATGGCTGCACCATTGATAGCATCCTGCTTGCTACCCGAAGAAGCTCCTCCTGACTTGTCGAAGAGCTTAGAGGCCTCGCCCATGGCGAAACTGATCAAGTCAGAGGAAGATCCTCCTCCGGCTCCGCCGCCTGTGAACATCTTCATAGCCTGGCCAAATCTCAGTTTATGGCATGATACTTGACTCATGGTTGAAAAAATGCTTACCTGCATGGCAGCAGCACCGCCCATTGAGCCGGCACTCAAGCTGCTGGCGTTACCCTCTTGATAGGCCGCGCGATGAGCATTTTGTACGTGCTCCTCATCAATGGGCTGCTCGTGCTCGCTCTGTACATAAGTGTGCATCAAAAACCCTGAGGCAGACACGTCTAATACGACAACACTCACTGCGTGATTATGGACATGCTGAAGGGCAGAAGAAAATAACGACGAGTCTCCTCCGCTATGCCTACTGGCAGCACTTGCGACCTCGGATTCGTCAACTGACAAAATTCATCAGTCCTAGCACTTCGTATCGTACGCCCATTCCAAAACGTACATGGCGGACGTCCATGCCCTTGAGGATGTCCCCCACCAGAGTGATACGGAGAATTCAAGTGCTGCCCCCCCATCTGGGAGTATTGACCGCTCCCGGGAGGAGGGGGAGCACCGTATTCCTGAGGATGACCTTGGTTATAGTATCCCTGCGCTTCTCCGTGAGGAGGGCCGCCGTATGCCTGGCCGCCTCCGCCATGTTGTGGGCGGCCCTCACCACGGTGGGGAGCGTACTCTCCCCCACCTCCTTCATAAGGAGGCCGTCCCCCACCCTCATACTGAGGAGCGCCGTATTCCTGACGGCCCTGATGATACTGCGGGTGCTCGCTATATTCCTGACGACCCTGCTGATATTGCGGGGGCTCGCCATATTCCTGACGACCTTGCTGGTACGCCGGGCGACCACCAATTTCATTCTGTGGTGCGCCATACTCCGGACGCCCGCCACTATGGTGCGGGGCTCCGTACTCTTGCCGACCACCTTCGAATGGCGGCGCGCCTCCTTGAGCATATTGAGGGGCACCCCCAGCATTGTACTGTTGCCCCTCGCCTTCAGGATGATGGTGATGGTGGTGATGAGGAGCACCCTCTCCCGCGTAGTATTCGTTAGCTTGTAACAAGAAGTGAACAACATATTCCGAGTGGACGGAACCGTGCGATCGTCTAGATCGCGAAGGATGGATTCATATGAATAGAGTTTACACTTACATTGTGGGCGTCCGTATTCCTGCAACGCTGTGAGCCCGGTTCGCAGAGACAGGCATGGAAGAACATACCATGTTGGATTCAAGAAAGTGATTCTCCCGTTATCTGCTGGCGATGGTCCTAATAAATCGTTGTGGTCGCAGGATGAGGAAGCGGTGGAGCGGTGGCGCGGCTGTAGCGCGGATGGCTGTCCTGAGTCGCCTCTGCTGCGCATCGATATCCAGCGAGACGCTTCAAGTTCCAGTGCCGAGTTCCCTATGCCCACCGCCGGCTTCCCCTCATGTTTTTCCCTTCCCGGCCACCGCTCTCCGTCCACCCCACCGTGTTTTGATAGCACGCTGGAGCGAGCTCGCTCTCTACCCGAACTATGTTCTCTCTAACGCAGACCGTCCTTTCAGTGCTTTTGCTTTCTGTCGGCGCCCACGCCGCCGTTGCGGTCAAACGGAACACCACTGCCACCTGTAATGGCTATGCAGAAGTAAGCGACAGGGCTGTGCGTATAGATCGTATGTGCTTACAGTTCTCTAGTTCTGTGATCGCTCCTATGGTAATATCACGTACGTTGGCGCACATGATTCCTATGCCGTCTCCACGACGAATCGTAAGTCAATTACGGGCCCAGCTGCTGTGTTCCCTTATAATGACGTTATATAATTGCCGCAGTCGCCGCCAACCAAGACTACAACGGTACGTCGGTGGGACATCTATCTACCACAGACATAATCTATATCATTTCCTAGTGACCCAACAGCTCAAGGATGGGGTTAGAATGCTCCAGCTGCAAGCGCACAACCAGAGCAGTACCATTCAACTGTGTCACACGTCTTGTGTACGGCATATTCTATTTGTAGTTGTCTGTCGCTGAGAGAAATCCAGGACTTGCTTAATGGCGGCACGCTTGCCAACTATTTAGATAGTGGTATGTGCTAAAAGTATGCTGATCGGCCCTGTGCGTCGGCAACTGACTGCCTGCGATTGTTGCAGTGAAAATCTGGATGGATGAGAATCCCAATGATGGTGGGATGTCTGGCAATTAATCATGTGCCATGATTTACATGTCCTGCAGTTGTCTCCTTGCTCATCGTGAACTCTTATGACAACATACCCCCGGCTGATTATGACACTGTCTTCAAATCGGTCGGTCTCGATACTATGGTATATTCGCCTCCTTCGGCTACCTTGACTGCAAGTGGTTGGCCAACTTTGGGATCTCTTATTAGCTCTGGACAACGTCTGGTCGTCTTTCTGACTACTGAAGCTAATTTCCAAGCTGTCCCATATCTTATAAACGGTGCGTCCTTTCTTTCGATTGGCGTCGCTTTTATGTTAATTCCCGCGATTTTGACGCGGACAGAGTTTACAAACATCTGGGAGACCGCATACGATGTTACAACGACTGCTTTTGATTGCAGTGTGAACCGGACAGATGGTGACACTAGCACGCAGATGTATCTCATCAACCACTTTCTGGACTCTGATGTGGCTGGAATCCCTATTCCGGACAAAAGCCAGGCGAACGTCACAAATGGCGTCAGTGGAGTGGGCTCTTTGGGGCAGCAAACTTCAACATGTACGGCTGAATACCACCGGCCCCCGAACTTCATGCTTGTTGACGTACGTGGCCTGCGCTGGTACCGATTGTTGACGATTGATCACTTTGCAGTTCTACGAGTACGGCAACGGTTCCGTCTTCGAGGTTGCGGCCAGCGCCAATGGAGTGACATATGCGCCAACCTCGCCGATTGCCACACCTATCACAGGGAGCAGCACTGGTACTGGCGGCGGCACCAGCGGCAGTGTACCTGGCCTTCATATAACGTCTCTACATGTGGCGGCGACATGCGCCATGATATCCGGCGTACTGTTCGGTGCATGGAGCATTCTCTGAACACCCAGTTTACCATTCCACACATCTCGATCGGACCTTCATCGGCGTAATGATGAACTCTTGGACTAACTCACGAACGTTCTGTATGCACGACTACACAACACCTTGCTATTGTTAATTACATACTAACGATATTGATCCTGCTTGTTCTCGCATTTTGAATATCAAATGTGACGTGACATGTGACTCGACAAGGCAGATGCTGAATCCGAGTCCGAGTCCGACTCTCCGACAATCCTAATTCCTGCCTTGTGCTTGTGTGGTCGAGACTCTATACCAAGATGAGCTTTCAGCATTTTAGGTTGTCGACGCCCATAATAGCTCAGCCTACAACATTTGATAAGGATACTGCCGCCGAAACACCACCATCTACGTCTACTTTCGTGCAAGCGCTTGCCCAGCAACAAACAGTATTGCACAGCAGTCTGCAGCTACTGCACTCTCACCTACCAACTGGACCAAAAAAAGGCCCATATGGGTCCGGAGATGCTGATGATGGATACACGATGGTTTTCCCGTCCGAGACAGCTTTTCAAGAATGGCGCCGGCAAGAAGAGGAGGGGAAGATGGTCGAGTTCGTGAAAGGCGATACCCATGGCTCGAAAGCAGTTCCTCCACGGTTCAAGGATCATACCAAACTGGTGTGCGCGCGACATAGTAGGACTGGGAGGAAAAAGTACATCAAAAAGTTTCCCGACAGGGTGAGGAAGATACCCAGCCGGAAGGTGCGCCGCGTCTTCCTTACAGACAAGATGCGTACTCAATGGACATATGCATAAGGCAGCTCGATGGAATGGGATGTCCTGCTTCAATCAGTTATAAAACATACTTCGACACCGAAGAAGTCCGCGTGATGTGTGAGTGGGCATCTCGTAAGTGACGTTCAGCCATAGTCACCGTGCTTTGCAACAGACTTCTCGGAGCACTCACACGAGATCGGACTCGCCAATCTTCCATTCACTAAACGGGGGAGAAAGGCACAAGCTGAACAGCAAACGCGCGCCAGACGACGGCCTGGAGCTACAACAGAGGACACTCCTTCATCGAGTAGCCCACCGTCTACAACACCACCCTTGCTGCTCCCCGCGAATGCCGTGGGTGATCCGTCACCCGTGCCTTCCAAGTCAAACGCTATCGCCGGTCCGTCCAGCATGCCTCACCCGATTGACATCTCCGCGTCGTCGTCCATGTCTCCGGAAGTTGAGAGTACGCCGCCATCTGCGTCGATCTCACATTCAGGACAGGCTTTCCAATCTGCTGTGACAATGGTCGCACCGCTACCGCTACAGCATGGGTCGCAACATCCACTGGACTTATCGCAGGAGCGGTGGGACCGGATGAGTGTTCTGTTCGGCAGCATCAGAGAGCACGCGCGCTCCCTCGAGTATCCCCCGGCATCTGTGGCGGCGCTAGAATGTGTACTGGTGCGCTTGTATTTGGAGAGTCCAATGGCAGGAATGAGTCCTCCACAGGGAGGGATGGTAGGTATGGACTTGGGTATGACTGTTATGAATGAGATTAGCGAAATTGGGAATTCAAGACACCTGGGTACCTAAATTGTGGTTGAAAATTTAAAATAATAATAATAATAATCCCTTTACGCGTCCTGAATAGTGTGGAGACGGTGTACAGACGATATGTTGTCTGAACACTGGCTTGGAAAACCTTGGATTTTGGGTCACATGACCGCAGTTTTCAATAACGATGCAAAGATTTGTATTAATGTAAGTTGAAGGCTCTCTGCCATGTCTTCTCTCCGAAATTCGTTGCATCGGCGCAATCACAAGGAACGCTCACAGCTTGCACATCGTGCGCGGCTCGGAATACTCGAAAAGCACAAGGACTATGTCCTCCGTGCTCGGGATTACCACTCGAAACAAGAGAGACTCATCCGTCTTCGTCAAAAGGCGGCAGAGCGGAACAAGGATGAGTTTTACTACGCGATGAACAGGCAGCGGACGCAGGTATGTATGTAGTGCACTTACACGGATATCGGCTGATTGAACCGTCATGTTAGGGAGGAGTGCACGTACAGGACCGAGGGAATAGTGCACTGCCTGTGGACATTGTTAAAGTTCTCAAAACTCAGGACGAAAACTACCTCCGCACGATGAGGACAGCAGGTCTCAAGGTGAAGTATATCGTAGATAATTAAATATGCTTGTGGCTGAGACGTCTCCATTTACTGCCCCGCAGAAAATTGATAAGCTGAAGAGTCAACTAACAGCGCTCGTGGACCTTCTGAGGCCAGGCCCCCTTGACAGTTATGACGATGATGATGTACAAGATCTAGACGACGCAGAGATTGAGGTGCTACTCGAGGCTGGACTTCTACCGGCGGCGCCTTCCAAACAAGCCAACAAGTCATATGCAAAACGGCGTGTTCGACACATCATATTTGCGGAGAATGCAGACGAAGGTACGTTCGTACGCTATTTATGAGGCTGATTTATTAAGTTCTTTTCTCGATTTTGTAGCACGGCAGTATGCCTCTAGCTCCGGAACGCAGACATCGTTAAATGATAACATGGATCTGGATGTTGCGGAGGAACGCGACGTGGACCTTGGTTGGAAGGCGCCAGAAACCGGAAAGAAGGGTGGCATAAAACGGTCAACAGCTGTTTCTGCAGCAGAAGCACGAGCTTCCGACAGTTCGACGGAGGAGAGGCGGGAGGCAGCTATAGTTAGTATCAACGTCTTTCTTTATGATGCTGAGCCACGCATCTCACGTCCTTTCACAGCAACACCGTTCACGACTGCTCAAAGAGCTTTCTGCTCGCCTCTTCCGAGATAAGCAATTACGCTATGCGGAGAGGGAGCTGGAGATGCAACGTCTACTCATGGGCAAAGGAGGTGCGAAAAAGCTCCGTGGCGCTGAAAAAGTAGAAGGCGACGACGGGGACGACGATGACGAGGACGAGTCTGGCAGAGATACCCGAAAGAAAGTAGACGAGAAAGTCTGGAAGCCTCGGGTATACAAATGGCGAGTCGAGCGGAAGAAATGACCTTGTGTTATTATCTCCGTCTCGTTCGTACGGATCGGCGAACGCCTGGGCTGGTCGAGTGTACGCCCAGTGCGTCCGATGTTTCACATCCTATCTTGGAGGTCCCATCGTGAAACTTGATTCCCGCAAAGACGTGAGTGGACATTTGCTTCCGACCAATAATATCAGTGCAACGTCCGACATGCTGGCTCGCATTACTGAATATGATACAATTAATCGGTCTACATGAATGCCCAAGCTTCCAAAACAAGGACAATGAGTTCGAGGATACACGGGGTGTACAGGCAAATATATAAGGCACAAGACCCGACGTAAGCAAGTGATATTCATGGGACTTCGTTCATTCTTACACCTCTGTTCGTTACTTTCATGTCTGACATTCAAGGGTCCATAAATGGGTCTGCAAATGGATCTTCCGTGTCCACTAATAAGCCATGTTTCGGATCCCTGCGTGCATCCTCTTCGTCTTCAGATACCCCTGCATAAGCGCGGGCGGTAGAGGTAGAAGCACGGTTGTGTGTTCCCTCATCAGAAGATTCGTAGTCGCTGTAATCAGAGAGAGTGCCTCGGCCATAATCGTCGTCCTCGTCAGATGAGGTGCGACGGGTAGACGGGCGGAGAGGCGGCGGGAGATTTCTAGATATCTCAGGATTAGCACGATCAAGGATGAGGATTTTTTAAAGAGACATACCCTTGCTCATGACCTAGAGAGCCAAAGCTGAGATCTTGCAGATCAGGATACACGCTGGACTGTCCTGCAGTACCGGACTCATCCCTGTCTTTCCCTCTATAGCTGGTGCTGCGACCAATTGAACGCTGGACTGCGGCACGCTGCTTCTCCTGCAGCTTGCCGAGCTCAGAGTCTTGGATATGAAGCGCTGCAAGACCATCTTGTACATGCTTGACGTCTTGTTCACTGATATTCGGTCGAGCGAGCTGCATTCGTATAGTGTCAGCGGAGGAAGTCTAATCGGACAAAGTCCATACCGTATCGTAAGACTCGATGGATGCGATGATCCGGTCATTAGCCTCAATCAGAGTGCCTATCATTTCTTCATTCTCAACCAGCTACAGTGCCCAGTCAGCGACATTAGCCCCAAGACCTGTTGTAAAACTTGTTGCAGTACCTGGATGTACCTGACAATCTGCTTTCTTGACAACTTGGCTTTCTCAAGGCACTCTTGCACCCTCGTGTTGGTTTGTATGCTGTCATGCTCGGTGTTCACGAGCTTGGCGACTTATCAGATTCATCCGGAAATGAACAGGTATAGAGATTTACAGTAATGGCATTGACCAAGTTGATTGACGCTTGCGAGGCACTCGCAATCGCATTCAAGACGTGGGGTTTCTCCTACGTGCGCCAACTGGGTTAGTCACAAAATTTCGCCAAGGTAAACTGACGCGCCTGCTCGAAGTCAAACGGCTTTCTCTTGACTTTTCCGTTGACCTTTCCGCTGCCCCGAGAAGCGGCCTTTCTCTTCTCTTCCTCCTCTCTTTTCCTTCGCACCTTCTCTTCCTTTGCCTTCAGCTTGTCCTGCTCCTTCCTCCTTCTTTCTGCCTCCCTCTCCTCTCGCTCAGCCTCCTTCTCCCTTTCACGCTCCCTGGCACGTTCTCGCTCCTCCTCCAGATCGGCGCCATAGCCGATAGACGGTTGTTTCGGAGGGACACGCTGGATGCCGGCCACGCCACAGACCTTGTAAAGGTTAGCAACAAGACTCATCGATGGATCATCTTTGAATTGAAGATGCCAGGAATTAAGCACAATGACCACTTTCTTCTTCACTTTCGGGTCTGACGTGCTCTCGGTCGCAAGCATTTTGAGAGCGTCGGTCAACTGGTGATCGGCGAAGGTTGCTGGCGGTATTCATTAGCATGACATCGAGGTGAGTGTAACTGTGCTAGCATACGCACTCTGGAAGTTGTGGCCGCCATTCTCAACTAATGCTTTCAAGATCTGGAATACGAAAGATGTCAACATTTTACGGATATTTTGCAGTAGTTACTTACGACCAATGCTCGGTACTGCTGGTGCGCATTACCATGCTTGAGCTTCTTCCTGATAGCCCTGGATGCCTCTGTCGGACTATGACGAATTGTTTATTAATGGAACTCGGAATGATTTGATATAGTAGACTCGCCCAGTGCCTTGAATGCTGATCGAATCCACTAACTCTGGTATCCTATGGTGCGAAATGAGATGCAGGATTCGCGAAAAAAGGATTATATGCGCACCCGTCATAGGCTTCATCTTCATAACTGGACGACGTGAGAATCTCCACCCATTCAGTGATAGAAGACTAGAATGAGTTAGCTAGAAGCCCGTATGTGGACGGGTGACTGAGACACACGTGGGGTTTCTCCCTATTGAAGGCCCCGTATACCGACTTGGCTAGCTGCATCGACATGATGGCAGCTGGGAGGGAGTGATGATGGACGGAGGCTGAGTGCGATACAATAGCGCGCCGTGGCCGCAGTGTGGCGAAATCACAATCTAATCGTTCGGATAGGGCCGGATTATCGTGCCTTATGAGGTCATACTCTGTATCTCTCTGACTTGCAACTTGCTTGCAGCGTCTTACCGTCCCATTGCTGGTCGTCGCAGGCCACATCAACATACACCCCAAATCGACACCCACTTACTTGGTGGCGATTGACGAGAACATACCACACTATATCCAGAATTCCATGTTCTAGCTATCTAGAAGGTGTGTATTTACACCCATTGGATCAGTTCCCGCTTGCTCCCTCCGATCCAGAACGGCTGTAGAGCAATCGGTAGATTGATTCTCCTCAGCGATCCCTCCAAACCAAATTCTGCGCCATTCTCGAGGAGAGCGATGATGAGTCGGGGAATTGCAGCTGCTGTCCCGTTCAGTGTATGCGCGAACGGCAGGGAGGGCCCCGGCTCAGCAGAAATCAGCGGGCGATGACGAATGTGTAGTCGACGAGCTTGATAGTCGGTACAATTCGAAGTGGAGGAGATCTCTCCCCAACTTCCACGACCAGGCATCCAAGCCTCTATGTCATATTTACGATAGGCACTTGCGCCGAGCTCCTCCGTTGGCATGTCAAGAACCCTAGAAAACAGCTTGCTCAGCGATCGAAAGGAAGGAGCCAAAAATACATTTGAGCTCACCTGAATGGGAAGCCTAGACCCTCGAAGATCTCTATCTGCAGTTGCCTGAGCTGTTCCATAATGGCTTCGCTGGCACGGGCTTCACAAGCAACAAATAGCTCTAGCTTTGTGAACTGATGCACTCGATATAGACCCCGCGTATCAGTACCTCGAGCTCCTGCCTCTGCACGGAATGCTCGACCGAGACCAACCAACTTGCGCGGTAAATCGTCGGGTTGCAGTATCTTATTCGCGAACATCCCGGCCAGAGGGATCTCCGCTGTACCTGCGAGGACAAGCTCTGGATGATGTGACCCGGTGTGAGAGGAGGCGAGATGGTACATTTGTGAGGTTGGAGGATCTGAATTATGGTCGCGTGGCTGAAACCCGCATCGACTTGCGATGTCAGCTCGAACAACATCGGGGGTTGTCACTGGCGTGAAACCATGCTTGAGAGCAATGCTCAGAGCGTAGTTGATGAGAGCCTGCTCAAGAAGCGCGCCTTCGTTGATCAGATAGTACCACGACGATCCAGTGACAGTGGCCCCTGCTTCAATGTCGAGCAGGTTGAGCGTACGACAGATTGAAACGTGATCCCTTACGGATGATGCAGGTAGAGGATCGGGTCCGTGAGTAGACAAGATAACACTTTCCGACTCCGGACCAATGGGTACGTCTGGATGAGTGTCATTAGGAATGGCCAAGGCAAGAGTGAATAATTGGCTGTCAAGTTCCTCTAGCTGATCCTCGAGCACTGCAATTTCAGCTTTGAGGGCCTTGGCATCGTTGAGAACGGCTTGCTTGGCCTCTGCGTCAGTGCCTGATTTCCGTATTCGTTCGCCCATGAGTGAGCGAGCATGGCGTTTGGCACTAATGGTCTCCGACATGTTCTTCTGCTGCTCATAGAGACGGGCTACCTTCTGAACAGTCCCAACGGGAAGATTAGCGTGTCGGTTAAATGCATTATGCGACTTGTAGACGACGTTCTCGGAGATAGCTCGATAGTCAAGTCGTGGTCGAGGCAGCCCACTTGACACCGAGTGTTCTGGCGAGGTGGAGAGAAGACGTGTTCTTACGCCTCAATAATTCTTGAGCTTTAGAGCACTCGAAGCGAACACAGAAAAGGAGCGCACCGGTTAGATGGGAACAAGTGCGAATAATGGTTGTAGAGCAGGAAGTAAAGCGTGGCATTTGCGAAAGTGCATGAAGCGCCCATCCAAATCCTCGGAGCGCCTCAGCCACCAACGCGTCTCGTCACGTTCTCGCAGGGCGCGAACGCGACCTGCTTTTAGAGTCTAATAACTAGTTCCACCACTAAGCCCTGCCCTATATATCTCCGCGATATGGCTTCATCATCTGCGAAAGGGAAGGCACCTGCGAATGGAAACGCTACGAACCTACCTTACGAACTCCCTTGGTTGCGTCTCTATCGCATCGTCGTCTGTGTTCATTAACCGAACGTGTTGTGTAGGGTCGAGAAGTATAGGCCGCACGCCCTGGACGACATAGTTGGGAATACCGAAACTATTGAACGTCTCAAAGTTATCGCAAAAGATGGAAATTGTCCGCACATTATTATCTCGGTAGGCCCCCCCAAACATCCTTTCTTTGCACGTCTAATGGCGCGTCCAAAGGGAATGCCGGGAATCGGTAAAACGACCAGTATACATTGTTTGGCACATCAACTCTTAGGTGACGCGTACAAGGAGGGGGTGCTCGAGCTCAATGCATCAGACGAAAGGTTAATCGTAGTCTGCGTGAGCCGGCTATAGGAACATTAACGTCCGATGGCAGGGGTATTGACGTTGTGCGGAACAAGATCAAAGCATTCGCGCAAAAGAAAGTTACTCTTCCGCCAGGGCGACACAAAATTGTCATTCTAGATGAGGCAGATAGGTATTCCGGTAGTTCGACTGGTCACCATTCCCACTACTGAAACCATCCTCCAGCATGACACCCGGCGCGCAGCAAGCACTGCGACGAACGATGGAAATCTACGCGAACACGACCCGTTTTGCACTAGCATGCAACATGTCGAACAAAATTATAGAGCCCATCCAGAGCCGATGCGCCATTCTGCGATATGCGAAGCTGCGCGACACCGAGATTCTGAAACGACTGTTGGAAATATGTGAGATGGAGAAGGTAGGTGCGCGAGGCACGGCTAACTTGCTTAGCGGTCTAAGCAGTCTTGTGACACAGGTGCAGTACAACGACGACGGGTTAACCGCACTTATCTTCACGTCAGAGGGCGACATGCGGCAGGCCATCAACAACTTGCAGTCAACCAACTCTGGCTTCAGCTTTGTTTCCGGTGACAATGTGTTCAAAGTGTGCGATCAACCACATCCGATTATTGTCCAGAGCATTATACGCGCGTGCCTGAAAAGCAATATTGACGATGCCATGGACAAGTTGAATGAGCTCTGGGATCAAGGGTACAGTGCTGTAGATATCATTGTTACAATCTTCCGGGTTGTTAAAACCTTTGATGAGTGAGTACAACCTCATGGATGACATGCTATCTTAAAAAGTTCACTGTGTCTCAGGATGCCAGAGTACACGAAGTTGGAGTACATCAAGGTAAGCTCTTTGCTTGGTAGACGTGTTTAATCTCACCTTTTTGTAGGAGATCGGTTGGACACATATGCGAATACTAGAAGGTGTCGGTACCCTCATTCAACTTGGCGGGCTCATGGCCCGTCTCTGTAAGATGTCAGTAGAATTGGAGCTGTTACTTTTCTGTTTGCATTGCTCATTCCCAACTTCTATCAGGAACATGAAGCCTGAACTGTTCAAGGTGTAAGAGCCATATGTAGTGTTACTGCCCTGTGCCTGTTACGAACAGACTTTGCACTATCGTACGTTATTCTGTTATTCAACAATCATAATGCGAGAACATCGAGATGTGTCGATCCGACGTTCGAGTCGATATTCGTGCTACGAAGGCGATACTCAAGTTGAGCCTGAGGTTGATCCGGCCGTGGGCGCTTATTCGGAAGGTCGAGCTCAAGCTTGAGTCATGCGATCACGACGACATCGCGATTTCTCGGTCGATTCAAGTTGGGCCGCATGCAGTCAGAGTCCGACTTGAATGACATAACATTCTGCCTCTTTCTCCTTCAGCATGGCGGCCGCAGAGGATACACCTGTCGCACGACGTCTGCGCGGAGTCAAACACATCATCATCGTCTGCTCCGGCAAGGGCGGCGTTGGCAAATCCTCCGTCTCGACCCAGCTCGCGCTCTCTCTGCGTGCGTCCTCGCCGACGGCTCGCGTAGGTGTTCTTGATGTCGATCTTACGGGCCCCTCGATACCCCGGATGCTTGGTCTCGACGGACACTCGGTGCACCAGAGCAGCGACGGCTGGGTGCCCGTGTACGCGGACGGCAGCGAGGCACGCTTGGCCTGCATGAGTGTGGGGTTTCTGTTGAAGAAAAAGGAGGACTCGGTCGTCTGGAGGGGTCCGAAGAAGAACGCTATGATCCGCCAGTTCCTAAGCGATGTGCGGTGGGAGGAGCTGGACTATCTGGTCATCGACACACCACCTGGTAGGCACATCGTGACTTTTTAGTATCGTAGCCCTCTGACGTCTGGTCAAGGCACGTCCGACGAGCATCTGTCGCTCGTGGAACATATGGCACCGGTTCATTCGAGACTGTCTGCCGTACTTGTAACGACACCCCAGGCAGTTGCTCTTATGGATGCAATGAAGTGCCTGTCTTTCACGCGTACCACCTCCATCCCTGTCTTGGGCCTCATCGAGAACATGAGCGGATACGTTTGCCCGTGCTGCGGCGAGATCAGTAACGTGTTTTCGACTGGCGGTGGCGAAGAAATGGCGAGACGGGAAGGCCTGCGGTTCCTGGGGAGCCTCCCCGTGGATACCGAGCTCGTATCGCTTTTGGACGCTACAGAGCCTGAGAGTCTGGGGTCGGTTGAGAGGCTCGCAGATGGTGGCAGCGTGCGCTCGTTTCAGCTGCTAGAGCGTTATCAAAATACATCCACTGCACCGCTGTTCCAAGCCATCGTGGACAAGGTGGTACAGGCACTGTCGGGTGATGACAGCCATATGAATGCCGCTATCTGAACATCGCCATGGTTTGTGTTGCAAATATTGCGGTTTCTGCTCATGATTAATGATGCTTTCCTCCCAGATTGCATTTAGATTATGTTGTGTAGCGATAGCTTGTAGGGTGATCCAAATCATAACTTATACCGATCTTGCCGGGGTTCGTCATTTGGCGCGTCAGGGTGAGATTTGTTGCCGTCGATATGACCAACAATCAAGTCGAGATCAGTGGCATGATTGATTGCGCCAGAGTCTAACCATGTATAAGTTGGTCCAAGCCTACATTGCATCACTTTCTGGTGACTAGTATGTGTTGCACGTACTGTACGCTATGGACGGCTTCCAGGATACGCCGTGTAAGCACTAACGTCCCGCTCGACCACCGTTCGATGCCGCATTGCAGCATGCCGGCCCAAGTCGACCGCTCGCCGTGCTCGTGGTCGTCGCCGTCGCGTGTCGTGCACGCGCGATGACACGGGCCGGGCGATAGTCGGCTGAGGGGAACGCGGATGATGTTGAGTGCACCGTGGCCGGGAACGCGGACGCTATCGATGAAATTGCACTGCACTGCCGTCGCCCACGTTTCGCCCAAGGCGTTCGGCTAGGACACACAGACGCTGCATGTTCAGCGCGGCCACGTTCTCCCAATCTCTTAACCTTCATCTCTCAGCCAGCCCCGCCTGATCTCTCTCCCCGCTCCCCATGATTCTCTGCGGCTAGCCCTCCACACGCTTGCTTTACGACCAGCACGACTCTTCGAACGACCCAGCACGCCCTCAACGTCCAAGTATACCCCCCTAATCCACCAAACTGGGCTATTCGCAACGACCAAAGCTACAACAACCATGGACCCCGTCCGTACTTCCATACCACGTAAGTCGATGGTTTGTCCTGTCCGATGTGTGAGCTTATGCGACCACCCAAGGACGCCCCCCATCATCCCCTGCATCTATAAGTATCACGGCCTCGGTTGTGGATCGAAACGCGTCCGCCATGAATTGCGCTGTTGGCACCCACCTCCGCCGCAAGTCAAGTCGCATTGAGAAGTGGCTTGATGAACAGCATCGCATGTCGGGCGACGAGAAGAGCGTCCATATCCCCGCTAACGAGCAGAGTGTCCCATCCGGGGACGCGAAACGTAGTCCGTGTCTCGCCTATCCTCGCCTGCCGCCTGCCTCGTTGCGCAAGGACCACGACGACCAGTCGACCCTGAACAGTTACGTTCTCATTGACGACGCCCAGCGCGTGTCCCAGGACGCCCCACAGGTGTGTTTATCCGCCCATGCGAAGCTACCAGTCTGTCGCTGACCCCGTTTTGCCACTCACGCGTTTTTTAGGGTCCTCCTTCCGATGCTACACCTCACGCCTCACCTCCCTCCACGCCCCGCAAGACCTCACCGTTCCGATCCGCTCAGGGCGTGTTCCAATCTTCGTCTCCACTGCGCGGATTCCACCTGTCTTTTGGTTCTCGACGCCCCTCAACCTCTTCAAATACAACCAGGTCGCAGACCCCCATTTCCCAAGCGACATCTCCGCCTCCGCACAATGATCCTCCAGGAGGTCATAGTCGGAGCTCCAGTCTAGCTACCATGTACACAAAGCCTGACCGCACAGCTAGCCCTAGTTTGGCAACTTCCCGTCAAAGGTCGCTGTCTTCATGGAAGCTAAGGCGCCCCAGTACCACTGAACAGCGACAGCCTACCCTCTTATCTTCGGATGCCTACACGTTGGCCCCGCCTCGTCCCAGTATGTCTTCATCCATCACGCATTCATCCAGTGCGTCCATCCCTCCGTCCTCAATCGACACCCCGAGCGGTTCGCGCAAGACCCACTTTGGCCAGGCCCGTCCTCAGTCGCCAGCACTTTTCTCTGCATCGTCGCCGTCACTGTGGTCACTGCCAACAAACGCGTCGCACATGTACGATCCCCCGGATTCGACTAAGGTCATTGCTCGCGACAAGGCCGTGCGGATCCCTTTGTCGCTCAAGATGCCTGCCGGAAATGGCGCGGGTCTTTCGAGTGCGCTGGCTGCACCCAGAGCGAGGAAGAAGCGGAAATTGGTTGTCAGCGGTATCCGTCCTGAGGACGACTATCGCTTCGAGGCTATCAAGAAGTGGTGCGAGGTTCGTAATCTATTGTGTTACCCCGGGGAGGTTTTACAGCATTCTGACCCTGCATTTAGTCATTTGGCGAGTTGGCCTCTATCTCTCGAGTCGCAAGTGGCGACATTCACGTAGACTTCCGTAAGGCGGAAGTAGCCGAGACGGTGTGTATATTGCTGCTTGATTGGCGAAAAGGAAGCTTAAACATTTTGCGTTAGGTGTGCCGACTGCAGGCAAGGGTGCACATCATAGGTGTCGGCAGCGTGCGTTTATCCTACTTCACAGGCAAGAAGCCTTGAACATTTACGTATTGTAAGTACGCTCGCATCTCCATGGCGATAGTTGCTCACGAAGCTATCCGCAGCATACTATTGGCTTCCAAAGCATTGTCACATTACGAACTATTTTCTGTCAGTCCTCATCCTCAACATCTGACTTTACCGGAGTCTAGCATCAGCTGCATCTATGCCCCATGGCCATCCATCCTACTGTGACATATGTTTATAGTCAACATTGTATAGCCTATGCTTGCACTTTCTATCTACATACCCCCACTAGTGACTGCGTCCCGTTGTCATTGAACACTCCTAACATACCCGATCTGTTGATTCGCATTTGCTGTGTATAGGGCTCCGCAGTGTTCATCTGTCTATTTGTGTATTTCTACGTATTCCACTTTGTGCCATATCTGGTTCGTGTTATCTACATGCATTTCACGGGAATCATAGCGGCGGGACCAGCACGCGTGTTTCATAGAAGTTCTCCTGCCTTGACCGTTGGATTTCAATTGCTCTTAGCCAATACCCAAGGTCTTTCCAGAACGTTTGCTGCCTTTCGGTTCCAAACCAGAACGGCACGATGGAGAGGTGGTTGGCAGAGTCTATGTGATGTACGTGCCAGATACCGCTCTCAGGTTCTTCCAGGCATGCATTTGTCACTTTAAACTTTCCGGGGACAGTACTTGCCGTGTCTGAAAAGCCGGGGTTGTCAAGGGATAGCGTAGTATGCTTGCAGCGAGTCTCCCTGAATGTCTCGTAAAATGAACGATACTAATGGCACTAACGCGAACGACGCACCCGCAGGCGAGAGGATGCCATTGAGAGAACAGAGGGACAACACCATCGTTAGCCCAATGTTCTTCGCCTACACTAGGGCAACGGCGGCCGCTAGGACCGTCCTGGTCAAACGCGTTGCGTTCTACGGCTGGTATATTTCCGGAATCCGATCGGAAAAGAAACGCAGGCGGGGGCTGCAAGCTGGTGTAATCGAATGACCCCATCGACCGGGAGGATAGGTAAAGAGGAGACATGAGGTGTTGAGCCTGAGGCACATGCATGAGCGAACCTTTGGTTTTCTTGGTCTAGCAGGGTGTGTTTATGAGGAATTATCGAAACTGACAGTGCGGATTCTTACCATACAGGCAGCATAGCTCCGATAGAACGTTCCAGGATTGAGCCGTCCTTCAAGCTTGGCCTCCCGTCTTTCCGCGGCCTGAAAAGTCACGTCAAAGGGGGCGCAATCTTCGCTTTCAGCCCAATTGCTACGCCACATCTGTCCGAAGAGATCCAGAAGAGAAGACTCGTTGAACGAGAGGGAGCGCGATTCCGCTTGCATGTCGAGAGCACCGCTCGGCAAAATAGGTGAGATGTAGGCGAGAACATGCACATAAGTGGATAGAATAGACCCGACAGAGAATGGTCGTACGGCAGGGGGGCAGTCGGTGCGCTCTCCTAGAGTGTAGACAATCTGGGTTCCGCGAAACGGGGAAGACACTAATTTCCTCTGATGAGGCATGTTCGAGTTCGGATCTCAAAGGGGATGTCCCACCGGTATTCACAGACAGCACCATGTCCGGGTCATACTGCCCACCGAAAAATCCGGTGCTTAATAGCCACTGGAGTTTGATTATTGTTGGCCCACCCTACCAATGTGCGGATGGGTACATATAGATCAGAAGTTTCCAGTGGACCTACGATGGAATGGCCCAAGAAGTGTAAAGGCTTCCCCCTGGACCAGTCAGGATGCAACCCCTTCTCGTAGGTTCGGCCATAGCGGCCATGATTGCTGCACCGAGAATGGTCTTCTCCATAATCAACTAAACGGAACAGCTTAATAAACATGAAAATGAATAGCTATATTGTTGCCTCACCGGAACCTCCCACAAGCATATAAAACAACTCACATGCCCGATCATGCAGAGAACTGACAGGGCCAACGCTGCAAGACAGTCAATCGGCATCAGGGCAAGAGTCATGATTATTAGACTTGCCTGGCGAATATAATTCTCCTGTCTTCCTTTCCATCTGTCTTACACGCATAATTTGAATGTTTCTCAAAATTGCCCCATATTACGGCGCCTGCGCCGCCGAGGAAACCTTCGACAATTACAAGAGGAGCGACAGGAGCTGGGTCGGTTGAAGAGGGCGACATGCATGCTGTGGAGCATTTGACATAACCCCACCCTCTATATAGGTTGAGGCTGACAGGTCTTATGCGACCACATCATGTAAGCTCGAACTTCCAGGGTTGCAGTACAGAATCTGTGTGTGCGGCAGCCGTTGTGGAACGGGCATGGATCGCGTGTACAAAATATGTGAGTGGCTGATTTTTCACATCAGAGCATTAGTTACATACAACATCTATCATGCATACTGTACATGGAAATTTGCATACTGCTCACCAGTTTCCCAACCACATGAGCTGATGAGCGACATCGTGACACGAGCCGAACGAAAAACCGGTATCCGTGCTATTTTGGAACGAATAGGACGTAGAGGCAAAACGCAATGAGAGAGATGACGATGATGGGACGGAGAAGATGATAAATCATGGATCAGAACTTTCGTACACAGATGGGTAGAGAAATAGCGACAAAACTTTTGGAAATGTGAGGCCGGGATATTATCGTATCTCTGTTATGTCATCTATACGAAGTCAAGATTTTTGACAATTCGCGCAAACGAGGTTGCAATCTAAGAAGCCTCACTCGCAAGGTTATACGAAGAATCAGCCGTACTATTGGCTATTGGCTTTACATATTGACTGGGAAACGAGCACGAATTCGAGAGTCGATGGAATTGATGACTTGGGGGAATGGAATCCTGCCTACCGGAACGCCTTGGTGGGGGCGGCGTACCACAATAGCCAAAATGTTGCATCGACTGAGATGCATTGGGATGTGATCCTCGGAACGATGACGTGCCACTTAAAGAATTGGTAGAACTAGCGGGCAGCATATACGGACCAGTGACGTGATGTGAAGGGCCATGGTGTTGCGAAGCGTGTGATCTATGAGATGCCGGGCTTGGGACCCAGCCACGCTGATGAATCGCCTGAGGTGGTTGGGAAGTCAAAGGTGTAGCAGATTGTTCGTGGCTAGGATATGGATATGTAGAAACCTGCGGAACCGATGGCCAACTCACTGATGCTGATGTTTGTGGAGGTGCGTTCGGGGGCGGCGAATGGGATTGTTCGGCACTGGACATATAGTGATGGAGGGCTTCTGGCTGATAGACGGGTATCAGCATACCTTGCTCTCCTTGAAAAAACCCAGTAGCTTTGAGCGGTGGCTGCACACCACTTTGAGGAACACCATGCCCACTGGAGTGCACACGATCATTGTTAGGTAGCATTGCCGGATATGCTATGTAAGGGATCATAGGCTAAGGAAAGGTAATTGTCACCTAGATTTGCGCACCCAGTGTACCTAACACGCACCGTGTAGAAATGAGGGGCAACAGGCCAAGCACTAGGCCCACCGCTATTCACCTCGTTCGCTCCAGCCGTATGTGTTCCTTGTTGGGCAACAACAGGGAACCCCGGATGGTTCTGAATATACGAGACAGGATAAGGGTAGTACTGTGGATATGGATGAATCCACGGCTGAGGCGTGAAATATCCCATATTCGGCATGGGATACTGAGCATTGGTCCCAGAGACAGAAACTGGAGGAGGTGCAGAAGCCATAGATGCGGGCGAAACCGACGTAGCCTGGTTACGGGAAACGTCAGGGTGAGGGAATGATGCTTTTGTAGTGCTGGACGAAAGTGATGACAGATCTGATATTGACATTCCTGCATGAGTTGGTTCGTTCTGCGCCACAGGCCCCGACGGGCTGAAATGGTCACCAGGCTTGCTCGGCAGTAGCATCGTCGTTAGTGGTTTGAATGGCGGTACTGTACCCAGCTTCTCTAACGTAATCTGCAAATGAATGATCGAGGTCAGTAGGGGACTTGATGTGCTATTGTTACGACTCACAGGATGATCTTTCCCGCCACTGACGCCATCATATGACCGGAGATATCCAGCGGACAACAGTCTTCCCCTTCCGCGTCCGTTCCTCCACGGACTACGTGAAGGAGGATTACTATCTCGCAATTGAACCCGAATCTGGCGGCCGTCGTGAATGCGATTGTGCTAGATGGACAAAATGAACATTTGAGAAAACCGCCAAAATTGTTGCGCAGCATTACCTCCTCTCGTACAGCACGCGCACTAGCCTCTATGTCACTGAACTTGATAAACGCAAACGCGGACCGTTGGTTTGCTAGGGGTTGCCATCAACATGTCATCGAGGGATGAACCAACGGAGAACTCACTTGGACGGACTACTTGAATGCTTTCAATGTGTCCAAACCTTCCGAAGAGTAACCGGAGCTTTGCTTCATTCCATGCGCTAGGACCATACATCTCCAGACCCCCGACAAAGATAGTGGAAGGATCAACCTGTCTCTGGGGTTCCCCTGCCCCGTCATAGTCGCCTCTTCCGTTCGACACACTCAGACGTTTAGGTGTGTTGGGGCCTATATTTTCTCGATGCAATGTCGATGTGTCGTCGTGGGGGACTTCCAAAATACTAGATCTAGTCGTTGGACTGGCCAGGGCTGGAGGAAATGTTCGGACTGTTGGGGGAGTGAGGGGGACGATCGACGAGGTGGAGAATTCTGGACTATGAGTCAATGCATGACCCTGTCCCTTCATCTTCGTGCCTGGTGACTGCACAGGAGACATGGGCAATGACGTGGAGAGCCTACATCCATTAGTGATATGCGATTGTGGATCTGATTCAGCAGGAAAGCTCGAAGGATTGACAGAGCTCGAAGATGCCGGCGATTCCGAAACGGCGGGGCCTTCGGGGAGATGATCAAGTTCATCTAACCCATCATCTTCATTATCACGGTCTCCCCAAGGTCGAGTGTCCCGCTCATGCGTGAATGAAATGCGCTCCCCGGAGTTTGGAATACCAAGAGCCGGAAAATCAGTCTCAGACCACTTGGGACTCTTCAGCTGCCTTGCGATATGATTAGAAAGGCGAGGTGATCCAAGGGCGATTGGCGTGCTAGACTCTCGCATGAACGGAGTACTGTGGGCGAAACTCCAGGGTTGTGAAATCGAACCGCCTGGGGATGTTTCCGTCCGGATATGGGTCATTGTCAACTCGGCAACGTCCATCGTTGTCTCGAGACACTTTTGCTGTCGCGGACTTTCACCAGTTTTCCTATAGCAAGGTTGCGATGTAGCCTGATGGTGGGCCGAGAATGGTATCCGCGCATTGGGAAATTGCTCAAGGTTTCCGCATCGCGAATCGTGGCCGGGTCCCGGAGCAATAATTGCATGGTGCGCCCAACTGACGGTTAAGAATGTCGCGTGCCGCAAGGTCTGCATGAAGAATCGTTTAAGTTTAGGAGCAGAATATTGACGACAAAATATCGACGAACCATCAGAGCGTTGACACAATCGTCTCTGTGTCCCCATTTAACCTCCCAGATCTGCGTTTCCATGCCAGGTGCACAAGGCGCCGTATGCGGGTAGGGACGGTATTGACTAGAGAAAGGCGTATCCGATTCTACAAACGAACGCACGTGAGATTGAAACACCAGACATGCTCTCCCCTTTACTAACCTGTGTACGGGTTATATACTGAAAAGTGCTCCACTGGTCCAAACGCTGACGCGAGTTTGAATATAGTCTTGCAATTTAGCGTGTTTAGGCGATAATAATGTCGAAAAGGAAAACATCTCACCTCTGCGTCATAGTTTAAGGGATCCAGGAGCACGCCAGCGCCGTCGAACGCGTCCCGACTATCGGCACAACCAAGTGGACTCCGAGCGAGCTTATTTTCAAACTCCCGCGCCTCTGCGTTATACGAGAGGGACAAAAACCTGCGCATATAGTCAGTTAAAGTTATGCGAGGAATGGCAGAAAGATGCAAACTTTGAGTTTTGCGATCTATAAACCCTGATTGCATCAGGCAATCCCGGTGTGTCCTTACTATTAGCATCCGACGTCGGATCGATCGGAAGCTCTTGTACAGTGGATGGTCGACTGTGCATATACGATTGGACAACATTAAAGTAAGGCGAAAAGTGTAAATACGCTATGCTCGATGCGTTTACGTATATCGGTGAGACGTACCGATAAGATATTAGGAGCATTCTGAACGCGCGAGCAGGCTCGTACCGCAAAATTCTGCCTAAAAATGGACGGGGAGGAGAAGACTGAAGGGTGTTGATGAGACGAGCTGCTGTTACAGCATTCTTTAAACATCCAGCATCAGGTCAACGCTTCCGGACGCCCAAATGACGACATTGGTGGACTATGACTGACCTCACACTGGACAAACGCGCACGTTCCGCCCCTGTTATCGCGGACGACCTTGATATTTCTCACTTCCGTGTGTGCTGAGAGATGATCGTGCAGCAAACGTGTCAACTCGGGTGGCTCGACGTCAATTGGTAGGCTTTTGGAATAGACAATATTGGAATACAGCTCGAAGAGAATGAGTGGGACCTACCTTCCGACAAAAACACTCGCATCGTGTGGCATCTTTTCCTGCAAAGATGAGAAACTGTTGGAATGGGGAACGATGAAATTTCCGCTTGAGGACTGGCTAAGACCTGCGGCTACTGATGTGGGTGGACTGTGTGGAATAGCTAGTGACGTCTGAATCTGGCGGTATGGTGGAGAAGGAGGGGGAGAGGAGCCCAAAGAATCGTAGCGTGTACCCCAAGCGCGATCTTTTGAAACATATTTGGATGGCATTGGAAAGAAAGATGTGGTTAGAGAGCGAAAAAGAATGGGGAGGGAGGTCCCAGCGGGACTGAATGGCGAAGTAGGGAGAATTTATGGGTTGTGGACAAGAGTGGAGAAGAGAGCCAAGGACGACAGAGGAACAAACAAGGGACGAAGCGGAGTCGTCTTGACATATCGCATGTGCCGGCCATCCGCCGCGTTGAGATTCTCAAAACTACTGTAAGAAACGTTGGCTGCGCTCAGTGCGCCGAGCGTCAATATCGTCTGACCGCAGAAGCCTGTCACCCTCCGTCTCGTCACACGTCTGCAGACGAGGTTACCATTCCGCGTCCGGAAGTTTGTCAGAGTCGAATAATCTATGGGATTTGAGAACCTGGGCCATCGGTAACGTTTTCCCATCCATCAAGAATACTGCGAGTAGAAAACCGTTTAAAGACAGGATGCAACAAATCTCGCTGGCAACTCAGTACAGTGCTTCCGCCGGCGAAGTGGGTAATTGATTGGAATCAGCCTGAGATCGTTAAGCCAGCCCAAGCCGTTGTCAAACGTCCGGCGGCCTGCTTCTGACGGACGATCAGCCGTACGTGCGGCGATATAGGGCAAACAATATTGAATCCCGACGGCAACAGGGGGGCTTCAATGCGATCACTCGCGCTCCGAGTCGACCTGGAGCGCACCTACACTGAGGAAAACGCAGATCAGAATGGATATATGAAAGCTGGGAGAGCATCGCCACAAAGTACGACTGATAGAAGAGCAATTTAGAAGTCTCCCTGACAGGCAAACGGAACGTACGACACCTTCACAGCTGCGTCACACCAGCCGCATGCTCCCTGCCAGGACACCCTCTACAAAGATATTCGGTCAGAGATTAAATGCGGACGGGCGGCCTCCGCCACGATATCTTGGATGTTCAGATCCAGAATGCCCAACATCAATGCGTCTCCTTGGCCTGAAACAAGCCAAGATACTCGGGATGCCAAATTACAGTGTCAAAGGAATGAGACTGCCATATCAGGTAATGGTTGTAGTTCGCGCCCTCTGACTAAGTTTGTGGCGCAAAATTCCTCCGCTGCACCCTCGCCCGCCGCTCAGGCTGCCTACATTCAACTATATTATCCACTCCTATTGACAAGGCATGTCTGACGATGGCTATGGCGGCGGCGGTGGCGGCGGCGATGACTACGACTACGATGCCCCGGGGTGAGTGTAGTCGCACTTTTACACCAATCTCAGCTATACGTTCCTTCACAGATTCAATGAGGATGCATTCGTGCGTAGCATCGCACATATGCTCTCACACCTCCAAGGCCTGACCTCGGCTCTATTGCCCGCTCCAGGACGAGAACTATGACCTCAATGCGCCAGAAGGTGCTGATGGCGAGGCAGGCGAAGGCAACGGACAGGCGAACGGCTTTGAAGGCGCAAATGGTACAGGCCAAGATCAAGACCAGGAGATGGCAAACGGCGAAGCACAATCGCTAGATGCTGGTACGTCTGGCGCCGGAATGCGGGGAGAACGACAACCGAACAAAGTGAGGGTGACGACGCCATACCTGACAAAATACGAGCGCGCACGGGTATTGGGGACTAGAGCATTACAAATTAGGTACGCTGGCTTATCACTTTTTCACTTCAAAATTGCTCATCCGCGTTCTCCATTGGATTCCAGTATGAACGCCCCCGTCCTAGTACCACTCGACGGGGAGACCGACGCGCTTCAAATCGCAATAAAAGAACTTTCACAGCGCAAGATCCCTCTCATCATCCGACGGTACCTACCAGATGGTAGTTTTGAAGACTGGAGTGTATCCGAGCTCATTACAGATTGAGATATTATGGTGTTCCGCTCTCGATGTATCTATTAACTCTATGTTATTCTCCTGCTTTCAATGCATACTGCTCTCCAGCTATCCTGTCTGATTGGTAACATCTACACCTTGCATTAATATTGTGGGTATTGTTTCCAATGAATGGTATGTACTATGTTACAAAATGAATTACAGGACGACCATCTTCAGGTAATTTATCGGGCCTGGCTGGTGTTACCGATCCTGCTCTATGATGAGTTTCCTCTTCCTCGAGGCCCGCTTTGGAACTAGCGGCGGTTCTACTACCACTTCGACTTTCGCCTTTGGCATTCTGACCTTTGCAGCTTTGCTCACCTTCGATAAAGGCATATCTGAGCCGAGGTCAAAATCATTCACCTCGCTGCTTTTGGCCTTCGTAGTACTCCCGAAGAGCAGCCCACGTTCCTTCAAAACAACTCCCTCCCTCTTGTCCCCAGCGTCCCGCTTTTTGGAAGGACTGCACTCGACATCGTAATGACAGTCAGACTGACGACGCTTCCCGGGCGAGCCTGGTGACGGTGGTAAAGGTGGCAGAGTAGATAGGTCGTCTAAGAGCAGTACATGCTCTCGTCGAGCAGGGGCGGATCCGGGTTTCCGTTTACCACCTAGCCATACTATTAGGAGATAGTCAAACAGAACGATGCCAGACATTTAAATACCTTTACCCTTCCCTTGCGTGATGGTGTTGGTGATATCCTTCGCAACGCTCAGCGCTCCAGAAGTCTCCACGTCGCCCGTCGTAACGAGCTTCTTCTGCACTTCCCAATCTGCAGGTCTCAATTTCTTCCACTCCTCTACAACTCTCTCTGCCCACTTATCGGTCTCTCCGATGACGTGATAGTCAATGATGCCCTCCCACTCAGCACCAGGCGGCGTCTTGTTCACAAAAATGACCTTTCCTGTCATCTTTCTCGCGTTTATGGGGGACGATGACGGCGCCGAGTCGTGTACGGCGCGTGCGAAGTCCTTAACTAGTTTCTTGAACCCATGGACTTTCAAAGAGGTGCCCATAATAATGAGCATATCGGGCTTGCGACTGATATCCGCAGATTGCATGCTTCCTATATCGTCTCCGAGAGGATGGGGCTCGTCGTAGAGGACGATAGCCGGCCGGAGCGTCCCTACCTTGAGAGCACGCGCTGAACGTGCTATGCGGGCCTTGGCTAAGAATGAACACTGCTATGTCACTGAAATACCGACGTACAACGCCTAACTCGGACTTACAGCGCGTTATACACTCAGGACAGTCCGGAGGGATGCCAGTGTTGAACTGCCCGAGATGCTCCTCGGTGCAGGAAAACTCAGCAGAGCAGAAGGTACACCGAACACGATGGATATCGCCGTGCAGTTGGACATTTCGGACTTCCTTGACCTTGATCTTGGCCTTTCCCTTGCCGTTCGTCCTCACCTCCTCACTCGAGCTGCCCACCAAGCCCGCTCTCTCTTCTAACGCGTCGATATTTTGCGTGTATGACCGGAGAAGCTTGCGTTTGGTATCAAGCGTCTTGATGAATCGGTGTGTCGGGGACGGTGACGCAGAGTCGATAGAGCGCTTTAGCTGCGAGATGAACGTGTAGAATACGGAGGTCGATGTTGGATCCCGAAACAGAGACGCGTCGAATAAGTCGCGCCCCTTCAGGACAATATCAGGGTATTGCTGCTTCACGAGTGCATACAAGCCATCTGAGGAGCGAAAATCCTGGCCAAAACATTTAGTACGCGTTGAACCAAGCAGAGAAAATAACTTACTGGGATGCCGCATGAGCAAGATATTCCAGCACCGGTCACGACTACGACCTTCTTGCACTTAGCCACAGCTAGTGATAGGTTGGAAAGTGTCCGCCTTGTAGAGGGGTTTGAGGTACAGTCGTCGAGATCTAAGGTGACGACCATGTGTGCGATGACAAGGAATGGGATGTAGAAGAGTAGTATCACGAAACATTATGCGACACCTGGAGGCTAGGGCTGTTGATATTTCCACCACCGCGTCGCGTCGTGTTTTCACGTGACGAAGGCGCATCCAGTGACCGCGTTTAACTCGAAAGCTTTTTTTTGACAATCTGTGGCACCCAAACATTCACGCATTGTGCATAGCGTGCACACAGAAGCAGGTGATATGCCTAAGTTATTGTACGGTATGTCGAGCCTGATTATGTACCACATGGGTGATTGTACTGCATCGCCAGTTGTGTATAGGGAAGAAGCGCCCTCGGCCTCCGAGCGAGGACGGCCGAGGATTTTTTGGGAGCAAACGCGAATGGACCTGCAACTCGAAACATCGAGAACAAGCATAATCAACACTGTGCATAGCATTAGTTTATTGGGTTGCATAAAAGTCCAATATATGAATTCTCAGATTTGTAAGAGACGAGAGAAATACTACTCACATAACAGTGGGTTGACAAACGAAGAACGTGTGATAGGGAATGAGAGGTGAATAGCTAGTGTGAGGGGTCAAATTCCCTGTCCGTATATAACACGACAATGATGCAGGACGTCACATATTTTGCGCAGACTGAGTACAGCATTCATCAAGCGGACATGCATGTTGACACTCTCAAAAAGCAGAGGCAGTCTCCCGAAGCGAGGAACTACATCAAGATAGGATTCACCTGTTGAGTGAACTTGTAGGATTCTTGTCTGAAACAAGCTTGTCAATCACGATGGACCTAAAATCTATGAAGAACAAGATAAATTGGCGAGGCATGCGGTAGTGGACAATAAGGGCTTGAGCAGAGAATGCAGGATACGCTTGACGACAGACAGACCCTGTGCACAACTGGAGCGACCAAACCTCCTTGCCAATCTTGAATACTTTAGGTCACATCAATGCAATTCGGACCACAATATATGAGTAGAGGAACCAAATTGTGGGCAATCTTGGAAGTGCAATATGCATGATTTACGACAGCAAATTAATCAAGTTGGAGATATTCTAGATAGTGACCACCCATTTGTAGGAACATAGCTCCGACGAGGGGTTTCCCTGAAATTTAGATCAATATTGTCTTCAATCTGTAGATTGCAACGAATCAACCTTTTAGGCCCGATAGCAACGGCTCGCGCAGAGCAGGACCATTCATCTCATGTACAGTGAGGCTCAGATAGTTTCGCCAACCGTCCATTTTACGAACTCTACGACCTCTACACCAGTAGCGTTTTCTGCCACATCTGAGAGGCCTCGTTCGATTGCCCAATTCCGTAAAAATGTCTGCACAGGCTGGTCATTGCCCGGACCACTGAACATGTTGAATGGCTGTTCGTATAGTGCGCATTCGTCCCGAGAGCCCGGAGGTGACCTGATACTAGTCGTAGGGAAACCAATGATCTGCCGACCGAGGGCCTGACACAGTTTGTCGAGGTCATCTCGGAAGGACTGAGAAGCAAGAGTGTCCGAGAGTTTAGAAGACTTGAGTGCCAAGAGAGCAAGGCTTCCTATGCGACCCTGCTTAGGGTTTGCGACGGATTGGTGGACTCGCGAGGTGACACGTAGGGCGAGCTCGCGTTGGGAGGAAGGAAGAGGGTCACGCACAATCGTGAGTGCACGCCGTAGAGATATTTTTTCGCCCACTCGCCCGGTTAAGTTTCGCATGGCATCAGAAACGGTAGTGCTTCCGTTTTGCTGAGGGTTCGATTGCGAGAGAAGCGGCGCGTCCTGGAGAACATCTAAGGAGAAAGGCTGGACGAAAGTCTCCGCATCAACAGGCTCCGACATGAATGCTACTGTGTGAGCAATGTCATCAAGCAGATTCGCAAAGAGATCGTTTCGCGCCACGAAGTCCGTTTCGCAATTGAGCTCAACCATTGCTGCTCGCACTCCGCTTCGTGGCCCACCATTGGCACCGCTGGACAATACCGCTGTGCCAACCAAGCCCTCATTCGCTGACCTCCCTTCAACTTTTGCGGCCTTCCTCGTTGCGGACTCGGCGCGATGTTTCTCTAACCAGAGAAGTGCCTTGGAGACATCCATGTCCGAGGCCTTGAGGGCTTGACCAGCTTGAATAGGCGAGACATCCGCAAGCTTCCTCAACTCGTTGACGAGGTCCTTGAGAGTCCTCTTAGGCGATGCCGAAGAGTAGAATCGCGAACGAAATAGATTCACAGAAGCATTCCTTGCAGAAATCATGCTGGCGTGTAATGATGGAGTTACCGGTGGACCAAAGGCACGTCGCACAACTGGCGAAACAGACGCGCATCCGATTTTGGCGCGTCGCACATATTTGGAACGCGTATTTTGAGCTCGAGTCTCCACCGCTCGAATTACACCGCTGGTGGGCGCATCCACTCGCCCCTCTCTTCTTGTCTGTTAGCTGGGAATATCATCCAAGGTTGTTGGCTTCGGGAATGGCTTCCACGTTCAAGCTACCCTCTATAATCCCTCAGGACCTGCAACTCATACATAACCTAGTTGGAGAGATCGCTAGCCCTCCTTCAAGAAGCCAACCACCTCCATCCACGCAGCAGGACGACGACATACAGAGCTCCGATGACGATAGTGACAGTGAGCGAGAGGTGGAGGCGGGAATTTTGAAAGGTCTTGAAGACGATGAAGCCGGACCTACCACTGGGTGAGTGGATCTATTTTTCTCCCATAGTAATTCCGGGTCCTCATATGCCAATGTGTTGAATGCTTAGGAATTCGCCTTCCGAGTCTATGAGCTCAGACTCAGATTCCTCTTCTGACGCAGACTCTGAAGGCGAGGCGGAGCCAGAAGAGGCAAGACCTTCTAAGCTTGACGAGGTTGACCTGGATGAAGAGGAAGCCGGGCAAGCTGTTACATCCGAAACTCAAGTCCGAACAAAAAACGAGATAGCAGAAGCCCAAATAACAATCCCTGACATAGAAGAGATCGGTTTTCATGAAAAGCTCGAGAAGGTGGGAGAGGTTATGAGCATTGTTGATAAAGTGGTGATCGTCAAAGGGTGCGCATCAGAATTCGCAAATAGGGCCTCTGAGAGGGCGCTTGATTCGGACACTCTTCTTGTTTTCGAAGACAGGAAGGTCCTTGGCTACGTAAGTTTCAGCCCATGATCTCTTGAACTTCGGTGCTTACACGTCTATTCTCAGATTTATGAGACATTCGGTCCAACGACCCAGCCGCTTTATCAGATAAAGTTCACCCAACAGTACCCCCTCGACCCGGAGAAAGTGCGACTGTCCCGCCCAGTATTTCATGTACCCGAGCGCAGCAACTTCATATTCGTCCGGCAACTGCAGCGTCTCAAGGGGAGCGATGCTAGTAATGTCCATGATGAGGAACCCGCTGACGACGAACTGGAGTTTTCTGACGATGAGGCGGAAGCTGCTTATAAGCGAGCTGCTACGAAAAGGTCCGTAGATTGTCGTTTTTGCTCATTGATTCATGGCGTACCATACCAAAATCTGCAGACGCGAACAATCCCGGGCGCGATCAGTTGTGTCCTCCAGGCAAGCAACTCCGAGCCCAGCACAAATGCGAGACCAAGATATGGTTGATGAGCTGTACGGAGAAAGTCCCTACGATCAGCCAGGTCCATACAACGATATAGACCTCGGTGTGGGGCCTTCACGCGCCCTTCCTATCCCATACGACGACCCTTATTCCGACAATTATGCCGTTCCTGATACACGACTACCTCCCAGTCCCACTGAGTTCCAAGACGTGAATCAGAGCTATCCAACTGGAAGTCATTCAGATGACGTGCGTGGTCATGGACGCGGGCGAGGGAGGGGAGGAACATCTGGTAGGTATAATGATCGTGCCCGTGGTCGCGGACGCGATCGACGACGGCATGATCGTGGTCGTGCCCGTGGCCGCGGACGCGACGATAGATCATATGCGAGCAGCGGCAGTCGACCGTCGATACCACAGCCCGAAAGATATGGTTCGTATATTCCACGTCCATTGTCCCCAACATCGTTAGCCATTGCTCGAGCAACTGGGCAGTACCCCGACGGACATCCTATGTCAAGTACTGAACGTGAATCCCCCGCATTGTCCTTCGATGGTGCAGGCGGACAGGGATACTCACAGCCTTCGCAACAGCAGTTCATGTTTGGCTTCCAAAATCAATATGTACAACCTCATATCAACCCGCGTTTTGCGTCAAGTTTTGGAATGCACCTTGGCTTCCAACAAGAGACGCATCAAGCGGCATATAGCTATGGAGAAACGGGATATGGTGGAGGAGCTGATCACTTTGCTGCGTCATGGCGTCCTGATTGGAATGTAAATCAATCAGGATATGACAATGCTAGTACTATGGGCCCTCCTGAATCGCGCTAAAAACTAATATGTCACATTTTGTCTCTGCCCTCGGTACACATGTGAGTGTGCGGCATAATGGATAACTCGAAATTGGTGTGTGCGCCACCGTGCGCAATGGGCGTCAAATCGAAGGCGTTGAGTCAAAGAAGGCGATGGCTTCCGAAGTTCCAAAAGCGGAATAGTGTAACCTAACAGACGCCCAAAGTGTGATGGCCTGAGCTGGGCGACTCGAGCAGGCCTCAAGTCTACGGATTCTGTTTTTTCAAACTGTTTATCATCTTCGGCTCGTAATTATCTATCAAAGCGACACGCCTTCTGGTTTTAATGATGCGAGCTGGAACAAGCAGTGTTTCTAATTCAGCGCCGTCTCTAGCGGCAGCGGCAAGCCCAACGCCCGCCACCTTCACACCTCAAGGTTCTGGCGTGGACGCTTATGCCATGCAATCGCCTATATCTGCGCAGGAACCCTTCACAAAGTCTGGTATTCAGACCAGGCAGAAGCGTGTTCTACCGTCGCGTTCTCGAAGAGGTGGTCCCGGTGTTGGAAATTGCGACACAGACATTATGATTGTGGAGACAATGAAAAGAAGACGTATGTGGCCCTCTTTTTTCCTGTCATCCATTCGTGACGCACCTACATAGTTGAGGGCGAACCTTTAATTCCGGCGAATACCCGATTCATCCTTACCACAAATTCGTCTCTGCTCCCGTCTACGTCGGAGTCAGTTCCTTTCGAGGTGGAGATAAACAGCCAGGCATATAGCCGCTATTTTGAACGCCCAGAAGTTCAGAAGGCGTATAGAGAACAACAACTTATTCAAACACCAGAATTTACACAACTCGATGAGGATGCCAATGTTGGTGGTCGATTTAGACCAAGAGGCGCAGAAGACGTTCGTCTCAAGTGTTTTACTTTCCAGCCACCATGTACTTACTTAATCCATTTCTTAATGTACTCTATACCTTTCGCCCGCACAGGAGTCAGCCGACATGTCTGATGCCGCATACGAGAAACGTCATCGAAAGTACGAGACGTTTGAAAAGCGACAGCGATTACGCGAGAAAGAAAAGCTGAAGCACGAGCAGTACAAGCTAAAAGAACGTATTGAGCAGCTGCGGGCTATGGATACATCCGCGTTCCTCGTCCTCCCATCGGCTGACTTCCCTGAAGCTTCAATATCCCCTACACCCAACTTTTCGTTGAACGATGACCAAATGTTGGAAGAACTCTCGAGTCCAAATTCTTATGGCTCACCCGCATTCGTTGAAGGCGAGCGGCGACGAAAGATTATGCTCGACACGGCATCATCTTTAGAGGAACGATATCGTGTTCTTCTCCCTCCTGACCGGAAGTGGTTAGAGAAGAAAACTAATCAATCCGGTGTTACTGGTGTATCCCTTGAGCCTGCGATCCCCGAAAAGCAGCCCACCAAGCTAAACATGGCTGTCGCTGAAGCATCAGAGGAGGATGAGGATGAAGAGGATGAGCTTATCGAATCCGACGCAGAACTTCTGGACAAGTTGAAACCCCCACCATATGCCGACGAAGACGGTGAGTCCGAAGTCGACTTCGAGGAACGCGAGCGCGAACGATCTAAAGGGCTCAAGCTAAAGATCAAGATGCCTCCACGCACGCCGTCGCAGCTTAAGGATGCCCTAGCGAAGCAGACTACGACGAAAAAGCAAATAACACTCTCCCCTTTCATGGCAAAGCATATGCTTTCCGGAAGTCCACGAATGGACACGCATTCGCCAAAGACTGCCACATCCATCCTCACCCTATCATCCGGTCCCAAACGTGTGCGTGCCGCAAACGGTAAATTCCTACCGAAATCAAGCTCGGGCTCCTCAGTGTCGTTGTCAGCGAAAACACCGCCACGAAAACGACCGCGAGGGGACAGCTCCACGGCGTCCACATCTCAGGCTGCTGCGGGGCAGGCCATTTCATACTCCATATCCACTGCCAGAAGGCGGACTCCTCTTGCAGCCTCTCCAGCGATGTCAAAACGCTATGCCTCCCACGACGCAGGGGCAGACAAAGGAGACTATGCAACTTGCATGCTAGTTGTCGCCGCAGTGCGCAACTCCGCCGCTCCAAACGTACGCAAGACGCAGCGGCATGTCACTGCTTTTGGAACCCGTGTACCGTCTGAGATAGAGGAAATTCGGGATTTTTCGCTGCCAGAATGGATTTTTGCTCCTACAAGATCGAGTACATGGCATGACGCCGGTATCGACGATATGGCCGATCCTGCATCGCATTATATGCCCCAGGCTAATGGTGGGAAGAACATGTTTTATTCTACCACAGCCAGGAGCAAGAGTGTGAAGCAGGAATCAGACATGTCTTCTGACGCAGGTTTCTTGGATGATCTGGATGATGGCGGCGGCAACGACGAGGTCCGGATTGCATATCTTAAGGATTAATGGTATATGTCCATTAGTAACTCCTTATTGTGTCTTCCTGTGCACTATGTATTGTTGGTTATTATATCGTTTTACCCGTTGACGTGATATGGCTTCTATTCCGTATGTATTGAGTATGTATCTTAGGGATATCCTACGCGGATAGTGTAGAAGCAACCTTCATGTCCACATTCACCACCTTCTGGATCACCATTCGCTGAACGATCCCAAGTCCAATTCCCCGGCTTCTCAATCCTAATTCCCTCCTGCGTGCCAACGTCAGTCTAGCATAACCAAGGGCGCCAAGACTCTCCGGGAACGTAGTCCCTAGGTCTGCTGGGAGATAGCGTGAATAGTCGCCACCAGATCCGTCTAGAATGGACTGTATACGGCGAGAATGTGCTGAGACTGATGTGGGTCTATATGAGGGAGCTGGCGTCAAACTGGACGAGGTAAGGGTGTCAGTAGGACCAAATAGTTTGCTTAGATCGGTAGTGTGAATGTGCATGGGCAAAGGTGCTGGAGACACGGAGGACTCTTCAGTCATGTTTTTTTGAGGGTCGACGTCAGTAGACGACGGAGATTTCTTTTGACCTTGTGTCTGGCTTCGTCGGTCCCGGAGTTGACGTTTCTGGGATACCTGTCTTTGGTCGCGGTTTTGTCGTTGCCTCTGTCCGCGTTCGGCGCCATCCGCTTGACGCATTGACCGCCTGTCGCTGACCTGTGTCCCCCCTCTCGAACTCCCCTCCCTATTGGCACGACTCTCTTCCACCGCAGTTACATGACTGTTTCCATTCGCAGATACCATCGGACGTCCGTTCTTGCGCGACGGTGGTGAATGTGTCTTAGGTTCACCGTCACTGGCTTGGGAGCGACGCGCTAGACGGCCGGCCAGACCATTTCCGGGGTCGAACTCATCGTGCGCCAGCCAACTCAGGTTTGGGCCCTCTGTCCGTTGGTTCGACCTGGCCGGACCTCGCGGCTTATGAATAGCTGTATATCGCCGCTATATAATTTTTCCGTGCCTAATGAGAGGTGAGAGGACTCACGAATGACAATATCTGCATATATGTCGGCCATCGGTATCGACCGTTTCTGGGTTGCAACTGCATCAACAAGACTTGCGTCCTGAGTGAGGACTACATCCCCTGCAATTGATGAGTTGGGTCGATGTGGAGCAAGGTGCCGGACCTTAAGCCGCGCAGAAATTGCTCGTAACGAGTGGACGGTCGACAACGACCGAGGCAGCATGACTTGGATTGTCTCAGCGGAAATTGTAGGCTTTCGGGACGTGACGGCGGTGAGACACCTTGACTGGGCGTCTGCACGAGCTAGTATGCAGCTTTAAAAAGGGAATTCTTGGCGCTTCATTAATTGGCGAGGATTGTCTCTCCCCGCCTGTGTCTGCTTGGACTTGTCGTATGCTGTTGCACCAGTACTGCTCTGGATCAATGTCGTAGCACATGGTGATTGAACTGTCATGTTTCTGATATTCCATATGTATTTCTCGCATAGTTTAGCGAATAAAGCAGAGATATTTTAACATTCGGACTCTGAACCTGTGCTTGAGCGCGATACTATCTGCGCAGTCGTATCTTGAGCAACGGCGCGCCTCTTCTTACCACTTGGAATCCGGCTGTATCATTTCTCGCTTTCTTGCTGTCGCTCGCTACTCGCGTGTATGGGTCGCTTGACTGGTCGACTGTTTGTTGGCTTTACTCTAAGCCTCATACTTTTCATTGCATATTCACCGCAGATATTCGTAATATGGCCATGGTATGGCCGCGAACTCTCTGTTGACTTAATCACTCTTCTCCTTCCCTTCAAGTATGTCTCTTATAATGCATTCACTTTCCCGCCAATTGACACGTTTGTTACACAAACAATAGTGTACTGGTCGGGATGCTTTTGTGGAACTACCGTCTATGTGTCATAACAGACCCGGGTAGGGTGCCATTCGGATGGGTCCGCTATTTTGCTTGATATCTATGATTACAACTAACCATTTTACTTCAGCAACCGGATGTCCACGGTTTGGACGGGTTTGAAGTGAAGAAAATCACCCGTCAGCCCAGATATTGTAGAACATGCGAGGCGTACAAACCACCACGAGCGCATCACTGCAAGCAATGCAAACGGTCAGTTATGCGTGCCAGGACAGATTATCCTTCAGTTACTGAACGACCGCTGCAGCTGTGTCCTTCGTATGGGTAAGTCATACTATGTTGTAGATCGTGAACACTAGTATCATGGTATTGCAGACCACCACTGTCCATGGGTCGACAATTGTGTTGGTCACTTCAACTACGGCCATTTTGTCCGGTTCCTTTTCTACGTTGATGTTGCGTGTTCGTACCATTTGGCCATGGTTTGTAGACGAGTCTATACTGCAACCCAGTATTGGGTATGTTTTATCAACGTAGCCGCTCCTCATATCTTTTTAAACGCAATGCCCAGGATATAATATCCGGCCTGGAGCTGATTTTTGTGATCTTGAATCTCGCAACATGCATTCCTGTGTTGTTGGCGGTCGGTTGCTTCAGGTCAGTTCCATTTCATGGATTGTAGCACCATGATCATTGACATAAAAGCCACAGCCTATACCACTTCTACATAATGGCCGGGAATACCACAACAATAGAAGGTTGGGAGAAGGACAAGGTTGCTACCCTTGTTCGACATGGCAAGATTCACGAGGCACGTCGATTTTTCTTGAATCTCCGTCAGTACGTTAACAATCTTGCGGATCAAGATTAAGTTTCCCTATGTATGTTCATGCGACCGTACTGAGTGCTCCTATCATACTAACATGTGAATGTAGAATCTTGGTCTCAAACGCAATATCAACTCTGTGTTAGGGAACCGTCCCTTATTGTGGTGCTGGCCCACAGTTCCCCCGGGTACAGGCTTGAAATACCAGCTCGCCGAGGGAGAGGGTGAGTGGATTGAAATAAACTCACAAGCTCGTTGGGTTGGGTACGCGAGGGGCTATGTGGACGGCTCAGGGCAGTTGCCTGAGCCGTAAAATGCGGCCCACAGGTGTGCAGAACATTATACAACCATTACGATGTAAGCACTCATCTTGAATTTCTCAGAGTTGGTCCTTGCGATGCAACACTATTTCTCGTTTTCTCGATGGTCGTGACATGCCATGATACTTATAACGTGATTTTTTGTTGTTAGACCCTGACGCTGAGATGTGGCCACCAGAGGACCCCGCCAAGGCCTATACCCTACCCGAACCCGATCCAAACTACAAGTTTCGGCTTCCAGATAGTCCTTGGACGTATCAGAACGGCTCGTTAAATCCTAATCTCGAGCCCTCTAATGCTCGCCAGCGCTCAACATCCCAGAGGCGCCGGAAAGTCCTACAAGGGCCCTACTCCTCTCTTCCTCCATACCATCCGGATTATAATGAGACACAGGACGAAGACGCGTATTCAGTTTCGTCCGAGTCTTCGGGTTACGAAGAGTACGAAGACAATTCTGCGTTCGCTCATCGAATCGCCGAGGGAGTAGCTCGTGTCAGGCGAGGTTCTGAGGGTTATGAGGTCAAGGCCATCGATAGGGACGCAATACTGCAGAAGTTCGTCGAAGGTCGCACGCATGAACCTGGCAGGTATCAGCCCTATGTGCCCCAGCCTGAGAGTGACAGTGAGCCAGAAGATATAGATGATTCTGTGCCGTTGGCACGGAAGATAGAATAGCGATCAGTCACTCCTTAGACTTTGACATCGGACGTTGGATTGTGGACCGTTACTATATACAATAAGTCTAGTGCGTACGGACTACAGTGTTACAATCATCTGGATATAAAAATGTCTATTATACGAGGGATTATGGGAATATGGTATGTAAGATGTTGCCTCGCCCGGGTATCATATGTCAAAAACTCAGTCTATCGAGGTAAACTCTCCAAGGCACACCGCCCTTCTCAGCAAGTTCGATGATGTTTGAACCGACGGGTAGCTCGAGGTCCCACTCTTGCGCTTCGTCGATGCCCTTGACGAATACACCGTTCAGCTTGAGCTGGACTTCCTCTTGGGGAGACGCTGCTTTCGTAGAGATTCTGCTCTTGTTCTTTCCCTTCGCACCCTCTGTCGGCTTCAAGGTATCGGCGGCCTTCTGCTTCTTGCGCGGTCGACCTCGTTTCTGTTTCGCCTTCGGTTGCTGTTCTTCCTCCTGTTCCTCCTGCTCGTGTCCCTTCTCATCGCTGCTACTTTCCACGTCTTCCTGGTCGTCGTGTTCCTCCTGCACGGAAACGCCAAAGATGCGCACCCCGCTTTCACCCTGCAGCCGAACCGCCCAAGTTTTCACGCCGTCACTTTGGTCGAGCTCCAATCGCCGTCCAAGAGGCTTCGTCACCAAAATGGCACACCTCAACTGTCGATGGCTCGACACGTCAGGAGTCGATGTAGGTTGCAACGATGTAGCCGTAGACGGAGCCGTCGGAGTGTGCGATTGGGATACAGCAAGAGGAGCGATGGCAGACGAAGGTCCTGCCACCATAGGCTGTGCAGGAGAATGGTTGTATACTGTATTCGAGTAGTGCGTGTACGCAGTAGTGTAAGCAGGCTGTATGAAACTGGCAGGCTGGGCATTGGCCGTCGGAGCTATCGGTTTCAATTGTAAAGTTACTGGAACGGGGGTAGGTGGGGCAGTGCTTGACACAACAGGTTGCGTTGGCTGACTAAGAACATTTGCAGAAGCAGGGACGACCTTAGACGGGATTGGGGCAAGAACAGGGGATTTGCTAGCCTCCAGAGCCGTAGCCCCGTTCGGTGCAGGGGCGTGTTGGGCAGGTATTCGAACCGTACCAGACGAGGGAGATCCGTTGGCGGGAGGAGATGTTGCCAGAGCTGCTGAAGGTTGTTGTGCAGACGATTGGGCGGCCGTGGTAGGCATCTTGAATCTAATCTTCGCAGCAGGGGAGGAATAAGCAGGCAGAGTGTATGGTGCTGGGAGATCAGACATTATTTGGCGAAAATAGTCCTGTGAATGAATGAGTGGAGTACGTGAATACTGCGATGCATCATTGCGGAAGTGTCATCAACCTACCCTCAGAACCAAAGCATCCTCCCATATTCCCGTGTGATCCTGGTTGAACTCCAGAGCATTTGAAAATACAAGCTCAACATCATTTGCGAAATCAGACGCTGTGTGATATTCCTTGCGTTTGAGACGTTTCTGATAGAGTAGCGTTAGGTAGAATTCAGATTGGGTGAAGCTTCCAGCTCACGAATATATTTTCCAGGCACTGCGGCCGCTTGATCGTCTTGTAGTAGATGGCCCATTGCTTACGGTTAGGCAAGTCCATGAATTCCGTCGACAACATACGCCCGCTTCAAAAAAATTGTATCCCAGCTATCAATTACGAGATCTGGTAGGGGGGGGACCCCAGAAAACTTACGAGTCATCTGTCTTCTCAATTAACTTTTGCAGGCGCGCTTTCAATAGGCGTATCATATTTGGTGCCTTCTTTTTCTTGCCCCCTTCGTCATCAGAACCTCCCGCGGGAGCCCCAGCATGCTCCTCGACGTCGTCTCCTGCATCGGCAAGGGCATCCTCGGGTGTGCCAGTAATCTTACTATACTCTTTGAGTACAAGTTTCTAACCAAGCCTAACGTGAGCAATTGTGATAGAACGTCGTGCACGGAAATGCGGGTACGGCAGTAGCGGCCGACGAGAGAATATCAGCCCTGACTTACATGCAGATGTTTGGCATCCTTCCAAATCTGACTTTCCTTTATGTTGTACCGTTTCGCGTTCCGAAAACAAGTCTCGAAATCTTGCTTGAGATCCTCCAGTGATGTATATGCGGATGTGTCCAGTTGGGTCTTTATCTCCTCGAGAGATACTGGACGTTTGATTTGCTGATAGTAATCTGGGTACTGTCGCTTTGAGGGAAGACGCAAGAAGTCATTGGACAGACTTCGGCCTCTGCATCCCCGATAATACACAGCATGAGATGAAGTGATGAAGAGAAATAACGGCACAAACGTCGGACAGTATCCAACATCGGAGTTAAACTCAGCTGAGGCTGGTCAAGAGCTGGAATAGTCACGCACTCTTTGTTCACCGCGTCCTTCACCATCTGCCACACCTTGAGGCCTTTTTCCTTTACTACCTCGGGGTCTTCTGTCACAGTCTCTAGCGCATCGCCCTCCTTCTTGATCGTTAGCTTGACACTGGTCGCGCCTCCCTGTTCTTTCGTTGGCGCGCCGGCTTCAGCACTGGGAGCCTCCCTCCGTCGTTTGGCGCGCGGGGCATCGATGTCAATACCTGCTACTGCGATTTGGCTGGCTTCTCTCTTTGACATAGTGCGACTGTTTACTACACACAGCGCGGGGAGGAATGTTCAACCTGAAAGGCGCGAGCTGAAAAGCAGTCCCCGATACCTGGTGGCCCTCTTGGTCAGTCCCGGCGGGCGGTCACCCCATAAATGGTAATATCACGTGGGAGACGCGGTAGGCGCGCCGCTCGGTTTAGGCGCGCTTAGAGTAGCGTCTATTTAGTATCATGAGGTACATACTAGAGCCGCGACGCTCTCAGGTAGATCGGGTATCTTCAGAGTAGTATCGCACGAATCGTTAAACTTCACTTCAGTTGAACCCCATCAGCTTCACGGTTGGTACAGCTCGTCCTGATTTATCATGGAGATGCAGTCTCACAGGTAAGCGCAATCGGGCACCGTCTATCTGGTGTCTGAGCATTCTCCTTGCACATTTTGTGGCACATTTTGGCCACCTCGTATCTTAGTCCTGAACGTGGTGCGGAGGAAACTACTGTGGCAGGGGCCACACGTCACGATGTACTTTATTTAAACGATGACACTGCTGTCTTCATGGTACGCCACACTTTCTGGTTCGGGGATATTTGACATTCTAATATTGATTTTTCAATATGGAGGTCGAGAATACTCTTTTTAGAGTCCATCGTCATTTTCTCAAACGACACTCGAAAGTGTTTGCCACTATGTTCTCGCTGCCGCCAATAGATGGGACAGAAGAGGGATGCACCGACGAAAATCCCATCCATTTGTCGGGTGTTACCAGCCAGGACTTTGAGCGACTGCTATCTCTTTTCTATCCGCAGTAAGACGCACACTCTGACTCCTGCACTTTACATCCCTGAGAGGGCGGATCGTCACCTCACAGGAACGTCATTGACGGTGACCTCTCCACGGTAGACGAATGGACATCCGTCCTCGCATTGGCCACTAGATGGGACTTTGCCGGCCATCGAGACCTCGCTATAGCCCGTCTCGCGCAGCTCGCCTCACCTGTCGACCGCATTCTGCTCGCCCGGAAGTACGTCGTTGAGGCATGGCTAGGACCGGCATATCTAGCACTCTGCAAACGGGACGAAGCTCTAACAATGGAGGAGGGCGAGCGTCTGGGCATGAAAGACGTTATCATGCTTTCAGACATTCGACAAGCAATCAGAGGCAACTACCGAGTGACCATGCATGAGAGAAATATCATTGCCCTGATTGATAAGCAGCTCACTTAGTGCGGCGTGTTCATGATGCACGATGCAAAGTTTTAGAGCAATGGCTTGTCGATGACTCGCTACTTACAGAATGAAATCTTGGCTAGCTTGATCATGAACTTCGGTGCAATTACTGGGTTTTGATTGTATTTTTTGCCCATTGATATCATCAGACAGCATGACATACGTTTACATTCAGATCCGACATTGTCACATTCTAGTGTGGGACCGTTCGGCAGCATTGTGTACATGCCCTACTACAATCACTTTATCTGATAGCACATCGCCCAACAAGCTGAAGGGATTGCCATCCGACAGCCAAGTACATGGAAATTCTATAGCGTTGGTGCGATCTGAGCAACTCGCAGTTCCTGCAATCGCTTCTTCGCTGCTCGTGAGTGGTTGTTCATACCACCGTTGAACGCCCAAGCGGCCCGTTTCTCTACCTCGCCAAGATCTGTGATCGTATTAGTAGAATATGCTCGAAGAAGGCTACTGCCTCCAGGCTAATAGAGTCCAGACGACATGTAGTGTCAGCAAATGTGTAGTCACGATATGACACTACAGCACTCACATGTTCTCCCAGATACGATGTAGCATCAATCACATATCCGTCTATGATGAGTATGCACCGCCCAGATAACCGTGCGGCTTCGACATGGGATTTCACTTCCGCAAACGTCCATCTGTCCCCCTCCCAATCATCGGTTGATTTCTCGCCCTTTGAGCTGTCAACATATTCCTCGGCTGACACCTTGTGAAGCATGTAATCCTGTGCCTCGCTAATATCGCTGGGACGAGCTTGCTTGAGCCCCGAAGCCAGGCCTGTTAAGCGAAGAAGGAGGATAGCCCACTTGGATGGGTCCCAATCGAACGGATCAGGTCCCGAACGGTAGTCATGCGGAAAGGCATGCTATACGAAACGGTCAAATTACGGGCAGCGACCAGAACACATATAGCGTACGTGCTGAGGTAAAAGACCGTAAGACAGTCGAACCGCAACCGTCGGAAAGAATAGAGCTTACAAAATTATGATTGCCTTCTCCGCACGTCAGAAGGGCAACAAACTGTGTTGAACGTTAAATGGGGTCCTCCTCGGTGCTATGAGGAAATTGAGACCCACGAGATTAGACTTGGACGTATTTTCATCCGTGTAAGGCTGTAGTCCGTCCCAGTGAGCCAACCTGGAGAATATGCGAATATGGTCAGAACTACTAAGACCATGAATAAATGGACCTACGAATTGACGAAGAACGTAGAATGCCAAACTAACGAGCGCAGACCATGAGATTCTGGGTCTAACACGCAACACCCTACTCACTCAGTAAACGCGCGACCAGAGCAGCCCACACAAAACACCCGTGAAAGTCTCCCCATAGCAACCCGATGAAGGGGGGAGCGACTAAGCCGAGAACAACCGCAAGTGGAACTGCATGATTGTGGTGGAATGAGTCACGAGATCTGTGCTGGACAGTAAAAGCCGCCCACTAAAGTATTGATGCTGGAACTGAACAACTGCGAATAAACGTTGAGAGGGCTGGATACTGTCGCATTGTCCCAGCAGTCCTCACCTGGATCACGATCTAAGTCGTCCTTGTCTATCAGTTCCATGCGCTCGTAGCGCGATTTGAAGAAGATCCAGCCCATGTGGGACCACAGAAAGCCCCGCGATGCAGCATATCTGACGGCCTGCCGTCAGCAATGTAGTTGATCTGAGAAGATGTGCGCCATACGGGTCATGTATTGGATCATCCGTAAAACGCTGAAGTAAACAGTCAGGTTCATAAATATGACAACTACCGGTAGAGCCGTACATGATGCAATCGATGTCGGACACTCCTGATCGACGTCGATGTGACTAAGCGGACGAGTGTAAGTTCGGGCAGAAAACTCACCACCACTGTCCAAAAAGTTGGCTTGAGAGAGACCATACCCAATGAGGCGGGAGTGGCTCACCTTGATCGAGCCTTGCATGGCGCTTGCACCAAGTAAAGCAAGCAGGACTCTGACACTATATGCGGCACGGAACGCCCTGTGGGAATACAGGCGGTGATACCCAACCGTGATACTGAAGACGGTTCAGTGAGGCCGGGTAAATTAGGTAAAAGGAGGAATGGACTGACGCCATCATAGCGGCTTGGGTGAGGACGAGAGACAGAACTAAGGTTGCCCGAGGGACGGAATAGATGGGATAGTAATAGACGCCTATGGCGGCGGCGACGTGGAGAAGGACAAAGAAAATGCCATTGGACCACCAGATCTCAGAGCGAGGCTGGGGCGGGGGGGTTGAGGGCGTCATGGCCATCGTTGTGGGGTTGAGGCTGCAGAAAGGTATTTAAGCAGGAGTGGACGTCCACGCTCGGCATCGAAATTAGAAAAGGAGGATGTGCCGAGAAGCCCTAAGGAAGCCCTGGGTAGCACGCAGCGTCGCAACCGTGTTTCAAGATGGGTCAGGGCGATGATACGGACCCTGAGCACAAATGGTGGCGTCGTGCTCGAAATTGAGAGGCAAATATGGTGGGGCTGATCGAGACTGTAAGGCGAATATGGTGGTGCCGATAGAGACTGGATGAGCGCATTATCTCTTGCGGAAGAGCGAGAGGTGAGCAAGTCTCCAAGTGAGCATCCACTCTACGGGAGTTGGTCGCTCGTCGACGATAACGGGCTGCCGCGAGAAATGGCTGCCAAGTAAAGCGCGCAGCCTGCTACGGGGGCGGCTCCCCATCAGAACACGGCGCACGGAACAGGCAAGTTGCTGCACGTCCGGCGTGAAGACAGGTGTCGCACGTGTCCACCCACAAATCCCGAAATCAGAACGTACGCACATTCGAAGGCTGGTGAACGTCATCAACGGCCCGCGGCCGCAAAACAAAGGAGCGAGCGTGATACGGCGGAAAATGCTGTATTTTCGAGAATTTGATACGACACCAACTGAAGTTCGTCTGGTACAATAGGTCCGGCGTGCGCCTGGTGTCTCGCACGGTCTGTAGCACCTGCAAAAGCACTACCTGCGCAAGACTATGCATAATCCCTGTGAGGGTCGGACAGGTGGACCGTTCGGTCTGTCGATGAGTAAGTACGTTTGGCCGTCAATGTTTAACATGTAAATTGCAATCAGTAGCCATCGAGTACGTACACATGACCATGCGCTCGCTTCGCGGGAGCTTCGCAATAATGCTAGTCTCCGAAGAATATCTTGATGCACATTATGAGGCAGCCTAACGCATCCCATACTCGACTAGGCGGAATTCTGACCAAGACAAGCGTGATGCTGCGCCAAGGAGTGTGATAGACAGTCGGACTAGCTGCGTCGAAGTAATGCGAGTGGCGAAACATGAAAGTGATTCCTAAGGCCACCTCGGGGCGATATGTTCTGATGTATGAAATTTCAGTGAAATATGCATCTGACACTGGCATACAGGGATATCACATACGACGACAGCAACTCGGCGGTCGTCGGACCATGGGTTCGCCTATCCGAGCCATTGAAGGGGTCAGAACAACTGAAACAGCGCCATCCGCTGCAAGGCATGCTGGCGTTTCGCTAAAGAGCCGGTCGGGTCGCCGCCTTCACTACCAGTCGCTATCGCCAGTTTATTAAATCACCGTCGTCTGCGGCGTGCGCGCCTTGAAAGTTGTCTTGCAAACTTGGGGCGGATTTAAACGTTAAAGGGTTACTAGAACATGCTGAATTGTCGACTATTGAGTGTAATGAGATTGTCACGCTACGAATGGCCGCGATGACTGGCTGCTGCTAGGAGGCAGAGTGAACCGTAGTGAAATTTCCAGACAAACCTGGTGTCTAATAGCATAATATCTCTCGGTTCATCCACTAGAACCGGACCATAATCTCTGTGGTAGATATTTTCAGAGCTCCCGGTAGTACATAGACTGTAGTGGCCAAGTGGAAGGTGATCTCGGCGCTTATGATTTTGCACTGATCAACTTCTTTTGTTTCGGGCGACACTTAGGACGATCTTGTAGACAAGTTACAATCGTGTATAATGCTCTCCTCTGCGTAATTGATTCCCTCTATGAGCTTGTAATCAGTCAGGTCTCAGACTTCATTCCAGGCCCGGGATCACAGTTGAGGTTTGCGTGGATTCTGTGGAATCAGCCGTTGCGTACGTCATGAAATCAGACTATTTGACCGATGATCGTTTGAAATCCCTCATTGTAGTGCTGCGAAGGGAGGAGCAAATCGACTCGAACTTTGTGGCAATCTTGCGCTCGGCGGGGGAACTACCCCCAGCATCGGCTTGTTCCAAGCTGTCCGCAGTGCAGTGACGGATGTGACTATCATGGTAAGCTGCATTTTTAAGCTCTAAAAGGGTGTGATGGCCACTTTAGCTAGCCGTTGCTGGATCCGGAACAGTGCCTTTCCCTGGCAGATGGATCCGCGCTATCGTTCCCATCGTGATTGTCTGCTCAAGCTAAGCAGAATGTGTGCTGATGCCCCATCGTACAGGTCATGATTCGCCCACGCACTGGGGACTTTTGCTACACCCCAGATGAGTTCGCCATCATGAGAGAGGACATCCGCGCGTTCAAACATGCTGGGGCGCACGGCATTGTGATGGGCGTTTTGACAAAGGACGGAAGAGTAGACATTGGCCGCAGCGCAACGTGAATATTCCTGGTCTACTTCTTTGCCAACCTCACGACGCACATCTGTGCCTGCTTCTAGTCTCGCATCGGAAGCCGCTCCGCTGCAAGGTGCATCACCTGTTCGTCGTCTCGCCGCGCAGAACTGACATGACAGGATCCAGTCTGTTTCCACAGAGCGTTTGACATGACAAGAGACCCCATGGAAGGTAACGGGCGATCGTTGCGCGCGCACCCTCGTTCTGACCGCCAAGCTTTTCCCAGCTCTGAACGATGTGCGGAGCATCGAACATGTCACGCGCATCCTGACCAGGTATATACAAATCTTGAAACAGTCACCGCCACACGCTCACAGCTCACTTGGACATAGCGGGCATCGCCCAACGGCGCCCTCTTCGCTGCCCACTCTCCGCGCACTCCTCGAGGCATCGGCCCCAGATACCCCGGTCAAGGGCGGCCACTCGCTCGGCATCCTCCCTGGTTCTGGGATAAACTCGTCCACCGTTCGCCCGCTCCTCGACGCGCTCCTCCCGCACGGACTACGTGCCATTCATCTTAGCGGCGGCTCTTGGATCCCTGGCACCATGGAATTTCGGAGAGAAGGTATGGGCATGGGCATAGGTGGCGAAGGAGAGTGGGGTGTTTGGCGCACGAGCGAAGAACGCGTGCGCCAGGTGAGACATATTGCTGATGAGGCCTGGGAAGAATATGCTGAAGCTGTGCGAAATGCTTGATGTGGAAAACGACCGTCCATCTCTTCGCTGTATCTTCTGTCGTAACCATGACGTGGCTTCTACTCAGCAATCATCTCACTCTCCGAGTCTTGCGTTCAAACTGTATGCATCGAAAACGGGATACTATTCGCCTTCCGCTCTCTCGTTCACGTATCCTGCTCCACGTGAGCATGCATCCAGTAGGGGCTGAAAGAACAGTCTAGTTCTTAAAGCGTAATTGTTGCTGCATTGGAGAAACATCTATAAGAAGAGATGACGGACGACTGCATCAAGGCTCATATCCATATGCCGCTAGTGGGAGCTACCAGCGAGAGAACGACCTAGCTTTGAAAACGTAATCCTGCTTGGATTGGAGAGACATACGAAAGAAGACAACAGTGCGGTCATAGGTATGATTTCCACAGGCACACCGCTAGTGAACCGTCTTTGGAGAGCTCATAGGACAACCTAGCTTTAAAAGCGTGATCTTTCTTGATCAAAGGAGCTGATCAGGAAGGCTCATGTATTAAGTTAACTCCCAAAAATGAGTAAACAGCCACTTACGATGGAAAGAATAACTACTCTGGGAGGAATATCACCTTTAGGAAAACTCTCCTGCAAAAGACTAGCTGCATGCTAACCCGATCTGGACATTGACTTTCCTGAATGAGGCAGGATAACAATATGATTCGAACGGCAAACCTATCTCGATCTCACTCGCCGTGTCCGCAAGCGCAACGAGCAAAGGGCACGGCCTACTCTAGAAGTAGAATTGCCCAAATGAAGACATTTCCGCGAAAGGAGAAAGGACTCGACAAGTGAGTGTGACCCGCTCCATGGCTCCGTACCGTTTGTGCAGCCTGTTGACCGTATGGACGAGTGGCACAGTCGCCGAGTTGCAGTTATAAGACCTGGTCCCAGCATCTCTCTCAGTTTATAGTTCTCCTCCTGAAAATGCCAAGGAAATCCTCCATTGAACAAAGTCGCTGGTGTGTGTCGCGATGCGCTGTGACTCTGGGCGACACTGGCTTTCGCCATGAGGTCTTTAAAGACCCTCTCACACAGATGTTCAATTGCCCAGCATGCGGGAAAGGCCACGAGAGTCCAGCTTCTCTAAAGGTCTGTCGCGTATCTCCTTCCATGTTTCTCTTTTTAACAACTTGGTTCAGGAACACGCCAAGAAGGAATGCGCATCAAGATTGACTATGTTGTAAGGTGCTTGACTGGTCTATATACCCGACAATGTTACTCATCAAATATCTACTTACCCGATAGTGACGAAAAGGTCGAGTTCCAACGAGGTGTAGGGGGCGTGAATCATCAAGAGGTATTCGAAGAGCGGCCTACCGTGACTATAGACAAGAGTGGGGACATTGAGGGCGGAGATCAAGCTGAGAGCCCGCATGACGACCATGACTCGAACGACGCGGATGAAGAAGCTCAAGTAGAGCGGTTGTGTGAGTAGCGGTTCTGGATTCCTCGTCCATCTATCTGAAAATCCTGTCTTTTCATCCTAGGCGTATCAAACTCGCTTCCATCAACACCGAGACTAGATTCAGACCCCGGTTTGGGGGCGACGTCCAATGTATGGCGTCCATCGCTCCTCCCCGATGCATCTTCTCCTACCCGCGAAGCCGACAATGTACCTTCACCTATACCTTCCCTTATGTACCCCGACAGCGACGACGACATGGAGGATGTGGAGGATGACTACTCTGCCGCCGGACAAACTCTGCCAGTTCCAATGCCGCCCAAATCGGCGCTCCCGGTCATTCATACACAGGATCAGCCGCCGATCACACCTCCCTCCTCACCAATCGTGCCGCTATCCGTCAGGGATGCAGCTTTACCCAAGATCACATTCAGGAAACCGGTCCTACCCGTGTATTTCGAAGGCCCTGTTGCCGCGATCAAGGAGTTCCTCGCATATCCCGAGCTCATGTTACTATGCCGCCCTTTCCGGGATCTCGGTTACACGAGCGCTGACGCGTTGAACGCTATGTGTGTCGATGGTGCTAGGGATGGCTGGCACGTCCTATATGAACGTTTAAAGGACTGGTTTAATGGACCGGTTCCGTACTGGGCTGAACTCCGAAAGCTATTGAAGGCACGCGCCGCCATCTTACCGTCCAGGCCCTCGACATTCAGGTTCGCTCCGATGAGGAATCCAATGAAACCAAAAGACGGATGGGTATTTGTACGCTTGTAGTGTTGTCGTGCCACTTGTAGTGACATATTCTTTGTAGCAAGTGTCCCTCAAGTAACATCATGGGGAGGTTGCTCTCGTCATCAGTGAATGGTTACGAGAACGCGGATGCACGCGCCACATTCACACCCCTGGCGAAATGAATAATTATATCCAGTGTCCATTGGAGAACGTAGACGTACAGTACATAACGTAAGGAGATAGCACCGGTATCGAGGTCACGGTTATAACAACACAATAAATGGAATATCGCTACAATGATGAGAAGGAGCCGAGATGTCAAAAACTGGAGGAGCATATGAAACGCATGAACCCGATGACGAAGAATGGGGATGGAGAATAGAGAAGTGGGTATGGGTGTGAACGGGCGGGTGGGGGACGGTCCTGGCCTCTACCATGGATGTGCTCCACCTCCGCCGACACCGCGGGCAAGCCTGTGCTCCCCGCCTTCTCTTTGTCTATTGTTTCGAGTCAGATGCTCGTGCTTGTGGTAGACCGCTCTGCGCAGCCGTCGCGGGAGGCCACGGCCGTTCGGGATCATCGCAGCGCCTGCGCGCATGCCCGGGAGCGCCGGAACGCCTCCCCTCGATCGATGGGTTACTTTCGCGCCACGAGCTTCTTCAGCGGGTTAGTCTGCGACGACTTTCCGCTGGGCGGGATGTTGGACCGCGAAGATGGGGCGAGTGCGGCATACATGGCGTGTCCGTCGCGCGGAGACTGATGGAACGATGCGAACGCGTGAGGAGCGGAAGGTCCGGTGGGGAAGAAGCTCGCCGCCGGCGACGAGGGGGGAGAGGCGTAGTAGTTGTAGGACGACATGGCGTGCGGGGGGCGTAAATGGCGCGGGAGACGGTCGTGAATTTGGGACGCAGAGGTCGCGATCAGGCCGGTCAAACTCAGTGAGTCGAGTCGAGCGGGGAATGGCGGGCTGCAAGGCGATCCAACCGGGGGAGGCTGGGCTGGGAGCAACCCAGTGCCTCTCGCCTGGCTTTTATCCGTTGCCAGCGACCCCGGCGCAGAGAAGGGCTTCCATTTGCATACACCGCCGAGTACAAAGGACGCTCCGGATTGGGAAGCACTTTGCAACTCCGCGGCGCTGTTTTCGACTAGACCTGCCTTTTGCGGAAGAAGGCACGGTGCGTATTTGGAATGGCTGGCGGACGCGGAGACATGCTCCAGCGACAGTGGTCCCACAGTGCCACTCATGGGTCCTTGAAAATCAACACGCGGTCTCGCATGTCGACCTCTTTGTACGTATGTGTTGTATCTGCGGTATGACTCGGGTGCCACTCGCCAACGCGTGGCATCATCATCCACGACTCAGATGCCACTCGACTCGGACTTCCGACATAGAGGAGACTCTAAGAAACCCAGTTTAGTCTCGGTATGAGCGTTTGCCACTTATCATATCCGGAACTTGACTCAACTTCGCATTCCTGCCCATCTTGTACTTACCGCCATTTGCATGACATGCATGGCGGCAGCAATGACTCCTCGCGGGCAGAATCAGAAAGGTCGCGTTATTTGCCGTCGCGTCGCGTCCTTGGAATGATGACTGATTCGAGAAATTTCGAGAACATGTACAACGCGTCGTAGACAGACTGGCACCCAAGCACACTGTGACAGGACCCCATAAAAACATACGTTGCATATCAAGCTCGAGTCGTCCTGTTGGGCAGACATATATCATGGGTATATGATACACAAGGACAGGAAGTGGAAGATTACGACTATGGAGCGACGTGTTGCCACGATTAGTATCGGTATACGCGTATTCGAAGCGATGCAACTGGTATCTCTAGTGAAGAATGCAATCATAACGGTGGTCCAGGGCCCAGGCAATCACGACGGATATAATGATACAGTACAGAAAACCCCCAAAACGAATCAAGACAGCCCGCGCTCTACAACAATGCCTGGTTATGCTGGCCCGATGCAACCAGCCGTTGCCAGTCCGCTCTCCAGTGCTGCATGCTCGACCGCAGCTTCTTGTCTGCAATTACCTTTTCGACCCAAGCGAGGAAAGCATTCTCGTCCTCCGGCACGAAGAATGATGAAAGCAGAGACAGCACTGTCTCGAATGATGCTGCGTTCGATGTGATGTGATCTAGGAAAAAGACAATTAACTTATCACCACATATATGACATCGCTTAAGCAACCCACCCCTATACACCCATACAATCGCTACGGCCACAACGACAAAAATATCGTGCCCCTCCAGCAGGAAGGCGTCCCAAAGACGCAGCTGAGTCTGGAAAGGCACACTATTTGCAAAAAGGGTGATATACCACTTCGTGGCATATGCCGTCGTTGATACCATGTGCTTTTTGAAAGCAGCGTATACGGCAGGTAGCATCTGCTCCGTAAGCCGTTCTTGCACATAGATTGCCTCAAGCAGACCGGGGAAGCCGGGACTAAAAATAGTGTGCATCTGATACGCGTCATGCAATCGGACGAGAGAGGCGTATGCTCGTTCTGGCTCGAAGTAACACAAGAGGGTGGCAGCTATAGGACCCATGCCTTGACAGTAACCGCAGGTTTCACAATGCAGCGATAGACAATGAAGTACATGGAAGAGTGACCGTTGCCTTTGGATTTCTTCAGCACCTGCTCAGGGATATTTAGCTGTAGGCACTCACCCTTGGCCATATCTCGTCCGGAACATTACATGGCCACTAATTGTCCGAGGTACATCCAGGTCGATCTGCACATCATATGTAGATGCCTGGTCAAGAGCGTTACGGTACTCCTGAGCAAGCCGAGTAGTTTCCATCTTGCCATGCTTTGAGAATCGACACATCAGCGTGTCCCAAGCGGCACTTCGCCAGCAGTCAGGAATACCCTTGAAGGTCCGCTCGCGCAGCTTGTGCTCTTTCGACGGGTTGATCCCCCATGCGTCGATGTTTTGTCCTTGATCGCGCGAACGTGGTACCAACATTCGGCCCCATTTGACTACACGTCCTAGCTCCTTCGATGGGGTAGCAGTAGAAGGAAGGCTTGGAAGTAGTGACACGCTAGCAGAAGTATTTGTGACTGCCGTTGTCACTCGAACTAAAGGCTTGAGCAACGGGCCGACAGGAAGCAATGCTATTCGATCGTGCGACGGTGTCACGTAGAATCCATATCTGCAGTCTGCAGTCAGTATAACAATGCGGGAGCGGAGCGGAGGCCATACCGATCCAAACTGGAGAGCATGCCAAGCTCCTGAGACGTTAGTTCTCTTGTTTTCTCGTATGCGTCACCAAGTGCCTCCAATGCTGCCAGCTCGCTCGCTCGACTGCCTCCTATCCGCGCGCGTGTCCGCTCTACGCCTTCTTCATATCCGTCTCCCCGAACGCCACAGACGTCCAGTTGTGCGTACGTCGACCGCACGTGAAATCCGTCCGGGTCTTCGTTAGGCAGTGGCATAATAGACGGCGTGCTCGACGGTGAGCCCGTGACAGATGAGACGCGTGGTGGGGAAGAAGGAGGTGTGAGCATGCGTTGAGACTGGTGTTGTGAGGGTGCAGGTGCGGGCTCAATGTAGGACGAGGAAGGGATAGGCGGAGATGAAACAGAAGCTGAATCCTCATTACTGTCGGTTAGAGTATTGCGGTTTGGCGGGCGGGGTGAACTTGGCAAGCCGGAGGTTGTAACGGGAAGGCGGGTATGAGTAGATGAGGGTCGACTTGAATGAGCCGAGGCTGGACGATTATCTCTAGAGGCAGACAACAACGAGCCATTCGAGGAATTTCGCGGTACCGCTTGAGCTTTGAGTTCAAGGTGCGAAGTCTGCGGCTCGATGTTGGAATGTGGTCGATCGTCGGCATATGAGCACAACGCAGACCCATGTGACGCGCCAGAGTGTTTGGGCTGCTGGACGAGGCTGGTGCGAGGCCATTCAGACGTATCAAAGAACGCACTATCTTCAATGGGTCTCGAAGTCCACCTGGTGGTTGATGCTCGCTGGTCGACACCCACAACAGTTACGTCGACCTCTCCGTCCTTCGGAGAGCGGTATTGAGAATGAGCCTGGAGAGAAGGGGGGACAGACCAGCTGCCTGCGTCTTCCTCATACATGGAATAAATGGTGACTATGGTAGTCTCGGTAGAGCTGCGCTCACGGTCGTCAGAGGAGAGGTCGGGCGTGTTGGTTGTCGTGGACGACGACGACAGCGGTGATGGTGGCGGTCGTAGAGTGTCAGCGGATGTCGCGGGTTCGACAACAAAAAACGGCGGGTCCATAAAGAGCGTGAAAGAAGAAAGAGGTCGCGGGAGAAAGGAGCGAGAGATTCTCGAAAGTAGATGGACAAGCGGAGACAGCGCAGCCACAAGGCGGTGGTGTCTCGTGTTCGCTCCAATTCAATTCGTAGTAGCGTACTCGGTCGAATCTTGTGATACCGTAACCGCTGTGTCTTGTTGCTGGCAAAGCCTGGCATCGAAGGTCAACGGTGTGGATTCAGGAGACCCGTCTATGCGATGAAACTGGATGTATTTTACAAACATCGGAAAGGTGGACAAGTGCTTTCTTGACTCAAATAGTTATATACATACGAGATATAACTATGTAGGCGGTGAACCCAATCTCAGGCAGTACATTCGATTGTTGAGACGGTAACGCATTGAACCTGCACGGGACACTGAATAGTGCGTACTTCGGAGGATCCAAACATTCAACAGATGTTCAGCTCCAACTCGATTCGTATAGATGCGATACCTTGACCTGAGATGCGTGCGCACTCCTTATTGTCTTCTTGCTTAGTCTCGGTTCAAATGAGTGACGACAATGAGTCGTACATCTCGACGATAGACTAACATTCGGACTGCGACGAGACTGCGAACTTGAAGATGCGGAATCCAGAAGAGCTGTGGCTGAGCGCTGACGCCCGGACCCGGCCGCGGGTAAGGCAGGTGGTTGGCCCGAAATAATGTGGTGGGCGTTGTTCACAAAGTCGCACCACCCATTGTCTGCACCGCAAGGCCAAATGGCGACTCTCCTGCTTTCCGCTCATCCGTGCGCCAGTATACACCAGCCCCATTCCCGTTTCAAATTTGACCGGATTTACGGATTGAGCAGGCCTTTCCGCGCATCCGCCCTCGCGGATGACAGCGATCGGTGCCCACCACTTATCCGTCAAGGTCTGCTCGATGCGCTATAAAATCTGGGCCATTTCAGCAGGAAAGTCATCCAAGATCTCCGACAAGCCATGACCACCACGACATACGACGTTACGATTCTACGCTATTTGACGAAGTGTACGATTTGTACTGCAGCTTTTGTGCTATGCCCCGTCTTCTTCGTCTTAGTACGTTTATTCACATTTACCACATGTCTAAGCTCATACGGCATCTCGTAGAATATTGTGCTATACGGCATACAAGTCCTCTATCGTCGTCTAAGGCATGGCAAAGCAACACCTCGCTCTCATGTGCTCATACGCGAACGAGGCTCTTCGCCGCGTTTGCGGACACATATTCGAAAGGAACCTTCTATAAAGATTCTTCAAACCAAGAGCGAACCAACGACTCCAGCTGAACATCAAACGAGCCCTCGGGTCTCGTTCTCGGAGAATACATATGGCGATCACAAGCCTGCGGGGAAGAAACGCTGGCCGTCCCCGGCCAAGCTATTTTCTTCTGACAATTCGGTTTTCAATGCCCGCTCTGTCCTAGCGTCTACAGCGACGACGCCGACTCTATGCTCAACAAGTTCGCGGTTTTTTTCCGATCTGCCTCATCTGGGCTCCGCCCAATCTATGAACAAAGCTGAAGTAGGGACGACGCGAAAGGACTATGTCTTTCCACCATCCAGATCTAGTCTATCCATTTTGCCCCGTCGCCGGTCTTCTTTCAACTTGAAATTGCCTTCGACTCTGCAAACGGTACCCATGTTCAAGCCGAAGTCACAGCGGACACAGGGCGGTCCAACTCGTTCAGCTTCAGATCCTACTGCATGGACAGCTCTACTACATGGTAATCGTCCGTCCGTCCATCTGCCTGCAATGCTCCGTCGGAAGACAGATATCCCATCGACTCCTTCAGCCCGCCGTAACTCCGCAGACTCTGCTCTGCTCAAGGCCTGTCGCTCACTCACGAATCCTGGAATTAGTCGTCGTCGAGCTGCATCGGTCTCAGAGACGGTGCACCGTGTTCCTGTTCGTCCTTGCGAACCGCTTATACCGTCTCGTCGACCTACGGCGCCAGCTTGCTCCGACAAATCTGCTACAGTACAGAAGTCCCTATGCGCTGCACGGAAGGAGTCATGCAAAGCGGATATAGGCGAACCGACGCCTCCTACGCGTCGCTCTTCAGCCCCTCCGATGCGCCCGATGCCTCCGGAAAGCTCCGGTACTTCACCTCATGCGGCACGAGGACGGCTCGCGACCGATCCTATTGCGAATAGGCCTAGGCCGCCGTTGGCCACACAGGAGACATTTACGACAAAGTTTGTGAACCCATTCAATTTTAGCTCCCAAAAGTCTAGGACCACTTCTGCTCTTTGTGAGTCAAACACGCTGCCCACCTGCGCGCTCCTAACCCACTTCATACCAGATGAACCAGCTACTCCCAAGACGCTAGCAAGCCCCACAAAGGCCTCGACCAAACGGCGTTCTTTGAGCAAGTTTTTCCGCATCGAGTTCACCCCCAAAGCTAGGCTCCCCTCACCCATTCTTTCTCGCACGACATCGAAGGTATCCAAGTCTACGTTAAATGTCTCTACTCCTGCTCCCCCATGCAGCACTCCACGCACACAGCCGTATGGATATCCATATTACGCTCAAATGCCGGGGCAGACAGGTTATGTAACTCCGATACAGCCGCAGCCTACGCACTTCCGCAAAGATACAAGTGGATTTGTCCCGAAAGCTGGTAATGGCTCCAAAGACGCACAACTTACGCGTGCACGAGGATTGCAGAACCAACGGACGACCACAATAGCCGAGGCGCGGTGGACTAATACGCTAGGATTATCGTTGCACGATACAAATCAGAGGCGGAAGGAAAATACCAATGATGGGAGATAGCAAGTCCTGCTCCTTATAAGTCCAGTGTTCTGCATCTTATCTTTATATTGTCGCATATCGCATCTCAGTCGCATTGTCATGATACTATTTATACGCATGTCGCAGAACCAGTCATACCATACTACTCGCTTTGAAGTTGTTATTCACGAAGTACTTAAAATCATGTTAATTGTGTACAGTATCCCATGTTCATAGATTCGGTCCTTCAATGCTTGACGTTAACCCATCGTTCTGGAGTAACGCCAACATCGCATGCAACACGGGATTGTTTTGCCCTACATCCAACGTGACTCCATCGTCGATGCATTGCTTAAGTTGTGCGTCCAATAGCCGTCTAGATGGTCTCAGTCAGAATTGCGACAACCCGGAGCGAAACCAAACGCCTACCGTAGCTGGTTGACTAGGATCCCGATGCGGGGCCACGCCTTTAACTTGATCACCGAGTCTTTGCTTCCGATCGTCAAGCCTCCACCGACGTGGTTCACTGATACCGCGCCTCCAAACAGCAGAAGCCCGTATATCGGAACCTGCAGCCGTTCCGCACCAGTGAGCTCTCCGCATTGCCGCGTGTACAGCCGTACGCACCTCCGTAGCGTCTCTCAGGAAAACCTTGGTGGTTGCCTGTTTCTGGAAGTATGTTAAGAACGGAGATTTCCACGCAGCTTCACCGAAGAGGACAGATGCGGGGTGCAGGAAGACTCGGCCCTCCCGCAAATCGTACATCTTGAATTCTTTTGCGGTGTTCTCTCGCTGCACCGTTCCTGCTTGCACCCGATCGAACTTGATCGCCGATTTGGGTAGAGATACCCGGGCAATACGAGGCCAGAGTCCTCCGAGAATGACTGCTTTAAGCAAATTCTCGTTGGAGCTATTCACATTGAGCACAGTGTCATTGGGCTTCGAAGACGCCGAAACGAAGCCGAGATCGGAGAGCGATGAGAGGAAATCTTGTCGCAACGAGGTAATATCTCGGATGGTTGAGGCAGAAATAAAGTTCTACTCAGCCTCCGCCGTGAGCTGCCGGACAATCGCAGTGAGATTCGGTGACGACAGACCTCGTCACAGAACCTTTTGATGACGTTATTTGGCTTTCCCTCAGCGCGAAGACGCATGCATTCGTCGTATGCGTGAAGATCTGTTAAGAGATCGCTATTTCCAGTTGCAAAATGGGCTCGCGCGCTAGTGAATCTACATTAAATTGAAAGTGATGACAATCTCCAGATACTTACCGCGTCGCTTCTTCGCGCCTATCCAGAGGGCTGACGAAAAGGGGTTTCGAGGACAGGCAAGCCACAACAGTTAGTACGGGTCCAAGGCATTTGAAGATTGTGGCTAGAATCAACATCTGTGGATGGTGAGCTATCGCTTAGCCCAATGTCAGATCGGCAAACCTTTCCCAGTCTCAGGTCGACTGGCAACATTGCCTGGTAGTGACGCATTAGACAAGGGGTTATACGAAGGAAGACCATCTGTGCCTACCATGTGCCGCCCAAGGGGGGTGACTTCACCGTCTGCATTAAGAGCAGCTAAGTCCTCGAGCACACGCAATGCGCTATCCATCGTTGCTGTATCTGGAGGGTCCAATGCACGAGATAAAAATCCCTGCGATAGCCTTCAACCACAAGCTTGCAAAATAAAGGAAAATTCATCACTTTCACGTCATTGTGGACCACTTTGACCACAAGTGCTATGCTTTCCAAAGGTACTCGCATGATCTCTGGGACGGGGAAAGGCGCCATCTTCCTCTCCTGCATTTTGGTGTAGAGCTTGTAACAGACGCCCGGTTGCGTCCGCCCAGCTCGTCCCCGCCTTTGCCTCGCTGCGGCACGAGTGACCCACTGCTCCAGTAGCCTAGTAAGCCCAGTTTCTGGATCATAATGTGTTTCCTTGACTTTCCCGGAATCAATGACGTATATGACATCGTCGATAGTTATGGATGTCTGGCGGGAATACTATTGTCATTTCTAGTGCAAAAACGATGGAACATGACGTACTTCAGCGACGTTTGTTGCCACGATAATTTTCCAGCTCATCGCCGGGGCAAATACTCGACGCTGCTCGTCACTGGAAAGGTTCGCATGCAAGGGTAATATCGTAGCGTTTTGGATATCCCGCAATCGGTCGATGCACTGTCGAATTTCTTGAACACCAGGGAGGAATATGAGTATAGCCCCTCTCTTCGATGCAGTTGATATGATATGTCGGACTACAGCTAGGATGAGCTGGGAGGCGTATATCAGTGACGAGTATATCTGAACTATGACAAGAAATACTCACATCATAATCAATCCGATCAGAACGGCTAATAGTCTGGATAGCCTTTATTGTATCGTCTTGAATGTCTAACCGCGCCAGTTCGTCGTAAAGCGTTTTATACTCTTCTTCGACATCATCTCTCCCTTTCCTTGTACGCCCTAGACTTGTGGGCTTATAGTCAAGCGAAGGAAGCAGATCTTCTAAATACCTGTTTGTCTTGTTAGTTAATCGCGCAGCAGATATCTGACCACCTACTTGTCTTTTACAGGATGCGCAAATCCGGGGATTGTAAGGAGAGGTGCGTTGTCGAAATATTCGATGAACTTCTCATGGTTAATGGTTGCAGACATCAGTATCACCTTAAGCGTCGGATGAGTTCTCGAGAGCTCCTTCAGTTCAAGAAGTAAGAGGTCTCCATCGACCGAACGTTCATGCACCTACATACATTGCATGAGTACGCTCCGAGTTGCCTTGGACATATGCTTCACCTCATCTACGATCACATGTGAGACGTTGCTTAGCCGGTCCCCGGAGCCAAGCCGGCGTAAGACTACACCCGTGGTGCAGAACGTTAACTTGGTTCTTCTATTCTGTTTACTCTCTCCACGGATCGCATACCCTACCGAGCCATCATCCAATCTCTCGGCAGAGACACGGGAAGCAACGCCGAGAGCAGAAAGCCTCCGCGGTTGGGTGACGACTATGGATGCTCTCGATCCATGACCAGCAAGAATCAGAGAATCCAAGACGAACTGTGGGACTAGCCAATGCCTTGGTGAGATGATGCAGTGGCAGCAATGATAGATGGACGCACGTTGGGTGGTTTTTCCACACCCTGAAATAGCTCGTAGGTTAGTGAAAGGGAACGCCACCATCTAGAAGTCTTACCTGTCTCCCCAACCACTATGACACACCGGTTGTTTTCCAACAATTTCAGGAATTGTGTTTTTGCGGAGAACGCAGGGAGCTTTGACCTAGACTCTAGAAGTTGCTCGTACTGCTCGGTCTTGCAAAGGTCCAGAAATTGAACTTTGACTGCATCATCTGAGCGGTCATCAGGTTTCCACGCCGCTCTTCTCCTTCGGCTGTCCATGATATTCGAATGGGAGGCTACCGGAGGTGGCGCGTGTACAAGTGGCGCATCAGAGCTTCGAGGGACGAGATGCTGTAGGACAACAGATATCTCCGGTGGCCCGTTATCTTCGATAGCAATCCACTGCTCTTCCAGCAGTCGGATGGCAGCCATTACAAAACTGTCTCCGGGGTCCATGAACGTACCGCCTTTGAATGATAGAAGGAGCTGGGAGACTATATGAAGCCGAATGTAAGCTGGGACACTTGCGGATGCGATGTACATCGGCGGGGGAGTTCCCCTGGTTGACACTTTGAGATCATGAGATGCAAAGACGACGAGCGTTATGGGTGCAACGGGGGGACGGATTAAAATTTGTCCGCCGTCCAATGTCTGCCCGCCAATGGACTGAAGCTCCTCTTCGTTTACGACTTCCGCATCATCGTCGATACTCGCATCGGACGCAATGAGATCAGCAGACTCCCCAATCAACCTCCTGTTAAGTGCAGATAACAATAGTCTCCAGTCGTTGGCCAGCTTGTGGTCCGCCACGCATTCCCTGACGATGTGAGCTGGCCAACCGCACTCCTTGACGGCTTTCTCTTCTAACCACCGTGCTTTGATGTCGCTGGTTCCCGAATGAGTGGCCGTCACAAATGGATCTGAGGAGTTGGCAGATGGCAAAAACTGCCGTGGTAAATCGCATTCGGGCATCTGCAGTATGAGATACTCGATGCATGCTTGCAAAGGTGGGATGGTCTTCAGAAGATTCGAACTCAAAGACGATGGCTGCGATAGGGCGGCGATAGCCCCCCGAGCCTGGGCGAGTTTGAAACCCAGTGCGTCCAGGTTCCGGAGTATTTGTGGCGCATCCTCTGGAGAAATGACAGGTCGTTCGTCGTTCCCCGCATCTGGGTAAAGGGCTATCGCCTAGAAATAGAATGGATATCTGCTCATGGCCGTATGCACCAACAGTCAACAAACCTTCTTAATAGAATCCTCCACGACGTCGCGTAGGCTGCTAGCCATTTTTGCTTCCGGGGCATTCAGAAATTCGCCGGACGTCTGTGAGACAATGCTGCATTGTGCTTCTCGACCAGAAGCCTGCGCCTTCTGAGCTGCTTTGGCCTGCCGCTCCTCCACGGCCTTCCGTGCTGCAAACGGGTCAGCATCGTACATCCATTTCTGATGCTCTGGGGCATTCTTGTGCTCAGCAGAAAGATTGTTCCAGTATTCGCGAGGCCCGGGCGGTAGAACGCGGTTCAATTGGATACCATTGCAGAACTAGCAGAAAATCACCAAGACTAGTCGCAGAGTGACGAGAGACGTACTCACACGATATAGCGCGTATGTTGCTCCCCAATGACGTGCTTCTAGTGACGTCGGTCTCAGATACGGTGGATGGGGTTCGAGCCGCACAGATTCCCGTTGCGAGGATTTCTTGTTGATCCTGTTCAGTATCACCACAAAGGAAAACCCATCGGCTTGTTTGCGCTGTGTCACCATACATGGGCCGTGCAATTCCTGATCCGATGAAAGCTCTTGGAAAAACTCACCGTCTCTACTAAAGGCTTTTCCCAACCATTCTTCTGACACCTACACGCGAGCAACAATGAGTACTACTGTGACTGTCTGGAAAAATACAGAAGAATCTATTTTGCTGTGAATCATTACGCGATGACTGAAGCTAAACTATTCGCAGGAGATAGAAAGGAATTGCAAGAAGCATCACCTCTCATTCAATACACTCAGTGGGTATTTGGAACCCGGCGGAAAGAGAGGCTTGTCTTCGGAAGTTGAGGCCGCAGTCGACTCGGCAGGCAATTTGGATGATTTAGAGGAATTGCCGGCATTTCCTGATCTGACTATACCTCGTTTTGGAGGCATACGACAAGTTCTCTGAGGGAATTTATGTCCCAGATCAAGACAAGTACTTAGGTGTAAGTTGCAGTCGGAAACTGCGGTCCGGGAAGACTTGCGACTCCAGTTGCCTAAGTCGAGGTTGACTCACTGACTTCTGCACATACATTTGTCCTCCATAAATAGGATGGTTCTATAAGCGAGATTTGTATGTATGTAATGAAATTAAAGAGTCTTCAAATGCACGACGTGGCTGTAAATCGAGTATGAGCGGGATCCGCCGACCAGTGCTTTGTAAGCGCGCTCTAATGCGCTCACCAGCGCCGCCAGCTTTATTACGACTTCACGAGGACTATGGCTGACTCCGATCTCTATAACCTCGAATTTCTCTCTCTAGTCGCCAAAATCACCCAAGAGATAGACAATCACACTGGTCACAATGACAAAACACTCGCAGAGTTCGTCATCTCTCTTCATGAGGAATCCAAGACATTGCCGGAGTTCAAGCAGAAGTTGAAGGATGTCGGTGCAAATTTTCCTGATTCATTCTTGGATAATGTAGACCGCCTTATATTGAGCATGCACCCGAAGCACAAGAAGAAGTCTTCTGTCAACGGAGAGACTACTGCTGGGGATGGGTCTTTGGATGAGACGGAGAAACGAAAGCGTCTGTTTCCAGGTTTGGCTTTGCAGGATCAGGATTGGCAGCCGAGCATTACAAAGGATGCACTTATGAAAGAGGTGGATGATATGATGTCCCAATTCGAGGGTGTTGCGAAGAAGGCGAGACCAAGGCCTACTGAGGACGAGCGATCCCCCAAGCGACGGCGACGTTCGTCTCGGTCGCGGTCACCCTCATCTCGACGTCGTAGTCCAAGCCCAGCCCGTGAACGCGAATATGACGATAGGCGAGACAACCGGCGTGGTAGAGTGAATGATCGAAGACAACCCTTGGATGAGCGGCCTGTACTGTTCAAGATCTACAATGGCCGAGTAGCAGGGCTGAAGGAATTTGGCGCCTTTGTACAGCTGGAAGGCATTGTGGGTCGTGTTGAAGGTGTGTACTCAATGTGAACATGTTTCCCCGCGATACTTACTCTTTGTTAATTAGGTATGGTGCATGTCTCCAATATTCAGCAAGGGGCGCGGGCCAACTCTGCTTCTGATCTATTAAGCCGTGGTCAGTCTGTAAAGGTGAAGGTGATGAGTGTTGCCGGGACTCGTGTAGGTTTGTCGATGAAGGACGTCGATCAGGCCACAGGAAAAGATCTAACACCGCATTTACGCATCAAATCTGAAGCTGAACTTGCTGAAGAGCAGCAGCGCGCTGCTCATGGCGCAAACGCTATTCTGCTTAATTCGCATACTAATGTGAAGGACGAAGTCGTGCGGTCGGCGAAGCGTCTTACTTCACCGGAGAGGTGGGAGATTAAGCAGTTGATTTCTTCAGGGGCCATTGACGCTTCAGAGTATCCTGATCTCGATGAAGACTTCGCTAACCCTATGGCTCGTGCGGAAGTTGAAGAGGAACTTGATGTTGAAATCCGAGAAGAAGAGCCACCGTTCCTTGCGGGGCAGACGAAGAAGACGTTGGACCTAAGTCCTGTGAAGATTGTAAAAGCACCTGATGGATCGTTAAATCGGGCGGCTCTTGCTGGTGCTTCTCTGGCTAAGGAGCGGAGGGAATTGCGACAGCAAGAAGCGAATGAGCAAGCTGATTCCGAAGCTCGCGACTTTAACACACCCTGGCTTGATCCAATGTCGAAGGAATCTGACAAGATGTTCGCGCAGGATCTTAGGGGAAACCTTCGAGGGCAGGGCGAACAACCCAAATGGAAAGATGCCACATTCAACAAGGCAACCACTTTTGGTGAGATTACGTCGCTCAGTATTCAGGAGCAGCGGAAGAGTCTACCGATTTTTAAACTACGGGATCCGCTTCTACAGGCTATAAGCGAGGTATGCTTGACCTCTTGTCTTAAGGAGATTGATGCTGATAGCCATTATAGCATCAAGTGCTGATTGTCGTTGGCGATACTGGATCGGGTAAGACAACCCAAATGACGCAGTATCTCGCCGAAGCCGGGTTCGCGGATAAGGGCAAGATTGGCTGTACGCAACCCCGACGTGTTGCGGCCATGTCCGTGGCGAAGCGTGTTGCTGAAGAGGTCGGCTGTCGTCTGGGCCAGGAAGTTGGATACACCATTCGTTTTGAGGATTGCACCGGACCAGAGACCCGTATCAAGTACATGACGGATGGGATGCTCCAACGAGAGTGTCTTATTGATCCTGATGTCAGCGCATACTCGGTGGTTATGCTGGATGAGGCTCACGAGCGGACTATCTCTACCGACGTTCTGTTCGGGTTGTTGAAGAGTAAGTATACTCTGTAGTATGTGTTGTATCCATTTTTCTCATCAACATTACAGAGGCTATCAAGCGTCGACCCGATTTGAAACTCATCGTCACGTCGGCAACCCTCGATGCGGAGAAGTTCTCCAAATATTTCTTTGGCTGTCCCATCTTCACTATTCCAGGTCGCACTTACCCAGTAGAGACTCTCTACACGAAGGAGCCCGAAACAGACTACCTGGACGCGTCGCTCATCACCGTCATGCAAATTCACCTGTCGGAGCCTCCTGGTGATGTCCTTCTATTCCTAACGGGTCAAGAGGAAATCGACACAGCTTGCGAAATCTTGTACGAGCGAATGAAGGCGTTGGGTCCTAAAGTTCCTGAACTCATGATTCTCCCTATCTATTCTGCCCTACCGTCCGAAGTACAGTCCCGGGTTTTCGAACCCACCCCACCGGGCGCACGCAAAGTCGTCGTAGCGACCAACGTCGCTGAGACGAGTCTGACCATCCCGGGCATTTACTATGTGATCGATCCTGGTTTCTCGAAACAAAACGCATATGATCCTAGACTTGGTATGGATTCGCTCATCGTTATGCCTATCTCGCAAGCGCAGGCTCGACAGCGGGCTGGTCGGGCTGGCCGTACTGGACCCGGAAAGTGTTACCGTCTCTACACGGAAGCGGCGTTTCGGAACGAGATGCTGCCGAACTCAATCCCCGATATCCAACGGACGAACCTAGCGCATACAATCCTGATGCTCAAGGCAATGGGCATCAACGATTTGCTCAGCTTTGATTTTATGGACCCCCCTCCGGCGCAAACTATGCTCACCGCGCTAGAGTCCCTCTATGCTCTGTCGGCATTGGACGACGAAGGTCTTTTGACTAGACTGGGTCGAAAGATGGCGGACTTTCCGATGGAACCACCGCTTGCGAAGATGCTAATCGCCTCCGTAGAGCTAGGGTGTTCGGAAGAGATTCTGTCCATCGTGGCGATGTTATCGGTTCAGAGCGTCTTCTACCGCCCGAAGGAGAAGCAGGGCCAGGCCGATTCAAAGAAGGCGAAGTTTCATCAACCAGAAGGCGACCATCTCACGCTCCTGACCGTTTACAATGGATGGAAGACTAGCAATTTCTCAAATCCATGGTGCTACGAGAACTTTATCCAAGCCAGGAGCATGCGGAGAGCTCAGGATGTGCGGAAACAGTTGTTGGGAATTATGGACCGGCAAGTTTTCTATTAGCTTCTCCCTCCATGCTATGCTTACAAACGTCTTTGCATCAGTTACAAACACGATATTCTCTCAGCTGGGCGAGATTACAATCGTGTCCGCCGAGCAATTTGTTCGGGCTTCTTCCGCAATGCAGCCAAGAAAGACCCCCAAGAAGGGTACAAGACGCTTGTAGAAGGCACCCCTGTTTATATACATCCATCCTCCGCGCTGTTTAACCGCAATCCCGAATGGTGCATCTATCACGAGTTGATCCTGACCACGCGGGAGTACTGTCATAATGTTACAGCCATCGAGCCTAAATGGCTTGTGGAGGTGGCGCCACAATTCTTCAAGGTTGCGGACGCAAACAAGATCAGTAAGCGGAAGAAACAGGAAAAGATCGAGCCATTGTACAACAAGGTACGTTCTATACGTAAGCCATCACCGGTCTATAGCTTATCCTGCGGCGTAGTACGAGAAACCCGACGAATGGCGACTTTCGAAAGTCAAAAGGAGTGCTCGCTCGGTACGTTCAATTTGGATCCATTTCTAAGATTACAGTTCTCATCGTCTACTTCACAGAGTCAAACATTTGGATAATTATTGTTTTCTTGTTATGGTTTGCTCCCATTACATTTATATACTCTAGTAACTGTTTTGTACTGTACAACAGTCCACCCTGCTATCATATTGTAGTCGTACGCACTTGACGGGCTGTTCATTGGACGTGTCCCCTTGCTACTGTATGAGTCTGTACAATGATCCATAAGTTGTGTTTGGGGAAACAGACAGGGCCACGCAAAGACATAGTCATGAGGCTAAATGGAGATACAGTCAATGTCCACAGGGGAAGTCGTGTACAGGATGCAACTGACAACGGACGCTTACCTGGATTGCCCCTCGGTCTAACCCACAAACCGCATAGCATCGGCGTTCACATAGTACTTCGCAACCTCTCCACCCTTAGTTGATGGCGCCGCACTCGGGTCCGGAACGAGCACAAATGTCTGCGAAAAGACACGCGGTTGTCCATCGATAGATTTATTGGATGTGGCAGGCGGGTTTCCGGATGGGCCACGGCCGTGGGTGACGGTACCGGACACAGTGATAAGAAGATTCGGTGGTTGACTCCCTACGAAAGTGGAAAATGCTCAGCAGCCAAGCAAATAGAACAAGAAATTATAGACTAGCCTGGAATAGGATGACAGTCAAAACACTGCACTTCGTGTCTCGTAACTGGCATGGAGCTGATGAGATTTCGGACTCCTTCGGTCCCTTGATATGGTTTTCCATTCCATGTCAGCGCCGACGATGGACGGTAGAAGTTGGGCAGATCGTCCACGCGGGTTGGCGAGTCGTATGTACTGTAGTACAAACGCGTGAAGTGGTCAGCTGCCCGCGTTGCAATCTCGATGCTGAGGTCGACACGAGATATGAGCTTCGTAGTTGATATGGAATGGGGAAGCATACTCGTTCTGTGTGAGAGTAGACATAGTAGCTACACCGACCAAGCAATAGTTCTGCAAGTTGTGTATGCCCGGGCGCGTACAGCCACCTTGTGTGACCATGACATGAGAGTCACGCACACGGAACCGAATCGTAAGTACAAGTTAAATGAGAAACATATTCTGGCTCCGGGACCAACAGCAGAAGCATATTTGATACGATTAGAACAGTGAATAGAATAACAGAAGTATGGGTACATATTATTAGACAGTATAATACGGAGCAGAATATGGGCTGAGCTGCAGAACCTCTTTCGCTTCACTATCTCATGCCACGGTTGGCCGTATTCTTCGTTCCGACCCATTGTGTTCCGTCCCCATGCTGGCATACCATGTTTCAGGTCCCTAATGAACACGATCTCAGTCAAGCCCACTTGAGGCTGATCATTTGCAGCCTACCTTTCGATTATTGAGCCTGAGCTTCTTTATCCTCCTGGAAATCCATTCAGCCGACGTTGAACCCGTGTCCACCGCTCTCGGAGGTGCCCGGGCACAAGCCCCTGCGACGACGTGGCTGTGTTCTTTCAACGCGCGGAGGACCACAGAGTCCCGCGGCCGGGTGAAAAATGCTATTGAATACCTTTCGAAGCGCGATTGCGCGCCGGGTGGGGGCCTATGAACACCGTTACTCAAGATGTGGTAAGATGTCCAACTGTCCAACTTACATGACACGATGGAGGCTGGATTGTAGAATACCTCCGCTGAAAATTGACAAGGCGTCGCCAATGTTACAGATGGCATGTCCAGGAAGAGGCTAATGATTTCTCATGTTAACGCCAATACTGTCCGACTGAAACAACATGTGCACCTTGATGTACAGCCATTTCGGCGTTCCTGGAGGCATGACCTGTAGACCCCCAAGGCGGTTGTGTAAAAATGTCTGGAAGCGTCGATCAGCGTGTGAAGTTATGAACCACAGGGGATGACAGCTCTCGGCAAAACTAACCAGTGTCCCAAAGTCTGTATGAGCGCCTACCCCTGTTGCTGACTGGCTTGGAGGTGTCTTGATACAACGAGCCTCGCTCCCGCAAGGCTCTTCTGTGGAGTGCAGTTTGGCAAGCTCCCCGCTAGGAAGGTCCAGCTGTCGCTCAAATATAGCAAGTAACGTATTGTTGACCTCCATCGATTTTCGAACGAAAGGAACGATGGCGTCGGACATCCTTGCGTTGACCGTAGAAGGATACATGCGATGGGTTGGGAATGGCCAAGAGAGTACGTCGTCCTGCGCAATATTGAGAAATTCAACATTGTCTCGGGTTCCGCTCGCATCCGTTTGGATGGTGCCCCGCGCCTTGTACCTGTGATATTCGTCAATAATACTCCACTAACTGGATCATTCGAAGCACATATACCCAAATGAGTTGCCACTGTCGCCCTGCTCATACTTCATGAGTTCGTGCAAAGGTAAGTCGAGGGTCTCTGCACCCATGTCAAACATCAGATCGACTTCTCGCTCTACGCCATGATTTCCCAAGCTAGTTCGGGCGAAGGTCGATGTTAGACAGGAATAACACGGACGAAAGTGCGCTACTCACTACCAGAATCCTAGTTCAGTCGCTGCCTTCCAGAGTTTTGCTATTTCATTTCTATCATTGTGCTTGAGGAGCCTATAATCAACAACACAAAGTGGATGGGTAGGTACATCATCAGGGAAAGGTGCAGCTGTAGTGAGGCCAGGCATTCTGTATCGCGCTACTGCTGATATTAGAGCTGATGTTAGAACTGGGAAGGTACAAAGCCTGCCTTTTATCAGCTCCCGGGTCCCATCCGGAAACGATAGACCGTCCGTCGCGCGGACGGAAATTTAAGGCGCCGAACCTGTGCACAACAACCAGTAATCGGACTTCCCTTCCGGCATCAGTCATCTTGTGGATTCTGTGAGGGTCGTCGCCTCGCTCATGATGCTCGGATATCGTGGGTACCTAGCTTCTCATCCGGCAGCCGAAGTTCACGGGGTGAAATCGGTATAGTGTCGATCGCTCTGAAGTTGCCGGCTCCACGTGTCATTGGCGGGGATTCGTCATTCAACGGTGCCTATCAGTCGAGGTAGATTGTCGTGAGCCCGAGTACTCAACTGTACGGCAACGTCGGTATTCAATTGCCGGGCTTCGGCCTTTTCCCCTGAATTTGCATAACAAATAGACCCCGAGACCGACAGGCGCCCCGATGCGGCGAGGAGTAACAAACATGCACGCAACACGCACCCTCCAAGTCCGCCCAAACTGAATGGTATGTGGAAGCGCTCACCCTTGCGGCAATTCCACCGGTCAAGCAAATGAAGTCCCTGATTTGAACTTCCCCCAAAAGAATGAAGGTTGCCGCGGTCTGATTTCTCGTGCCAACCGCCGCACTCGGAGCCGATATTCTAGTAGCATAGTTTCTTCTGTTACAGCGTCACGAGTTGTTTTTGACTCGGTTGACTCGCAGTATACATAATGAGATATTGCAGAAGCACTATGTATGTAGAGTGAGGTTGGTCACGCAGTATGCGTAAGGTAAATGCCACTCACTTACAACCTACAACAAACTACAGATTGACCGTTCATGCGTCAGCGCTCACACTCAGCACTCGGACGGAAAATTTTTCTCGGGTCTTCGCGCAAGTCAGTAGAATGTGGATTTATCGAATACCCTTGTTTTGCGGGTCCTGAATATCTGTCCAGAGATGCATTTCAACGTGATGCTGCGCTCATGCGCCACAATCTAGGGTTTTACTAAGGCCCAACACAAGGATGATGTCGGCAAGGGTGGAGATGGCTGATCGTGGAGGGAAATGTTTCTGTATGGCATAAACGCTGCCCGGGGATGCCTGAGAAATCCGCCGAGTGGGAGATATCACGGTCCCTCGAGATGCGCTCGGAATGACGATGCCATTGCCCAACTCCGCCGCCGGAACGACCAACTGCACAGACCACCCATGTGCTCTTCTCAGCCACCGGTAAGACACGAGCGACGTGAGACTGACGGACCCGCAACGGGGTCGGGCGGACAATCGAAGCTGACCCATATGACCTTGAAAACATTCTCTTCGCGAAGAAAATTTATTCAGAGCACGTACGTGAGGTTTATGCTTCCCTTCGGGTGTCCGCACGCCTCTCCTCACCGATGCGGCAATTGTAATCGCAGGGCACGGGAACAGGATTCGGATAGAGCTTCAGACCTCAGAGCGTAGCGGGAATGTTGACCACGTCGTGATTGCAGAGATAAGTCAAATGGAATGGGAGAACATGTTCGAAAGCAGTAGACGAGCGCTATCTGTGAGCTTCTGGAAAATAAGACAGGCTCAAGGTAACCTCGAGTTCTCGGCTGGACATAGTGCAGTAGCTACCACTGGCAAGCGGAGGCCAAATCATGTCAGGTTTTTAGGCGCCTATTCGTTTGCATATCGCCGGCAATCACAGTAAGCGCTTTCTACGAAGATCTCAATATTTATTACTTCTTAAATATTTTGCCTATTCCTCAAGATCAGCTACTTATCAAGCTCAAGCTCAAGATTGAATTCCACCCTGCAGGAATATATCTGATCCTTGTCGCAAAATTCATGTTATTACATATTAGTTAGGTTATCAGCGGGATCTAGTATCTAAGTTTGACCCAAATATCAATTTAGATTCAATTGGTTTGGCCTGTCATTTCAGCTTCAATCCAGGGAGGCGGGAATCTGTACTTATGATAATATAAGTGGTTCACTTGAAGCAGCGAGGAGTTGGCGAGGAGTGCTGAGCGCCTCTGCCGCGCACCACGCCCGGCGGTCCACGTGCGGCATACTCAGGCTCGCTGCCAGGATCAGTGCGAAATTCGATCCGAGTCGACGCTCACGGCTCACCTGAATTCATAACTGAGACCTCCCATTCGACATCTATTACCGTTTTCTAAGACTACGAGGTCAATCCTCTTGGAGAACGTGACACAGCCATTAGGCAAGGTACGTACTTACCATGAAGCACGAAACGCTAGTCTTGCACTGAAGCGCCTGGATTTAGTCCATTGACCTACTACATCTTCCACGACTTCTGCCCTCGATCGCAGCTTGCCTTATTCAATAAACTTAGTGAAAGAGTAGAGGGTGTTCCAGCCTCTGTACTGGGTTCACTTGTTATTTTGCGGTCGGGCTACAAGCTTCATGTGGGAACGCACACTGCAGGATCTCATTCGAGGGCTACGAGCCAACAAGAAAGATGAGAGCAAGTTCATCTCACAAGCTATCTCTGAAATTCGAAAGGAGATCAAGAGCAAGGACATGGAATTGAAAGCAGGAGCTGTTCTGAAGCTCACATATGTCCGTTATGCAGAGTCATGATGTCTATGACAATTGCTGATGAGCCCGACGCAGCTAGATATGTTAGGATATGATATGAGCTGGGCATCATTCCATGTTGTAGAGGTCATGTCGGCTCCGCGCATTCATCTGAAAAGCGTGGGGTATCTTGCGGCCTCTCAATCGTTTCAACAAGACACGGACGTACTCATGCTGACTACCAATCTATTGAAGAAGGAAAGTCCTTGTACCTTTTATGAATTTTCAGAGCTCTAGATCTGACTTCTCAGTTCAGGACTTAAGTTCTAAGCCGGAAGATGTCGCCATAACTTTGAACGGCCTTTCACACATTGTCACTCCCGACTTGGCGCGCGATCTATCCCAAGACTTGATCTCAATGGTCAATCACTCACGTCCTCACATACGCAAACGAGCTGTCATAGCTCTGTACAAGGTATTCGTCAAGTACCCAGAAGTGATTCCTCACGGGCTGGGCAGATTGAGAGAGAAGCTGAACGATACTGATCCAGGTAGCGTTTCGAGGCGCTAGCGTATCTCCCCATTTAACTCATGAACATGTCACCCCTAGGAGTGGTTGCTGCGACTGTCAACGTTCTGTGTGAACTTGTACATCGAAATCCGCAGGACTACCTGTCTCTAGCCCCTCAATTATTCCACCTGATGACGACATCCTCGAATAACTGGATGCTCATAAAGATCATCAAATTGGTGCGGAATCCGATGATGTGATTATCTTTGAAAGCTGACAGAAGGAGTGCTTTAGTTTGGAACTTTGTCGCCTTATGAGCCTCGTCTGGTCAAGAAACTACAGCCTCCCATCACCGAACTTATATCTACTACCCCTGCTATTTCGCTACTGTACGAATGCGTCCACACATGCATCACAGGAGGAATGCTACAAAGTGCCTCGGGAAATTTGCTCGCAAGAATGTGTGTCACCAAGCTAGCAGGATTCTTGCAAGATCCCGACCAGAATTGTAAGCAATTACATTGCTCTTACTTCGTAGTCAAGCTATAATGTGCGTGACAATCACTATGCTATGTTTGTAGTGAAGTACATTGCCCTACTCGCGTTGGTGAAAATCGTCCCTACGCACTCGGAGCTAGTGGCAGAGTACCAAGACATGATACTATCAAGTGTCGATGATCAAGATGTCAGTATACGTATGAGGGCATTGGATCTTTTATCTGCAATGGTGAGCACAGTGCAATCGTCATCGCGAAGATTCCTGAAGCCGTACCACAGGCAAGCCGTAACAACCTCCAGGCTATCATTCAGCAACTCCTCTCACATCTAGTCCGCTCAGAATCCTCTGCCCTTCCATCGGCATCGCAGTCCTTGTCTCAATATAGATCTACAACGGCTGCGGCTATTCCGAAATCCACCGGTTCACCTTCACAGTCTCCAGCATACCGCCTTACTCTATCCCAGAGAATATTGTCTCTTGGATCTCAAGATACATATACCAATGTACTTGACTTCGAATGGTATCTCTCGGTTCTCGTCGACCTAGCATACGTTGCAGGTGCCGATGTGGGCTCACAAATTTGCGACCAATTAGTGGATATAGCTGGACGTGTGAGAGCTGCGCGACGATATGCGGTTCAGCTCATGGTGAAAGTCTTGACAGATGATTCATTCTTGGGAAATGTATCGGAAGAGGGCAATTGTGCCGAAGTGCTTTGGGCGGCAGCGTGGATATGTGGCGAATATTGCGGGTGAATTTCCATCTCGTTGTGACAGCTCGAAGGCTTCAGTGCTAATACTACTCTTAGCGAATTGGCGGAGCCTCAGAAGCTCATTACCTATCTTCTTCATCCAGGCATCACCGCGCTGGGTCCCGAGACGCTCGCTGTCTATATTCAAGCCGCTACAAAGGTTTTCGGCTATTGGGCCGCTGATCTGACAGAGCGATGGGATACCGATGACCAGCCGAAAGTGAGGAGCATCGTTAATTTGATGCTCGATCGGCTGGGCGAATTTTCCACACATCCTGCTATCGAAGTCCAAGAAAGGGTTAGTCTCAGGTATTTGACGATGCGATAGCTTGGTTGATCCACTTTCAGGCCGCGGAGGCGTTCAATCTGTTCACATTTATACGGGCTGATATGAACGTATATCGACCCACAGCCGACAATACTTCGGCGTTCTCTGACCCCTCTTCAGCAAATTTTGACTCGAGCCCGTCGGCAGAACCTAACTTTCCCAAGAGCCTCTTCCTTATCCGTCCTCTTTTCGCGGCTTACGAACTAAACGCAGTCGCATTGACTGCACAAGCGAGCATCGCCATTCCTGATGGACTCAACCTTGATGCATGGATTGTATCACCTCCTATAGATACTGTGGAAGCGGGTGAGCTGGACGATGTGGAGCCAGCTGAAGAAAGGAGGAAAATGAAGAGCAGAAAGGGCAAAGAAAAGGACAATAGCGGCAAAAGAAAGAGCAAGAAGAAGGCTGTCGGGGATACGGAAGACGAAGTTATTGTTGGCACGTCTACTCCGTATACATTCGAAACCGAAAAGGAGCGTACAGAACGGGAACGCGTACGTTCGCAGAGAGTATCATATCGGATGCGGTTTTGACGGTGTTCACAGCGTAAAGCGGAGCGGCTCGAGCGGCTTCGAGACGACCCTTACTATCTCATCGATGACCGGCCGTCATCAACCAAGCCAAATACCAACGATGTGGACGCAATACCCGTAATAAGACTGGACGATCTACCACCCCTTCCTCATTGTAAGTTATAAGATGATATCTGTTTGTCAATCACGAAGTTATTTTTGATATTGCGAAACAGCTGGCCCTCAGCTGCCCAGTCTACGACAGAGCTCTTCTCAGACAGTACCACGCACTTTCGACATTGACAGGACAGGAGAGATGCCAGAGGCAGTTCTCCCGGCACCCGCTCCTGGAACGACACCGAATAGCAAGGCAATGACTAGCCCCGAGCAGGATGGTGCGCAAGCTGTACACACCGCATCATTCTTCCCACCGTATGAGATAGAGGACGAAATCCCGCGCACAGCAACACCGCCGCCCATCAAAGTTACCAGAGCAAAAAAGAAAGGGGTGACTAGCGGGAGGAAGAAACGGACACAGAAAGTCGATAGCGCTAGTCCCTTGGCCGAGTAACAACAGCATGATTATGCAGGATAAACTGATTATTTGTACGCTATCGATATGTGCTATGGTATATGATGTGCTTGGAATTGCAATGGGTCACAAGAGGTGCACGCGTGGTTATACAACGAGACATGAGATAGAAGCTGCATGACTAGATATGCGTGTCGGACGATGGAGCGCTGGAAGACTGGGTGTCCGATAGGAATAGGAAGACCAACCGGGGCAATGAATATTGGAATGACAAAATGCAAGCCGAGCCGCTTGGACTGACCACTCATCGGTCATCTTCCACATGCTCGACTGAGTCTACAATCTCGTTTATAAGTTCCATAGTGACACCGGGGATTATGCGTTCGGCTTCGGTGAAGGCCCGCTGAAGAGCGCTGAGAGCAACGCGTGCTTCTTGAGTGGACACACGCGGAAACAACTAGGATGGTGAGGTGAATTGTCATCGCCCGCGTTGGCCCGATGTCAATGGTGCATGCACTTACCGATGCGATTGCGGGTAGTACCACGGAATCAAGCATTGTGGTATCAGGCAGCTCATCGTCAATAGGAGTCCCGTGATTGGGGATTCCTGTCGCTGGAAATCCATCTCCGTCTGGATCCTCGTAGTCATCGTCGTATTCATCAGACGGCTGCTGAGCGATGCTAGCTGCAGTACCATTCCGGATAGTGGCCTGCTGATCGAACTTCTTGGGCGTAGGTGGAGCGGACGGTGGTAGGGGCGGAAGCTCCGCTTTCGGGTTGACAGATGTTGTCAGCGAAGAGCCTAAAGTCTCCTTGCGTCCGCCCAACAGCGTGGAGCCCGAGCTTGTTGAAGAAGAATCGTCGGAACGCGTAGTACCATTGTTCTCCCATGTAAGTGGTGGGCCGGAAACCTGGATGGGATTGTGTTGTGCACGACCAACGGTTGCAGCATGCCGGACAGTACCAAAATCCCAGAGGTCTTCGGGATCGCTATTGGTACTGATGTGAGGCATGATTTAAGGTTAGAAAAGGGCTGGTAGGAAGGAGAGTAGTACGCACATATCCTCGATGTGCTGCCGTTCTTCCTCCTCCACTCTCTCTCCACCCTCGGCTTTCCATCGCTCATGCCTTTCGATAAGCTCGGTGAGATAAGACGTCTTCTTAGCCATACGGACAAATTTATGTTTCAACAAATCGCGCGCTGTTGGACGCTGTTTGAATATCAATCATAGAATCAGTATCAATCCATTGGATGAGAGATATTCATCATACATCACGGGGATCGCGCTGAAGACAGTACGCCACAAACTCCCGGAACGTCTTGGAGAATGGTCCTTCCAACGACGGCGGTGAATTTTTGGGAATCAAAAAGAGCACCTGATAGAGTATGCAGTTTAGCAAATACTGAACATAACAACCCTCGCCCGTATATGCCAGAATCTGTGAATGACTATAGCGCACCTTCATCGGATGAAGTTCTGCGTAAGGCGGCTCTCCCTTGGCTAACTCGATGGCCGTGATGCCCAAACTCCAAATATCTGCTTTATGGTCATACCCACTTTGCTTGATAACTTCCGGTGACATCCAGTAGGGTGTCCCGACGAACGTGTTCTTCTTTGCTGAAAGCGTTCCAGATAGCTGGCCAGATACACCAAAATCGGCCAATTTGACATCGCCGTTAGCAGATAGAAGAATGTTCGCAGCTAGATCGTAGAGATTCACTGAGAAGTGTCGTCACCTACGGTAGTCTCCAGACCCACCCTTAATATCTCGATGCAACTTTCCCTCTGTATGCAAGTAGTCCAACCCTCTGAGAAGTTCTCTAACGATGATCGCAATGTATTCTTCGCGAAATACCCCGGGTTTCATCTGCTCGTGTACACAGATGAAATACAGCTTTGATTGTACGAACTTGAGAAAAACTAACCAAGTCGGAACATGAGCCTCCAGAGCAATATCTGCGGCCAGTTATCAACTAAGTCTCATTCCAGTGACAGAACTCACTCCATGACGATCCACAGATGCGACCCTTTGAGATACGACCCGTGATACTTTGTAACATGAGGAGAATCCAGCTGAGAGAGAATCTGAATTTCCTGCTGAATATCCTCTATCTCATCTTCGGCGCTTTCAAGATCAATAATCTTGATAGCTACGGTCTTCTGTGTTCTCTTGTCGTAGCTATCGAGACAAATGATGAAGCCAGGTTCATTTCAGCATGTGCAACACGAGACGTACCCCTTGTAAACCTCTCCGAAAGATCCTTTGCCTGTTAGGACGTGTCTGAGCCGAAGCCATTGCCCGGAGAAGAATATCTTTCACTGCAACTCCGTCACCTACCGATTCTATCTTGTTTCACGTAAAATTCTTCCGGATCCTGGCGGTGCGAGTCCTGCGCACGAATTGAAGTATCCGCTGCATCGGCGATCGGCACCCACAATAATAGTGGCTGAACTCACCATCTTTCGATGTCCTTAGTCCCAGGTATGACGCGAGTATGTGGTACTTAGATCGTGTATAAGCAAGCCTGCGGGTTAGCTGCAGTCGGCAGGTATACACACAACACCGAGAGCAGGTATGCAGAGTCAACACGGTAAAGCAAAGAGAGCGGCCACGAGACAGCAAGTAAAATACTACTCGAAGGTCGTGTTGGATGAAGAGAGCGGGCTCTGCCAATGGCAGTCAGCCGCCAGAGGGCCTATCGTTACCATATCGTATCCAGAACGCGACCGAGGACCTCGGAACTCCAATCATCGTAACAGCAATCGTCGTCAAAGTCAAACACCAACGGTGCTGCCCTTCCCGTCAACCTTGGCGATCTGAGCAGGAAGAGACAAGGGTGAGACGGTGATCCAGCCGTTATATGCTGTGTGCCGTGGATCACCCAGACTCATCTCGCTGGACCACACCCGCTAGAAGACAAGAATATACACAGGGGTGTCCAGGGGTCGTACCGATGAAACATTGCCATCGGTCCTGATCCTTTCTTCATCCCAGTAACCTTCATAAGGTTTACTCACGTTCACGCGTTTTGTCGCCACTTAGGCTCTGTTTCAACGTTAGATTTCTGCTTTATACATGCCAAGTCAGAAACGTGATCCTCCAACGCCAGGATCATCCACCAGTGCTCCAAAACGACCCCGACAAGATGTGATCGACATGTCTGATGATGAAGAGCCACTCGAAGTTGTTCTTGCAAAAATCAAGGCTCAAGAGGAGAGCGAAGCATTAGCGAGACAGCTTCAGCAAGAATGGGATAACCCTTCCAGTGGTTCCGGTAATGCTACTTCCTCTGATCTCATGCAACACAGCAGTACCGGTACCGAAGAAAGTGACGAGGCCCTGGCTAGGCGTTTGGCGAAGGAATGGGAGGTGATGGATGCGGTTACGGCCGACCTTCTCCACTCCTCAGAAAAGCACTCGCCCTCATCGTCTACATCTATCAAAAGCGAAGCTTCAAGTATACAACGAGTTGCTACCGTTCCGACTGCCCAACTTGAGGATCATAGGGCCTTGTTTACTGCAGAAAGGAAATGTGTGTGTGGCACAACACTTCCGTCTCCAAGGGGCTATGTGAGATGCCCGTTCACATCATTTACACTTGTTTCTAACCAGTCATTATTTTTTTTGCTATTCCAAGGTAACTTTCTCGACGCAGTCACCCCCACCGACCCTCTTAAATCTCCTACACGTACCGTGCAATTCATGCAAAGCTAATCATTGTCGTGGTTGCTTGAAGATTGTACGTTGTCCCATCAACTGTAAAGGCCAAGATGGGAAGTGCGCTGCTTTGTCCTGTTGTGCTGAAGGTCGCGCCGTAGCTCTCTTTGAAGCTCTGGGTGGGTTCGATCGTGTATACCTTGGTGAGCGTGCCATATCGGAAGCCTGAGCCAAAACTGCCTCAAATGGCAAGTCACGCTGTTTCGCAACTGTGGGTCCTGACGGCACTGGGTATTCTATAGAGTCGAGATATAGCGCAGGTCGCGGTAAAGGTAAAGGTGCAAGTACGAATAATTCTATTCTGAAGAGATCGAACCAGCTTGCCTCCCACTGGGATGAAGTTGTTGTCCGTGCGCTGCAGACGATCACGGACCTTCTCCCTTCTCCTTATTCTAGCTCGCCCCAGATCTATGATATGGTTCCTCATGCTTCTGTCGCTGCCTTGCTCTTGGGTTCTCAGCTACCCAATTTACTTGGTGATCTGTTGCGTAATGACTCTGTGACGGACTGGATCGTGCGTATGGAAATCTACCATGCTATGCTTGCGTTGTTGCGGCGGTTAGCGGACTGTGAATTAACCATAGAGGTACAGTTGTGCTGTGTTTCTATATATATCAATCATAACGAATCTGTTTACAGGTTCTAATCTGCCAGAGATGGGAACTTGAGAGGAGCTGTGGTTTGGAAGACTGGATGTGGGGTGATGGCGAGATTCTCTGGGAAACCACTAGATCTGACAATGGTAGCCCAGGACAACTTGTCCCAGCCTCTCCACTCTATGTGCACTTCAGGAAGCTCACTAGACAGTGTGAAACATTCCTTTCAGGGGTTTCCAGTATGCTTGAGATGAAAAGCAACGAAAACGAAGATGTGCGGTCAGCGGTATTCAAAAGGCTTTTGAAAAATCTATTAGAGATTTAAAGGGCAAAAGTCGAGGCCCATCTATTGTATCAGAGAGGACTTATCAGCAGGAATGCGATCGGCTGGCATTCCAGCATATCGCTCTGTCACGGGAAACTCTAGATGGTAAAGGATTAGTATATCCAACTTTCAATTATACCCAGGAAGTGACTAGCACTTCGTCTGCGACTAGAAATCCGAAGGATAGGCTGCATTTGATCAAGGAGCTGGCGGTCATGGCCACCAGCCTTCCTCCTGGTGTGTGGATGCGTGTGGATGAGGTGCGCAACGATGTAATGTGAGTATGCGATCTGTTTGCCAGAATACAGTTTCGCTGACATTCACATCACCAGCAAATCTATGGTTGCTGGCCCTGAAGGAACACCATACGCAGGGGGACTCTTTGAGTTCGATTGTTTTATCCCGTTAGAGTATCCTGTGAAACCACCTCTTATGCACTTGCGCACTACCGGCGGCAGCACAGTACGGTTTAATCCCAACCTGTATGCTAACGGCAAGGTCTGTTTATCGCTGTTAGGGACCTGGCCTGGTCGGTGAGTTTCCAAAACTCTTCTTTTGAGGGTGATAATGAGTTCAGTAGCCCTGAGGAACAGTGGTCTTCGAAATCGACTTTATTGCAGGTGGTCGTGTCGATCCAGAGCATGATATTGGTGGACCTGCCCTATTTTAATGAGTGCGTCACTCATTCCTAATTAGCTTGGAGTATGTCATAACTTTATCGGCGAATAAGGCCTGGCTACGGGCAAGCAAAGCCGGATCATCAGCAGAGCATTGCTTACAATCGCAATATCTCAAAGCAGACTGTTCGTTGGTCAATGATAGAATGGCTGAAAGATGAACACATGGGATTTGGGCTGTACGCTACTCCATGTATAACGCAGCAAAATGTGTGTCTGATAGAGTACGCTTCACAGGACGTCATAGCCTCGCACTTCACTATTCGCGGCGCCAAAATCCGGAAATGGTCTGTCACGAAATACGTCCGTAGAGCGGGGTTCGTTCTCAATCCTTGACACTTGACAACAGCATAGATGCATGGGCGACATCCAAGCCCGCTATTCGACGATACACCGTCAAGTCTACCGCCAGCGCAACGTCACCGGTGGAAAATGTGAGACCGTTCAATTCACAGTTGGATCTACTAGCCGAGTACGATAAAGGTATCAAAAGACTCCAGGGATGGAAAAGGGTGTAGCGCAACGTAAGCACTGAACTTTGCATATAGGTGGATTACAGCATATTGTACAAAGCTTGGTTTACGGCGCTGGCTTAGACGTATTTTCGGTGTTCCTGTAAAAGAGTATTGTATCAGCACAGCCACATTCTTTGCACAAAAGTGAATAGGCCTACAGGTGCATGCGTCGTTTCGTGGTCCACGTGCACAAATGCCCGCTCAACATTGGGTAGCACCTCAATCTTGTCCTGCAGCTGTTGGCTGATGTCATGCGCCTTCCAAAGTGGTGTACTTGCGTCCATGACAATGTCAATCTCTACATAAAGATCCTGCGGTGGGGAATGAGGATGATTTACGAGCCAACATTGATCGCACATACCGGACCGCTCTGCGCACCAACAAATCGGCGTAATTAGAATGGCACGACTGTATGCGCAAAGGAATGCATACATGATATGCGCGAACGGTGTCCACCTTCTCGATTTCATCACTAAATGTCATCGCCTTGTACACTAGCAGCTGAATAAATTCGCGCGGCGCAGACTTGCCCGCAAGGAGCCCAAATTGCTGGTAAATGGTGCACCCCCACGCGAGCATCACACCAACGGTGATCTGCACCAGCTGTCAGAACATAGTGAGGGAAATGGAAACAAAGATGGCACCATAATTGCACCCATGGGATCCAACCCTAACGGTCTTGTTATGAGACATGAATTAGATTACAGTAAGACAACGCTTACACCATGCCCATTTGCTACCGCCGGCAGACATAAGTAAACCTGTGAGAAAGATCATGAATGAGATTACACCAACGGGGTTAACAGTACAACCTTTGCTTACCAAAACCATTTACGAAGATATCATTGCGATGATCTTCCCACAAGATGTGGACCTGGCTAGATTGCTTTCGGAGGGAGAGGCAATAAAAGAACAGCATTAGCTTCACTCCTATAAGACAATTGTCAAACACGAAAGAACTATGGATGGTGATACGATTACCGAGAGCTGCCCCTACGGCAACGATAGAAGGGATGTGAAAGCTGTCTGTGTCACTGCCGCTCTTGTGGGAGATGATTTCCTGTACGGATTCCACCACTACAACGAGATTTACGGAACTCATCCTGGGAAGTTCGAGAAATTGGAGACGGAAAGTAGAGCATGTGTAATGAAACCTACAGGAAACCTACGAAACATCAGATCGTGCACGATTGGCACAAATGCCCACGAGTACTCACCGTAAACGATGTTTCCAATCGTTTCGAGTCTTGAGCCACCCACTGGCCATTTATTATGGTCAAGAGACAATGCCTTCTTGTGTAGTAAATAGAGTACGACGTTGCTTCCAAAATCAAATACAGAATCGACGGAGGTGGCGATAAGTGAAAGGGAAACGGATGAAATGGCACCGTATACTGTAGCGTTATGAGGCGCTACGTCCACATATGAACGTCATAGAATAGAACATACGCTGGAGAATGCAGAGAACGAAGTTCCCAATGAGACTTGCCCAAACTGCGATTTTCACCTGAATTCAAGGCGTGAGGATGTGAGAAAAGTTCAAAGCAAGGAACCAAGGAACCACACAGGTAGTCGAGACGTCTCTTCCTCAACCCGTGCTTCCTCTGTATGCTCTTCGAGAGTTTTTAACAGCGATGTGATTAACTGCAAGTTCGGGACATTATAAAAAGTCAGACAGAATTAAGCTCATGAACTGTAATACCCACGTCATTTTGCTTGCGATGGTATGTCTCGAGCTGCTTCCCCGACCTCTTCCTCCTGTATGAAGCCAATTGTTCGTCCGTTGAAATTCCATTGCGGAAGGCATATGGGTCGGGCTGAACAGCGACTACAGAACCCGTACTGCGGGCGACCTCGACGTCCTTGCGCTTCGAGCCGAGTACCGTTGTGTTGGCTTGATGCTATTCATGGCGTAAGATTTTCTGCCTGAAAGAGCCGCGGTCGCCTACTCACCGGGGAGGGTGAATGCTGCGCTGCGCCAGCACGGACGTGCAATGAATACTGTTCTGTTTCTACGATGACCATGTCTTCAAGGCGACTGGGGGTTTGAGTAGGTGGCGCCGAGAGAGCGGTACGTCCAAGACCCGTTGTGCTGGATCCGAAATAAATCTCGCTGATCGTATCTCACTACCGACGAGGAATTCTGCAACCGCGCCCAGTTCTACGAAGTCTGTGGCCGGAGCTCAGCGTCTGAAGAAAACGAATGGATAAGGTGCAGATGGAGACGAGAATGCGTAGAGCAATGCTCTCCAACCGTTGGGAGTCCGCTCCAAGTCCGCTGAAGGCGTCTCTTGGTAGTGCCACAGTGCCGCCGTGGGCCGAGCTAGACTAGGCTAGACTGCGTCCAAGCTCCTTGGCTTGGCTGATCTCCCCTTGAGATCGAGGTCTTTGCGTTTGTGTCCTTGGAGAGTTGCGCAAATAAGTAGTCATTTTTGAAGAATATGCTTTCAGTGTCACCAGCGCCGGAGTGCCGCAAGAGCGGCAATTCAGCCGAATTCAAACTTCGATCAGTCGAAGGCCCGAAGCTTGAGCGCTCGAACCGGCCGCCGGAGCCAACTCGGCTTCTGGCTGAGAAGTTTTGGTTACGGCCATGTTGTCTGTCCTGCTGCTGCTCGGATTTCTCATGTAAATTTGTGGCTCTTCTCTTTGGAAACGCGATTCTCATCAAACATTTCTAAAGCTTTGCTGCTCTTGCATGGTGCATGATTTCTTCATGCTTGGGCAGAACCTGTCTCGACGGTGTTCGTGAACTATGGAACATGTTGATTTTAAGTGGGCAGTCCACTACCCGTCCAACTCAGTGGCGACGCGGTGGCGGCAGGAACTGGGATGATTCCGCGGAACTTTTTGAGATGGAATACCGAGGACAAGGAAGAGCGGGGTAAGAGATAGAAGTCTGAGTCGGCTAGTACGTGTTTATATTTGCGTCTCTATCGCTATCTCCCATATTCAAATGCAAGTTTGCTTACTTGCTAGCACCTATTCACTATTCTGGAAACTATGCAAGCCAGGCAGTTATGCCACCTCTGTCATCTTGCTGCAGCTCTTGTGCGTTTGTTCAAGCCATGATTTCCCTCCTTTCGCTCGCTTGGAGCTGTATTAGACGGGTAGTCGCATTTTGGAGCTGCATAACAGCTTGCTATGACGCTGACTCCCAGATTGTGTACGCTTTGTATCGCTTTCATAGCCGTCTAGATTTGGCGCATGGGTATATATACTCTCTTTTGTGAGATGTTCTGCAGCAACCGCCCCTTAGAGCTCGTGGGTTACTTCATTTGAAGTCCTCGCTAGTTCTTTATCCAGCCCAGCAAGCGGCACTGGTTGCCCGAATATAGTATTCCATGTGCTATTGGTGAACATTGCTATCTTATGTCATAAGAATAATCTAGCTTCTACTTGGGCTGTAATGCAGCGTAGCTCTGGCATGGTGAGTCGAGGGCATGCACAGTCCCGTTTACTATTTGATATTCCATTTGGCCTACCCTCTGTGATAGTTACAGGTGAATTATCCCCTCTTCTCCAAAAGCGAGGCATGCGTTCAATGATGGACGAGATTCGACTTCATGAAGACTATAACACAAGAAAACCCCCCGCTCTGTCTGACACGGAACCCGTCGGAGCCTTCTGTGCGGTTGGCCAATTTCCTGACCGACGGCTGAGAATGCTCATCTTAATGGTGGATACATTCAGCATCACTGAAGTCTCTTGGATATATTCGACACTAACGCCGTCTACACCGCGATACTAGCCTCATTCTGGATGAGTAGTGTTCGTGGGACGGCATAAGGTCGCTCGTATGTTCTTCCCATTGCAAATGCGACGGAATGAGCATCGATATGACGAGTATATGACGAGTATTGTTGCGTACCAAATGCGCAGGCTTAGCTCAGCTTATGAGGTATGTCGATGTTCACTGAATCATAGGGCAGTTGCGCTAAGGGCGCACCCGAGAATGGCGCATCTGGCCATGATGCCGCACCGCAATCGATATGACGGCGAGTCCACAGGATGGGATCAAGCATGTCCTAGTTAATATGTTGGAGGTGCGCCTCTTATATTGTTATGTGGTTCGTTTAAGAGTGTGCGACGTGGCCGGGCGGCTGGTAGTACGTCAGCTGTCAGTGGGATGTCGATAAGGTACAGGGGTTCTTGGATGGCGACAAGCTCAGAGTCTGTCGTGTTGTGTGAGCCGGTCCAGTGGCCAAATTTACTCGCCCTTTGAGTTGAGACGTTGTGCTCTATTGCTGAGCTCTTTGTGCGCAGACTGACATCCTTGTCCTTGGCTTGAAATGGCATCCACGAGCCCAATGCTCTCAATGTATCAAGGCTGGTGAGACGCGGTCACATGTTCTGTCTCTTTGACGTGTTGATCGCAAGCTTGTTCCCTTCAGCAGAATCCTTGAGAGCTCAAGACTATCCTTCCCTTGTTTGTTATTGGTCTGAATTGAGACTACTCTCCGCATTTATTGCCAGGGGATTCGTATGTCAGGCAGTCTGCTCGCGTGTTGGATGTCTGACCATGGTGCGAGACCAGCGCGACAGCGTCAGCCGCTCTTGTCAGCCAAACCTGCCCTTGTATAAAATATCGTCCACCTCGTAGGACATCCCTCAGCTCTCTAACTGTGACCACGATCTTTTGACGAGACTCCTCAGTCATAGTGCTATCGTATTGTTATCATCTTGCTGTCGCCTCTCCCATCCCTAGTGTATGATCATGAAAATCACACCAAGCTCTTCTCTTCTTCTCGCGACCCTTGCGATCTCTTCATCCTCCTCGAGTCTTGCGGCGCCCACCGAACAGCCCCACGAGCATGCGCTTTCTAGCTCCTCAAGTACGCAGCTGTCTAGTCGACAGGACTCGATGAACATCCAAACCAGAGGCGGCGGTGCGCAAGTGGAAATGCGTATGTGGTCGCTTTTTACGTTTCTTCCATTCAACTAATCATGTTGAACCGCAAGATGGCCAACGCCCTGAATCAGTGCATCCCCACGATGAACGGCCTCGCCCCGATCTTGACAAGCGCGCAACCATGGGTGGAACCCTAACGGACGTTTTGGGGGCCATACCCGTTATAGGAGGGCCTCTCGTCGAATTGGTCCAATCGCTTGTTGGTTCGGCTGGTGAAAGCGCCATATCTCAGGAGAGTATAGATAAGGTGCAGCAGGTAATCCAAGCCATCGGAAGCGCATCGCCTCCCCTCAACGGTAGTTCGGTCTCACGGAACGCTGCACGGGATGACGCCACTCCTAGTGCGGTCTGGCCGTCCAGTACTCAGTCGTTCGCGGCATTAGAGATGCCCGCCCCTCCTGTCAGTCCGCCTGTCTCACCCCCTGCTCCTCTTAGTCCTCCCGGACTTCCTGTCAGTCCTCCCGGTCCGCCCGTCTCACCTGGCAGTCCTCCCGGTCCGCCCGTCTCACCTGGCAGTCCGCCCATCTCGCCACCGATGCCGGTGAATCCTCCCAATACCCCTGTGGCGCCAGGACATCCTGCAGCTCCTGCAGCTCCTGCAGCAAAGGATGTTCCCGTTGATAGTCAGCCTCCCACACAAGACCAGTCTCCGTGCATGTCGCCCAACTCGACCAACGGTACTGCTGCAAAGTTCGACTCTCAGCCGACCGATGGAGGCGATGCTCCGCCGTTGTTTGCGTCGTCGACTGCGAACGGTACATCCTCTACTAGGAACGGGGGATCGTCCACGGTGTTTTCCTCTTCCACGAGTGTTGCCTACTAGCCCCATGACTGTGCTACAGGCCGTTTCCAGAGACCAATTGTCATGTCACACCAGATTTCATAATATCTCGAATATAATTACACCGTTGTTGTGTGCATACATGAGGCAGCGGCTGACGGAACACCAACGAGCCTTGGCCAACTACTCAACATACCAGACAAATCGACACGTTAAGGGAACAACTGACATGGGGCGTATCATTGTGTATGTAACTAGCTACAACGCGACGGAAGCAACGACAACAAAACGACTTGTGCGACATAAAACTAAACCAGGCACATACACGGGGTCTACAACTGCTAGTGTTACAGACGATGAAATCTGAAAGAGAGAGAAAAGACCCGAACTTATGACAGAAAAGAAAGACGAGGACGCATACGGGACCAGAAATTATCCGGGCCGGCACGACTGAGCTTCTCCTTCCGCTCCTTCAGTCCATTCTTTACGTAGGTCCACCAAACATAGTGAGATTTGTCGAGGATAAGGCACTTCTTGAGCTCATCCCAATCTCCCTCCATGGGCGATGCGAGAGCCAGTGCATCGAGATCGGCATCTGATCTGAATCCCAGTGAGATCAACTCTTGCGCGAAATGAGCAGGCGGGGGAGACAAGCTAGGGAGGCTTCTGAGGAATGCATCGACCGCCGGGGAGAAAGCATGTTTGGCATCCGTTGTATTGTTTGATAAATCCGGCTCGAGCTGAATGTCGCTCGACGATGAACTAGTCGATTCCTGCACTTCTTGGAGAGGAATAACAGGGGGTGGCGGGGTACGCATCTTCGAGAAACGCTGCGTTTCTGCATGCTTCTGGACAATCGGGGGACTTTGTGCTTTTACTACGGGATCACTTGAAGGGGGGTCAAAATTATCCGGGTACTGGAGTTCTGTGCTGCGTAAATCATGTTGATTCATTCTCAATGGTTTGAATTGCGGCATTACCTTCGATCAAGTCTGCATTTTATAAAAGGAAGGCATAAGTGAGATTTTTGTCAGACAATATGCTTTGGTATAAAGTATCTCACCCATCTCGATACTTTCAGCGGCGGAAGGAACCACTACATCATCGAAGCTCCCGTCATTGAGGTCCCCCTCCAGCTTGATGGACACCTCACCCATTTCCACATCTTCGGAGTCGAGAACCTTCCCGAAGCCCAAGAATTGGATTTTATCGTCCTCAGTCAAGGCTGACGGCTTTCGTGGTCGATTGATGCGGAGTACTAAGGCCTCTGGCCTTTTATCTGAAGCTCCCGGTAACTGCGGAATGTTGTTATGGATGCCACTGCATCCACCCCTCGCATGATTCTGTGGATTGATTAGTGAGCGCGCATGCAACGGTAAAAATGGTACAAACTTGTAAATCACGGGGTATTTCAAATGGTGCATCGCAGTGTATACAGTAGAATACTCCTGTTGCGGTACTACGGCGTATATGCACCTGCTCACCACCTCTGTATGAGACTCTGCAGAATTTTTGGTGAACACGTTGATGATGTGCTCTGATGGGCTCGTCGAGGGTACCACACAGATAACAGTTAGGTAAAGGACTGAAGGATATGCCCCAATTCGACCATGAATCATGGGCCTCGAATAGTAGTAAACATAACTCACCGCTTGAAGGATGGCATATTCGATCCAGCCGTCTAAGGACGTAGTTAGCTAGTCCAAGCTGCGAAGATAGATGTCCATCAGTATGCTCCCTTACCAGTCTCCGCCGAGTCCCCACCATCCTGGAATCACCTTGTCTGAGGCGACCGTTGCGGTCGCTGTCGGAGAAAGCCCCTGTGTGGCGTGCATGGCGTGCATGGAACGCGGATCGATGGGCTTCCACATATGGACCGTTCAAGTTGCCGTGGGATCATACTATCGGCGCGTCATCGCGCATGTAGACATCAATTCAGTCACTATGTACTCTTTGAAGCTCCATGTATTATCACGGACACCGCGACTGACCAAGGATCGAGGCCAAGGAAAGCAAACAGATCATCCGTGAACTTGAACCATTCAGCATACATCTGACAAGTGAGTCGCACGAGCCTCTAAACCGTTTTTCACCATCATCCACTGAAATATAGTCACGTTCCTAGTCATCAAGAATTCCTTCAGAACATCCCACTGGTCCTGCAGAGTGCAGAGAACATCCAGATCTGCATCCGTTTTCACGCCGAACTCATAAAACGCGTCTTTCAAACAAGCCTGCGGCCGCTTCAGTCCGCTCAAAAATGCGCTGACCTGACATTGACTGGTCGAGGCGGTAGGTATTGTAGGTATTGTAGCTGAGGAAGGTTTTGATGCCACACTAGGCGGTAACTCCCGCCCTTTGCCTTTAAATGCGGACGCGTAGGTGGCAGCAACAACAGGGTGGACACGCTCGGAAGATGGGTCGAGAGGCAATCGTGGGCGCCCATCATGAGGTCGACCGGCCGCGGCAGATCGTTCTTGAGGACAATAAGGAGAAAAGCGTCGTGGAGAATTCACGCTGTGGCGCGGCCGAGGAGAATTTGTGTAGGACTTACGATCGGCTCCTGACGTACGAGATGGAGCGGCACGGAATAGCACTTGTGATGCGTCCGGACCCGCAGCTTCTTCATAACTAGGTGGTGGTTTGGGGCTCATGATATTGAGCTGCGATTGCTCATCTTGGGATTGCGAACTCAAACACTCTACTGAGTGGAGGGTCATGACGACTCACACAATAGACACAAATACGCCGTACTTACGTTCACGCTCAATCTCATCCGTATCCTCTGATTCGCTGGTGTTCCCGTCGTACTCGTTACAGAGCTTAACATCCACTTGTTCAACCTCGAGCTCCTCGAGTTTCACCTGAGGCTCTGTGATCGGTCTTTTGCGAACCGGAAGTTCGTCGACGTTGATTATGTCGCCCAATTGACCATTCAGGTATCGCGAGTCTTCACTCAGATTGTCATTGGCTTCATTCTTGATTGCATACCAAACCTCTCGCGGCCCACAATTTAGCCATTCAGAGATTTGAGACACGGTGTACTCTCTAGAGTGCCAATAATCACGAATAAGGGCGGATTTTGTTCGCGAAATCTGTGGAATTCTGGATCTGACGCCATCCGAATTCATCATGAGTCAAGGGTCGAAGAACCACGAATATTGAAGATAAACACCTGATTGGACGTGAGTGGTAGGTCACTGAACGATTGGTGGGCGTCGAAATAGATGTGGTTGTAGCTTTTCTGGACTTCGTGATCTTTGGTGTGGTAGCTATATTAGACGTCCGCCTTAGTGAAGGCTCGCCACGCCTTTGGGCAGATGCCGGACTTGTAGTAGCTGACGGTATACTTCGAGCTGAGCGTTTCTTCATGACGTTAAGGGCCGGTTTACGTGTATGTCTCTGCAGTTCATGCACCTCGTAAGCACCAACTTTATCATGAACACTGCTTGATTGGCAATCACCTGCAGACATTCCGGTGCCCGATACAATTTATTACAACTGGACAATGGAAGCACCTCGTACGTGCGTTCCTCTCGACCGTAATGTACGCGCTTTCCTCGCCGTAGAATCTGACGACGGTACTCTTTTGATGGATGCAGTGATGATATTGGCTGATGGAATTGTGTTGGACGCCGCAGCAGAATCCAGTAGGCCTTGCATGTGTCGAGTTAATCATCATCATGCATCTTTGGCCGGTGGCAATACTCACATGCTAACATCGACTATTCAGATAGCACGTTAGCTGTCCTAGTATTGAGTCGTAGTCATCACCAACTGGAAGCCTACTTATCGGTAACCGTCAACTTTGAGCTGGAGACAATATAAGAGCAACAACAATGAGTCTTTATTTATGTATGTTTCATTGCGATTCAAGCGAAAGGGACCTGGGATTCCGGCTTGTATATTCGGAATTCGCTTGGAAAATGGGAAAATGAGATATATCATAATTATGTAAATACTCGTTGGATGACCCTGTGACTGGTCTCATCTCAGACTTGGTGATGTATATAAGATATCCTCTGCCGCCTGCAGAAGCTTCAGGGTGTATCAACGAAATCACCATCCAGAAGACGTATATCAAAGCACAACGGCCAATATTGTACAATAATTTGAGCGGCTCCTTTCACGCTAGCCGAACACAATCCAAAGCGCTTACAGAGCCGTCCTAATTGTCCGCAATTTTGATTACTAGCTTGCCAACAGTCTTCCCACTCCTTGTCGTCAAATCTGATTGCGCCTCTCGGATGCCTTCGGTCGTGAATGGGTATTCCCTGAAGACATTGATCTTCAGTTTACCATCGGTAATCAGTTTGAACAGCTCCGTTCCATAGTACAGTGTTTCTTCGGGGGTCACTGTGTAATTCATGAAACTATCGACATTACCAATGATCAGTATATACGCACAGGCAATGTCGAAGAAAGAGGTACGTACGATGGACGGAGCAAAGCCAGGTTTTTCTCTACTAGCCGTAGAGGTGCGACCGGAGGCGCAGGTCCGGACGCATTACCCACGGCGACGAGAGTTCCTTTACGTCGCAAGAGTTTGAAATCATTGTCAAACCTGAAACGAAAACGTCAATGCTACTGAATTCTCAAACTTCATCGAACCTACGTGTCCTTGCCCACTCCATCATAGACAACATGCACGCCTTCGCCATTCGTAATCTCCAGAACACGGTCGACGGTGTTCTCCACTGGGTACAGAATAACATGATCTGCGCCGTGCTGTTTCGCAAGCTCCGCTTTCTCAGGCGTCGAGGTGGTGCCAATCACGATGGCACCACGATCCTTTGAAAGCTGGCTAAAGAGGAGGCCGAGCCCGCCCGCAATGGTGTGAATGAAGACATAGTCTCCTTTCTTGACGTTGTATGCCTCCGTCACGAATGTCAGTGCAGTCAATCCTACAGTAAAACGGATGAGTTATAATGCCAGCATAAATAAATATAAAGCAGACCTTGTAACAGCGCAGCACCTGCCGTTAAGAGCGAAACAGACTCGGGCACAGGATACACTCTAACCCACGATACAGACGCATACTCTGCATGTACATTAGATTGGTTCTAGCACGCGAACGTTGTAAGCAAGTTTCGATAAGGGATATTAGAAGCCAAACGCACCACTGCCACTTTGTCACCAATTTTGAACATTCGCTTCTTATATTGCTCATCCGCTAGCACCTTCTCGTCCGTAGGCAAACCAACGATAGTGCCTGATGCCTCCATGCCGAGTACCAAGGGGAAAGACTTGGCAGGGTAGAGACCCTTCCTGAATACGCATATAAGATTCTAGACGCGATAGCCCTTTGAACACACTAACCGGTAGTACGTATCGATGAAATTAACACCTGCATATTGAATCTGCAATATATTATGAATGATACGCAAAGAACGACGTCGTGCTACTACTCACCTTAACAATGACATTCCCTGGCACATGCTCAGGGAACGGAACTACCTTCTTCTGAAGTACGTCAACGTCCCCATTTTGGTCGATGGCAATTGCCTGGATAGTTTCAGGGAAGGACATAATCCCGTGTCTAGGAGGGGTCGTCGAGAGGTGACGGAAGATCTGGCCTGTTCGAACGGATGCCGCACGTTTTGTAGGATTGAGGAGGAATGAAATCATTGGCTTATCAAGCCAGAGGAATCGAGAAATGACTTTCCCTCGACACCCTCAGACACATCTTATTGGCCATTTAGTTCCCGCGAAGTCCTTACTCACCCACATTGATAAGTACTAGCAGGTGACTCATACTAGGCAGAGAAGAGGGAAGATCATGGTCCCAATGTACAGTGACAAGCAGTGGCGAAATCGATTACACTCAAATTACACCATGAAGATCTTCCGTGACGCCGTCCAAGCACTCGAACCAACAAGTAGACGCACGGACGTAGTAAACGTTGAGAATGTAATTCAACATGTCCGAGTCACACAGGCTCCTCCACCTCCCCCACCGAAGGGGCGGAGTTTCCAATTCTCCGATTTTCTGGACACTGCTAGGAGTACTGACAATACTACGATAGCAAGGCTGGAGAGGCGTTTCTTCAGAAATTCTCTTGAAGAGTTACAAACACAATCTGATCAAGAAGATTGCGCAGCCAGAACATCATCGTATACATGATACATATTATTCGACTCAAAGGATGCCTTCAAGGAGGGAGAGTGAAGACTGTCCAAACATCCGGGTTGCCTTCTTCTATATCCACCCATCGTCGATTTTCTGCGCTAATGACATCTGAAAAATGTTCGTCGTTTCGAAGGCCAAAACTCCTGCTCCAACCCAGACCAAGTACGGAAAGTTTGCACAGGTTAGAGCTTCCAATGAAGAGACAAACCATCAGCATGACAAATAATATTAAACTACGGCTCACTCACCTTCCTGCACAAATTGTCGCACTAGGTATGACCTGGCCAGTCTCCGCCCAGAGCCCACTGAGCAATGCCAGATCCACGATCGCCCCCCGCGTGAGTCTCACTCGTTCTGTTTGATCTTGCTTATCGAAGTCTTCCGGCATATAGCCGTGCTGGGGTGCGAGCCCGCGCAGTTCCGCATTTGTGCTCAAACCTAGCGAGAACGTTGCCGTGGAAGGGGGCAGCGCCGCTACATAATCACGTATCACTTCTGGTGAGTCGGACGCAACATAAGCTATGGGTGGCATAGGAAAATGGGCAGGTGAAGCTGCTGTAGCAGAGCTGGAGGATACTAGAGATAATGGCACGGCGGGGTATAACCGAGACCAAGTATGACGAGCTACTTGTATGAATTTTGCCATGGGTAAACTGCTCGAAACAGGCGTCGTTATAGTGGAGTGGTTCCGTCCCTGTATATGGACGCCGATGTAGGGTTCTGAACCATAAGGCGAAGCGTGCTCGGTTTGAAGGGATAGCACTGAAGCGACCTCTGCACGCGCCGCTTGGATCAAGGTGGATATATGGGCATTGGGACGAATGACCTCTGCAACGGATCGTCTAGCACGATCGAAAATGGGCTTCTGGCGATTGACTCCGTGAGCGGATCTGTTTCATTATGTTAGACGGTTTCACACTAGTAATCCGACAACAGACGAACTGGTCTTCAAATTCTTCCATATACCTTCGACTCAGATGGAAAGAAGCAGTCTGGCCACTCACGATCTACAATGTGAATACTGAGTTATTATTCAAAAGCGCCCTACAGAATCATACCAAGTGCCTATAAAACCGTTAAATCATTGCGCGATCAATATTTGAACTCCTCATGCAATCGAACTCACCTGGCAACTCGGGGGCATGCAACGAGCTCTGTCAAATGGGAAGGCTGAATACACGCGTGTAGTGATATAAATTCAAATTATATACCCTGGGGCGGAGGTGCACGACATCCCGGCTGAGGCCCTCTATACAAGCTATGTATATTTTCGAAGTAGTCTGTCCATCTCGTATGGGAAGCGTATAAGTGTATTGCATTAATGATGAGCCAGGGGACTCACTTTCCGCGATTCCAATATGTATCATCAATAAAAAAAGTGCTATTGCGCTGTTGAAATGTGACATCTCCCGTACATTATGACACAATCTGCGACATACCTCTCGTGCCAGTCCAGCGACTTGTGCCATCAGGGCCAAATCCGTAGCTAACCCTACGCTCCCATCCAACATATACGTGATTGTGCTTGAGCAAACATTTTGCTCGCCTTTGCGCGCAGTAGGTACATGAAGCACGTCTAATGGCCCGGCCAAAGGCGTGTCCCAGTAGCTAGCTGTTGACATGAAATTCGCGATCTTGTTGCATTCTGCTCGGTATTCTGCACCAGTAAGAGGAAAATGAGAGTACGATGCATATGATAGAAGGCGGCCAGACGGCGGCAACCCCGTTCCTGCGAAGCCATGCCAGATTCTCTGTTTCATGTTGATTGCGGCCTGCAAGCTAATCTGATCGAATGCCTTCACGAACATCACGAAGATGCCACAAGACATGATCACTCCGGAAAGCATCACGAATCGTTGGACGAGTGTCTGCACTGTCGGAAATCCGGATGGTCCGATGAGAATTTCGTGGTCATCCCCTCTGCTTCTGTAACCCATCGGAAAGCTGGACGTTGAAGAAGAAACAGTAAAACCAGTGCGCAGCGCACTGGTGGAAGATCCAAATGAATCATTGTCGTCTTCGTCCTCATCGTCAGTGCTACTACCGCGACGAAGACGCTCTAGCTCAACTCCCGTGTGTCCTTCTTCAGCACGACCTGAACGTGAGTGCGGGGTCCTTGGTGTGAGGACCTGGTGGTCGAGTCGTTCCGGCCGACCAGTTACGAAGATATCCGCGAAACGACGGGTGCGCTGGGGCATCTGCGGAGGATACAAGGAGTCCAGAGATAGATGCTTTGACCAAAGCGAGAGAGTGAACGCCGTCTAGCCCGCTGAGACGCCGTCGCTGTGCGTCGTTGTGGTTGCCATGATGAGGTCTATAATCAATGTGACTAGTGTGGCTACACACCATTATACATCTCAGCATATCTACTACTAGTATAGTAACCGATCGACTTGCAGAGTTCTGAGCCCACTGGTACTTGAAGCGCTCGGACTGACGGTGGTACAAATTTAAATCTTCCGAGCCACTGTACAGCGTACACATTGTACGATCCCCACGTTCTGAGACAGATTTGGGAGGATTTTTTGTAATGATTGGGGAATCAGATGAGATTTCGTCAGCTTATACTATTTCTGCCATTAGCAGCTTGACTCGGCGCGTTACTTTGAAGATCAAAGTTACAATATGTACTCGACGAACCCCGTTTCCGAAATTCCAACGGCGGCAGATGAAACCCCTCACTCATCTTGCAGGCCAGACAATATTATGACGTATTCTGCGGGCTTCAGCCCCACCTCCAGTAAAGAATCCTTCAACTCTCCGCGGTAATACTCGGACAAACTCTTGCATGCCTTGACGACAGCCTCGCTATCCAACCCGACATTACGAAGCTTCTCTTCATATTGCTCCGGAGGTAGCCCTAGCCTCATGAGAAAACGCCTAAGGTTAAAATCTTCGGAGACAGTTGCAGAAAGCCCGGTGTCGGTCTGATTTAGTGATGCCCTCGAGGAGGTGTCATTGGCCGGTGTCAATGGGTGTAATGAGAAAGCCGATGGTTTCGTGTGAGTACACTTCCCCTTGGTCTGCCGGCCTGGACCGATGAGTGTCCCTGATGAATGCATCGGGTTCTTTCCCTGTACTGTCGTGCTACGAGGCTTGCTTTCGAGGTCGTCTTGTACGTTATTTTCTCCCATTGTCGATGCAGCGTTGGCATATTCTGCATCAGGGATTGGTTGGAATTGTTCGACAGGAGCGTCTGACACTGAAGTGGAGGGCCATGGGGCCAGATCCCGGTCAGAAGCAGCTGACGCACAAGGGACATTTCGCAATGTGTATGCAAGCGGAAGATTTACAGCTGGTTCTGCAAACACAAGTGTGAGTTCTGGGCCTATATATAACGGTTCGCTAATCATGCCCCCATCATTCCTTACAACCGTTGCTGTCAAATCCGGGATGTCAAGGAGCAAGCCACGGTCAATCCTTGCTGCGATGGCAGCTCATTCATGCGCTTGCAAGGTCTCCTGAGATCAGCATCAGGGGAGATTGATGTACGTGTATCTGCAAGGCATTCAGCATACTTGCCATGGTATCAAATATGAACTCACAAGGTGCCTTTACGCCCTTGATTCTGTCCGATACACGACGGTGCAAAGAACCTTTCCTCTTCATGTAAATGACCTCCAACTCTGCTAGATGATCCACATAATCTCCCGAACCATCACTGTCATAGTTGCCATTGACGGCAACTTCTTCATCAGAGCTTACAATTATTGGCGTAGCTGGGTATATACGTTGAATAAGACAATCAGGGGTCAGTGTTTTTTTCCAATTGACGGCATGAGGAGGGCAAGTGAGCATACCCATTGAGCCCATGCGTTCGGAACTCGCGCAATCTGTCATAACTCTGAGTGAATTTAATCGCAGCGGTGGGCTTACAAAGGCGGAGATTACCCAGATTGGTATCGCAATGCACCAGTGGTTCGCTATCACAGCGCATCGGCAACTAGATGCAAGATTGGCTACATTGTCAGACCGTGGACGGCGGCATCACCACATAACCTGATACTCGCATGGGCTAAGATCGCCCACCGCTCCTATGCACAGGACTGTCTCTTCCCGCTACTCGCACCCGTACGTATGACCCGGCACAGAGCTTGCGGCACCCTAAATAAAACCAGATGATTATTTGAGGAGGATGATCTAAGGACGAGATAGCAGTACACGTCACCGCTACGATTTTATGTACAGTAAACGCAAATACACCCACTATCCCATCGTCCTGAACTAATGTTATTGATGGCGGGACACCGCCAGTAAGAAGAGTATGAAGTAACAATGAGCTGCATCTAACTTTGAACCGTTGAAGTGCTTCTGATATCAGTTTCCCAGTTTACCTGATCTCTTGCCAGAATCGCCATGTGCACAGGACAGAACAGCATACAGGACTTGCGCCAAGGGTATCAATAGGCCTGCATCCAGAAAGAGTTACAAAGATACACGATGATAGCAAAGGGCAATGGGCAATTGTGCAGCTGCACAATCAAGGTCGACTTAGACTTTCGTAGAATCGCACAATACTCTTAATTCCCGGACAAAGAGCTAGCCGAATACGTTCATGCTCCCTACGCATGGCAGTCTGTACGGAATACACATGTAGAAGAGCGTTGGATGAGCGTTTTCGAAGCGTAGACGTAACCACGTTTCCGGCATGCGTACGTTGTAGACGAAGTGAATTCTCGTACTGTGTGACCATCTGTCCGAAACCAGTTAACCGAATGGTGGCCATCAGAGGAATGAATACTATACACACATGTGATGAGTAAAAGTACATTCCTGCTCTCCACCTCCTCTCAATGCCAAGTCCGCGCATGATACCTCGATGGACCAGATCAGCTACTGTAGGTCTCAGAGGGATACCCGTCAAGCTCTCTCCAAAGAGAGAATGTGAAACTCGAGAGGGTGTCACAACATGTAGGCGAAGATGGTGGAGAACCGGGTCCTCTGCGAGTTGTGAAAAGACAGGGTCGACTCGAGCGATGTTGGCAAGATCAGGGATATCCAGGAATGAGACTAACGAAGGACTCGTGAGTACCGCAAGTAAGATGTAAGAGCGTGGGCCGTACATATATATAACCAAATCTCTGGGGGAACTGAAACGAAGGAAGTGGTTCTTGATTTCGGGCTCATGGTGTGACGGAAGAGGGAAACAATCAATAATTACTGAGAACTTGTGAGAAGACATCCCAAGATGGTTGCACGGGCCGGGCTACATAGATGAGTCCGCAGGCAGTAGCTGGCAGTGGTAACCAGAACTCTGAGCACGTGATCCTAAGGTCATGACGTAGAGCATTCATCCGCAGTTTCAGAAATGCTCAAGGCCATCAGATATGTACAGCAGCCATGATACATGCATCCAGGCAAAAAATCTCATTCGCCCCATGATGTCTCTAGAAGGATTAGACAATAGCATAGTGTGGAGTTGGGAATCATCGGGTTGGCGAGTATGTTGTAAACTCAACCTTTGAAATCGACAGTGCAAAGATTAAGGAATACAATGCTGCTTTTTACACCATTCCGAAAACGAAAGGAGCTGAAGCCAAGAGTCTATCCTTCAGAATGAAGCCCAAACTTGTGGACCTGTAGAGCATGAAAGGTACGTCGGGGCTATCTAGGACTTGCGCATCAACCATCAGTTGATCGGGATTCATATATGTTAGAGCAGCGCTCGCCCAAAATTATTGAGCGAAAACATACGAGTCTAAGTTGATGCGTTCCGCGCATTCGATCGCCCTCCACCCGATCTCTTCTTTCCGCCACGTCCAGACCGCCGTGCATTACGCCTAGCACGACATGCATCGCAAAACCATGTTCCCTCCGGAGGAACTGTGAGGCCAATACATGGTAGATGAAACTGAAAAAAATGACATCAACATGAAGCAGATGGACCGCATCACGATCAACTCACCCATTCACGCTCGCAGTTATCGTCATCACATGCAATCATATCCCCATAGCTAACCCCGTCGCAGAAACAATACGTTCGACCATCATCAACTTCCCCATCCGCCTCAGCCCCTGTACCAGTCGCTATATCATGTGGCTCCGCTGTGACAACACCAACAAAAGTTCTGGCAACTGGCATCCCAGGACCTTCTAGTTGCCCGTGCGCCCATTCCGTGACGCCATTAATCCGCGTCCCGTTCATACCATTTAACCCATTTGCGTATGGGACAGGTAGGGAAGGATGGGCTGTAGATGATGACGGAGGTGCATTATATTTTTCGTGCTCAAATTGTGAGACGGTCTGGGGCTCTATATTACTTTGTCCGGCGCGAGAACGCTTAGCGATGGAAGAACTATTAGTGCCGCGAGCTACGTTCGGACGGGAATTGGAGACATTGACCACGTCCTGTGAAGCGGAAGGAGGAAAATGAGAGGCTACTGATAGGAGCGACTCGGCAGGCGAAGGAGCTCGTTCAGGTCTACAATACGGGATCAAATATATGTAAAGATTGAATGCATTTAACATGGCATACCTTCTGTTCCTATTTCGCTGTCTCGGAGCGTCTCCAGTCCTCTCTTTTCTCGGAGTCTTGCTGGGTAGGTCCAAGTCATCATCTCTACCAGTAGCTCGTTTTCTCTTGTTGGGACTAGCATCCACTGTCGTACTCGACAAAAGACTCCCATAAGCACCTCGTCGTTGTCTTCGTCCGCCCTCGCCCGCGCCACCAACTGGCATGTAGGAGCGTGTCGCCACATGAGGGAAGATAGTCTTCCTGCCTATCAGCTCAATGCTTTCGAAGTCCGGGTCCGGCAAATGTTGTACTAGAGTCTTCATGTGCGCCTTGTGTCCCCGAAGACCATCCGCGGCCTGGCAAGCGACTCGGATCTTGTCCTCGCCGCCGAGCTTCAATCGAGCCGCCTCCTCTGCGATCTGGGTAAGTAGCCACAGTCGGTCTTCCTTCGTCGCAGACTTATTCTCGAGCATGATCGTAAGTTCGTTGATTTTTGCGGTCAGAACAGACATGGAGGAGGAAAGAACGGCATCGAGTTCGCGTAGGTCAGCAAAGCTACGGGAGAGGTCGAGTGGAAGAGAATCGAGAGTGTGTGTGTATTCACCAAGAAGGGCAAGGGAGTGAGCGGTCTCATGAGCAGTAAGAGCGGGGATATTGTGAGTTCGCTTAGCCATGAATTCAGTTGCCGAAGATACTGCCAGTGAATGAGAGCCCCGCTGTGTAACTGCAACTTCAAATACTGTAAATAAGTTGAGGCGCACGGGCAATTCCACTCTAGAATCCTGGATCGGAACTGCACGTGCATTAAGATTCATCTCAGTGTCGGTGTCACAGTGTCACGAATCACAGGTTCAGTCCAACTCGGTCACCGCGGTGCGGGCAGTGCTTCAAGCTTCAATGCGTTGAGCGTGTAGTACGCCTGCAAGCCTTCGCACGCTATAATTTCGTCTCAACTGCAGTTCAAGAGAGATATACTACTTTACTCGACACAGATTGGGAAAGCATACGGATTCCATCGTTCAGAGTACAAAACAGAGAGACAGACCGCCCATCTAGGTAAGAGGGCATAAATAGAAGTTCAAGACGAGTAGCATAAAGTCCACCCCAAAGTCGTAGATATAGCAGTCCTCGTAACGTCCGTATAGGCGTCTGTCGCGATTCGTAGTGCCAGAGGAAACAGTGGGGGATCACATAGCAGGTTTCGAAAGATCTATACGCGTATCGTAGGTGCACTTCCATGTAGTCCGTCATTGTCTTGCGGGATTAATCCAGCTTACACATCTTGCCGTCAGCCGACAGTATGTAGCCAGACTGGCAGGAATGCACGCGGCAAGAGCCCGCATCGCACGAGACGCCGAGCGCGCCGGGCATAGCAGTGCAATCGTACCTGGTATCAACGAGACATCCAGCGCGGAAAGATAGATGTTCAGCAAGATGTAAGCCATAGATAGAGAGGACAACGCACTTCGAGTCAAGGCTTCCACAGCCACCGCAGGAGGTCAAATCCTCCTTGAAGTTCGTGCATTCGAAACCCATCTCAAGCCACTGAGACAGGGATCCGGGCACGGTAGCAGCGTTAGGACATGCAGTCATTGGCGCAGGGCACAAAGCCTCAGCAGCGTCGACAACAGGCCTGATAGGCTGCTGGGAACGCTTGCGTCTCTCTTGGAACCCCCCCGACGGCTTCGGACCAGGAGGTCCACCACCATTGTTCCCTCCGCCGTTGTTCCCTCCACCGCCGCCTCCACCGTTGTTCCCTCCGCCGCTACTGCCTCCACCGCTGTTTCCTCCGCCGCTACTGCCTCCACCGTTGTTTCCTCCGCCGCTACTGCCTCCGCCGTTGTTCCCTCCACCGCTACTTCCTCCACCGCTACTTCCTCCACCGCTGTTCCCTCCTCCATTGTTTCCTCCTCCGTTGTTCCCTCCTCCGTTACTGCCTCCACCGTTACTTCCTCCACCGTTGCTCCCTCCGCCACTTCCTCCACCGTTGCTCCCTCCGCCACTGCCTCCACCGTTGTTCCCTCCTCCACCGTTGTTCCCTCCACTGTTGCTGCCACCTCCACCATTGCCGCCTCCATCGTTGCTCCCCCCACTGTTACCATCTCCAGCGGCACGACGGATATTGCGAATTGACACGGTCGGACTGCGAGCAACGAGGGCGTGGTCTTCAGGTCTAGCGATCGCGGGCACAGCGGTGGCGGCAAAGATGGCTAGGACCACGGTCGACAGGAGGATGGAGCGCATCTTGGGCAGGCTGCGAGGTAAGCAGTAAACTATGCCGCGGACAAGAGTGTAAAGAGTGAGTGCAGTCGCCGATTCCTGCAGCTAGTGGAAGGGGTGTGAGCGTGGCGTGGACAGAATGGGACTGGACTTGGATGGAGCCTTGTCTTTATAACTGAGAGATAGAGCCTCCTCCTGTTCTCAGCTGCGCTCTCCGCGCACGGTCCAAGATGGCCGTCCAGGACAGTGCTCCACTCACCAGGCACGGTTGCCTGCCCCTCTCAGCAAATCGCCCCTCTCATCGAGTCCCTACCGCCCAACGCCGTTGACTTGTTCAGCATGCCTTGAAGGCGAGCGGCCAGACTCTATCTAAAGAGGTGTGGTCAGAACGGGGTCGGACTTGCCACGATGTATAATTTGTGGTTAGATCTGATCTGGAGGAGGCTTTGAATTTCGAACATGAGTTCAGCGGCGCTACTACCCGGGAACTCTTTCGGGCATGATTCTCGGCGATCCAGGTCCCGCCCAAGCCTCCGCCAAGAGGCGACGCTAGGGGCCGCTGACACACTATACCATCTCCTCGAGAATATTGTCACTGAATCGGAAGAAGAATTAATTGGACATAGCATAGCGCCAGAAAGCCGAGATTGGTTTACGATGGGGCTGAGTGGGCGATTCGGATTCCCCACATCTAGATATGCAGAATGCCCGAATCCGTCGTGCGTAGCCTAACTTATCGGGCAATGCTAGCAGAAAGAAGATAGCCAACATACCAGCGTGCTTTGCACGCGTGCATGATTCTATGCTCTTAGTGTGGCGAAGAGTGACAAGGAGTCTGCCTTGAGTTCAAGATTACTGACAGCGATGAACGGATGCGTGATATACCCCCCACACGCTAGATTCATAGGCTTGTCGGGATGACCGTGACCTTCCCTTATGACGAAGCCGGATGTTAGGAAGGTTTATCCAATCGCGTCGACTCACTAATCGTCATCATCAGCATTCAGCGAGCCAACCTATATGTATCTAAAGTCCGAAAGATGCAACATACTACATCAGCTTATTCATCAATGGGGTGCATAGATCATTAGTCTTACGATCCCAGACGACGAACAATGCTCGGCATGGAGAGCAGTGCAACCTGTATAGGCGTTAATATTATTCAGAGGTGCGAAGCATGAAAAATTGCACTCAGAATATGCTAGGCAAAGGTCTCCCACAATATGGAACCAAGTAGAGAATGGTATGGACTAACTCACCTAGGCGAGGTCGAAGACAGTCACGCTGCCTCAAATAATCAATGGTCTGCATATTCGTCTGATACTTGTTAAAAATCATAAACGTATACAGTCCAGTGTTTTAGGTGTGTATGAGAGCACAGTTGACTTGTGAGATGGCGGTAAAGAAGCTGCATTCCGCATTGTAACTCCATCACCGATGATGATGTATTCGTCAGACGAAGATTTGTGGTCTCGACCAGTTTGCGAAGATATTCCAGGCGAAATATTTACAAATAAAACAGCCGATGAGACAAGCACCGCGGTCGCTGAGGTCGGAGGAGTACATGATCGAGCTGGTCGACCTGGATTCCCAACCTCAGTCTGGGCTAGACTAAGACTGGGCCGCGCATTACCGCAGCCACGTGACTTGGGCTAGAAATGTTCTCCAGTCCTTAGACGTCCGAGTGGCGTTCGCCGTCGGCATAATCTTTTTGTACTCTTTCGCTACGATCCACACGCTAGGCTTGGTTTTGGGGAGTGGTAAGTTACAGTCGGTCTCCACCTATCCCCCCAGGATGTGTCGTTCAATGCTTACATAGAAACTGTAGCATGTCTGTTCCGGATTTGGACGACGAATATGCTGCCTTCTATACCCCTCTTGACCTCGAGGATATCCTCCTATCTGAGGGGCACGATCGCCATGGCAGCCGCGGTGCACAACCACAGATGCACGAGGAGGACTCTGCATACGAGTCCGCATCCCCACAAACTATACTTTCCACCGTTGCTGAATATGATGAGTTTGATGTATACGACCTGTCCGAATTTACGGCGGAAGATTTTGCCTGTATTGATGCTGCGCTTGCGTCCGCACAACCCAGCCTTGTCTCGATCTTTGGTAACTGCAACCGCAACGATAGTATCTCAGATGGAACCGGAGGTCCTCGCATTGAAATACAAGTAGAGGGAGCCACTGATAATTCTATTCTTCCCAAGGCATTGTCGCGTCATCAAGAGTGGAGTTCAGACGGGCGTAGTCCCTTTGAACGCTTCAGGAAATGGAGAAAAGTTTTGTCTGTGACTGATCTTGTTGGACCTGCCTGGTATGTGACCTTACTTGAGCTGTTTTATTGGCAATTACTAAAGAAGAACAGGTGTGAAGTTCAGTTTGATTATGGTCTTCGCCAGAAGCGGCATCAGGAGCCTGATCAAAGACCTCAGTCATTCGTTACAGCGGAGGGCAAGACTATTACCGTTGACAAACGTGTCATGGCGAATAATCACCGTTTCGTTACCAGAGGAAGGGTGTGTATGCCTTTATATCATCGCATCCAAAACTCAATTGAAGAAAGTAGTCGGTGCATAAGGCATTGGAACGTGAAGTTAAACCTGAAGAGGTTCAGGTGGAAATTATTACTCAGGAGGAGCGCTGGGCACTCCGGTTAGCCCTTCTTCTAGTTCGCGTGGTGCCAGTTTACTGATGATGATTCCGGAAGCCTTGTAAACATGCTGGCTTCCTTGGACGCGCTCATAGCATTGGGATACTGCGTAAAGTTCCTCCCGGTGCACTGTTTACCGTATGTCACTTACATTCTAATTTTGACAGCGTGAGATACCTGTATTCGGTCTTGTTCACGGTCAGATAGTGGTTGGGATTATTGTAAGTGACTCATCGGCTATGCGGTAACTTAGGTCTATGAATCATTTTTAATCACTCTAGGATGAACTTCAACGCAAACCTTACCTGTCCAGCTTGCGACAGCCCTTGAAGACAGACAGCAATGCGGATGTTCGGAGATACAGCCCGCAGAAACGAGCGTCGCCTGGTACCCCTTCCATGAGGAAGAGCAAGAGAGGCCGTCGTCGGCCTTCCCCTTCTCAATCTAAGCTTTCAGCCTATTTCGACACATCCTCGCAAACGTCTGAATCTTGCGCATCAGACTCGTGTCCTGATTCCGAGTCTCGCATAGAGCTATCGACGCCTAAACCAATAACACCTACGCAACATCCTTGTGGTATTTCAGACAAAGCCGATGCAATACAGCATGCAGCTGCGGCCTATACCCTGCATCTTTTCGACACAAAAACGCGGAATAGTCCAAGTCTCCCTCCAGATGAGGATACGTTGACATCGCGGCTACAATTGATGCTTTATCACCGACTACTCAGTAATCTCCTCGCCTCGCATTCGCCATCTAGATCTGGTCCTGAGGTAGAGCATGCGATGCCGACGTCCCCTGTTGAGCCGTTAGACTTTGACGCCTTGTGGCGTAGGATGAGCTTAGACCCGACTCGCACGTTCTCCGCAAGCTTCATGCGTGACAGCGGTTTACTCCTCGGCGCTGAAGCATTTGGCAGCACATTATCCAATACGTCTAGTGATTTCACCAGCGGCGAGGGCAACAACCACGGCAGTGGCCAATTTCCGCAGTGTCTCAACGATCTGGTAGCTGCGTGGCGCCATGCCGTAGAAGCACTGTCGGTGAACGGCATGGATCCTACATTGACACTAGTCTACCGAACGGTGCGATCCAGGCAGGGGAAGCCAAAATCGAAAGACGGTAACCAATCTGCGGCTGGACACTCTCCACTGGACCAAGATTTAGCCAACGCTATTCAGGAAAGTCTTAACGCGCCGCCTCATATGTACGACGGCACGGACGATGCTTTCGCTCGAGCTAGTCTGGAAGACGTACACCATCCTATTGATGCGAACGATGGCGATATTACCGTTTGTAATACCTCTATCGCGTCTGAACACGATACAAGCAGTACTGGACTAGAAGAAACGGGTACGCCGAATGATGTCGCCAAAATGGATCTAGTAATGCCTGCATCCACATCCGATGTAGCAGACGACACCAATGGAGAGATACCCGCGAATGAAGTGGTGAAGACCCGCATATTGGGAACGAAGAAGTTCGTAGTCGATGATGTGTTGCTTGATGGCCATCTGGAGAGCATATTACAGTGGTGGAATGGCCGACGACCACCACGCGGTGTGGACATTCAGCTGACGAGGCGGTGCTCGTGAGTACTATACCCCTGTTTACGGTGTTTGTGATACTGAGTATATATGCTTCTCAGCTCTTGCGAGTACGAGCAAGGTTGTGAATGGAGGGAACGCAAGGCAGTGGAAGTTCTTCAGGAAAGAGCTGTGGATGCAGGATTCTAATTTTATTAATTTCGTGACGCGGAAGTAAATTATTCACTAGCTGTAATTGTGTGTAAGTGTAGTACGTAGGACATTGTGATTCGTCAAAAGTGATTAAACCTCGCTGAATTTCGGATGTGTGTACGTTGCGTGGCTGAGCGCTACTACTAACACAGCGGTTGCCTAATCTGACCACGCGAGAGCGTGAGGACAACCGTGACCAACAACCTCTAAGCTCTACCACCCCTCCGGCCATGGCTCAGGCCTACCCCCCGGCCTACATGCAGCAAGCCAACAAGGGAACTCTAGTTCCTGGGCAAACCATTTCTGTCAACAAGTACACTGTTCAGGTTGAGCGCTACCTGAGCCAAGGTTCGTCCAGCGGATCCCTGAGCTGTCACTACCCGGATGACAGTGCAACCCCATCGCAGGAGGGTTTGCACATGTCTATCTCGTGCGTACCGCGACACCGGTTTTCAATACGACTCACCATGTCCTCAAACGTATCGCCGTTCCGTCGGAGGCCATGCTCACCGAGGTCAAGAAGGAGGTGGACATCATGGTGAGTGTCGACGCCTGTTACAATCATCTTATGGTTTACGGGCGACGCGATGACCGTGTATTTCAACAGAGAATACTCAAAGGACATCCTAACATCGTATACTTGATCGACGCCGCGTGGCATCGCCTGTCAAATGGGACGTATGAGGTCTTCATCCTCATGGAATTCTGCTCTGGCGGTGGAATTATCGACATGATGAATCGTCGCCTTCGTGAAAGACTTACTGAGCCAGAGATTCTGACCATCTTCTGTGATGTCTGCGAAGGTCTTGCTGCGATGCACGCGCTCAAACCCCCACTCCTCCATCGCGACCTCAAGGTAGAGAATATCCTACAATCCTCTGCGACACTTTATAAACTGTGTGACTTTGGGAGTACAACCCCAGTACAGAAGATCCCCTCGAACACGCAAGAAATGAGGATGCTTGAAGCCGACCTGAATCGACACACGACGTTGCAATATCGGGCTCCGGAGATGGTTGATGTCTACCAGAGGCGTCCTGTCGACGAGAAGAGCGATGTGTGGGCCCTAGGGGTCCTGTTGTACAAGCTGTGCTATTATACTACACCATTTGAGGAGCACGGCCCGTTGGCTATTCTCAATGTGCAGTATAAGATCCCGCCGTATCCCGTGTATTCTAACGATATGAATTCTTTAATTGGTGTGTTGCATTTGCTGGTCTTGATTAGTTGCTGACGATCGGCCTCTAGCCTCAATGCTACGTGAACATGGTTCTCAGCGACCTACAGTATTCGAGATCCTCGCTCATGTCCACAAACTTCGCGGCACAAAGTCTCGTTTTTCATACAGTATCCCTCTCAGAGAACCTGCACTTTCATCTCGCACCATCGCATCGCCATCACTGCAGAATCGATCACCCAATCTCATTCCCCCAACTCAGCAAAACGCCAGTTCTCTCGAGAACCTGGTATCGTATAAGTCGTCGCAACCCCTGGTCTCATCTGTAAAGACACCCGGGATCGAAGCGCGTGACAAAGTGCTGGAAGCGATTGCGCCTATGCGTCGGGGGCGACCAACCCCTTCTCCTGCTATGCCGTCTCCCCCTGCCAGTCCGAAGAAAGAGCGGACATTTGGATTAGACGCTAAATTCAGTGCAGAAGACGACCGTATATGGCGTGGTGTACGTGGACACAAATCTGGCCTTGCGAGCATTGGTGGTGGAGGCGTTGACCTGAGTAGGGATGTGGGTGATGCATGGGCTGTTGGGTCGAAAGAGCGAAAACAAACACAAGCCAAAGGAGAGAGGGGTCCAGATAGTGAACGGCAAATATTCGAAAAAGCGTTTCCTGACGACTTTTCCGCCAGCTTTGGAAAATCATTTGGGGATTCATTTCAGCCTGCTAGATCCCCTGCGCCCACAGCGCCCTCCTACCCTGCTCCTTCCCCTTCGCCTAAACCCCAGTCATTCCCTCAGACCCGGGCACCTCCATCTCCTAAGCCGTCACCAGGTTTGACCCAGATACAACGGCACCAATCTACCCGAAAAGCCAAAGACGCTTTTGAGGGCCTCGGGTTTTCCACACAACCTCCACCACAGACACTAGGAGAGGCTCGGAAAAGTCGTACAGGTCTTGCAGGCCTTGGCGTGCCGACGGGCCTCAGTTCCAGTAGTGCATCAGCCCAATATCTCAATGCGCCTTCCAGGCAGCCTAGTGGCCTCGGGACAGTTAATACAACTTACCGCCCTCCAAGCGCTCATGCACCTATGCCAACACATTCTCCTCAGCCGGCCCCGCAATCCCAAATTCCCTTGTCCATTGGTGCACAGCCCCAAGTAAGGTCACAGTCATCGCAACAAGCCAAGTCTTTAACTGCGGAAGAGCGGTTTCCTTCATTAGAGGAGCTTGATCGAGACTTTGGATCGCCGCCCTCAGATTCATCAGCTGTAAGAGACAAACTTGCTCATCTTAATGTGCATGCATCTACGCAGCCACCTTATACGGAGAAGTTGTCCAATGGTTCGAGACCACCATCTAGAGCGAACCATATGAGTAACTTACGTGCGACCGGTGTAGATGGCCTACCTGGTGTTACTGCTTTGTCTATGAATGGGGTCGATATGGCTAGCGCCACGCAGGGTAGGTACGATGGTGTGCGATCGCAAACTGTCACAGGTACCGCAATGCGAGACTCTCAGCTGGGTGGGGGTTTGGCCAGACACGCGTCAACATCTGCTCGTCCTCCACCTACGGCATCTACCAGGGAGAGCCAGCCAAAAAAAGACGGTAAGCAGGACCGGGACAGGAGCCAAGATGTTATAGTGGCCCTGAAGAGTAGACCGTCGGCTGCTCGTCGCCACAAGCACTCGCCACCCTCAAACGGCCCCTCGCGCACAAACTCCGCCAATCTGCTTTCGCCTAGCTCTCCGGAGTCTGCTACACCTTCACTTCCCCCCCGTTCTCAGCCTCGTTCCGAGCCCCGTGACTGGCTCACTGGCGGGGATGAAGACGAATTAGCCACGCCTCCGTTACCATTCAGAGCTGAGCCACAACCCCAGCCTGTACTGCGTGAATCGCCAAGCAAGCGAGCTTCGATTATTGAACGCAGCCCTATTGTCCTGCAGAAACCACTGGAGGCCGAGAACGTTTTGGAGACATATCATATACCCATAACTAGTCTCGAAAATCGCACAAGAGAAACAAGAGAAAGGGAGCGGAAGAAACTGCAGAGGTCGCCGGAACGGAAGACGATGGTTCCAAGAACTGGCACGGGTGCCACCACGGTTGGGGCAGGAGGTGCTACTAGCAGGATGTGGCTTCCACCGGTCGATACCACAAGTGCTACCCGAACAATGGGTAAACTTTCTCCGAATGGTTTGACTGATAATTGGAGTCCTATTGCACCAATGCCAGATGCGACCGTGAAGAGCTCGTCTTCTTCATCTAGTGACGATGGTCCCGAGGATTTGCACGGGTATTCTTCGCGATGGGAAGGCCAACATGTGAAAGAGGCTGCTAAGAGCAATGCTGAGAACAAGCGACGGAGAGCCAGAAGTAAAGGGAGACAAGGCTCTGTCCATGATTTGGTGGATATATGGAGTGGAGGCAAAGGTCCCGGCCTAGACAATGTACAGGATGAAGGTCAGAAAGCAAGCCACAGACCGACCTCAAAGCAGACCGACAAGCGAGCGTCCGTTATCACGCCGTCGCCTTCATTGCGGCCTCCTTCCCTGGCTCCGAAACCTCGGTCGGGATCACCACAGCCGCTCATAGACACGTCTTCGTATTCAAGCAGAATGCTATCATCGCAAGCTCCATCTCCATCGAGCCCCCATCGAAGACAGCCCTCCAACGCTCCTATTGTTCAACAGCCACCTTCCCCCTCTCTTACACCAGCTCCCACGATGGGGCGGTCTCGACCGCAATCCATGTTTGTTACCTCTCTATCTAAATCGTCGGCTGAATCGAACACAACTTCTTCTAAAGTAGCGGCATCCGCAGGATACGGTATGCTTTCGCCTCCCGCCGACCCAGTTGCCAAACGGACCTCGCGCAGGAGTTCTATATCAGACATGGTACAACGTTTTGAGGCAATTGGAGGGAATACGAGGGGACACAACCTTGTTACACTCGTTTCTCCTTCAGCTGTTGCCCCAAAACCTGCCAATTTGGACTCGAAGACGAAATCCTTGAGTGGAGAAAACAATGTATCGTTGTCTTCACCTTCTGCTGCTGCTGCCCGCTTTCCCAGGCTTTCGCCCACGTCATCACCCATAATGTCTAGAACCAGTATGTCTGTCCCAGACGACCCAACTCTGGATCACCCTGTACGCGATCTTTCTAAGAATCGCACGTCGCCATCGGGAATGCCTCGGAGCTCATCACCGATCGGACGATTAGATACGTCTTCTGTGGTCAATGGGCTCCCTTCACGGAGGTCGCCATTACCGGTCTCACGATCGTCTGAACCGGAAGCATCGTCAACACATACCCAGGAGCGCCTCACCTCACCATTCCCTCTGCGGAAAGCGACAGCTCCTCCGGAAGATATTGCATCCTCACCTCTGCGCTCGCCCTCGCCGGAGCGGCTATACCAGGGTGTATCCAAACTTATTGACAGGTGGCAACGGGCGGCAGACGACTCAGGAGTGGCCCCGGCTGGAGGTGTTAAACGTGGATTTCCGGCGCGTCGCATAGGCGGTGATGCGGGAAGGGGACGATGAGGATTAGCTTAAACGTAGTACTTATTTGTCTGTCACGATCTTGCTATGAATGATTGCACTGATTGCACGTACATATGGCATATTTATTGCACAGATAATACCTCCCTGACACTGCTTGTATATGATTGTTGGTTAGATACTATCGTACCGGAAAACAAGGACACAAGTGAAGGTAGACTTCAACAGAGAGAATGATGTGATGGAACAACTAGAAGTAGATTGTACGAGGATCCGGCTGCTCAAGAGACAAAATATGACATCTAGTAATAACGAAAAACGCCTTACCGCTCCCACATGCCCCGTGCAACATCTCGATTCCTGCTTGGCTCCCATGAATTATCATCCTCAGGATACAGGTCGCTTTTGGAAAGATTTGTGTCTGAAAGACCAAGCTCTTGGGCAACAACATCTGCTCGAACAATATTCGATTCACTGGGGTGAATATAGATGCTGTGTGGCTTCGACCTCACTCGGCGTGGTGGTGGAGCCACTGTGGCTGGAGGATAAGTCTCAGGGGTAGAGCCAGGCTCGTCGTAATGATGAGGCGAAGACAGGAGAGGCTCTTTCGCATGTTCGGGACTATCGAACGCATCAAGCTATAGTCAGCAAATGCGGTACCAGAGAGGGACAGACGTACTCTGACAGCCTATGGTGGGTAATGCAAGGGTCGTCGATGTACTCAATAATGAATTGACCGACAGAAAGCGTCGTGACCTGGGTGGGATAATGAACATCTCGGCAAAAAGGATGTGTCCCATACGTCATATATCTCACTGTTATCAAAATCAAGCTGTGGTTTCAGGTTAGCGCCCCGTCAAGTGGTCCGCATCAGCTACGACTCACCCAACATTGAATGTCATAGCTATTAGCATATACATGCTAGGAACAACCCTTACACTCAGCCACAATAGATTGTTAACCAGAAAGAGTACATACAGCCTTTCGAATGTAACCAGCCAGTACATGCATGTTCGCCAGAGAGCATTGCGAAACCGCGAACGCCGCAACCGTACAGGTCCCCATTGCTTGGAAAGCGCGTATGTCAGACATCTACAGTATGCGGTGTCGAGGTTTTAGGGATCGTTGTCATTCCTCGTCTCAATCCACTTGGAACGTAAACAAAGGGACGTACCGTTCCGACGAACAAACGGCAACAGCTAATAGCGAGGCAATAGTGAACTTCCAGAGTGAATCAATATGGAGATTGGGGAAAAGAACATGTTCTCCGAGGAATGCAAAGTGAAGATGGTCCTTCCAGCCATCCATTGTATGACCAGCAATTGGGTGCAGAAGCAGAACGGTCCAATCTGGAAAGAATAAAAAGAAGTACAGGGCGAGCACAAGTAGTAAGCGGGACGAGCAGTAAAATGAGAGAGCGACGAAGTTGTACCCAGAGGGTAGACGTAGAGATGGTAACGTTCAGCGTTCTCGAGTCGGAACCGGCCACGCGGATGCAATAACGTACATGATGCCAAACATCGTGCATCATGGGCCCAAGTCGTCACTGACTGCGTCTTTGCTTCCGCATTGACTGCCACGCTCACCGACTCAACCCAGAATCCTACACCTTCAAATGGACGCTACTTGATCAGAACTTGTGACTTGACGTCCGTTCATGCCCGCCGAATCCAATGAATACTCATTCATGTCATTCGTGTGGTGCTCAGTCTACTTTAACAGAGAAGTACATCAATAAGCGTGGTGTCATTGCGGCAATTGATGACAGTGATATATGCTTTTATTGTATAGCCGGAGGTGTCTGTGGCCTTACTTGAGCTCATCACACAAGCCAAGGACTCCTAGTCTCCTACTCAGCATGCCACTGCTGACCGTGTTGCGACGCGCTGTCATCAGCAGATGACACGAGGCGGTAATAAACACCGGTATACATGAGGGATATGAGACATGATTACAATAAATCCGGAGGCGTTGGTAAGTTCAAACTTCACCCCACATGCGGTCCTGGAATGTGAAGAAGTGCTAAGTACTCGCAAGGACAGATACGTGATCGTGGTGTTATTGACCTAGTCTGTGCACACTACTGTCGCCGAAAATGTAGGTTGCGACGAGGTGATTTCCCGACGACTCGAGGGAGAATGTCACATATGTTTTAGCTAGGAATCATTTTCAGGACAGTCACCGCAGCACGCCCGGCTCTCCCCGAATATGCATGCGTGCCATGAAGGTCACCTGATCGTATGAGCGAGCACCGGCCGCCCGACGCGGTGCCGCGATGAGCGCAAGACTTAGATTACCACGGCTGGGTCGTATTCCGATTTGAAAGAGCTGAGACTTTGCTCTTTCGATATATATATACACACAGCGGGTGCCTCAGCCTTTTCCTTCCCCACAGAGACCACATCGACTGAGCGAACACCATGGCGGCAGTCGCTCAGCACGCTATTCCTTTCTCCCGTCCCGCGACCCCAGGTCATGTAGTCAACACAGTCGGGTTCTATGGACTTGGGGCGATGGGTTACTTCATGGCGCGTAATCTAGCCAACCGCCGCGCGTCGGAGGCAGGTTCTGCGCTGGTCGTTTATAATCGTTCTATCGCGAAATCCGAACAGCTGCTGAAAGAGCTCGGCGCCGATAAGGTCAAAATCGCCCAGTCAGCCGAGCAACTCGTCCTCGAGTGCGATGTTGTTTTCACGAGCTTGGCTAGTGATGCAGTGGTCAAGAGCGTATACGAGGGCTTTGCAGCTGCTTTGAAGGTGAACATGTTCGCTTTTTTTTGCCCGCCTTCGTGTTGTCTGATTGGCCATATATGCCTAGCAAAACAACCCGACGAAGAACAAGATTCTTGTTGAGATGAGTACCATCTACCCGACGCTGGCTGGTATGTACTCTTCGATGGATGTCCCCCGTAGTGTCACCAAACAAGTTCGCAGGAGAGCTGGACACCCTACTCTCCAACATTCCTCACACCCATTTCGTCACATGCCCAGTCTTTGGTCCCCCCATAGCGGCCGAGACTGGGAATCTTATCTGCGTTCTCGCCGGAGAATACCGATCGAAGAAGGAGATAGCTCACCTATTGGTTCCTGGAGTTGGCAAGAAGGCTATGGACCTAGGTGGAAACCTTGAGAAAGGTGACTAACTACAGTTCTAGAGACTGCGTCCAGGATCCTAATTTTGCATACGTAGCGCCCACGTTCAAACTCATCGGCAATTCAATGATCCTGGGTACTCTGGAGATTCTTGCAGAAGCGTTCACGCTCGCCGATAAGGCGGGCATCGGCTCCGCACAGGCATACGAGTTGGTGAAAGACATGTTTCCTGCACCTCCGTATGTGTTATTTCTTTTCCCTCAGCGGTAAACTCTGAAATATTGCTGTGGTCAGCTTCGTGAACTACGGGAATAAGATGGTGACCGACAAATTCGATGGTTTGACCGGCTTTGCAATCGATGGTGGTCTCAAGGACGCCAACCACATTCGCCGATTGGTCACTGACTTGAACTCGCCGATGCCCGTAACCGTACGTACTTGTCTTCGACGTCGAATCTGCATGTCGGTGGAGAAACTCATTTTTTTCCAACGCTCATAGGATGCTGCGCACGCACATATGCTGACCGCCCGTGCCATTCATGCAGAGCAAAAGCACAGTGGCGAAGCTGCTTTCGAAGTCCTGGACTGGAGCGCTCTTGTTGCTGGTGCGAGGGTGGCTGCCGGCTTGCCTCCATTTGACAATGCAGGAGTAAGATTGGTTGTCTTATAAGTCTCTATAGCGGACATTAATTGGAATCTCACAGCCTGCGAAGGTGGTCAAGGAATAGACTATCACTACATAGTCAGCATGGATGAATGGAAGATGCAGAAACAATTTGTTGTACTTGTAACTCCCCATCACTTGGCTCTTACATTTCACCTCGTATGATGTTGCATATACGTATACTCAAGGACAACAATTACGTGCCGAAGTGAATGACCGACGTTACTTCCTCGATGCACGTGAGCTTAAACTTCGTTTGCTCAGCCCAAGTTATAGGGGTGAAGCGCGGCAATGAAACAATATTGTCTTAAGAATTGCACCTCGAATGGGTATCCTCTTGAATATGACGAGCACGAACGAGCGCACCATATCCTGATAGTTGGAACCTAGTTTTGAGGAGAGTATTTCTCTAGCAGACAGAAGCTAGAGGCAATTGGAGAGCACCTTCCATAGGTTATGTTGTATGTACGAGGTAGACGATTAGATGCCTCGATCGATCTCTAAATCTCGGTCACGTGAAGATAGATATAGCCTCTTTGTGAATGTGATGCTGTCTTCGGAGCTGCTTTGGCGTCGAACTCGTGAAGGTCTTGACCATTGTACCTGGCGACCGTCTCTCATGCTTGCCCTGCCATCTCGAGTATCATGCATAATTCCTGCTCTGCGAAATGTTCGGACATATGTCGTATCCATAGAACCACCTCGAGTTTATCCCAACAAAACTGTCCCGCGTAATTACTCGGAACGCAAGACATACCTCTATAACCAATACACCCGACTCTTCCAGTCTAGTTTCGACTCCCCACTCATCTTCTTGCAACACACCGACTTCTCAGTCCCACGACTCATTCGACTGCGTCGTGATATTGCGGCGGCAGCGGCGCGCCATGCCAGCGCGCCAACTCTCGCAGGACCCTCCCCCGCTGCAATGGCTGAACCACCAACGCTGACCGTCCTCCGCACGTCTATATTCGGTGTGACTTTACGAGATTTCTCACCGTTGGACACACAAGCAGTCACAGAAATTGCTGGCATGATCGAAGGTGGCCTCGCTGTACTCTCGTTCCCGTCATTCAATCCTCCTCAAATGAACGCTATCTTACGCGCACTCTCACGCGCCGTCCCTCCACGCGTTCCTAAGACTCCGCAGGAAATAGAGCAGCAGAAAAAAGATGTCGAAGCAGCATTTGTACCCGGTCGGCGCCAAAAGCGTCAACGCCCAGTGCCGGTCCCCGAACTGAAGCTCGTTGGTGCGCTAATCGAAGGGCGAGTGTTCAAAGCTCCGGGCGTATGGGATGTGGCAGGCCTTCCCACCTTAGAGATACTCAGGGCGCAGCTTGTTGGACTTCTTAGTGCTCCTGCGTCTCAGCTCGCGTTGGTATTGGGCGAGGCAGGTGGTGGGAAGTTGGCGAGGACCCTAGAGGGCTTAAGGAAGAGTTTGGAAGAGGAGAAGGGGGAACTAGAGACCGGGAAGCAGTCGGATATAGGTGCACCATAAAACCGTGTATGTGACATAGCATACGTCTTTGCATTATCACCCTGATTTGAAGCTGCTTCACTCGTTGGAGGGATCGTATATCTGACCGCCTTACGGCGACTTTTTCGACAGCGGTACGTTCAGACCTTACAAATAGCTGACAGGTTCTGATAGCAGTGTCACTCAATAGCGCCAAGCCCCCGGCCCGCTACAGTGCTAAATAGACATGAGGGATGAGACCAGCCCTATCCTCATGTCTATTTGACGCAGTCAGCAAGTGGACTACCAGCATGAAGTGGTGTATTCTGGCATGTGACACTCTAAATTAGACTCCGCACCCGAATACAACTCACTCGTGCCTGATCACCGTGGCCTTGGAAACTTCACCAAGAATTTGTATGGTGTCCGCACACGGAACTCATGTTATGCTGAAGTTGTAACATGGTCCGTCTCAGATTGAGTTCTAGTTGGTGAGTTAATCATTCGGCTTTGGATACTACCTGCTGCCACAATTTTTTGTTAGGCCATGTAACGCCGTGGTATTAGGAAACGAGGCTCGAGGCTGTGTAATTCTCAGCATACCAGACACAACGTGTTTACTTCCAATGATACGTCGCCCGATCTCGTGAAGAATGACTCATGCTGGTAAACCACCGTCATCTTTCTGCGAACATCTTCTATCGATTTTGACCCCCTGCGCGCTGCGTGGCCCCGTCTATAAGTTGCAGCTGAGCTGAGGCCCCCAGGACAACGCAACTGACCTTCTCGCGTCTACACTTGCATTCATCGCTTTTAGAATCTTGTCGGCCAGACATTCCCTATAACTCCACCATTTTCGGGTCAGAGATTTCGGGGCAATTCGTGACTTGAAGTTTCAGTCTCTCCACTTGTCATAACACATCTATGAGTTCCGAGCACGACCGTAGGCACCGTAAAATGTAGCTGACGAAATTTCAAGCTCACTTGGTACTACACAGATTATCGAATGGACCTGAATAACTGGCTCCAAAGCCGAAGAAATCCAGATTTGAAGATGGAATACAAGACCGGTCGATCTGGGCCCCATCACGCTCCAACCTGGGAGGCAGCTGTCTTAAGTATGTGATCGGGTTTGTAGAAGAACTAGTGCAGTAGTCAAACTCATACGTGCACCCCAGTCAACGGCATCGAATGTGGGAAAGGTACAGGCCAGAATCAGGGTATCGCTAAGGAGCAGGCAGCTAAACAGGCACTGAAGGCGTTGGAAGAGGGTGCTGTCGTAGTGTGAGGCATGCAGGTGCATAGCGAGTAAGCCATCTGCGAAGATCTAACTTGACTAACCGCTGACTTCTGGGTGTGAACTTACTACAGATATTGTCGGTGAGCTCGGTTAGATTCAATTAAAAACTCATGGCTATCTCGTGGTACAGCATCAGCGCTTCAATATGTCTTTTCAGCATGTTCATATGATACCTCCTCATATTTATAATTGACTGTGCTTTGCATCATGCCGTGGTCCCTCGTGACCTGTAATTTGAACATCAGTGTTGTCCCAGCGAACATATAGACTATGGATAATTGGTATCTGACCCCACTGGCCAGTAAGTGCGTCTCGCGAACCTTCTAGCATTACCTGTCTTGTTCCTCATCAGCTTCTCTGCGACATTTGACTTCGCTATTTATTATCATGACTACAAAGATATGATTCTGCCAGCCAAACTCTTGAGGTCTCTTCGGAAATGAAAACCGCGTGTTTATTTATACGCTACTTTCAAATTTTAATGTTCTGATCTTAAAATTTCTTCAAGTGTTTATAACAAAAGAATATTGATTGTTCTCATGTGCTCTTTCTGAGAAGCCGAACAAGACGGAGTATGACGCAGCCGCCTTATCTCTTGTCTTTGTGTTGCAAGAATATATCTGCCTCAGTGAGAACCCATGTACGTTTCCAAAGGGCAGTGTGTACTTGAATCCACCAAGCGAGGGCTTGCTGCAAGCCATGTTGCATTTTACCGCTTCCCAATTGGAGATTGCCACGCTTGTTGCCACGCCTGAACTTGTCTGAACTATATCTCAATCTTCAGGAATCGAGATTCAAGATTGTGGTGATCGACTTCTTTCTAGATCTCCTTGCACACAGGACATTCGTGCTACGCATCACACTGTCTAATGTCCATCCGTTTGAGCCACTAGCAGTCTACGCCGTTACAAACATACCAGATCCAATTGCATATGGAATCGATCATGTCTCGATCGTTACTCAGCGGTTGATAAGTACAACACAAGGCTTGTGTTGTGGTCGTGCAATACTTATCAACCGCTGAGCCGCCGTGCATCTTGTCCTAGCCAAAATTCGTGATCGAGTTCCTCATTTATCTTACATGATCTGCTATGTTTTTCTTGATGTCATTGAAAGCGGTCGAACGAAACACTCGAATATTTTTATAAAACCATGATGAGTGTTGGCTGTTTCAGCATCAGTCACTGGTCACTGGAGTGCCGACTGCGTGTACTTTTCCTATTGGCAGTCCATACACGTGTCTCGGAGACATGATTATATACGTCGCAGCATATGCACCAGCTCGTTGCTGTTAGCACTGCGTATGCTAGCCATAGGCTCTAGCCGCGTAACTAGTGTTCAAGTTGTAGGTCGGGCTCTGAAGCCACCGAGCGCCTCTTCCCAATTCCGGAGGCCGTGGGAGATGCTTCATTTTGGCGTTTGTTCTCCACCACACTAGAATAGTAAGTCCCTTGTCACTCACCTCTGTATCAGTCACCCCGTGTTGACTTTCTCCACCACGAAAATGGGAGGCAGCGATTCCATTCAACAAAAAATTGAATCCTCCGTCTTTGTCAAGCTCAACTCATCAGGTCGTCCCTTCGAGGAGCATTACGTCGCGCATATCAAGATATGGGAAGCAGCGCAGGACGGAAAAGGGAGAAAGTCCAGATATATCATTCTCTCACGTATGTCGCGTATCTGTCTTTTCTTTCGAGTCTGTCATTTCTCAATCATCTCAACAGAGGCCAGCGACAAGTCAGGATACATTCATAAGGCGAAACTCAATTGCAACGGTGCTTTCTCTGTCGGAAAAACGTGGCCCCTCGAGGAGCTTCGCGAGGTCGAGGTTGTCAACGTACGTTGCTAAGTGGTGCCGCGCATATATGTATTTTACTGAATATGTGTTCGCGCACTTAGTCATTGGTCTTCGAGATCACTCCCAGTGCCACAACCTACAGATGGCAAGCAGACAATCCGAAGGACCAAGCAGAGTTTGTAGCTTCCCTAATCAAACTCTTTCAGACTGTGACGGGAGGAGCTGTACCTTTGAGATTGATTGGTGTCAAGATGTCCGATGGAGTCCCTGGTACGTGGGATATCTGATCACCTGTGCTCAGAAATCGTTGACGAGGTAATGCCGTATCCAAGCTGCCAAGCCGTCTCCTCCGCACTTTGGATCAACGCGTCTACGCCGTCCGCCCACGACAGAGAGTGACAAGACGGCTCATAGCGGGACATCTGAATCTGCTGCTGCTGACTCCCTTGAGCACGCGTCGACGAAGCCAGTCTCACGGAACCCTCCGATTGTAATATGGAAACGCCCCGTAGACGTCTCACAGCTGCCACCCTTCCCGCCTACTCCTCTTCCTACCTTGACGTGATTATCAGGATATCCTCATTTTGATTCTGTAGCTACAGGATTCTGACACGTATTTCGTGAGGTTCGCTTGGCCTTGACCTAATGTTATCATTATTGCTACTCATCTAGTCTAGTTTAGATAGACTAAGCGCTTTCGGTGTTTGTATGAATTCATTATCGTGTACTATAATGTTCATTTCCGTTCACCCTCATTCTGTAACAATGAAATTTGAATTATATGGCTAGAACATGGCAGACCAAGGAAATTATACACGAATAAGCAGAGGGAGCAATAGTCAGGGACTATCTTCGTTTTGGGCCCCTGCCTTCATCGAGCCCTGGAGAGCTCCTTCGTTTCCTATGCGTGCAACGCGTGAGTCGTATAATGCTACAATAAGGAACGGACCTACCGACTACTGCTTCTTTCATCTACATCTGGGGTTCCCCTTCCGCCTTCTTTTATCCCGCCTCCACCCCCATAATCGAGACCATCCACGGCCGGCGCACTACCATCGATGTCCTTGTACTTGTTCTTATTACGGGGACCTGTGGGCACGTTTGGAGGTAATGGCGACGCGGGGCGCACTGGTAATGCTAGATAATTTCATGAGCCCGATCGTAAATGGATGCAACACAAGTGAAGAAAAAGGACGCACGTCTCCCACGACCTGAATAAGCTCCCCGTCCTCTCATGCCTTGGGGCATAGGGCGTCCCCTGAATTGTCCTGGAGGGGGCCCTCCGCGACTGGGCGTAGGTGCAGCAACTGGTGTAGTACTGCCTTCTATGCCAGGATACATCTGCTGACCCATTGACGTCGGATCCTGCTACTCGGACGAGAAGGTCAAAAAGTCAGAATATACTGGCCACGAATGCGCACATTAGGAATAACGGCCTAGTGCAGAGAGAACATACCTGCATCCCAAATTCTCCCCCCATACCCATCATCCCTTGTCCAGGCACCGATCCACCTGGCCCGAAGCCTTCACCCATACTTATCTGACCCTCCGGGCTACCCTGAGGTACACCACCCATTACGCCTGGTCCTGGACTGTCCTGCATCATCCCTGGGCCTGGTCCTGCCCCACCCATGCCTTGCGCGCCCGCGCCCATCTGCATACCTGGCCCTCCGCCACCCATACCTATGCCCATCTCACCATTCATGCCCATCCCCGCACCAACACTCATGCCCATGTCCTGCATCATCGGGTTCATCATTGAGCCCATGTTCATCATCTGGCTCATGAGTGCTCCCCCATTCATGTTCATGCCCCCACCAGGAGCCATCATTCCTCCAGCGTTGGGTCCCCCGCCGCCGCCTGCCATCATGGCCGTAGCACCTGCAATGACCATAGTACGGATCTCCGGGGGTAAAGAGGATAGCTGCTCTTCAGGCATTCCTGCAAAAGTCTACAGAAATTGAGTAGCATGAAGAAATGATGCTGGAAATAGCGACAGTTACAAGTGATTTAGACATACCAGGACATTGGCTTTCAGTACGTTTGCAACTTCGCCCAGCTCTCTCCGCCGATAGCAATACGCCTCCCACGAAAGCTCATCAAATCCGTAGTTGAACCAGTCGCTCAAGTCGGACCCTGGCCGCCTCCATGGCTTCTCTGCTAGCGCATTCAGATCTACTTCCAGAATGGAACGATTGTCGAATGTGCCAGGCGCATCCGGGTTAATGGTTGGATGTGAAGGAGGTGCTTTTGCGGGAGGTAGAGTCAAGGGGTCAGGCCCCGCATCGGCTACCTGCTGCTCGCTATCGCCTGGATTTTGGGTTGTTATAGTGCCTGAGGCAGCAGAAAGGGCAGGAAGAGGAGTGGTGGACGAAGCATGTGTCGAAGTCAGTTTGGTGACACCAACTCGTTCACGCGGTGTGTACTCTGTGGTCAAGGTGGGCTGCGGCGCCGCAGGTGCTGTGTACCTAGTATGAGTAAGATAAGACGATATCTGGATAGCTATCACCTCGTGCAGGCGTGCTAAAGCTTGTTACACGGTTCCCTGGTGCCCGACCGGTTTGTTGCCTGTATATATCAACCCGGTCAAATGACTAGCTCTATGCACATTAGCAATCTGAACGGTACGTACCGAAAGTCAAGGGTTCGAGAGGTAGGCTCCATAATAATTTCGATATCCTAGAGAATAGTGAATACAATCCGAAAGCAAGTATCCCGAACTTACGTCTTCGCTGTCTTCCTCTTCTTCGGCGCCTTCCTCCTCGTCCTCCTCGTCCTCCCCGTTCTGTGCTTCCTCGGAAACTGTAGGCACAGGTGTAGTATCTCCATTCGCTTCTGCTTCCGCTTCGAGATGAGCAACAAATCCTTGAGACACAGAGCGCGTCTGCTCGAGAGATATTCTGAGGCCCATCGTGAGGATATGAATGTCTCTCGGAGGAATTCTAACTCACGGTTGCGGTACTGGAAGTCACGCATGGTGTGGGAGCAACATTTTCATATTGAAACAACAAGGTACAAGACGTTATGATCGAGATACTCTCGTGCCAAACAGACCGACAGTTCTCACCAGAGGTTGGCATAGGTGTTTCGAGTTGCACATATATTTCAGGCTGCGTGGGAGGTTCGAATGGCGCGAGTGATTCAAATTGTGCAGGCGGTTCAAGTTGTGCAGGCGGTTCAAATTGTGCAAGTGGTTCGAGCTGCGCAGGTGGCTTCACAACCTCAGGGACATCCTTAGAGTCGCCGTAAAGGAAGCTATCGTCATCGTCGTCAAACCTAGGACATTATAAGTGTATGATACGTGGATAATACGTGAAGACCTCACATTTCAAAATGTTTTCAGAGCTGCACTTGCGAGTTCGCGACGGACAGAAGATGTATTAGTAGCCACCCAGCGACAAGCGTTAACTTTAACGACAACGACACGAAAAGTGTATCACGTGATCCAGTGCTCAAAATTCTTAGACTTTAGCCCGATCATATACATCGTATTGTATTGCCGGAGTCGACGACTCGCAAGCGCGTACGAGGACCTTGGCTTCACTGTATACTCTCCCGGAACGATAGACTCGTTTAGCGAAAGCCACGGCCGTAGTCATTTCTTGACTTGAGTGACAAAACAGGGTTATCATTGCTTTCATTTGTCGCATTACTCTCCGTCTCGCTAGCAATTATTCTCCCTACTGGCAAACATCGGCCGACCATGGGCAAGTCTCAGAAGAAGCGCCAAATGAGGCGTCACAATCCTATGCGTGTACCAGACTCTCACCTTCCTAAGGGATTGGACGCAGCGTCGGCATCGTCGTCTAGGAAAGAAGCCATTCTGCCAATCCTACAAAAGGTAGCACATTAACCATTCGTTCCACTTCTTCTGACCGTAAGCTTGTGTCGTAACACCGTGTAATATTCTTAGATGGAAAGCCCTGACCCTGCCGAGCGCAAGTGGGCATGTGTTGCCGTGTCTAATCTAATTCAAAATGATCCTTCGACAAGACGCTTGCTTCAAGGCAAGAATGTTGTCGGAGCACTCATCACGCGTCTTACGGATAGTGAGGAAGAAGTTGTAATTGAAGCTGCTGGTTCCCTACGGTGAGCTAAGGCACTACTAGTTTTTCCATTGGTCTTAGGATGGATTGTTGTCGCGAAAGGAATTTATGTATAGATGGTGGATTTGATATATGCGCGGAAATGTATAACAAGAACATCCTTGCCCCTCTGAAGACATTTGTACCTAAGGTGATCAACACTCTTCTCTGCTAACTAGATCAAAGCTCATGGTCTTATTGTGACATATGATCAGATATCAACTACTCTCTCAAAATTTCTCTCTACGCCAAAAGATGTTTCTGAGAGCGCACAAAAACTGGTCTATGAGTTCGCTGACAATGTGATCACCATCTTATGGTGTCTGTCGTAAGTTGAATACAATTACCCCAAATCGTCGTACAGAGCTAAGGAAGACCAGAGAGACTTCAAACAAAGCCATGAATGCCATTAATCAAATATCACTCATTCCTTTCTTGATGTCATTTATTGCTTCGCGGGACAAACTGCCAACGACTACTGTGACATCTGCAGGTGAAGACAACGTGTCGTCAAAATGAGCGAAGCTGACCTTAGTGTCGGCCTATGGTACCACAGCGCAGTGTCTGTACGTACTCACGGACGAAAATATGCCGGCTGTAGGCGAATTGCGGTCAAATGCTGCATTCACTACATGTCTTCTGTCTGTAATTCAGTCCGACCAGCCGGCTCAACCAAATAGTAAGAATCACGCTATCCCGATTGATGACCGCGGACTGATATTCCGTGTCCTATGTTGTGGTATGTTCCTTACTGAGATATATCTGTCACGTTTCCTAAAAATATACGGAATAACAGGCATCCTAAAAAATATCGCACCTGTCCCACCTCCCTCTCTTGCCGCTACCGTGGACATCGATCGTGCTATAGTTCTACCGACTCTCGAGCCAGTATTATCGCTACTATCTCTGTCAGAGACCACAGAACAGGCACAAGCATTTTTAGCAAAAGAAGTTAGTTTTCATTGCCTTATGTGCGTTTAAAATAGCTCAAGGATCATCTATTCGCCCTAGGAATCTATTCCCGAAATCGAGAAGCTTTCCTTAAAGCATGCTCCAAAATCGGATCATCGAACACCGTCTGAGGTGGAGCTGCAGCGTCTGGAAACAAAATTACGCACCGTGCAGTTGGCACTAGAAATTCTGACTGGCTTGTGTGCCTCCTTGCCCGACCCTGGATCCGTAGTTCACGGTGATGACACCAAGCTCGACGGTGATGATGAAAGCGAAGGCAAGCTCTGTACCAAGGCTAGATCCACAATATTCTGATATAATAACCCTTGATATGTATTCGCATATACTAGGTGAGGACATGGACGCCGACGTTGACATGGTGCCGGACGAATCACCTGCGGACTCTACACCATCAAATCCAACATTCTTCCATACCCTCGTTTCCCCCCTCCTAGCGCTCATACAGCCCACATCACTCTCTTTCCCCCCGTCTGACGGTCAATCACCACATCCGCCTACGACCTCAGCTCTCAGCGCCATCCACATCAGCGCGCTCGAATGCCTAAACAACATCTTCCTCTCCCTCCGCTTAGCGCCTGCGCAGGCGGCCCATGCTAACGCCGACAGCGGACGAATGGTCTGGGACGCACTGTGGCATGCATTGGACATCGTTGGGACGGATATCAACCGGCCAGGCCAGGAGCGACGGCGTGAGATGTGGGAGATCGGCGTGGGCGTCGCGTGGGGTGTTGCCAACTCGTGGAAAGGCGTGCTCGTGCCTGCCGAGTCCCATATCCAGGTACTCATACAGCTGTGCAATAGCACCACGGATCACAGCGTCAAGGTCAAGTGCATCGGGACACTCGAGTGCCTGGCGCAGCACCCCGACTCCGTCGATTCGAATCGGGTAAGTCGATCCTGCGACATGATATCCTATCGTCGCCGTGGGACTGAGCTTGCTCGCGTGAATTTTCACTGATCGTTTCTCTTGTGCATTACAAATACAGGCTATCGCACGCTACCTACTAATGTTACTACCGCCGGCGGCGGCGCAACCGACGGCGACGGAGCCATTGCTGCAGGCCGGTTCAGCACTCATAGATATCTACTCGGACGAAACGCTGCCGTACGATGTCAATTTCCGCGAGTGCAATATGCTCGACGCGCTCGTCGCAAGCGTTGAAGGCGTACGGCGCGCGGTGCGCGGGATTGACAAAAAGCGCGAGCGCGAACTGCGCATGCGGGGCGAGGAAGTGCGGGACAACCTCGTAGCGTTTATCGAGTACAGGCGCGGACTAGGCGTTTGACTAGTGCACACTGGGAGGTGAACCACGATTCGATTCGCCCGTGAGCAGGACCGGTCGCCGTCACGTCACGCCGTGCGCTGTGATTCTGGAGTATCTGTCGGATGATGTGCTGTTTGAGCTTGGCGTACGGTCCCAAAGTACATAAGTGCGACACGCACTACGCTGTGTAGGGTGAATGTAATTCCGTCTGTCACTGTCAGTACAAAGTTTAGTGCGCGCTGCAGCGCTGGTGCGGGGTTACATCAATCTCGCGTAGCGGTGACTGTATTAGTGAGATACGGTCGTCCCCTTTCTTGGCAAGTGCAAAGGCATCTGGAGCATTTGGGAGATGCGATGCGCGCTGCTTGATAGAGGTGCCCGCTCGGAGACCGTGTCATCCGGACTGAATTAGCAAGATTCGCTCGTGGGCGGGGCGTGGCCGCTCGGTCGGAACGAGCAGCTGAGGGTGGGAGGATCGTAGTCCATGCGGCAGGTTAAGCCGGGAAGGCAGAAGCCTAGAAGCTCCCTGCATGATGCACGTTCGCCTCGTAGACTCCAGAACGGTGTCCGCCGATGCGAGAAGCAGCCCAGCAATACACAAAGACCAGCGGCACGGCCTAGCAACCGCTCGCCAGAGTCATCACAGCCGGCTTAGAGAGCCCCCTTGACGTCTCTGCCATACCACCCGCTTCAATACAACGTCCGCTTGGCACTCGGTCCACACCACCCCGTCCAGAACTCTGCCCGGGGCATACGCTCGTAAATTCGTACGTACTTGGTTATCTGCCTGTCCTCGTGCTTGAGTCTTGAGAAGCACGCAGCCGCCGGCCCCAGCAGGAACGTCGGGGTACCATACCAATCCCCGAGAACGCGTTCAGCAGCAATGCACCAGCACTATGGCCAAAAGCGGTCCTCGGAATGCGCATGCGTTGTGTGCGGGGTCGACAGGACATCCGATCGGATGTCGACATCCATGATGGAGATGATAGATGCGACGGCGTGTGGGAGGAAGCCAGGAAAGAGGGCGGCGCCAGACGGACTCGTCTGAGAATCGAGTGTCTGGCGTTGCTGACTACCTTAGAGACTCATTGGTTCGGCAAGCACTTTTGTATAATTTGAAACTTGGACCCTTGGAAGAACACTGGCTGTCGTGGTCCGTTTCCAGTTGATGCAGCCGCGTGAAGCACGAATTTCGAAATCCTGTCAATTTTCGTCGTTGATGCCAACGGAGCCGCTAAGGAGGGGAGGAGTTGTCCTTGCCGTAAACGCTCATCTCTGCCGTAATAATTCGCGTAAGTAGGGCGTATCGGGGAGATTGGGTGGCAGATGCGTGCGGGGCATGTTAACGTCTTAGTTATGCGGCGTGCCTGCCCCTACCGTTGTGCCCTGCCGTACTTCGTCTCCACTATGTGCTGTGACCGGGCAGGTAGGTGCTTCTTCGGAGCCGAAGTGCGCTAGACATCCATTCGTCCTTCCGGACTCCTTCCTAGTTTCTGAACAATAAATGGCATCAATCAACGAGGCGAATGAATTGTGCCGCTCACATTGAGTTTTTGGGTATTGAGTACCGGCGTCGCGATGGATGGAGCGCATCTGCCACAGAGCCTATACAGTACCTCATAACGTGGATCCATAGAAGCTCGGCCCGGACTTTGTCCAATGGACCGGTGGATACAAGAGCAGCCGGCTGACTCTGCCGTTGACAAGTCTCGGGCGGATCAGTGACCTGCATCGTGCGGTCCATCAATGGTGTCGACCCAGTGCACGACTAGGCCCACCCTGCGCATTCTCAGAATCCCAGAGTGGCGAATCAGAGGAAATGCCAAGATCGAGTGGATATTGCACTATACCTCGTGGACCGTGTCATGATTCACAGGGGGTCGCTGCAGTGCGGAGATATCACGGACTACGCGCTGTTGCCTTCGCCGCCGACGCCGGTCGGACAGGTAGTCGTGAAAGTATGAATTGCAGGTGGACGTAAACGCTTGACGGAGATAGTAATTTCGCAGGTGTAAATCTGGATATCTGGAAGCCGGGGACACGGGGGTGCGCGTACTTGAGGGCAAGGCCTCTGGGCCTTCGGCTGTACGTACTGCAACAGTGCACCGGTGAGAGGCACTTGCCATCTGCAGCCGAATGCAGCGGTCTAGTTTGGCTTTCGCTTCCCCGGGCTGTGGCTTCTGCTAAGGGCCATTAGCGCAGCTCCTGGCACGATAGGCGTTCTTCACGCCGGGCACGGGAGTGGCAGGACACACCGGGCAATATATGAATTGATGAGATCGGCATGAATGGCGAGACGAGATTCTGGTACGGACACTCCCAGATGTCCCGCCACACATTTGATCGTGATGGATAGGCATTCATACCGGGTGCCGTAACACAACGACGCTGGATGTAGCTGGATGAGAAGATGAGAACTTCGGATGTGCCCAATCACCTACTGTCACGACTGCGGGGCCTTCCCATATGGAAGGCACATATGATATCGCAACTGCTGTGGCTTAGTCATAGAGATACTTATTTTACGGCGCAATCTATCTGTCAAATTACGCGCAACTCGGGCTCACCACCGTAGAATGAAGCACATCAGCTGGGAATGTAATAAGGAAGAAAATCCGAGAAGTACGGACGGACTGAAAGGGATTGGTAAGACTGCGTAAGCAGGCGGTGCAAGATAATAGACCGAACCGAAATGCAGACCTTCTGTGTCATGTCGGTGCAGATAGAAATACTGTATCGTCCATGTTGGAGTTGCAATGTGGCAGTGTATGAGTCGTGCTATCGGATAGTCCTAGGGCAGGAAACCTTGAAAGGCTTAACAAGAATATTCTTAATCATGATAGCCTTTTCATTGAATTAACTGCGTCAAGTTATGAGCCCATTATGAGTCAAAGCATGGTCAAGACATGCGAGGCGGACGTGGCCAATTGCAGTGGTGTGGGTGGGCAGGCGCTAATAACCGAAGACATTTGGTAACATGTGGTCATCCAACTTGAGAGGGCGGGGTTGCCGTTTGATTCTCGAATAGGTCGCGACAACCGTAGCAAACCATACGATATTTATTTTTTCTTTCGAATGTCAAAGACAGGGCGTGGGATAGTTCCATATATGGAAAGCCGACGCGTTTCGCTCCACTTGCTCCTCCGGCTCAGCGAGCCACTTTACCGCTCCTGTTCAGTGCTCCACGCGTTAGGATACCGAATCATAGTACACTCACTACGATCCTTTGTGTCTGATCCAACGCAATGCGTCTGCCGTCGTTATTCTCTCAGCTTCCCCTGCTGCTACTTCCCCTTCTCGCGCACGCCGCGCACGACGACCAGCTCCCGCTTGACTCTCCCGCACATATCATGCGCCCCACATCCTCCGGTGACCACCAAGACTACACATACAAGCCCACGACGTATTCCCAGCCTACGCTTGCGGACCTGCTAACAATCGAGCCCCGCGCATCGATCTTCTTCTCGTACGCCCGCGAGACGGCGGCGCTGAGCACGCTCTTCGCAGACGTGAACGGGCGGAGCACAGTGCTGGTCCCCACGAATCGCGCCGTAATGGCGCTGGCAAGGAAGCCGTGAGTCCTGTCTTCTCTTCGCGCCTCTCTAGCCTTGTTTTTGCATTTTCTGCGCCGTGTAGCCGTTTAGGAGCTGACATGTTTTCGTCGATGGACAGGCACCAGGGCCCTACGCCGCCCGACTCGGGCGTGATCCTTCCTGAAGCAGAGTTCGACACGCTCTCGCGCGAAAACGTCGAGCGGTGGGTCTCCGCGCATATTATACCCGTGAGTCTTTCCTGCGCAAAACGCTGGCACTGTGCTCACTGCGCACTTTCTACATTACAGAAGTCACCGATCTCCCTACTTGATCCCCCAACGCATGCAACACTGCTGGCCGGGAAGAACGTCTCGTTCCGCTTTGTGGGCGGAGATGAGGGTGCAGGAGAGTGGGCACGTGTACGACTTGAGGATGACGTGAGACTTGTTGATATGAAGGAGGTGCGTGCCCCCTTGCCCTTCACCTCCACTCGCTGGTCTGACCAGTGTCATGCAGGCAGTGAACGGGGTAATATACGTCATTGACGGGACAGTGAAGTTGGATTGAATGTTGTTAATGGGCGCGGGCAGGTGATTTTTCTGTGTTGTATTCTCACACCGATTGTATACTATTCTTCGACCATGCATACATCTGGATACTAATCTCTATGGACGTCGATATCTGATCATGACGCGCCGTCTTTGTGTCGCCTAAACCACGTGTACAAGTGCGCAGACTCCTGGCCGTCCTCATCACATGGACTCATATGATCGACGTCTGAATACAAAGCTCAACGTTCCGAACGCTCGCGCAGGTAAGTGTCGTCCCGTCGTCCTGGATGAATTCCTTTGGTCATCTGATCATTGCATTCTCCTCGTGCGTGGTGTCCGACACCAACGCCGACACATCCTATCGTACAGCCGCCCGCCCATTGAGTGGGCTTGTCAATACGAAGAGCAAGACCATCAGGTGAGCGCGTTCTTATCTTGTTTTTGCATGTGTTGATCATGAACTCTCCACCTATCTATTTACTCGTCGGATTGTTCTGACGCGCTTGATCACGCACAAGTGAATGTAGTAAGATGATGGCGTGTGTTGGTGCGAGGCCGCTATGCGCGGCCGGGAATGTGACGCTACTGTCCGGCATAAGCTCTGCGGCTGCCTGTTGTGTCGCTCGGCGCCACTGTCGTGCGTATTCGCAAAGTCGCACTCCGACTCAATCAATTGCGGTTGTGCGCGCTTGTCGCGATCACCCCAGTACTTCCATTGAATTGACCCTCAGGACCGGGTGTGCGCGGTACAGCCTATCTGACAGCCGCAATAGATCGCTTCAAGTGGACAGCAGGTGCGCCTGCTTTCCAGAGAACGTTCTGACGTAGCATTGTGATGTGCCCTAGTATTTGCAGAGTGTACACAGACCAGCGCAACTTAGGATAGCTCACCCAGGAGAGTGGGCAGCACCGTATCAGCAAGCCCAAGTCCGCCTTATCGTCCTCTCCTCACTATCCTGCGCACGCTGTCCGTACATTCAAACCCTCCTGCATGCCACGCGTGCCGCCCAGACGTTCCATACCAGCGATACGGTGCAGGAGGTGCTTAGCAATATCACAGCCAATCGGCGTGATCGCCGATGATGGCCTGCGCCTGCTCTCAGTGTCTCTACCCAGCACGGTCGTGCGAGCACCACTAAGCACTGTTGCCTGCACTCATCGCCGTTCGGAAGAGCAGGGCCTCTGCACCCGGAGGTGCCTCAGCGGGCCAATCGGCGATCACGGACTCCCACACCCTGCATGCCTCCCTGCGATTCTGCGCATGTCGGCTTCGAACCCCCTAGGATGACGCGAGCGGGGATGGCTCTTCTCCCGCTTGCAGGGTCCGTGGGGTTATCGTCGTCGTGATTGGGTTCGATTCTGCCACGCAGGCCTGCCCGCGCGCTGTCCCCCCGTCGGGCCCCGCAGACAAACACTCTGGCCAGCACGTAGACAAGGAAGCATGGCTGCGCGATGCGCCACAGACTCTCACCGGTGTCGTGTGGGCGGGCGTTCTGTCATTCGAACGCTCATTGGGCGATATCGCACCTACACGCTGCTTCTATGTTGAGGCTGCGAGAAGATGAACGCCACCGCAGTATTCAAATTCTAATGGGGTTGAGTTTTGTCTCCCCTTGATATGCTTGTGGCTTCAAACTGGTCCGACTGGATCGCCATCGCGTCCAGTCCGGCGTCGTGCCCAGTCCGGTTCCGCCTCCGATGGCGGCCTTGCGGTACACTGGTCAGAGCCGAAACCGCGCACAAAGGCAGGGAGATTCCGAGCATACTTGCCACGCTGCGCGCTTCTCCAGCCAGGCCAGCCCTCATCTTCCGGAGGCTATGACGTCACGCGATACTTTCGCCTCGATTTTCTACAGAACAAGCATGGCGATTGCGCAAGAACATCAAGTTAACAGTGGGCGGGTTGGAAGAGACGCAGGGTGCGCGCTGGGCTGGATGAAGACTAATTGCGCAGATAATATCATGCAATGGACGATCGTCTGGAATCGAACGACAGGAAGGGTCCACTGGGAGGCCCTGCGCGGGGGGAGCCTTGTCGTCTCAGTAGGCGCGTCGGTCTTATCAGAAACCAGCCCCATTCCATCGCATTGATCGTCGATATTACGGCTGAGGCAGCATACGCGTGTCGCACAAGCCCCAGATGCTGAAATTAGCATGGTTCTGTTCTCCATGGGCCCGGGCTCTCCTCGGGATCGTCGCCGCGGTAGACAGTAACGGGGTTGTGGCGATGGTGTGTCCGCTATTCGGTCGGGACGATCGCGTCCTCGACGCTCGTCCTTGTTATCCTTGCGTCAAAGTGCTCAACAGAGTTGGAATGCAGGCGGGCAGGGTGCCTCTCAGGCGTAATCCACGCATCTGCCTGCCAATGGCGCATGGTTCCCCACGGGGTGCTTCATTGTAGTGCATGCTCGAGTTCCAGAGGATCATCTGGCTTGTCTCAAGCGCGGACACGTCCGGCACTCAGGAGCGTGGTCTTCCGTCGGCTAAGCTGATTATACTCGGCAAGATGGGCCATCATCTTTGCATTCCAGAAGGTGCGCGATGCAAGCAAACTCCCTACTGAATTGGACCAACGAGCTCAATGCAGTTCACTTGCATGACTTTCAAAGGTCGTCCAGGAATGTACATAGCTCAACGAATGAAGTGAAGATGTACGCCTGGGAAGTCCCTTCGCCTCTAGATCCTACCTCCAGTACGTGGTTGCAGTACGCTATGTACTCCCCTCTCTACTCGTGCAGAAAGCGTCCTGGTGTATCGCATCTCAGAGTGGTGCCTTCTCTGTCCGGGCATATGCGCTCCCGGCTATATACATCTTCTCTTCCCTTCTCCATTACGCGCTGTGTGCGGAACACCCATTTCCAATACTACGTCAGGCCTTACGCACTGACACCCGGATGCTTTAGGTTGACCGCCTCCGACGAGTCATGGTTAACAGGGTCCCGCCCGCGTAGGCCCTGAGTACCAGTATGTCGTCGTGCGTCGTGCATCGCGCATCGCGAAGGGACATGCTATACAGGGACCTATTCCTCTCGAAATCGAATGGACTCTGCGTCACGCCACTCCTCGTTCTCCTCGGCTTGCAGCCCCACAGCGCGTGGTGCGGCCCTATACTGTGCCGTCTCCTAGTGCTCCGCTTTCTGCAACTGTTCTGCCAGAGGATGCTCCCTCCAAACCTTCCATTCGAACGCCATGAATTCTGTCTATCCCCTTCGGGCCCCCCTTCGAATGAATGCATATATGCACGCTCCGGTTCTCCCAGGCCCTCTACGTAGTATGTGGACATGTGGACGACCAAGGAACTTTGAGCATCTGCATCGCCCATTCAGTCGAATTTGCGCTTGATCGCGCAGCTAGAAGGGATGGAGACTACGGAGACCGACGCGCCGATGCCGCGCCTCCGGGTGGCCGGCCGTCTCCGGCTCGAATTTGTGCGTCATGTCTCCTCGCCGCTGTCCTCTACATACTCACACCGCCCATCAGTTCGTCTTTTCAGGGCGGATCGTCTCTGTCCATCTTCAGCATCAGGCCCTTCGCCTCGTGCAAGTGGGGTGCGAGAAAGTTTTGTGATATATCATGCGTCAAATTCTAGCAGTAGTCTTCTCTGTCTACGCTCAGGGAAGCTTGCTGATTCCTGCTTGCCCGTTTCTTCCTGCGACGAGATCTAGGGCGTGCCGCAGCTCGTTCTTCGCCTCTCTGCCCCGGAGTTGCTCATACCCTGGATGGCACCCGCTGGCAGAACTTTGCGCGCCGACGTGCCGGTTGGCAGGACTAGTGGAATCTTTTGCACGGATGCTGTCTTGCATCCCGCATGTGTAGCTGCGGTGGTAGTCGCACTCTCTTGACTGGGTTTAGCCCCAGATACAGGTCAGTCGCCAGAGGGACCTTGGATGGCGCATGAGCGCGCCAACGCCATCCATCTCTCAGGCACACTCTTGACCGTCACTGATCTCTCATATCGGATCCCATAGACACTGGCCGCCAAGCACACCATCGTGACGCTAATCTACGCTTATCTCTTCCCTGCAGGTCCTGTTCTCTGCTCGTGGTAGGTATGGCGATGGACCCCGGATGATGGACGTTGGCCCCCGCACTCTGCGAATTCGGTCTCTGTCGAAGATGGGATCGTGCATAATTCATGCTGTGCGCGCACGTGGGTTGTCTGATTGGGAGATGTCGATGAAATGAAATGAAACATAGCAATGCGACGTCGGGCGTTGACGTCATCGTCGCCCGCGCCCGAAAAGCGGGCGAGTAATAGTCACTCCAGTCACTCTGTCACGGCGCACAGACCAGCTGTTCAGTTGGCAGTTGCCCGCGGGCGGGGATCTGGCTGGTGACCAGTGCCTATCGCAGATGTGGATCCAAGATCGCCACGCGTGACGGGGTAACGGTCTGGCAGAAGAGGGGTGGTGTACAAGAAGAGATCTAACCCTGGCTGACTGCTAGCGATGGATGCTCTGGCGAACTGCTACAATCCAGTCCGGTTCGTCCTCCAACCGTCTGGGCTGTTGGTGCGGTACGTCGTGTCCTTTACTGAGTAGCATCGATTCGAATTGAACCCAGAGGCGCTCCAGGAAGAATTGGCTTCAACTTTGTCCGCTCGATCCGGCCATCCGGTGCGAGTCCCAACTCAAAAATCTAGCCAATCACACCTGGGCCATACCACAGCGCCTCGCCCGTCGAAGCGCATGACGAGCGCACCCTGGTCAACACGCAGCACGACGACGCGCCTGTGGCACCCTTCACGGCATGCGCACAGGAAGAACAGGCCTTACTGTCCCCGCCGTTGCCGCTCGCACATGACGCAGGTATACATAGAGATAAGCTCTGCATGGTGCGTACCGGCATGGACACGCCCTTCAAGATATTTTAACAGTATTGTGCCCGCGAGCAAGTGACGCACTCGCGCTGACGACATACTCAGACTTGGCCCGAGGACCAGTGGCTGGCATGCAGTTGCGCATCTCCCTGCGCGAGATGGGTCATGCAGCGGTCGCAGCTCGACAATGACGGCAGGCTCTGTCACTCGGACGTAGTACCGACTTCGCCGAGAGCTGCACAGCAGCGTCTATCAGTGCGGGGCCCCAGTGATACAGTTCTGTCATGCACACCCTCCTCGTTCATCTGCAGGCTCAGTTCGTATTTGATTTCGCTCAGGACGTTCGCTGAGACGGCGATGCCTCGCCTCGACTTCTTTTATCCCCGCCCTGTCTTCACCTTTGACATCCTTGGTTACTCTTGCCCAAAAGCGCGCTCCCAGGCGCCAGGACACGGTGGGCGGTCGTCATCATGTTCCGTCACCAAGGCGAGCTTATTTGCGAGCTGAATGAAACGCCGTACCTCCATCTGGGAAGCTTCCCGGTCCGTCGACTTCGCCCCGCGCCCCGCGATCGAGCTCTGTTTTGAGGACCAATACATGGCCTGCGGTTTCTCATCTTCCTGCGGGTGTGGTCCTGTGCCCACAGGGCGACACTAGATCCGATGACAAGCTTATCGCTTCCTCTTCCTTCACGTTTATCTGATTCCGTGGCTGTCGCCCTCGCCGTACATTTCACCAGCATGCCACTAGCCCCGTACGTCAACATCACACTCCGTCGCGCATCGTGGCACGGCAGCGTCTGTTTCTCCCTACATACACATTCGTTGCGGCTTCTCTTCTTTGAACCATACGCATAATCAGAGCACGGCCGCCTCTAGCAAAAATGACGAGCTCGTCTCCGACTGGAACGTGCCGCACGCCATCGGGGACGTGTCTTCTGTAGTTCCTGATCTTCCCCGAGCCTAATACGCTGAATGCCCGGCGTGCGCGGGGTCGTCATGCGGTTCAGCTGGGCTCCGCGCTGGACTCGGGGCTTGCCAGTGGGTTCGAGCTCGCAGAACCGCGTGATCTGGACCTCGTCTCGATTCGATCTCCCTGGCCGTGACGCCCCCCGCATCGCCTGCGTGTGACGCCATAAAGCGCCTCCACGTTCGTGACAGCACCGTCCGGTACATACCCGCAATCGTACTGGGCCTCGGATGGCTCGGCGAGCGGAGAGGCACTGCACGGTGCCAAGCCTGTCCGGTTGTATGACACACGAACCAAAGAGGAATATGTCGAATTGCAAAAAGTCTATCAAGACTTGAGCTAGTGATTTGAGGTTCCTGTGCACATATATCCCGCCCGTCAAGCCCTTTGATTATTGTCCGACGTCTGCCATGGATGTCAGCCTGGTCACATCGCACAAAGCTGGTTTTGTGCGAGTCGTACCGCTGTGGGCGACGAGGCCGATAAATCAGTTTGGCGGTCCGCGATCCACCGAGGCCTTTCCAGACAGTGGCCAACGCGCCTGTCACGCCCACATCCGCGCCAACAATCCCGCCCGTCGGGCCTCGTCCGGGCATCACACCTCCTCGTGCCCTGGCGGGAGCGCATCACGGCGTCCCGATCACATAGCCTCAGCCCCTCCCAGATACTGGCAAGATACCGGTAGAAGATGGCGCCGACCCAGATCCGCCCTTCCTCGAGCTCAGAAAAGCCAGTTCTGCTGCCGGCGTACACGTCTTTTTTTCTCCCTTCCGTGGGCTGCTACCGTTAGCCGCTATTGCCCGCCGTGGCCGCTCGGTCACCTACCACGGTTCTCGGATGAGCGAGCCATGCGTGGCACCTGCCCGACCCCCGCGATTAGTCGTCGGACGGCGGACAGTGGGACGTGTACCCTTCGAGGCCCAGTGGGCTCGCCGCTGCCCGGACGACTCGGGGCCGGTGCTCTCAGACCCTGGCCCCACTCAGGAGCTGGTTTTGCTGACCACGCACCAATCGCGCAACGGGGCAAGCGCCCAGTCCCGCCCTCAGGCCTCAGGTCTTCTAGCGGGCTCTCCAGAAAGGATACTGGTAGAGGCCACGTCAGCGTATGGACCTACGTGCCAGGTGCGCCCTCGCGCTGGCGATTCTCAGGCGATGCGCGCATCCCCGGATCCCTCGGGCGAGTTCCCGCCCCCGGATCGGGGCACGGCATACATAGGGGCGGCCTCCACCCCCGAGTGGATCCGCGACACGCGTGGGGCGGCCAGATCTGTTCTCCCGCGGGGCACTGAGCCGGGATCTGCGCAGATTCGTGTGTGCGTAGCCGGGCGAACTGCGTCCGTGTCTGTGCGGGCGGGGGGCGGGGGCGTTGGACGTCCCGTCGCCCGAGTGGGCATGCGCGAACACGATAGGCTGGTCTGGCCCGCATGCTTGTGCGACGACCGGGAGGCGGGACACGCGAAGCCGGCTCAGGGGCGCGCACTGGGGATGATTAATTAATGGGGCCCGGGGGACAAACAAAGTGACTGTGACGGCGCTGCGAGACGAGTGGGCGGTCGAGCAGCTGCGGATCCGCTCTCCGAGTTCGTTGGAGACGAGCGGGTCCGCGCAGGACGATCGGTGCGCTTCGCGGTACCGGACCTGCACTTGCACTTGGTGCTCAAAGCATGGGCGCAGTGCGGCTTAGTGACTGCCGTCCTTGGGCACGGCCAGCCTGAGCGCCCGCTCACATCGTTATCTGGCAAACAGACTCATCGTCGTCCGCCTTTCGACCACCAGGCGCGCCGAGCCGGAGGTGGTCCACGCAGCCGCGTTCATCTCGGGCAACGAATATGAACGAACACGAACAAGCGACGGGCGCGCCGATACGGTACGCATCTGGCGCAGACGCACACCTGCCCGGCAATGGGCGGGTCGTGGTGGCGCCGGGCGCCAGAGCGTGCCGTGCGTGTGCACCGTGGACGGGACCCGGGGAGAGTCAGAGTACTCGAAGGACTCGCGCCAGCGCGGGTGCAGCAGCACTGCAGATCGCGTGTTCTCAGCTCAGCTGGGTCGCCCCCTCCCCCTCGCCCGCGAGCGCTGGGACGCGCGAACCCTGCCCGATCGAGCGTGTCCCTCGCAAAAGGCTGCCGGTGGTGCTCCTTCGGGCACCCCGGCGCTTGTGGGCGGAGAGAAGGGGCGAACGGAGACCGAAGTGCGGAGCGCAGTACGTACTGCCGTGCTGCGAGCGAGCGTGCGTGCGTGCGTGCGTGCGTGTGTGTACGGCGGGGGTGTGCGGCGCGCGATGCTATTCGTGAACCCCCCTAGAGGGCCGGGCGCCGGCGTCGACGCGTCGACGCACGGAGAGATCCTTGTCCTGATAGAAGACGCATAGCGCGCGCTCAGTCACGGCCTGTTCACGCCCCTCGCACTTTGTCGGTTATTCATCCAACTAGCGTACAGGGCGAAAATATGCGGTGATACATCGCAGAGTGTCCAGAGTGTCTAAGCATCGCATCGTGGCGTCACGTTGACCATGACTGATGATCACCAGCCGCGTCGAGCAGCCCGACAGCAGTAGCGCGCACGGTGCAGGATCGCACCCGCGACGCGTACACGGCGGACGCATATAGGCACACCCGCGTTTCCCGGGGACTGGAACCCGCGCGGGGGCACAAAGACGATCGGGGCGCGCTGGCGAAGATCAGACCTTACGGCAGTGTCAATGTCGACGACGCGACTCCGGCGCGGGCCAGTCGAGGGCGTGGTGTGTTCCGGCAAAGGACGGACAAACAGGCAAGATGATAAGTGAATGTTGGATGTTGATTGTTTGAATGCGTAGTGCAGGTCCTGGGCAAGCACTGCGTGCGTGCGTGCGTGCGCGCGTTGACCGAGCAGCGGAAGACGGGATATCCAGGGCGTAGAGAGATGCAGAACACGCTCCTCGATGCCCGGCAAGTCCCGCTCCCACCAGCGTGTCCGCCCCACCCATCCTCGTGTGCGTGAAAGCCCTCGCCTTCCGCCACCCGCGTGCGGGTGCACGTACGAGCCCAGCGTGCCCTGCGTCTGCGTCCCCGGTGCGGTCTCCTGCCACTCGGGACCCGTGATGCCCACCGCACAATCTGATAGTCTCCAGAAGCCCTTCTCCCCCTCGCGAAGATGCCGCATTTGAAATCGACGCCCGCCGTGGGGTGGAGGGGAAGGAGGGGGGGGGCACCTTCGCGCGGGCGAGGCTCCGCGGGTGTGGAGACAGCCAGCCCAGTTCCAAGATTGAGTGCATTGATTCGATGGCGACGATTGGGCGGCCCGCGTCGAATGCGCACCGAACACTGAATGGCGCAGGGCCAGAGACGCCGCGTCTATCTCGCCGTCTAGCCCCAGCGCACCCTGCAGACGAAGGCACCGGTGTGGGACGCACGCGTGGCGGCCAGGAAGCCGGACGGGGGAGAGGGAGGGGGAGATACGACGGCCGCGCCTCCGCCCCGGTCCAGCGCTGTCTCAGCGAGCCAGGCCCTCGCCGCTCGCCTGGCGGGCAGCAGCGCACAGAGAAATGGCCATCAGAACGCACGCCCCTCGCCACTCTGCGCGGGTGCAGACGCACGTACGTACATGGCTACGTACATACCCCCCTGCAGAACGATGTACCAGAACCGCTTACCCCGCGGTGCCCCGCATTGCGTCGTCTGCGCGTGTGCAGGGGGGAGGGAGCTGACTCTGGTCACGCAGGCGGGCTGATTCAACAGCGGACCAAAGTGCGCGCGCGGGGGGACCCACTGTCTTTCTATGGCGGTGGGAGCGCACCTGCGTGTGCGCCAGGGCCAGTGCGCACGGACAACGGGGGGGAGAAGCGTTCATGCGCACTCGCGGCTTCTGCAGTGTGTGCCGGCGTGTTTGCATCTCGTTCTCTTCTTCTCTTCTTGCTCTTCTTGTTCTTGTTCGGACGGGGGACGCCATAGGACGGGGTGGAGTGGTACGATGGAGGCGTGGTGCGGCGCGGGTTTGCATTCAGCCTCGCCGGGCGCATCCGCGGTGCTGGGCAGCCCCGGAATAGCAAAGTCGACCATGATCGCATTCGAGACGGGTGGAGATGCAATGTGCATGCGAGACTCTGGAGAGGTGCACGGTGCGCGGTGCGCGGCGCGCCTGGGAAAGGAAGGGGAAGGGCGAGTGCCCTGGTGGCCGCTTCGCATTCTGCGGTTCTGGCGTTGGACAGATGGGCATGGGAGGGACCCGGGCGAGGGGAGCTGCGATAAGTGACGGAGCGGGCGCAAGGGGGCGCACGTGAGACGACGAAGCGTGCCAGTGAGAACAGAAGGCGCACGCCAGAAATAGCCGATGGGGGGACGGCGCACATCAGAGCCAGCGACGGGGCAGCGGGGAGGGGGAGGGGGAGGGGATTGCAGACGGGCCCAGGACGAGGATGGGGACGTGTTACGTGTGCGGGCGGGCAGAACACACACCCTCGCTGCTCGCGCGTGCAGCTCGCGGACGAGACGGAGGTCCCTGGGGAATTGGAAGAGGGCCGGTGTGCATGGGACCAGGAGCTCTAGATAGGCAGGAGCAGATCCACCCAGCGCACCGGCGCGAACAGCTGCGTGCGCCCGCTGACCAGGCTCGCCTTGTCCCCAACCGGCGCCGTCTCCCCTGCCTCTGCGCCCCTGCGCCCCTGCACGTCTCCTCGCTCTCGCTCAGCACCGACGGCGCGTGACCCTGGCTGGACCGTTTACGCGCGAGCCAGGCTAGCGTGTGTGTGTGTGCAGCAGGAGCGTGCTCGCACGACGCGCTGCAGCTCAGCGCGGTCCAAGGGCTTGGCGTCAGCTGCACCCTGCCCATTCTACAGGATGATGCATGTCTCGAGCTGAACTCACCGGTTCGCCCGCGCGGTTCGTGTGGATTGTCGTGCGCCGCCACGGCCGTCTCCCGCCCGACAGTTGCCTTACGGGGCGGTCCACAGGCCCCTTCGTGCTCGCCGTCTTCGAGAACGCGCCCCGGCTGGCGGACTTGCATCCCACCGTGACCGACGTCTGCGGACGGCACGCGGACCGGCTGCGCGGGGAGCCACGCCCCGGGTCGATTCCACCTACATACATGGATTAATGAGCTCGCACCGCGCCCGGGACGCGTCCAGTCTGGCAGCAGCGCATCGACTGCCGAGGATATTGCGACAGCACATTTCTGATCCCTGCCCCGCGCCGCCGCCGCCGCGCAAATATTCGACCTGATGGGCCCACCCCATCAATCCGCGCCTTGGCTCACAGATCCGGCTGATGGTGCGGGCCAGCCTGCGCGTTTGGCCTGCGCCTGCGAGGGAGGCTGCGACCCTGCTGGGCCACCGGTGGCCGGCACGGCACCCCCCCCCCCCCCCCCCCCCC